CCTGAAGCGCTTCTGGCCACCCCTGCTTTTCTTGCCTGTCTTCCTGCGTGCTCCTCCAACCTCCACGAACGGCATCTCCGCTTCCTCACTCGCCTCCCCCTCCCTCAGAGACTCCCCACTCTTCTTGCTCTTAGTCTTCTCCTCTCCGGATCCTGCTCCCGATCCCTCTTCTCCATCTCACTTCTCTGCCTTTCCTTGACTACATTCGCAACCTTGTTGATATATCTCCTGTCTATCTCCTCTCCCTTCTTCCCCAGCAGCATCTGCTTGACTAACTCCCTTGTAACATCTCCTCCATGCTCTCTGTGTGCATCTAATAACAGACTAGTGTTAACAACAGTACATTCTAAGTATAGACCGCGGCTAATCTCATCTTCATCAACCTTTGCCTTCAAAGCCTTTCTCACGCTTCCCTCTGCCAACAGCCCCATCAGCTCCTCCTCTTCCAACTCAAGGCAGATCTCCTTGCATGCATTGCACACTATCTTCTCTGCCTCAACTACCCGCCTCAATCTTTCCGTACTATAAAGAAACCCTGCGCGTTCCTTAACCCTACTCCAAAACCTTCGATACTTCCTTTTCTCTTCTGCAGACACTTCACCAAGTGCATTTTCTATCATGTCGCTAAGTCTGTTTATGATACTTTTTCCATACTTCACTACATGACCATCTCCCGCTTTGTTGCATTCAAATATCATTTCATGCACTGTTTCCAACGACTCGCTAAACATCTTGCGGCCTCCCTTGTACACCTTTGATGCACCTGCAGATATCTTCTTCAAGTACCCGTCCATCATTTCACTAAACAGCCTCTCAGATCGATCATCCTTGTATGCTATCCCGCCAACCACAAAATACCACACCGCGTGAGAAATATTGTGTTCTAAAAAGGATGCAACACGTCTCCTGGCATTTCCCTTCAAGTCGCCGTACTTCGTTGTCGGTAGCACAGCAATATTGTATCCCTGGAACATAAACGGGAATACTATCACCTGGCTATCTGGCCCGAGTGTAAAGGCGGCAGCCTTCTCCAATCGTGGGGAGCAGTCCATCACACCAGCCGCTGCAACTAGCGTCCATGCTGCATAGATCCGCCTCATGGGCCAGATCTTTCCTCCTGCTTAGTCGCCTCCATCTCCTTTTCATATGACGTCGTGATGTCTCTCAGCGGTGCTTGCTGCCCTGCACAGGTCATTTCCTCCAAGGCATAATATCCTTTTGCTCCTTACCTCTTCACCGCAGAACCTTCTCAAACTAGCCCATTCCATCCACCTACAGAGCATCCTGCCTGCCGCAGCTCCCCCCGCCATCGCTCCCGCACAAGGCTGCACACAACTGCCCGGCCCCATAAAGCCCTCGTCAGCACACATGGCCCACAGACCACGCCTTGTCCCCACACCCAACCAATTGACCATAAACACGTATCCTGCTGCTTACCTATCACGGCCTTTCCACAACCCGAATCCTGCCCGCTGACACTGACGGCTCCACCTATCCCACTCCCGGCCCGCTACTACCGCCGTGTCGGTGGCCATGCTCTTCTATCTCCCTGGAAGCTACTGTCCCCACCCATCGCCCTGCTTGTTTCATTCAGGCGAGATTGCCCGGGAAGAACTCCCCCAAGCCTCCGCACACACGAAACAAGGCGTCTAACCAACGCCAGGAACACTCGCCCACCATTGGTCCTTGCAGCCGCCATCTGCTGTACCCCCACCCAATATACGTCGATCCCCTGACCCTTCATGGGTATCATAGACGTCCAGAGGTCTCATTTGACTGCCACGCCGTCCAAGGAGAGGGATGCACCAGCACACCCTCCCCCCACAATCTTGCCTGTCTGTATCCTTTTTCCATACACATCTATTGCACTTCCTGTCCTCATGTACTACATCCCGGAGAAAGGCCAATTCGACCAAAATCCCTTTCTCAAGCTCATTGCAATACTCCCTCCCTGCCTGTACTCGGCGGTCCAATTCCCTCTCCTCTTCCTCGGCAACCCCGAGTCTTCCTGCACGCCTCGACCTGCATTATATGCAACACTCTATCTGCTCCTGGATGCCTCTCTCCTTGCATTTTCTGCCATCTCCATCCTCTCGATTGCTGCATTCACCACTACAGAATGGAACAGCGATGAGGTTGTGGCCGTCTGCTCCACCCTCCTCCCCTCCCTGCTCGTACTGCCTGCCCACCTGCTATCCACCTCCTGCGCCCTTACCCCAGGGTCAATCGGATTCACAGACTCCTCTGTCGACATTCTCATTGACCTTCTGATGGTGTCACTCCTTGCAGCAGGCCTAACGCTGAATGTGGACGAGTCCTGGCGCTTCTTCCCCTACATCTGCATCAGCTCCCTCGTCCTTGTCCTGGCAAAGTTGCTCCGGAAGAGCAGCTCCATGCCCAGAAGGGACCCTGCGCCTGCTCCAGCCTGGAGGATAGCCGCCTTTGTCCTTATCTTTGGCCTTTCCATGTTTGTTTACTTTTCCATCCTCTATGAGTGCCTGCTCATTTTCGGCAACCATTTCCCCTGGTTCCCAAGCCAAGCACCTTCCAACGACTTGACGAATAAATGGTAGCCCGGGACCTTGCATACACACAGCCTACTGCCTTCAATGGATACCCCACACCATCTGTATCCTCCTTCCTCCCCATCCACCTCCTTTCCAGCCTAGCTACATGTCGTGTAAGTTCTATCCAGCCACACTCCTTCTATTTACGTCCCTGCCCTGCCATCCGAAGCATCTGAATAACGTCAAGCAATACTTCGTCCACTCACTTCATATATTTATTATGTCCATATGCCACATACACATAGTATGTCATCAGATCTCAGGAATCCGAAGAATAGTGAGAGTCCGGAGAACCTCGCTGGTGTTCTTGGGATTCCGGTACTCTATCCTGAACTCATTCCCATTACTCGTCATTTCACACCGGACACCAGGAGGATACCGAAACCCAGACATATCCGAGGACTCCTCCTTCTTTATCTCATCCACATCGTCTCCCTTCCCAAACGACGAGCCTCCGACCATTCCTGCCCTCTCAGTCTCCGTGGGCCTGAACATCAGGTGGTAGACCACACTCTCTCCTCTCTCGCCCTTGAAAAGCCCAACCTCGACCTTTCCCACCTTCTTCTCCCCTCCCTCCTCAAGTATCCCATTTGCTACCATCTTCCATCTCTCACTCCCGCCCTTCATGTACTTGCCAGTCCGGAAAAAAAACCTGTCACACTCCTTGCTCTTGATGAGCTCTGAAACTTCCACTATGTCATGCACCTTCTTCTGCTCCTTAATCTCTTCAATCGATCTATTTTTCCACCTCTCCTCGCTTCCTTTGTCCAGTTCACGCTTGATCTTCTCAGCACTCCTCTTCCACCGGAGAACCCGGCTGTGTATCTTGTAGTGGTGCCCATCGCCTTTTCTCTTCCCCTTCAAGCTCTTCTTACGCCGAGCCCCTCCAACCGCCGTCTCTACCAACGGAACCTCCGCACTCTCCTCCTCTTCTGCCTCTACACCTTCTTCTTCTTTTCCGTCCTCTTCCTTACTCTCCTCCTTAGCCTCTCCTGCACCCCTCTTGCCTCCCTTCTTCTTGCCTCTCCCTTTACTCTCCTCCCTCTTCTCCCTCTCTACCATCCTCAACAGCTCCTCCTCATTCTTGGCTCTTTCCTCCTCCCTTCTCTTTCTTTCTTCCATCTCTCTCATTTCTTCCAACCTTTTTCTCTCTCTAACTTCACGAACTGCATTGTTGATGCTCTCATCATCAATACCTTTATGCTCTATAAATGCTTGCTTGAATACTTCTGCCATAATGTTCATACTCTTATATTTCTCATCTGTACTTACCAGTTTATGGTGATCTATATAACTAATTAGCGGCACCTCAATATCAGTGTAAGGCATTACTATCTTTAAGCACAAATGTCTTGAATATACTTCCATAATAAAGCTCATTCTGTCTTCATCTCTCTCCCAGACATATGCACACACATCGCATATTATCTCCTGTGCCCTAACCATCTCCTCTTGCCTTTCTTTGGTACATAACCTTTCTCCATGCTCCTTGATCTTCCGCAGCATCTCCTCTTCTTTCTTCCTTTCCTCAGGCGACAGAGACCCTGGTATCCCCTGTATCCGATCCTCTGCAGAGCGGGCAAGCCGTTGTCCAAACTCACTCACCATACTGACATTTTGCTTAAATACTTTCATCACCAGGTCCATCAGCCGGATCCCAGATCTTCTCCTGGCCCCCTTATACAGAGAAACAGGATCTGGATCCCTGGAAACGGTCGCCTCAAAAACTTCGTTTATCAAATCTCTGATCCAACTACTACCTCCAGGCACATACACCCATGCCATCAAACGCCACACCAGCCACCGAAGTTGCACAACAACTTTTTCGACATATTTCTTTTCACTTTTATCTACATCCTGGTATCTTGTGGTTGGGAGTGCAACAACTCTATCTCCATGAAAAATAAATGGAATCATCACTCTTGTGTCTAAGCAGAGTTCTTTCTCAAGTTTTCTTATCCTCTCCACTTCTGAGTCATACAACTTACGGGAAAAGGCTTTCTCAAATATTTTTCTTACCTTCTTCATGTCTTCAGACTCCTCCACATTGGACCCGTGCAACCCCCCAAGCAATCCAACCATGCAAACTAGCCATACCCTCATTACTCGCCAAGGGCGCCCACTTATTAGACTCCCGATGCTCTCTCATTTGCTCCCCTCTTACCCCCTATCCATATCCAACTCCTCTTTGGCCCTTCTAGAGATATTTCTCCAAAGGCAAATGTGAATCAATGACTCCTACCACTCTGCTTTTCTTCTTGTCTCTTTTACTACAAACACCTCTAACCTCCACTTATAGCACTTCTACCTCAGAATTTTCCAGGCATTTCTCACGGATTATGTTTCATCCATCGTCCGAAATTAGCCACTACTAATCCCACCATTAACCAGAATTTCATGACAATAATGGAAATAGTCCAAAGTGAAAATAGTTTATTCAAAGTCAGGAGTTTCTTGCATACAAATACTCTTCTTTACAAGAAGTTTTCCTTCATTTCCACTAGCTTGTTCTCTAATCTCCTCTGTCTTATCAATGATACCCTTGAGAAAGATTTTGAATCTTGGGTGACAGATACATATGTCTCTATGTAGTCTAACCAGAGAAATAAACACCCTCCCAACTAGTATTACATTCCAATTGATGCATTCATATAGCACATTCATAACTTGGATGACGTCTGACGAATTCATTAGACATAGGAACTTGTCAAGCTCACAAAAATCTATGTCCATTAGAACGTCAAAAAACAACTTAACATTCTCGTTAGAGAAGCTGTTGGACAGCTCTTCCAATCTCGTTAGGAACCGGTCGTATACCTTATAATTCACCACACTAACTGTCTGTATGACCTCCTCCTCATCGCTTTCGTCCTTCCCTTCCTTCTGAAGTTCGTATTTGTCCATACTGTAAAGATCTATGTTGAATCTTCCACAGGAAATCATCATATCTTTTCTTACCTTTACTAAGCTCGAGTCATAATGCCTGAACTCTTTGAGCTTTTCATATCTTTTAAAGTACTGAACTCTGCCAGATGCAAACATGAATAGATCCTTGTTTAGATACTCTACGCATTTAGAGTCTCCAATGAAGCTTTTTCTGCATTCTCCAAACTGGGTTCCCCACATTTTAACAGTTTTATCTGCACCGCATGTAAGGAGCTCGGAGCTATCTGGAGACAACTGCATCGATCTAACCGGAAGGGCATGTCCATACAGGGTGACCTTTAGACTTAGGTCATCCATGCTGTATATATGCACCTTGCTGTTCAAAAGGCCTACACATAGAAGAGCTCCAGATGCCTCTATGGATGATATTTGATTTTCTATCTCCAATATTCGAGAGACCATGTACGTATTATCGTAAAACAGAATTACATTATCCTTTCCTACCAGTAGCTCATCTGCATTGGAAGAAATTGATGACACAGGCCCTATAATTTCTTCTCTAGTCAGCTCGCAGTTTAAGATTGAGTAACAAGAGAAGCCTGCATCTCTTCCAACTACAATATTACTGCTCCATGTACACATGCATCTCCCATGCTTTATTCGTATACTCCCAATTTTCCTTATCTCTTTCCCGTCTACCAACCAGATGATTATACTCTCCTTTGAAAATGTGATTATCTTTTCTTCACAGACCTCAAAACCTAGAATTTCATTTCTATGGAATCCAAATGAGTAAATCTTTCCATTCTCAACACACTCCCAGCAGTTATCTACGGCTGCAAATAGTACCCCACCGTCTGGTGTCACGTCAAAGTCTACATATCTATCACTGATTTTCATTGTTTCCAAATGCTTTAGTATGATTCTGTCTCTTTTGTCCACTCCATAGATGTGTAACTTGTTCTTGCTCTGAATGAATATCTTTTCTTCTTTTATCTTGATATTTCTTAGCTTTTTGAACTTGTTAAATGGACGGGATGTCTTGTCTTCTAAATTGTAAAAAGTGGATTCCCCATCTCTGAAGAATATCACTGCCTCTTCATCCATGACAAAGACGTCTTTTAAGGCTTTTTCAAACATGTGCACACTCTTTATATGCCTGTCTTCCAAGTCCCAAACCCTCAGTGTATTGTCTGTACAAACCGCAACAACAACTTTAGAGTTCGAGAAAAACTTCTCCACACATATGTCGTTCCCTTCATAGGATATCCTGATCTCTTCTCCAACCAGGTCGTATAAAATGATACTACCATCCGCAGACGAGGATAGAATGCAATCACCTATCTTTGCAACTTTCGTAACCCTTCTGGAATGTGGTCGGAATGATATTATCTCATTTGAGTGTATTTGAACAACTCCGTTTTCATAGCCTACGACCAGTATCCCGTCAGAGAAGTCAAAGTGCGTTATCCTTTTCTTAAGTGTGAAAATGCTCTTTTCAATTTCAGAAAATCTTATGTTCCATGCATTAATCTGGCTGCCAACCGAAATGTACATGGCATTTCCCACCCGTTTAACCAGGCTGTTTCTATTTGCTACTTCTCCCGCCGTTGCTAGATGCACAAAGTCCGGCACAAAACCGTCCTCCAGTTCTTCCATTCCAAGGATTTCAAAAATCAAATTTTAAGAAAACTTTATTGCATAAAAAGTTTTATTTGAAATAAGTACATGCATGCTATGCCATACAGAGAAACAGCTCCTCCGCACCTTCCAAGTCTTCATCAAGATGTTTATTTACTAACCAAGCTCCTCTGCAACCTCTTCCAGTGCCCTGATCGTAAATTTCTTTGATGCAAACTTCAGCTCCTTTTGGAAGCTCAGATATGCCTCCAGTTCCTCATCTCGAACAAAGTCCACCACAAACCCCGTCCTTCCAAATCTCCCAGACCGTCCTATCCTGTGGATGTACGTTTGTGTAGACGCGACACCCCTATATATTGGGAGATCATAATTCACAATCAGATTGACCTGCGGGATGTCCATTCCCCTTGAAAAAACATCTGTTGTGAGAAGAATCTTACTTTTAGAGCTTCTGAAGTCACCAACCGCCTTTTCTCTTTCTTCAATCTCCAGATCTCCATGCAGACATGATACAGAATGCAGATCGTCCTCGAGCTTTTTTCTTAGATAGTTAACTGTTGCCTTTGTGCTTACAAATATGATCATTTGGCTGATCGAAAGATATTCATACAGTGATTTCAGGGCCCTTCTCTTGTTTTCTCCTTCTGCCTCTATATAGAATAACTTAATCTCGTCAGGCTTTCCGTTGCGCTCCTCATACATCTTGACTGCATCGGGAGCATAGAACTCGATCGTCTGCTTTACCTGCTCGGAAAATGTTGCAGAGAAGAAAATCATCTGTGCACCGGAAATAAGCTTAAGTATTCTAAATGTCTGTGTTCCCATCATGTCTTTGTCAAGCAGGATGTCCGCCTCGTCAAGAACTATCATCTTTACTCCTTTATAGTTTAGCTTTCCAAGCTCCATAAGCTTCAGAATCGTTCCAGGGCTTCCAACCACAACTTCCTCTCCAATGGAGTCTGTGATCTTGTTCTTCAATGCTGAAAAGACCTTTATTCCAAGAGGCCCGGCCAGCCCGGAAATGACCTCCGTGACCTGAGTGCTTAGCTCTCTGGTAGGTGTTACTACCATCACCTGCGTTCTCTCTCCGATTTTTGTGTTTCCAAGAACACCACATGTGTAGGCTATTGTTTTTCCAGTTCCGCTCTTGCTTTGCACCACAACATTGTGTCCTCTAAGAATGTGGGGAATTGCTGACTTTTGGATCAGGCTTGGCTTTTCAAACCCTTGGTTATAAATGGCTTTTAAAAGCTCATCTGACAATCCCATATCAGAAAAGTGCTCCGCCACCAGCAACTTTTGGCCTCTGTCTGTTCCCACACCACTAATGCTTCCGTCAAGACCCGTCTCTATCGCAGTGGTATCGTGCTTAATCATCGTGAACAGCTCTCTTGCAACCTCCTTATCGTCCTGAATTAGAGTTTTCTCTGCCATGGATGGGGCTCGAAATACAACAAAATAAATCCCTGTAAGGCACACAGGAACACAAGTATGCCACAGCTGATATAATTTTATGGTCTTCTGCAGCAGGGCTAGCCTGATATCTCAATCAACTTGTCCAGAATCTCTTTGCTCAGGCGCGGCATGGGGTCAAAAAGAAGATGTCTTGCGTCTTTCTTAAGGTCTTCAATGCACACATCTTTCATGGCATCTTTTTCTAAGTTTTGCATAGAAAAAAGGAGAAGCACTGCTATATAGCATCTTGTCACTTGGTCTACACTATAATAAGCCTTTGCAATCAACCCTAAAGAAATGTCTAAGTAGAAATCCCTACCAAGAAGATTGATGAGTATTATTACCAGATCCGTCTTCCTCTTTAAATTTTGCACTCTATTACCTTTTAAATTTACATTTTTTTCATGCTTCAAGACCAATGAGACTGCAGGCGTTGGAGCCCATCCTTTTAGCATGCACTCAAGGCTCTTATCCCTCTTGCTTTCCGTGAATTCCTCCAAAACTGCCCTCTTCAGACACTGTCTAAAGCTCGGGCTGAGAGACAGCTTTCCAACATTTGCTTTAAGTGCTGTGTAGTTCACCAGTATCTCGTAGCTTCTCCCTTTCTTTAGCACAGCGGAAACAAAATCTTCATTTAGCTCAAATTCTGGATACTTCACTAAAAAAGAAAGTAGAAATCTGTTCCACCTCACTACTTTCTTGCTCATGCATATTTGCAGGAAAAATACTAGCCTTTCAAGTTCGACACACTCAGAAAACTTGGAATACCACTTGATTGGAATTCTTTCTAGTATTTCCATGATAACTCTTGCCTTTGACCTGGCACAGGCAGAAGAATCTATCAATGTACCATTCGACACTGGACCATCAAGCACCATCAACAGGATCTTAAATAAATCTTTAAGATCACCAAATGAATATGGGTTGAATACTTGGGATAGTATCTCCAGCACCACATTACGCGCTGACTCTGATATTCTTTTCCTTAGCATCACCTGGACCATTTCACTTAAATGTCTCGACTCTCGCATATAGGCCTTGAACCTTTCATCGCCCATCAAGTCAACCACTAGCTCCAGGGATGTATCTATTTCATCATTATCCAATCCCTCGACAATATAGTCCACCTCATCGGCATACTTTATCTCCTGTGTTTTGTCTATTATTCTTGTCATTGGGAGCAAAGGGGAAAATAGTCCCTCTATGTTTTGCATCCCTAGGGAATGAGCATTGAACATCACTTTCTTTGCCCGAAAAAGCTTTTGAAGCTTTGCAACAAGAAGATTGACAAGGACGTGATAAGAAATCTCCAGCTCTTAACAGAGAAGTTCCTGTCGGACATAATACACCGATCTGCGCTATTGTGCAAGCACAAGGGAAAAAGCACTGTAGATAACACTGACATACGATTTGTCATTGAGAAGGACTTCGACTATAGCTTTGGCACAAGAGAGATTCAGGGGACCACGAGTTTACCAACAGCCGAGCACCTGGAAAGAATGGCTGAGATCAGCCGGCAGAACAAGTAGAGGCGGCTTGAGCGTATTGGCCAAAGGCTACATGCAAATTTTTTATTGGGCCCTTGCTATTTTTAGCATACATGGAGGATGGATATAAGGATGTATTGGAATTCGCCAATGAGTTGAAGTTACACCTCACCGGGGACATGATTGACCAAATGTACAAGCTCCTGGATTCTGGAATGAGTCCTCGGAACCTTGCACAGCTTCTAAAAGAAATAAGGAACGAGTTATCCGGGAAGATCAGATAGTGAAAGCTCAGATGTTTTGCTCTATTCAAAGCACGAGCCATCTCTTACATTGGGAAGAAAACAAAATAAATACTTATCCACCGAAAACTTTTGCACCCTGATGATGTGGACAACGGAAAAGCTGCGTCAGTCTTTTCTAAACTATTTCGCTTCTAAGTCGCACAAGATTGTGAATTCGAGTTCTGTAGTTCCTTATGAGGACGACACGTTACTTTTCACAAACAGTGGGATGGTTCAGTTCAAAAAGAACTTGCTTGGAGAAAAAAAAGATCTCCGCCGGGCCTGTAGTGTGCAGAGGTGCATCAGAGCAGGAGGAAAGCACAATGACCTGGATGATGTGGGAAAGGACACGTACCATCACACATATTTTGAGATGATGGGGAATTGGTCGTTTGGAGACTACTTCAAAGAGGAGGGCATAGGATTTGCCTGGGAGTTTCTGGTTGAGGTTCTCAAATTAGACACAGACAGACTATATGTCACCTACTACGACGAGCTGGACAAGGAAAGTGGAAGAATATGGCGCAAGTATCTTCCCCCCTCCAGGATCATTGCAGCGTCGTACAAAGACAATTTTTGGGAGATGGGGGATACGGGTCCGTGTGGGCCCTGCACAGAGATACACTATGACAGAATTGGGTCTAGGGATGCTTCTAGACTGGTGAACAAGGACGACCCCAATGTCATTGAAATCTGGAACATTGTGTTTATAGAATACAACAGAACTACTTCTGGCCTTGCTCCTCTTGAAAGAAAGTGTATAGACACAGGAATAGGACTTGAGAGACTCCTGAGTATACTTATGGACGTCAAATCCAACTATCTAATAGACAGCTTCTCCACGATAATTAAGGCTATGGAAAGCCACTGCAGCTTCAAGTATAACGACAAGGCGGAGAGCACTGACGTTGCCTTCAGAGTTGTGGCAGATCACTGCAGAACCATAGCTGTTTGTGTATACGACAAGGTTGACTTCAGCAATGACGGGGTGGGATATGTGTTGAGGAGAATCTTGAGGAGAGCGGTTAGATATGCACACGAAGTTCTTGGCCTGAAGGAGGGGGTTCTTGGGGAGTTAGTAGTGGTTGCGGCACATGCAATAGGAATAGAACTGGAGTCAGTTGAGTGTGTGAATAAGGAAGAACTCCTATTTATGAGGACTTTAAAGAAAGGAATTGAAAGATTCAACAGGCTCGCTGAGAGTAGCAATAAAATAAGCGGGGAAGACTTGTTTTTGCTGTATGACACGTATGGATTTCCTGTAGACTTGACCGAGCTAATGGCCGTAGAGAGAAATATCGAGATTGATTATACAAATTTTGAAAGCTGCAGGCAGAGAGCAATTGAGGCCAGTAAGAAGTCCAAAGGAACGAAGCTAAATATTGACATTGGGATGTGTTCCAAATTTCCACCTACGGACGACTCTTTTAAATATGAAAGAAACGGCGTGAGTGCCATGTTTCTTTTTGCCGTCGCAGGGGAAGATGTCATTACCGAGCCCTGCAAGATACCCAAAGGGATAGAGCTTGGGATTGTATTTGACAAGACATGTTTCTATGCAGAGTGCGGAGGCCAGGTTGGAGATACCGGAAAAATTATTTTCAGAGACGATTCGGGGGATACAGGTGTATTCAATGTTACTGATACACAGGCAATCTTGGGATTCGTTGTTCATAAGGGGGCTCTAGATGGAAGTGCATCGCACCAGGCACTGCAGATGTATGACTACGAACTAAGAAGAAGGATAATGAGAAATCACACCGGAACGCATCTGCTGAACTTCTTTCTCCGCACGGTGATCAAGACACAGCAACGCGGAAGTCTTGTTGACCCGGATAAGCTTAGATTTGATTTTGAAGGGAGGAAGCTAACAAACGAGGAGCTGGAAGATGTGGAAAGAAAAATCAATGATTTTATTAAGAAAGGTGCAGAGGTCAAAGCCGTGATCTTGGACAGGAGGCAGGCTATGGACAATCCCAATATTGTCCGGATGCAAAATGAAGAGTACCCTGAAAACGTGAGGATTATAACTATGCAGAGTGACGGGCTGATTATTCAAGAAATGTGTGGAGGAACACATGTAACAAATGTTTCTGACATAGGAAAGTTCAGGATTGTGAGCGAGACAGGAGTGTCTGCTAATACACGAAGGATAGTCGGTGTAACTGGAAAGAAAGCCCATGAGCTCGATGCAGAAGCGGAACTTTGTTTGAGCAAGCTCAGCATGGGGAATGTGGTCAATGTTGACAAGGCAATCCCTCTGTTCTATAGGCAAAAAATTGAAGTGCTGAACCAGAGGAACAGAAAGAAGGACGAAGAACTCAGCAAGGCCCAATATTTCAAGAACAAGAAGGAATTTCTGGAGCTTCTAGCAAAGGCCAAAAATGCTTCTGATTCCAACGAGCAGATTACAATCTACTACTATCAACCAACTGAGTCCTGCACCAGAAAGGATCTGGGGAGATGCATAGGGTTGCTCTCCGGGGAGGGATTGAAAGGTGGTGTCCAGTGCTTTGTTTATACATTTGTTGGCGAAGAATCCCTGGTGGCTGCGAATGTGTCTGACAGCGAGTCTTTGATAAGCAGGGCCATTTCAAAGTTTCCAAAAGCCCATCTAAGGATCAGTAAGAACATGGTCCATGGAAGTATCCACTCGAAGATAACTCAGGAAGATGTCAAATATCTGCTTACCTGATAAATAAAGGGATGGCTGCCTATGTTTGCTTTGATCATCTCATACCAAGTAAACCATTTTGAATATCTATGTTCTGAGTTCAAAAAATTAGGCGGCTGTTAGAAACAAAATGGCTGGAGTGGGGTTCGAACCCACGCCTCCTGAGAGACTGGCACCTTAAGCCAGCGCCTTGGACCACTCGGCCATCCAACCTACAGTGCAATCCCCCCAGGACTTTGGACTGCGCCAGACTGTAATGAGTCCGTGAATACCTGAAACTAAAAAAACATACCCAAATGGAAGAGACAAAAGCGCTGCTACAAGACTTGTGCGAAAAGTTCAAAAACCCTATAGAAAAGAATATACTCTTGGCACTGAATAGCCAACGGAGAGAGGAAAGGCTAAAGATGGAGACCGTGACAAAGGCTCTTCAGGAGAATGTCCAGCTCTTCAAGAAAAAGAATATGCAGCTTGAGGCAGAGGTTCGCAAATACTCATATACCCACAGTAAGAAAAATGATGCATTTATGGAAATAAACAACGAAAAGCTAAGACTTGCCAAAAAGATAGTTGAGCTTGAGGATGAAAATGAGAAGATAAAAGCAAATATCATTACAACAGATAAAGCCATCCAGGAAAAAGAAGAGAGGCTGAGATCCCTTTCAAGGCCCTCCTTTAACGAGATATATCTTGAAATTGTCAAAGGATTTGGAATCGAGTTTTTGGAAGGAGATGGGAAGAAATACTGCAGAATAAGGAATAAGAAAATGAATGATGTCTTTACGGTCGACATTAGTTCTGGTCCCTCCATGTTTGAGATCACCAATGCTATCTGGGAAAAGATTTGATTGGTGGCTTCATGAAACATGCCTGCCGGAACAGAAGAAGTCCATTGGTAGTGAACTGTGTTTCTTTGCGATCAATCATTTTTGAAACAGCACAGAGCCGAATATCTTTAGTAGTTAAACAAAGAAGAGCCCTTGGAAAACATGCAGGGAGGAATACAGGAAGAAAAAACTTTCCAGAGAAATATCAAGGAGGCATTGGGAGATAAGGATGTAACAAGGGACTTCTTCAACATAGGCAGGATCTGTGTCCCACAGAATTTAAATGATGCAAAAAGGAGGGTTTTTGCTAATCTTGATAGATTTAAATTCCACTATCTTGCAATGACAGCCATATTCACGCTGATTTATGTTCTGTATCGCTTAGAGCTGATCATACTTATCGGAATTGTCGCGGCCGGTGTATATGCCTATAGGGTGAGGCCAACGGTGTGTAATATCGAATTAGAACCAAGATCTGTGTGTATAGCCGGATTCGTCGGCATACTCATCTTCTTTATATTCTTCAAGGAAGCGATAGTGGGGCTTCTTGCGATATCTGCACTCTGCGGCATAGTAACCCTGACACATGCTGCGTTACTTGGGGAAGGTCTGCAGAAGGACGACGAGGTGTAAAGACAACTTAATAATTAAAGGCTATCCCATAGTTTTTAATATCCCCTCTCTTCACCAGACAGAGAAGCTATTCTTCTCAAGCACTTTTGACCTTGAAGTGGAGCTCGCATATGTAATCCGGATAGGATGGTATGTTGTTGAGTCTGTCTTCGACCAGATATCCGATAAATTCAACTTCAGACCCTCCCTTTCCTTCTTCCACGAACACGACAGGTAGCTCACTATCATAGTAGGAGTAGAACTCATCAATCATTCTGTGCAAGATCTCGTTTTCCTCTGTCTTATCTGTAAATATGGCTTCCTTTAGGGACGCATCCACATCCTTTCCTATATAAATGTATATCTTTTGCGAATTATCCAAAACATAGATCTCCTCTGAATTGAGCGACTCACCGGTGAGCTTCAGTGCCTTGACCTTCTCTAGAGACTTGTCTATATAGAAATCGGTAAACGCAAACAGACGCGGATAAAAAAACCTGAGGTTTTGCTCGACGGTGAAGCCTGTTATTCGGGACACACACTCAATATTTATGTCATTGGAAAAGCAGCTATTCTTCAGCATAGCCTGGTATATCAGAGGAATCAGCTTAATGGATTCCGGAAGAACAAATTGGGAGCTGGATGCCTCTTTGCAGCAGCTGTTTCTGTAGTACTTAAGAGATCGACTAATGGTGCTTTCAACCTTCTTACAGTGTTCCTTGACAACGCTTTCATCCATTGCGATGTATTTTGCATATATACATGCTAGAGTGTCAAAGCTGAGGCTTGCATAAACCTCAGAGATTCTCGAGGATGCTTCAAAGCTGGAGTTCATCACAAGAGTCCTGCTTGAACCATCAAAGCAGTAGAAATTCAGTATCACCTGGATATACACTTTGGACTTATTCTGAAGAGGCTCTTCTAGAGAAAAGGTCATCCCAAGTGTAGTCTTATCGTCCATCTGTGCAAAGTCCTGGAACCCAAGATGCTCAAAAACAGTATTTCCGTAAAACCCCAGCTTCCTTACGGCATCAGACGTCTTTGCCTCAACCCGCACTTTGTACGAACTTTTCGTGATTCCCAGACTCACCAAATCAGACTCCAGTCTTGTAAGGGATTCGGGTGTATATACGAAGCTTCTGCCTGCTGTAGAAGCACAGAGTCTAGCGGCCGATGTTTTTTGTGTTGAAAAGACATTTAGTGAGCATCCTACCTCAATGAGTTGCTTCGATATCTCCTCGTGCTCCAGAATATCCTGAACATTAGTAAAGACAGCCACCTTCGACCCTTTACAGTATCCTGCTATGGAAACAGCAATCTTTAGGCAGTCGCCGACGCCGCTCTTGGGCTTTCCTTTGCCAACGGGTATCCTTGAAACATAATCCACCAATAACTTCATCAGCTTTTCATCTTCAACATCCATTAAGAACTCGGGAGAGATGAATGGAAGCTGAAATCTGTCAGGCAATAGAACTTCGGTGATCACTCCGCTAGACGGCTTGATTAGCGAAACAGTGTCAGAAAACAAGACCATCCCTATCTTCTTAAACAGGAACTGGAAGTTCTCGTCTTTGATAAGACGCCCTATTGCCTTGAATGCACGGTCCATTAGTGTTGGGACAGTGATGTCAATTCCAAAAACAAACGCCGGACCATGAACCACCGTAGTCCTGAACAAACCTTCAGAAACTACATTTCCTAACTCAGACTTCTCCTCCTTACCGCCTCTCGTCCTGTCGACATATTCTATTGTGGAGTATCTTGTAATCTCATTACTTATTCCTTCTCTTGCCTGGTTCTTGGAATTGCAGATATTACAGTAGAAGACACTTCCTTCGATCCTGGTGAAAATATTAACATAGCTTTGGCATTGCCAGCATCTTACCGAAATGTTTTTGTCCAGCTCCGTAGCCATGGCCTTCTGGTTGAAAGGATTGAGAACAAGTCCGAAGGGAATCTCCATAGACTCAAATGTGTCTGTGTCCGTGGGAAGAGTGTACATCGTGGATCGTAGCAAGTTAGGATCTGTGTTTGTTGTCTCCGTAATGAAGCAGTTTGTCGTGCTAAGCGGCGGAGGCTGAATCGATGTGTCAAAAGAAAAGAAAGACTCCTGGTCCTTCTCAAGCTCAGACGGAAAGTCCGGGATTTTCATCTTTGGCTTCCTCTGGCTTTCAAAAGCTTTTGGAAATTGCTTGCCCGCCTGATGCATAGCTTGGGATGCAAAATCTCTTGAGTGCATATATATTTGAAGGGCTTTTTGTTTTTTAGTCAAAACGCAATTAAATCGACGAAACCTTAGAATTCATTAGACGGGGATAGAGACCGCATTGATACGGCCATTACAGTCTCTGTCTTCCAAAAATCTTTGCTCACACAGGAAGTTTTCCTATGGGTGTGGGCGGAGGTGACGACTTGAAATAGGGATGCTTTATAGCATCATCGCAGCTGATTCTATTGCACGGATTCAAAGTAAGGAGCTTTTCCAGCAGGTCCAATGCATCAGAAGATGCTGCAGAAAATAGGCCATTCAAAGATGCCTTAGGATATTGTTGAAAATCAAGAAACTCGGGTAAAGTGGAAACTCCCGGCCACTCCCTTTCCACAGGCGTTCCAAGGGCCCTAAAGATCATATCCAGCTGCTGGATGTCTGTATCTCCTGCAAACAGGGGAACTCTTAAAAACAGTTCTGCAAACACACATCCGACAGACCACATATCAACGGGACTTCCATAGTCTCGAGACCCCATGAGAAGCTCTGGCGCTCTATACCATCTAGTTACGGCCTGCGGTGTCATCCGGTTTCCTATCCCCCTGGTAAGTCCAAAGTCAGCCAGCTTAACCATACCTTCAGACGTAATAAGTATATTGTTTGGCTTGATGTCCCGGTGGATTATAAATAGCCTGTGGCACTCATAAACTCCCCTTAGCACCATCAATATCCATGCCTTGATGTCTCCAGGCATGATGATTTTATCTGAATTCCGTATCACATTCTCAAGATTAGTCTCGACATACTCCAGCACTATATGGACACACTTGTCATATACAAAGGTATCTATCAGCCTGACAACATACTTACTATCTATCCTCTTCAGAGATTTGATTTCCCTTATGGCACTTATCTCATGCCCTTGTGTGTATTTGGTCGGCTTTATCTTCTTTATTGCCACAGGAACATCTTCTATTCTCGTGCCCGAACTTACAAGAGGTTTATCCTGAGGAAGGGCCCTGTATCCTAGGTATATCACGGCGTACGTCCCCTCTCCCAATCTCCTTTCCCTGATATATGTCTTCATTCAGGGAAGTGAAAACTAAAAGCTTAAGTACAGTTAAGGCTGTTGTATTTATTGATTTTCCAAAAAAACCCTCTTGTATAGAGACATCATCACCTTGTCCCCCGACTTTATAGGCTGTGAAAAGTATCCTTTGAATGTCCCTTTTGTCCCTATCGGCTTCTTGATGAATCCAGTGATCTTTCTGTTTCTCATGTAGATCTGGATGTTCCGGAAGTACATGACCTCTTCTTTGCTGTTAAACATCCGCTTAACAAGGCTGTATCTCTTCTTGTTCTTGAATGGAATTCCCTGGAGCACCGCCTCCTCAAAAATAACTCTGTCTCCCATAAATCCATTCATCCCAACAGAAGCAAGCGTGGTTGCAGACAACTCCCTTAGAGCAGATTTTCTATATATAAGCACTCTAGACAAACCAAATGATATCGGCCCAATGAAGCTTATGACACCAGATTCGAGCTCTTTCTGTCTTTTAAAAACCTTCTGGTTAAGGTTTTTTGTAATCATTGGGCATATGTCAACAATCTTATGCCCCAGGTCAACTACCATGCTTTCTTCTTTTAAGGGTACCTCTCCTTCAAAGTGAAAGTTGTGTATTGTTTTCCTGTCTTCATACTCATAGCATCCGAAAACCACATATATCTGCTCCTCAATAAGGCCCTCGTACTTAAGCTTTATCCTGACCATCTGCCCATCAGGCATAACGCTGTCTTTTCCAACAACCAGTTTTTCAGCCCTTCTAGAGTCATCAAAAAACACAAGGCTCTTGTAATGCTCAGGGAAACTATACGACCTGAAGCTGCATGTTGAAAGATTTCTTATTCCTCTGTACTCAGAATACTTGTCTATTAGCGAAGGTTGGTCGCCAGCAGAAGACTCATCATCAAGAGCAGATTCGTCATCCTCGTCGTTTTCCTTTGGATCATCCGAGTCACAAGCAGACATTAGGGACTCCTCATCACATTCCCCATCTGCCTCCTCTGCCTCGGAGAAAAAAGTGCCTCCGGCATCAATGCTCACGCGTAGATCTTCTCCTTTGTATGCCCTATCTGCAAAAACCTCCTCAATCGTCATCTCATACTGTCCGTTGACAATCACTTTGTCGCTTAGAAATCCATGCTTTAAAAAACCTTCGACATAAAAATACTCCCCGTCTGAGTATGCATTGCTCGGCACAATATATGGTCTTCTGCAGACCGACGTGTTCTTAATCCTTACATTGCTCAAGGCATCCATTAGCCCGCCTATCTCGACTATTCGCTCCTTCGGGAAATGCCTCCGAACAAACTTCTTGGCTGCATCCCTTAGACTTTGGGTCGATATGCAAAACAGACAGCTTGGAATAAACTTCTTGATTATTTTAAGCTTACTGCCGTCTATTTCGTTGGAGTCGATAAAAAATACCACTATATCGCTTACTCTACAAACATATCCTAGCTGAAACTCGCTAAGCTCATCAGTTCGTTTGAACAAGAAGTTCATCTTACATTCTTCGGAATAGAACAGGCCGCCGTTTCCATGCAAATACTTATCAAAATAACCTTCACACTCCCTTCCCAGTGAAACAACCGAAACCACCACATAGGGCCCATGGGGCAGAGAGTATGGCAACTTAGATTCCTTGATCCTGGCAATACTGCCGATACTCTTCATTTTGGTTCTGTTTCTTCTGTCTCGGGCCTTCATAGACTACTGGGGGATCCCAAATTACGAAAATTTGGCTTTGAAATCAACTAGGCTAACTCCCACGTCCTAAAGCTTTGTATTCCATCCAAATTTATTTCCTCAAGTACTTCTCGTCAAGCATCTGATCAACAGCACCAAAAAAGTCCGATTTCCCGTATCCCGTATACGAGGAAACAGATACCGTTCTTATCGAATTGTAAAACTCCTCGAAATGGAGGGCCATTGAGCCCAAAACAGGAGAAAACATGTCGTCCTCATTCAACGACTCCCGGAATTTCTCATAGTCCGAGATCCATTCCTCGAGGAGTTCGCTCCCAGACAAATCCTTTTTGTTGAAGAGACAGAGCGTTTCAACTTCATATCTGCACATCAGGGAAGCTGCATACATCATGTTTGACATGAACACAGCATGCTTGTGGGAAGACAGGGAGTCAACCGTATATACGAGAATAACATCTCCAATGGTCTTGAGTGTTTCTATTAGCACATATCCGGGGGATGACCATGTAAATGCCTCGATTTGGCCAGGTGTGTCTACAATAACATACTCTTCCACTATCCTGTCAATGTATGTCCCGATATTCAAGAGAAATAGATTCAGACATGTTGTAATTCCCCCATTCGGCCCCAACTCATACTTCTCCATGGTTTCATGGTAGTCCACAACATCCCTTATGTCAAGATTCAATGGCATCTTTGCATTCACAACGGCAGGATCTAGGTTGATTGAGTATATAGATGCATTCAGCCCAGTTGCTGCATCTATTCTGCATTCGTCCTGAGAGATCCATGAGTATAGCCTCTGGCAGAAGGTTGTCTTTCCACTTCCTGCCATTCCAACCACAACAAAAATTTTTCTTCTCTGTATGGCTCCTTCTTTCTTCTCCAACTCCTTTAAGCTCATCTTGGGGATCCAAAGGCCTCTTCATTTCATTGCATTAAGATCTGAGACAAATCCATCACTAAGAAAAACATCACATGCTCGTCCTACCTTTCACAATCTCTTCTATTTTCAACTTCAGCAAGCTGCCTTGCTCAATGCATGCACGGACAAGCTCCTCAGCGCCCTTGGCTATGAGGTTGGAGTCCAAACAACCATCAAAATGTATCTGTGCAACTTTCTTCTTATGGATCATGTATGCCATGTGCAAGGGAAGTAGCCCCTGATCATCCGTAAGTGTGATGCCGTTTTTACCGGCATATACCGTGCTGGAGCAGACAGTGTCGACCATCCCAACACCAGACAGCATCCCGCATATCGAAAACGAATTGACAAGGCACGAAAACAAATCACTCCCATGCTTGACGGTATGAAAAAAGACCTTGATTCTCGTAGACCGCACCTTTGTTGAAAACAGTGACTTGACAATTGAGCTAGCAGGTGAGTGAGTCCACAAAGGAACCACTTCCGAAAAAACCACCTCAACTTGCGGCTCTGTTTCACCCTTCTGCTCAAAATGTATGCTGCATACAACCGATGTTTTATTGGTCTTCAAGTAACAGGACGAAAGGGCCTTGCTTATCATCCCTGTCCTTACTTCCATAAGGGCTCCGTGAAATCGATATGTTGTAGGCCTTGTACAGCACAAAAGATTAGTAATTTCGAAGTGGAGGGCCCTGACTGCCGGCTAATCGAAAACATTCAGCTTTTTGCAAATTCCTTCTATCTCTTCGTAAATATCTTCAAAATGAGGCGATTCATCTACGCCTTTTGTAAAAATTACGTTTTCCGTATCCTCTGCCCGGTATACTGGCTTCACATCAACAAAGTATCTTACGATATCCCCCAGCTTCTCTAGAACGACCTTTATCTCATTCTCGGGGTCGCTGGTTTCCTTTACCGTGCTTATAATCGCCACCTTGTAGCCTTCAGGCGTCGACTTCTCTTCAGATCCCAGCACCACAACAAAGATGTCATTCCTCCTTTTCAACTCTTCTTTCAAAAAGATTATCTGTGCCGAGGAGGCTCCTCTTGTTACACAAACGGGATCTCCTCTTATTATACATATTCCCCTTATGATCTCATACAGTAGCGTGCTTCTCTGGAAATAGGACTGTCCAGAAATTATCTTCCCCGCCTTAATTCTCAAAACATTCTTGTTAACAGGCTCTCGGACCAACACCTCCACGTTTTTTTCGTTCACCTCCAATATCTCTGCATTTATCATTATCTCTCCTCCCTTCGTGCAGCAGCTCCTGGCAAATCCCTGTGCAATCTCGGAAAGTCCATACCTTGGGTATAAATACGGAGACTCCATCGAGTTTTCATAGCATATGATCGACCTCACATACGTTACAATCTTATCAAACGTTTCCTTCGGATGTCTGTCCAGATACGAGTCGTCGAGATTCAGGGCTATTCCATGGCCTATAAGCTCCATCGACTCCTCCGTAAGCCCATATTCCTTGAATTCTTCCCTCATGGTATCCTTGAATTTGTAGGCCTTTCCTTTCGCCGCCTCCCTAGCATAGTCTCTTACGTTCCAGAAAAATCTCATAACCTTCGGCTTCTGCCATATCCCTATCAGTCCTGTTGTCATGGACTGAGCCTCGTTTGTAGGAACAGGGTGCAGTTTCTTCCTCCACAAAAAAGACCCGGGAATTCTGCAGAACTCCAGGTATTCATCTATGCCGTATCTAACCAGCATCTTCAGCATCTTGCTGTCTGCAAGAAACAACTTCGGCGTCAGGTCAATAGAAAACTCGGTGTCATAGACCTCCAGCTCTGGAGCAATACTTGGGCTTTGGAAGTATGTCTCCAGTTCTGTATACCTAAGTGTCGCAAAATCCGATCCATACATCGGGTTCCTATCCAATAGAATAACCCTTTTATTCTTTCGAGCCAGGATGCACCCAACTGCACACTCAACCAGTCCTGTTCCAAGAATAACAAAGTCGTATTCGTGCTCGGCAATCATTCAGGATTTGTTTTTATTTTTCTCAATTGTAATTATTCAACTTTCTTCGATAAACATAGAAGAAAAGATATATTTAGTAATGGACAATGTCCAGGTGGGTCCTTGCAAGCATTCCGCAGAATATATCCTTCACTAAAGCCCTGGTATTGCTCCACCATCGGAATCGTTTTCTTCGTCGACAAATCCTCCGACGGCGGGCTCGTTATTCTCATCAGGCCTGGGCCTGACCCAGAACCTCACACTTTGGTCCACAGATCCTGACGCCAGAATATGCCCTACTGGATGGTAATCCAGCGACCACACCGTGCCTTCATGCCCTTCTTCAATAACTTCTAACGGCACTTGGGTATACGCCTGCCAAAAGTAAATCCCCCCCTCTGTACCTCCGCTAACAAATATGTCTGGAATGCACGGATGTGTCCCTATCGATGTAACCTCTTTCTTGTGATTCTTGTAGGTAAACACGTCAGTCATTGTTCGAATGTCTACCATCTTTATCACCTGATCTTTTCCCCCCGTAAGAAGATAGTTCTCGTCGCCCATCCACTTTAAGGCCAGTATTGTGTTCTTATGATGATGTAGGGTGCATAGCTCCTCTGCAGTCCGCGGGTCCCACATTTTGACAAGGTTATCTTTTCCAGCACTAGCTATCAGCGACTTGTACTTGTGCCACTGTGCTGCCCTTACATCCCAGTTATGTCCTCTGAGGACAGACTCCTCTTTTGCTTCTATCGAGTCCCAAATCTTTATTGTAGAGTCATCAGAGGCTGAACAGAACTTACTATCGTTATGGGAAAACGAGAGATCCCGAACTGCCTCGGTGTGCCCTTGTATTATCTGTATGTTATTCATCGATGGATGCCAATACTTAATTATTCCAAAGTTGTCGGAGGATATCAAGAATAAGCCCGAGGGCGACCATTCCATTCCCCTAACAGGAGACTCATGTGCTTGGAGGATGGTTTCAAAGTTGCATCCATATCCGTTCCAAAGCGTAAACTCGCCCGTTGCCGTGCCACTCATAAGCCTTCTCCCATCAGGAGTCCACCTAACAATGTTTACAGGGCATTTGACCTTATTGACGCTGACATGCTCGATCTTCGTGGTAAACAAGCTGGATATGTCGTTATAGCATAACTCAGGAGATTTCAAGTTGAGAATCTGAGGAGACAGATCAAAGCTTGTATTGACTTGGAGCGGACTAAGTCTCCTTTTGACCCTTTGGATGCAAATCCCCGAGGTGTAGTCAACTACTTTCCTTTCCTGCAGAACCCTCATCCTCTTCCCGTCGTAGACAAACTTCGGGTTTTGGAACCTAGCGCTTATCAGCTCCTTTATATTCACTCCGTCCTCATTCATTTGAAATAGCGCAGGAGGGGCTCAGCAATAAAGTAGACATATAAGAAGCATACATGTTTAATGGGTAGATGATACTAGCACAAAGCATCTCAGCTCTTGGCCTTCTTCTGAATCTCATCCTCTTGCTCGTGGATCTTCTGCTTGTTGTTATAGCTGAAGACCCCCTTTCTACAGAAATACGTCGAAAACGACACCTCACAATCATCATTCTTTTTCCTCTCTGCTTTTTGCATAAACTTCAATCCCTTCAGTTTCTCGCTGATTCCAGCCATTCTGGGACCAAAATATTTCCAATTATGAACCTCTCCGCTACTCCAGAAAAAACTCTATTACGCTGTTAGCACTCCTCCTGGGTATCTTCCTTCCATCCACTTCAAAGCCATAGAGCTTATCTCTCCCATCAACTTCTAGCCTCCTGATCAGCTCCCCGATTGTTTTGTAGTGTTCAGCGAGTGCATAAGCCCTCCTGTGGCCCATTCCTTTGATTGAAAGCAGAGACATATAAAGGAGGTAGGTCAAGGTCCTTCCTTTTCCCTTGGAGCTCCTATCAATAAAGCTTCCATAGCTCATCTCCGTCTCCTCGCCCACATTCATACTGATATTTAGGTGGCCATCACGTTCCCTGTGGTCTTCTGTTCCTTCCATGGCCTTTGCCTTTTTTTCGCACTCTCCTCTCACTTCACGATCTATCATATGAATGACGGAGCTTGTCTGGACTATGTCCCTTGTCTCTATAACAATAAACCCCTCCAGTTTCGTTGCAGTCAAGCACGACATCACAAGCTCCTTCCCCACCTTCTGCATATGGATGTTCTTCAACCCTTCTACAACATAGAAAATTCTTCTTATCCCGCTATTTCTTAACCTATTCTTTTGCTCCTTAAACCTTCCATCCATTATGCTGCTCACAAAGTCGCTTCCTCTTTTCCTTTCTATTATCGAGCTGCATACCCTCTCACCCCTAACCCAGAGAAAGTCCCCAGCCTCGAGAACCCTGGTTTCGTGCTTAACCTGCCTCAACTCAAAGTATTCTTGGAAAAATAGCCTGGATCTCCTATTCTTGATTTCCCTAGCATCTATTATAAGCGTAACCTCTTCCTCCTCCTCAACAACAGATGTATTTGCAAACATAGTTGTTGCCAGCTCTCTCCCCTCATCCGTGAGATAAAATTTCGATCTTCCCTCTCTATATACAAGTCCCTTTTTAACCAGTGTCTTCATGGAGGACCAAGCTGAGTGCCTGGAGACAAAGTCAAACTCGGCATCGCAGTAGTTTCTTCCTATCTGTGCTATCTCATGCTTAGTAACCCCTTCTCTTATCCACAGCGCTTTCATTATCGCATAGCCCCCTGTTCTATATCCCGGGATGTACTTTCTCCTTCTACAAGCGTAGTCCTTGGCCCCCAAGCAGGGCCCATCCCTACATCCATGGTCTTCAACGCTTCTACCCACCAACCTTCTTTTCGCATCATCATAGGCAGCTGGTGAAATGATATTTAGATACCTTTCAAGGTCGCTTTCTGTCTTTATGTTTTCTACAACTTTTTTATCTATAAACTCCTGAATCTTACCAATTACCTTATCTCCGCCCCACTTAATGCTCTTCAGACTACTCAATGAATGCAGAGGCCCTTCAATCTTGTCTAGCTCCTGGGCCATCTTCTTGTAGCAGTATCTCGACTTCATGTTTCTTGATGACGACAAGCGATGCAGAGAGTTCACTGCAGACCTTATCAGCCCCATCAGATCAGGCTGAGTCTCCGGCGTCTTCATCCGGGGATACGGGTACTAAGCATTTAAAAAGCTACTTGGTTTTATTCATCTCATCCTCAATCAGTTTGATTCTCTCAATCACGGTGGGATGTGTATGAACAATTGCTGCATAAAGCGGATCCGGCTCCATGTTGCTGCTGTTCTTTTCGAAAAGCTTGACCAGCCCAGACGAAAGCTCTTTCCCATATCCAAGTGACACAGAAAACCTGTCTGCCTGGGCTTCAAAGTACCTGGATATGAAATTCCTTAGCACATCAACGGGAACACTGAAGGCCCCAATTACCATAAGGAAGTAGATGCATCTTATCAGCAACGGCAGATCTTTTCCTAACACAACATCCCCAAAGAGTTTGGAGTTCAATGAAACATTCAATACATACAGATACAGCAGCTGGATGAGAAGGACAAGGGATGTCATCTTTACAACATGGTTATGCTTCCAATGTCCAAGCTCGTGACATAGAATAGCAAGAGTTTCCTCCTCATCCACTTGTTTCAGCAAAGTGTCGTATATCACAATCCTTTTTTCCTTGGTAAGTCCTATGAAGTAGGCATTAGAATGCCCAGACCTCTTCGATGCATCCATTACCAGTATCTTCTTGGCACAAATTCCAACCCTTTCAGCCAACTTCTCGATCTTTGTCTTGAGATTGGACTCCTCCATCTCCTCAAACTTGTTGAACAGAGGTTGAATGGCAATCGGATATACGATGACGAGCCCTATCTGGAAAACAGCCATGAAGACCCACAGATAGATGTAGAAAGACGTCTTATAGTACTTCTTGATGATGTTTGTTGAAACATAAGAAAAAGGCCCGAATAGAACCGTGATTATAAGTGACATCTTCAGGAAATCCATCAAAAATGTCGAGAGTGTTGTCTTGTTAAATCCATGCTTAGCCTCGATGTAAAACGTCGAAATAACTCCAAGTGGGAGGTCAAAAAGCCTCTGGAGATGAGCATATCCCACCAAGAACAAGGCATCTCCGTACCAGCTGCCCATAAAGTGCTTGGTGTACACATTCTCAAGCACTCCCCTTTTGATCAGATAAAGGTCTCTCATAAGAAGAAGAGTAAGCTCAAAGATCGACATGATTAGCTTGTCTCTGTTATACGCCTTGGTTTTCTTTACCTGCTCGAGTGTTGTTAGCTTAAGGTATACCTTGGATGGTGGCTTGGATAGCTGTCTTAGCTCGCGGACTTTCAGGTAAACCACAAAGAGATAGCTCATTATAGAGATGCCCAACAAAAAACTTCCTTTCATTTAAGGGCTGCACCAATTGAAAATAAATGCGCTTCGTCCGGGCATAGAAACCGTATATTTTCCATCAGTGGCGCAATATCACATAGGTCACTTCCATTTTTGGATTATTTCGGAATCTATCAGAAACTTCACCATTATATATATACGATGAAATTATAGATCAACGCTTTATATCAATCTTAATAAAATTATAGATCAACGCTCTATATCAATCTTGATAATCATACATATAAAACAAAGTGTTTTACACCAAACAACATGAACTTCACCTGGTGGATGAGATGGACTCTTGTCCCTCTTACCATACATGCAGCAAAAAGGCCATCGAAGATGCCCAGGATGGACACCAATCCCTGTGTTAGCAGGAAGTTGCTTGAGGCTGCATTCGAAAACAAAATTACCAAGGACAGCAAATACTTAGTGGACAAACTCTTTTTGAAACCTCCTGAGGAAATTGATGAAATGCTTAGAAGCATGGAATCTGAAGGCAAGTTCTTTAGGAGCGAAGAGGATTTCTGGAATTTCGTGGGGATGCATTCTATCGAGCCGGGATCGGAATTCATCTTTGCCAAGGATAACGAAGAGCTTGAAGCGAGCATGTTCAGTGGTGTTCCGGAATATGTGAGTAGGCTTGAGGAAAGGCTATTAGAGCCCAATCCGCAGAGAGAAAGTGAAGGGTTCAAGCAAAGCTTAGAAACCCTCGTTAGAGTTTCTAAAGAGCTTAATGATGCATGGAAGAACCTCTATGTAAAGCAGAGAGATTTGGATAAGGGATATTACTCAACTATGATAAAAGTCAAGAATCCGTTCGTCATCCCTGGAGATAGATTTAAGGAGTGTTACTACTGGGATACATACTGGATAATAGAGGGCCTGGTCAAAAGCGGGATGCACAAAATTGCCGTGGGCATGGTCGAGAATTTCATTCTCTTAATAGAAAAGTATGGATTCATCCCTAATGGAACGAGAACGTACTACCTAAACAGAACCCAGCCTCCATACTTCTGCATGATGCTCTTTACCGTTTATAGACACGTTCCATGGACAGAGGAGGTGGAGGAGATTATAAAAAGGGGACTGAAGGCAGCCGTAATGGAGTATAACTTTTTCATGAACTACAGAAAGGAAGAGATCGAGAAAGATGGCAAGTCATATGTGCTTAATGTTTACAGGGTTTCTGACTGCACGCCAAGGGCAGAGTCCTATAGTGAAGACAGAAAGGTGGCGGAAAATAACAAAAGTAAGGACGAGGTGTATAGAAGAAGAGAAGAGGACATTTACTCAAACCTTAAGGCTGGAGCGGAATCAGGATGGGATTACTCCTCCAGATGGTTAGGTGTTCGTGGAGAGCTCGACTCGATAAGAACTTCTAAGAGGGTTCCCGCAGACTTGAATGCAATAATGTATGCCAACGAACTTATAATAATGAAGTTATTTGAAGTAGTTGAAGGCAAGAGGTCAAAGAATGCCGAGGACTTCAAGAAGAAAAGCGAGGAGAGGTACAGGGCAATCAATGCTGTTCTATGGAGCGATGAGGAGGGTGTGTGGAACGACTACGATATCGAAAAAAAGAAGCACACATCACCAGGCTTCTACTTCTCAAATCTGGCGCCAATGTGCTATGGAATCAGCCCTCCGCCAGACAAGAACATCACTGTTTACGATATTTTGAATGCCTTTGCAGAAGAGATATTTGGACACCCTGGAGGAATGCCAGCAAGCGGATCTAAAAACAAAAACAGCCCCGAGCAGTGGGATTATCCGAATGTATGGCCCCCTCTTGTGCATATAATGACGTTTTTCCTGGAAAGGATAGGCGAGCGGCAAATGGCATTGCATCTGGCAAGGTCCCTCTTAGAAAACATATCTGTTTCCACATCCATTTCCGATGTGACAAGGAGAGGGATCTTTGAAAAATATAACTGCGAAAGAGTCGGGGATTCTGGGTACAAGGGCGAGTATGCACCTCAGGTTGGATTTGGCTGGACCAACGGATCTGCCATCCATTTTCTGGAACACTTTTCTTTCGAGCTTGCTTCTACAAAATCTCATGCAGTGTCGTATCAAGAAATTAAGGATTTAATGGAAAAGAAGGTGGCTAGTAGAGAAGTTCCCAGAAAACATACCCCAGAAAACTGTCTTCTTCTGGAAGATAAACTCTGGGACATAGAATCGCACTCGGAAGGGCCCAATAGCTCCAGCGGACGGCCTCATCCTGTTGTACCTACTACGGTATGATTAAAGATAGTGCAGTGTATTCTCAGCCTCTTATTTCCTTCTCTGTATTCAAAAGTCACAACAGAGCCAAGATTTCAGGTTAATAACTTCTTCCAAATAGGGTATAATGCACAGCCTGGCTGTTACAGTTGATACATTTCATCCCATCACAGGGCTTTGATCCATAGGGAATACACAGGGTTTTTGCCCCTGTAGAAACAACATCGCTGCGAGGGTCTGCCCTTGTGCTTCTAGACTTGATCTCAATCTCGCACTCGCTGATGCCGCACCATGGTGCCATTATTATGTTTTTATTGTCAAGAGCAGACATAAACTCCTCAAAGCTCTTGACATAAGAAATCCTGCTGTCTCTCTCTGAGGTAGCCCTGGCGAGCATATCGTTGTGCATCGTGTCAATTTCTTCCATTACTGTATGAGCAATACCCTCTACAGACACTTGCTTTTTGGCGCGGGTGTCTCTCCTTACTAAGCAGGCCTCCGAGCTTGCCATATCCTTGAATCCAATCTCCAGTCTTAGTGGAACACCTCTTATTTCCCAGTGGTTGAATTTGAATCCAGCCGTTACATTACTTCTATCGTCAAGATGCACACGAACTCCAGAGTTCTTGAGTTGAACACACACTCCATTGATGTATGCCCTTAGACTCTCGGTATCATCCTTTGACGATGCAGTCGTTATTCCACATGGAACAATAACAACCTGAGTCATAGCTACCCTTGGAGGGAGTACCAGCCCAAGGTTGTCCGAGTGTATCATCGCCGCAATTCCGATCGATCTTGTTGTTATCCCCCAGGAATTCTGATAGACAAAGCTGCTACTTTCAGACCCTTCATCCGTATCAGCCTTGATATCGAACATCCTGGAAAAGTTCTGTCCAAGAGAGTGCGATGTTGCAGCTTGCACTCCTCTGCCAGACCCAGGAATAAAAGCCTCAATTGACGTGGTATAATCAGCACCACCAAACTTTTCATTCTCAGACTTTCTCCCCTTTATCACGGGAACAGCGAGAAGCTCGGAGTATATCTGGGAGTACAGGTCTAGGATGGCCAACACCTCTTCATCCGACTCCTTCCTCGTCAAAAATGCCGTGTGCCCCTCCTGCCACAGGAACTCCTTTCCCCTTATGAATGGAAGCGTCCCATGCAGCTCCCATCGAAGTACACTGCACCATTGGTTCAGCTTGAGAGGAAGGTCCCTGTGACTTCTTATCCATTTTGAAAATGATGGATATATTATTGTCTCCGAGGTGGGTCGCACTGCAACAGGATCTTCCAAAACCTGATTTCCACACTTTGTGATCCATGCAACCTCAGGAGAGAAGTTTTCCACATGGTCTTTCTCCATTTCAAGCATCGACTTCGGAACCAGCATGGGGAAGTAGCACTCCTGAACCCCAAGTTCCTCGATCTTCTTGGTAAACCATTTGTGGATGCATTTCCAAACGAACTGCCCGAGAGGACGCATCACATAGCACCCCTTTATTGCATAGTAGTCGATCATCTCTCCCTTTGTTATGACTTGTACATACCACTCAGAAAAATCCTCTTCCTTCTTCGCCGTTAGTCCGAACTTTTGTTTATCCATGGTGGGACGTAGATAATTAATAATATTTATATGAACCTTAAGACCTTTCCAAAACATAGACGCGCAGGTATTACATATTCACGTCTTATTTCTTCCATTTCCGGCTATGCATAAATTGTCCCTCTATAGGAAACCCGCGTCCTATTTTGACTAAAACCATTTCCACCTGAAACGTCCCTTATGACGAGAAAACCGACATCAGACAGACTATCGTCTACTAGATCGGAAAACTCACTCTACAACCTCACCAGGAGATTTCTAAAGCTTGTAAGCATGTCTCCAGATCGGAATGTGAGTATCCACCAAGCATCCATAGAGCTGAATGTGGGGAAGAGGAGAATATACGACATAACGAATGTGTTGGAGGGATTGGGTCTTCTGAGCAAGTGGTCCGTGAGCAATGCAAAGTGGATTGGAGGAAATGTCGATCGATATATACTCGATGGCGAGGAGAAGGAAAACAAGGAGAATCACAGACTAGATCCAGAGGGCATATTGAGGGGAGATGATCTGGATGCAACTCTCTGCAGGCTCAACGAGGAGATCTCGATGCTTTCACAGTCGGAAAAGAATCTTGCAAATGCATACGTTACGTATGCCGATTTGCAGCGTCTTCCCTCTCTGGACGGCAGCCTTGTTTTTGCAGTTAAGGCACCTTCGGAAACAACTATGGAGTATCCTAGGTATGAAAAGGGCTTTTATAAGCTCAAGCTGAGTTCCGAGCAGGGAACCATAAACATCTTCTATGTCTCTGATGAAAAGAAAGATTAAAGTTTTCTATATTTGTGCTGCTGCGTTAAGCCCCACCGACAGAGCCTCAAGTAATGACTGATGGGAGAATCCTGGTGGTTGGCTGTGGAGGGATAGGATGTGAATTGTTGAAGTTGTTAGCCAGAGAAAAGCTGGAGAGCATAACGTTGGTGGATAGTGATACCGTTGACCTTTCCAATCTCAACAGGCAGTTTTTCTTCAACAGAGACGACATTGGAAAAAGCAAGGCGACAGTGGCTGCAGGGATTTTTAAGAAGCTAAACGAGAGGTGCGATGTCTTTCCAATATGTGCAGACATTACAGAGTTTGATGCAAGGTTTTTTGCAGGGTACAGGACTGTATATAGCTGCCTAGATAACATTGAGGCACGAAGCTATGTGAACCAGAGATGCTTCATTTCCAGAACACCGCTGGTGGATGGGGGATGCGGTGGGTTCAAAGGACAGGCATACTACTTTGACTATAACTCGGAATGCTTTGACTGCATTCCAAAAAAGGTCTCAAGGGAGCACTTGGTATGCACCATTCGCTCGAGGCCTACCAATTTCGAACACTGCATCGCATGGGCGAAGCATGTGTTTCTCGGAATGAGATTCCGAGTGGATGGAGATTGCCAAGATTTCTATCAAAGGCATTTAAAAGCGATTGTGGAAAACTGTGAGGACATGTCGACTCCAAGCGATCTGGAGAAGTTTAGGAGCTGTAAAGACTATAAAGAGAGGACGGAGAAGATTGTGGAGATCCTGAAGAACCTTGATTTTGGCCCCTTTGACAAGGACAACAGAAACACTCTGGAGTACATCTACAATGTAGCCTATATACGAGGAAGATGCGCAGGTGTTGAGCCTACATCGTTTGAGGAGGCGATTACAATAGCAGGGAATATAGTTCCATCCCTAAGCACAATAAACTCAATAGTTGCATCTTTGATGATCCTGTCTGCTAGGAACAAGTGCAACTATTATTCGGTCGACAATGGAAATGTCATTAGCAGACTAGAAACATGTGCCAAAGATCCTGGGTGTCCCACTTGCTCCCACCATTGGTATGGAATTCTCTATGACGGGGCTCTATCTTTCAGAAAGCTAATCCAGCATTTCCATAATCAGAGCCTAGATCTGGTTGCATATTCCGACAAGAAGCTGTTCCTCACGCCTGATATGGTGGAATGGCTGGACAGGGACATCGAGCTCGAAAACAATACCATTGGGGAGGCCATATGCAGATTTGGGAGCAAAAAGATAAAGGTCGGGCTATATTTTCTGCGAGGAGAAGGAGTCTTTTACTTCGGAAGAATATACACGGCAAGGCTGAAGGAAAGTCTATCCTGGGCTTCTCGATAAATATTACATGAAAATGTCTGTCTATTTGATGCAAATAAACACGTCTGCTTTATGTTGAGTTTGAACACTTGAACTTATAAAAGACCAGCAACGCGCCCAACACAGGGGTATGTCTGTTGAAAGTATTAAAAGGCTTGTACAATGCGAAAACGAAGCCAAGGAAAGGTTGGAAAAGGCGCGCAGGGAGCTCGAGGAGATGAGAGCACAGGCAAGAGACGATGCAAGGCTAATGGTCGAGGGTCTTAATAAAGAAAACGTGGAAAAGCTTCTTCTACTGGAAAAGGAGGTTGAGGAATACATAAAGATGGTTGACGAAAAGCTGAAGCAAGAGCTTGAGATGAAGATTAGGGAACTTAAGAACATTAAGAACAGGAAGAATGTTGTTTCTGCCCTGGTGGAGCATGTTTCGGGTGCAAATGGGAAATAAATTCTTTGTTTGTTATGCTTTGCAGTGACCTGGGGATCACCCTTCGGACATATATCAGGATCGTTCTTTAGACCAGAAGATGGGGTTTGAAATCCAGAGCACGTTCAAGGCAAATGTGTTTGTATGCACTACAGGAATTTCAAAGGATGAGAAGGAGCTGATAAAAAGCCAGCTTCCAAAGCATGTGATTCTAGAGGATGTGCTATCGATCTCCACAAACTACCTGGCCACCTACAAAGCACTGATGACTGAAAAGTATGTCCAGGCCTTGAAGTGGAACATAAGGATTCTGCACATTGGGTGGCTATACAACACAGACGAAAGCACGAAGAAGTACGAAATGGCTCCATTTGAGGGATCCAACTTTACGATCTCGGAGATTTCCGATGACTCTCTTGTTAACTACCACTGCTTGCTCGGAGCATCGTTCACGGAGAATCTCACAGTATCGACAGATTTTGTTGTTACCAACTTGAAGTCCAGCGACAAAGCAGAGTTCTGTGAGAAGCATGGAATCCCAATAATTACATCAGAATCTGTGTTTGGAAGTGATTACAGCATATATAGAAAGGAGCCTCACTTTAAGGCCATAGAGACAGGCAGCGGACTTGCATTTGATGAGAAGGTGTTTTTTCTTGACCCAAGGCTCCCTAAGATACTCTTTAACCGCCTTAGAAGATTGATTATATCGAACGGAGGAACTCGAGTGTCTACTATTGATAGAGATGTCGACTTCATAATGACGCAGTCCTATGGTGACTTTGAGAAGCACGGCGGGAAAGTTTACCACTATCAATATGTGTTTGATTGCATCGAGACCAATGCCGTTTTATTTCCTGGACCTTATAGAGTGTACTTTAAAAAGAGCAGGGCTGTTCTGGGCGACGCAGTGTGCTGCATTGACAAAAGCCTTGAAGAGCAGAGGGTGCCGGTGTTTAATAAGTTAAGGGCGCTAGGTGCCATTGTCAAAGAAGACGTTGATGTGAGCTGTACCCATTTGATAGTGAAAGACAGGAGTGAATACAGAGAAAACAGGCGCACTCCATACAAGGTTGTATTGCTCCCGTGGATTGATCAATGTCTGCACCTTCTGAAGCATGTGAAAGAAGATAAGTACAGCATAGGAGTAGAAATACCAGGCTTCTTCTTGGAAAGCAGACAGAACAGAGGCATCAAAAGAGCGGGAGCTCCTGTTCCTAGATCCATGCTGTTTCAGTTCACAGGACTGTCTATGTCCCTAAAAAAGAAAGCGATTGAGAAGCTCGAGAAGCTAAATTTGAAGTACAGCGATGCAGACAGATATGAGAAGTGCACCCATCTCATTATGGGCACAGTGTGCACCTCTGAGAAGCTGTTGTCATGTTTGTGCAACGGGGGATGGGTTCTTAGGCCGGACCTCATAGACAGGCTCGACAGTACTCCGAACTTCGATTTTAGCGAGTACGAGTGGACTGTGGACGAAAACACTCCCGAGAAGGAGAGGAAGATTGTGGCTTCCATTAGGAAGTGGAGGGAAAGAGTGGCCGCCACTGGAAAGCCAGCATTCCACAGGTGGATCGTCAGGTTATACTGCGATGACCAAAAGAGGAAGAGCTATATAAGGGTCATTGAAAGCGGAGGGGGGATGGTTACAGAAGGAGATGAATATACGCACTGCTTTGTCTCGAAGACCTACAAAGGAGAGGTCCCTACAGAGAAGAGATATAGCACCGACTACATATTTTCGCACCTGTTTCGGTAAGCTTAGATTGGGGTTTTTACTTTTGGATTTAACCCTGGATAATGATTTTCGACTATGGGATTTATTTTTCAAGAAAGGTTTCTGTCTGTTTGCATGAGGGATGCATACTAATAGGAAGCAGAACTACTTTCACGGTCGTTAAGGTTGAGATTGCAGACAGGTGCCATCTGTTTCTTCATCCAGGTGCTAAGAGAAAAAGGTCGTATATAGAAAGGATTGCTTCGGACCCTCGTTTGATCCTAAGAAGCAGTGGAGATCCAAAGGTGAACTTGAAGCTGTATGTGTCCTTTGTCACTGGGGGCAAGTATAGACCAAGCATTCGAGGAAACAGAAGACAGAAAATGATCGGGAATGCCATTGAAGGGAAGAAGGCCACATGGAAGGATATAGCTGCTAAGGATGTTTATGGATATGATAAGCTGTTAAGTGTGCTGGGCATAGACATGGACCTGGGTCCCTTGGCGGGCCTTAAAAGAAAGATAATGAACATGCTTAGGCATGTTAATGACGAAGAGAATACAGCAGACGAAAGAGAAACCATCCGCCGCATTCTTAGGAATGAGAGTGATCCCCCCGGGAAACTCACCTTTGCTCTTATGGCCCACTACGATTTCTGCACCAAAAATGAGGTATTCTCCTTTATGGATGAACTAGGCAAAGAGTATGGTAAAATGCTTGACTTGATCCTTTACGACAGGTTAGAGAGTTCAGTAGAGGAGTGCAGGATAGATCATCCGTTTTATAACGAGGTGGCTCTGTTCAACTCGTTTGTAAAATGCAAGGACGACATCCTGCACTTTGATAGAAAAGCCTTGGAAAAAGATGTGTTTCACACCATCAACGAAAGAGGAATCAGGGACTTTATTACGAAGAAGGTGGAAATGTTTTATGCATCTGGTGGAGGCCTTATTAAATAGTTAATTAAAGTATCTGATTGGCAAGTGAAACATGTTTCAGATGTGGCTTAAAAAAGAAGAAAAGGCAAAACATGATGAGGAAGACAAAATACCTCGAGATCTCCACAACTCTCCTGATATTCATGCTGAGTATAGTCATAAAAACCTACAAAATAGAAAACGGAGACTTTGTTATTTGGGATGAAGCCCACTTTGGAAAGTTTTCCGAAAAGTATTTGTCCAGAAAGTTCTATTTCGATGTCCATCCTCCCTTGGGGAAGATACTGACCTCACTTGGGGGGTATCTCTTCAACCAGCCACTGGACTTTGAATTCAAATCCGGCGAGAAATTTCCTCCAGGGTTTGATTATTCTGGGATGCGAAGATTTCATTCTATTATAGCATCCTTTACACCCGTCTTCGGATATCTTATGCTTAAGGAGATGAGGTACTCGTACAGGCGTAGGCTGCTTCTGTCCATGGTGTTTCTATTTGAAAATGGATTTACATCCATTGGAAGGCTGATACTTCTGGACTCACACCTTTTGACATTTACGGCTGCAGTAGCGTATTTTATGACCAGAGTGTATTTTAGGTCCAGAAAGACGATACATCTTCCTTCTGTGTTTCTCTTAGGCCTGACTTTAGGGTGTGTGCTGAGCATTAAGTGGATAGGATTTCTTACTATGGGGTTGGTTGGAATATTTACAGTTTACCAGCTGTGGTGCAATGCCATCTCGAAAGAAAGCATTCTTGTGCTTGTGAAACTATTCTTCATGAAAGCGTTCTTTCTGATCGGCATCCCAGCATCTCTGTATGTTCTCCTATTCTATGTTCACTTCGAGATAGTCAACAGAAGTGGGAGCGACGATGGGCATATGAGCTCACTTTTCCAGGCAAGTCTTAAAGGCAGCAGCATTGGCAACAACAGGAAATATCCTCTGTTCGGTACAAAGATAACAATCAAGTCTGCTAAGACCGGGGGAGGATATCTCCACTCTCACAACCACAAGTATCCAGACGGCGGAAACAACCAGGTGACGATTTACCATCACAAGGATGAAAACAATGAGTGGCTGTTCCAGAAGGTGACTGACGACTTAGAGGATGCCGAGTTTATAGAATCTGGAGATACGGTAGTTCTATTGCACATGGAGACAAGGAAGTATTTAGACATTCCGGGCACCCATTCTCTCATCTCGAGGGGACTGAGGGCAGAGTCTTCAGGAAACCATCTTTCCGAAACAAATCTGTTTAAGATTGAAGTAGTGGACGACGCTTTAGAGAAAGAGAGCAGGATAAAAACCCTTACCACCAGATTCAGACTGCTAAACATTAAGCACAACTGCTATCTTGGACCCTCTTCTAGAAAATATCCCTCATGGGGGTTTGAGCAGGGGGAGGTCATCTGCACCACAAAAAAGGACGAAGCTACTCTCTGGAATGTCGAAGAAAACAATTCTGATAAGCTAAGCAAGGAAAGGAATCCTGTGTACAGAGAGATCGCAAGATATCCATTTATCAGGAAGTTTGTGGAGCATAACAAGGCCATGTTTATTACAAACGCCTCTTTTGTCCAGGACGAGGATCTGGAGCCGGAGAGAATTGTTTCAAGGCCGTATGAATGGCTTATTCTCAGAAGGGGACTAAGAATGACTTCATGGGACGGGCGGACCGAGAAGTTCTACATGTTTGGAAACCCGCTCATATGGTATTCGTCAGGGGTCTGTGTGATTCTTTCTCCGGTGATTCTTCTCTCCAGAATCATTAGGCAGAGGCGGAGGGGAAAGCCCTTGGCATTTCTGAGGGGTGAGGGCTACATAGTCTTCTTATCCTGTTGTGGATGGCTCCTCCATTATATCCCCTTCTTCTTTGTTAAGAGAGTATTGTACTTCCACCATTACTATCCTGCCCTCTTTTTTGCACTGTTTTCTCTGTGCTATGTTATGAAGTTTGTACGACTCAGGCTTGTGGCTGTGTTTGTATCCGCTGCAATCACATCCTTTTTTCTCTACTCCAGGCTAACATATGGATTTGCAGAGGAAACCGAATTTCTTAGAAGAATTAGCATAATCCCCACCTGGGACTTTATAGAGAAGGAACAATAAATCAAGATATATACTGAACGCCTCTGTTCTATTGGAGCATCTGCACCTCTATGTCATTTCCCACGGCCTTGAGTTGAATGTTCTTCTCATTGGCAAGATGAAGAAGAGAAATGAAGCAAAGATGCACAGATATGTCCTTTGATTCCTCTCCATTGTATACCTTAGGTATGCCTTCAAATATGGAAAGCAGGCTGGTGCTTCCGCCTTTAACAGAGTCAAGCACACTGTCTTTCAGCTTTTTGATGTTGACTTTCTTAGGAGTCTTTCTGAATGGAATGGGCATCTTCTGGCTCCCCTGAGAAGGGATGTCGGCCACAAATTCATCTTCTGGCTCCTCTATGACGCATGAAGCGGGGGAATGGTCGATGGACATCTCCTCTTCTGCACTGGCCTGGTCCTTTTTGTAGAAGAGCCCATCCCTTACCAGATATCTATATAGGTCTTCAACTTCCAGCCTAAAGTCTTGAGGCAGTGTGTGCCGGCTTTCCCTGCGCTCCACTATAAATGCCGGATCAAAAAGGGTGTTTCCAGGCTCCAGCATGCCTTCGTAATCAACTGTCTCCGTAAAGTCCAGAAAGGATGCTTCCTTTTGTTTTTGGGTCCCGCTCCGCCCTTTTTTGGCCTGTACTTTCCAGTGGTTTGGCCCGGCCCATCCCTTAAAATAGGAAAATGAATTCTCCTTGTAAACAGGGTTTTGGTTGCTGCTGGGAGGTAGGATCTCCGGAAGCTCAAAGTTGTCACCGCTGAACCCAGCATGCTCGTCGGAGACCTCTGCATCATTATCTACTATGGGCTCCATAACTATATCCCTTATCTCTTTGTCTTCACTTATGCTGGGGGAGATGAGCAATCCCTTCGGAAAGTCCATGGACATCTTGAAATCATCCACAATTACAGTTCCCTCATCCCTACATGATGACATTCTAAGTACTCCATCTGACGAAATACCAAGGGAATCGATCATCAGGGTATTTTCTGGTAACGATGACAGATATAGGAACTTCGGATCAACACATCTCCTTGATGAGCTCACCTTAATGTTCAAGTTGCAAATGTTCTTCTCTATTGTTACTTTGTTTACTTTCTTGCCCTGTTTCTTTCTGGCCTCTTCTCTCCCAGAGCCTTCTAGAAGCCTCATTGCATTTTCAGACACATCGTCGACGCGCGTTGAATAGACCTTAGCACACCCATCCAGCGTGCAGCTGGCCTTCTGAAAGTTAATTCCCTGCCTCTCTCGGAACTCATCTATATTTGTAAAGTGATCTATCAGGGTCGACTTCCACGTGTTTTTTGTGGTGATTTTGTTCTCGGCAGCCGCCTTGAGCCAGGTCCCTAGGTCATCGTTAGACATCAGGGGCTAGAAGAGGCAGTGTTTTGACATTGGAAACTGCGGCCGTCCGAAGCTGAAGAATATTCTCAACCCAAGATCCCATGGACGAGAAGCTTAAGGAAGTCTCGAGGCTGATGAAGGAGATAAAGGTGAAGATCGAAGCAATAATCCAAAGCAGTGCCCATGTCAGGGAGTTTAATTACAAGATGGAGGCGTTGCTGGCAGCTTTTGAGGCATATACGGTACATGGAGTCAGACACGATCCGGAAGTTCCCAGGACTCCGATGCCCATAGTTCCATCTGTGGAAAGCATAGTTAAGGAAAGCATTGAAGAGGGGGCGGTAGCCGCAGCTTCTTCAAAGGTAAGAAGAGAGGAAAATCTTGAAGAGTTCATGAGGAGGATGGAGTCTAACACAGCAGGTAATAATCTGTTTAGGAACAACGCTACGAAGATAGCAAGATTCCTTTATGCCAATAGGGAAGGCGTTGCATTGGAAGAGGTCATCAAAAACACAGGTATTTCAAGATATAGATGTGTCGACATTCTCAACTCAATGCTTAAGGCGGATCCTCCGTTGGTTTCAAAGAGATTCGACAAAGGATTCATTTATTCTATTGTACTTCTCTAAACCTTCTTCTTCCAGTGAACGCGGAACATATTATATTTCACCCTGCAGCTCTCTGAGCTTGAATGGTGACCTCACGATTCCTTTCCCTTTGACCCCTGCCTTGTAGGCCAGCGTAAACAGCTCGATGAGCATCTCCTCATTCTCTATAAAAAAGTTTATCTTGTCGTTATCGCCGCTTGAGCAGTCTATTTTTATATGCCTCCTGTTGAAAAAGCACATGATGTTTACAGGTGAATCTAACCCCATTGGATCTACAAGCTCCCGGACGGAACTTCGTTCGCAGACATATATCTCAACATAGTTGGAAAGTGCCAAGCATATCCTCTCTAAAAGTCCATCCATGTGGATACACAACGGATCGCCTCTGTCCCCAAACCTTACGACGACAAGCTTGCAGGATGTGCCTCCAACCGCGCCATTCACAGCGTCCAATGACTCCAGCGTGTTTATCATGGGTGTACGGCACAGTCTCGATTATAGCGGGGATTTAGAGACTCCCCGGAAATATCTCTTTAAGGAGCCAATGGGACTTCTGTCAATGTGAAGCTCCTCTCTGCATCTGAGGTACTGGGTCTTTTTCCTCTTGAATCCCTTTGCATTGTAAATGTAGAACTTCTCAATCCTTTCAGTAATCTTATCTCGAGCATCGAGAAACACTGGAGCATTCGACACTATTTTGTGGATACACTTTACATGGAGCTTGGTAAGGGTGTTCTGAAGTTCCGAGAAACACCTGCTCAACTCCTTATTGACCTCAAGTGAAGAGGGCATTTGATATGCCTTGATGAAAGTTTCAACAAACTTGAATGAAAAGCTTCTGAGGAGCCTGAGGAACAAGTTCATGTTTTTTCTGGACAGCGTGCTATGCACCATGGGGAACACTTCAATAGTGTCCGAAACCATCGACATGGTACCGTTGTAAAGTGTCAGTAAGATCCTTGTACCCTCTGCTGAGAATCTTAAAGACCCCGAGTTTAGCAATGATCTGACGATCGGACTGATGGACACAGATCTCACCATCATGCCTTCATCAATCTCGGGTGTATCACCGGTGCCGTTCTTTACGTATTCCAGTTTCTTTGGAACTTGAATTCCAAGAGCTGGCCTGAAGAAGATTCGAACAACCGGCTTCATTTTCCTCCCGCTCAGATCTTTAACAGTAAATCCGTGAATAACAGTCGATCTATAGCCCAGAAGAGATCCAACAACTTCCACCAATGTCTCCTCGATATTATCCAGAGACACATCATGTTTTATATCGAACTCATCTATCGAAATGGAAGCCATATCTTTTTTGCCATCTTCCTTTACTTCTATCTTGTAATTAGTTGCCAAGTCGTCTCTCGCCTCCTCATCCTCTTCCAGGACGTCATCCAAAGATTTTAAGTGCTCAAACCACTCTTTGATCGCGCTGGTTACATACTTCCGGTCGATCCTTATTATCATGGGTCCATTTTTATCTGTGAACTAACCCTCGAAATGAATGAGAGTAATGATGAGGTGGAAAAAGAGCAGAACGTCAAGGACCTCCAGTCAGACACAGAGTCAGACGATCTTAATCTCATGACAGATGACTCTACATATAAGAGAGAAGATCCTGGGCGCCTCCACTCGATTACAGGGACCATGTCAGAGGAGGAGCTGCATAGATACGAGAAGTTCCGAGGAAGTGGATTTCCAAAGGCTGCAATCAAGAAGTATATAAGCAGTGTGATAGGACAGGCAGTGAATCCCAACTTCGTCATCGCCGTTTGTGGGCTTGCTAAGGTGTTTGTAGGGGAGATGATAGAAATAGCAAAGGCGGTCCAGGAAGAGCGCAGGGAAGAAGGACCCTTGCTTCCCTCGCACATACACGAAGCATATAGAAGATTGTACAAGAGAATCCCCAACACTAAGGTTTTCAAAAAGGCTCCCTGGAACTCTTAATCCGGCTGAGCACCTAAAAGCATGTTCAACCTTAGGCTTTGAGAATTTATTTAGACCTATTAAGGAGCCCACCACTCCCTGCAATCCTGTCGTCCAAGTTAAAAGCACTGCAGAGAAGCTTCAGAGTTTCGCTGTTAACATTCGATCTTAGGGCCTTCAGAAATAAACTCTCCTTGGCCTTTTCGCTTACCAGATCTGTAAGGAAGCCTATGATAAGAGGAAGCTGTCCATTCTCTGCAGTTATCGTCTCGTAAAGTAGAGTAGTCATTGTGTTCTCCTTTTTCGATATCTGTATCAAAAGATGCTCGGCCATCTCCTTAATTTCTGCATTCTCATCCGTTAGCAGAAGCACAAGCTTGGGGCCATATCCTTTGATCTTGAGAATGTTCTTCATGAGCAGATTGTGAATCACAAGGAGAGCATTCCTTCTGACATCGGCATCCACGTCCCCAAGAGATTCAAGCAGGAGATGTGTGTGTCTTTCTGCAGTGGTGTTGTAGCTCAGCAGAAAGTCGCCCATTGCAACAACAGCATTTGCTCTGATCCTGGGGATTGGATGACTCATCGAACGAATAAAGGTCTCGTAGTGCTCGCTAAAGAACTCAAAGCTGATGCACATAAGTCTATAAAGAGAGACATATGCGGCAACCTGTATTTCTTCGTCACTCGAGAAGCATCCTTCTTCAACAACTTGCTTGAAGTTAGAAAGAACGGTTTTTCCATACAGCATCTCCTTCTCCTTAATGTAGAAAAAGAAGTCGACAATCTCCTCCTCGCTCTTGTCCCCGATTCTTGAGGAAATGCCCCTGTCGAGAGCGGAGTTATTCAGGATCGAATCATCTCCATCCTTGTTTTCCTCGAGAATAGTGCTAATGCTTTGCCTGGATGCATTGATGCTCCGCCTTCTTTCTACTATCTCAGGCGTGATTACAGTCTTGTCAACCTTGATCTTTATTCTGTTGGACTTCACCAATCTCTCTAGCTCTTCCACATACTGCATGTGCTTTAAACCAATGCATCCCACGGCAGAAATCGCCTTGAGGGAGCTCCTCTCCATATCGCAAAGCTTCTCAAGCAGCATGATAATGCTCTTCTCTGGAAGAGTGCTGATCGAATAGATCGTCGAAACGGTTACATCGACAACCTGGTGCTCAAAAAATGTCATCTTGGCCAGGTTCTTGGCAAGCACCTCAATTATCTCGTCGTCAAACTTGACTCTTTGCCGCACTCTGATTTGAACTATGTTCTTGTATACAGACAGCATGTCCACCAGATCCTTTTCCACCTGGCTAGAAAATAGAAGCTTTGTGGAGAACAGAACTAATGAGTGGAACATGTCTACAGTGAGAGGCCTGCCTATATGTCTTAATAGATAGGAGGCTTCAAGCAGATGGAACCCTTGGAGAAACATACTACAGAGCTCAGACACAAATGTCTTGTCTATGTATCTTCTTGCACTAAGCTCTCTGAGCACCTTCTCAAACGAGTGGTTCCCTTCCATTCGTATGAATTCCTTAAAGAAACAGAACAGGCTGCTGTTATTCATCTTCATTTGCACAACAAGATCTCTGAACGATAGAACCAGAAGCTCCAGGTCTTGGGTCCATACAAGGTCAAATAATGATTCAAACGCCTCTCTGGACCCATCTATCCTGTAGTAGAAGCAGAGCTTTATGAACTCAATGCACTCGTTGATCTCTGTTTTGGTCCCTCCGCTTAAGAGGGTGACAATGTTGTCCTGTATTTCCTTCATGATATCATGGAACTGATTCAGATCCTCGTAGTATTTCATTTCAGACTCCTTTTCCCCATCGCACAGCCCGCTTCTGTTGCTCTCATTCTCAGCAGATCCCAGATTCTTCTTTTCAAGGGTTTTCTCAGATGCAAAGGGGTGCCTCATGAGTAAACCTGAGCAGATGCTGATGGCCTTCTTTCTAACAACAACAGTCTTATCCAGTACTCTCCCCCCTACTTCCCGTATGACCTCATGCCTTCTTCCAACCGTTATTGAGTTTCTTTGGAAGAGACATTCAAGAACCTGAAGGGCCTTGTATCTGGTCAAAAAGTATGTGTCGGATAGTCTCTCCACAACCACCCCCACAAGATCGTTCAACTTTCCAACCATCCCTTTTTTCTTGAAGTGCTCCACAAGATTTGCACATATCTCTAAGAAACAGTTCCTCATGAAAAAGTGTTCAGAGTCGAGGAGCTCGTCAAAGTGCTCATAGTTTACAAACAAGCTGATGTCTCGTCCGGACAGAAGAGGAAGAACAATCGATAGGTTCTTTAGCAGCACAGGGTTGTCTTGCTTCATGGCACATCTAACCAGCTCATCGGATATGGAGGGAATCGACTCGAGTATCAATCCAATAATCTCTGCACTGTTCTTTGTGCACATAAGATCAATTACATGATTTACTAGCCTTGTGTCTTTGCCATAGACCCTGATGCACTCAAGAAGTCTCAGCCTCACTCCAGAATCCCTTCTCCTCTCCTTGGTCTTCTCAAGAAGCAGGAACAGAATCTTGACCATCCACTCGGAGGTTTCTCGGGAATTTCCCCTGCACCCTCTTATAAAATCGACTATCTTGGGAAGCAGGTCTTCATCGGATTCTGGCTCTAACTTGGATACAAATGTAAACAACAAAGGGGCCACCTCTGCAGGGGAATTGTTCTTGCTTTTCAGAAGCTCAAATATCCTTGCCTTGTTATTGCATTGGTCTGTGTGCGACACCAGATAGTTGTAGTCTTCATGGTTGTCGATTACTGTCATGGTCTTGAGCTTGCTTATGAGGATCTCCAGTTCCTTCTGCATTGGGGGAAGGACGGGGGATCCTTTTCAACCGGTCTTGGGAGTTCATGTTAAAGGGTTTTCAGAACGGTCTTTATTAGGCCCTCAGGAGGTCAAGGTATCTAGAGTATGACGGAAGGCCATGGGACTCGTCCTCTACAAAATAGGTGAAAAAGATGTCTTTGTATACACTACTTGCACCATTGTCTCTCACCAGCACATAGTTCGGCGTTAAATACCTATTGCTTCTCAACTCCTCGATTATCTTGCAAACGGAATCACTGAACTCGTTTCTCTCGGGATCAAAGATAAATCTTTCCGATCCTATTGATGGATCGAACAGTAGGTCCGGAAGAGATGGATCACAGTTTCTAGCCACGAAAAAGAAGATGGTCACACCGGTGTCCAGCAGGTACAGCCCATTTGTTTCGAGGCAGTCCAGTGTGAGGTTAAGCGGCTGAATGGTGTCCAACCTATGCAATGCAAGCAGGGTTGGATAGATCACGGTGTCAACCAGCTTCGGATATGAGTTGGTTATCAGGTATATGTAGTACGACTTGTAGTCCATCGGAGTGTAGGATACAGGCCTAAGGGGAATGGATTTACAGAGCGATAGAACAAGCATTGGAAGCACCTCGAGCGTTGCTGGAAGAAGGGTTGTTGTATTTGAGAGCTGCTTGTATGCCCTTATGATGTCTTTCATCGACTTGTTGAGGTATTCGTTGCCCCCTCCCTTGGACCTTGACTCAAAGAAAAAGGCCTTCAGTGCAAGTGCATGCGCTATTGCATATGGATCCACGACGCTATACAATGATCTTGACACCCTATCGATGCAAAAGTTCACAACCCGTATTCTTCTTTCGCCAGTACGAAGCGTCCTAAGGATAGCCACTTGGAAGCAGACGCCCTTGGTTCCTTCCTCCTTGGATATGTCTATCTCAAAGTTAAGTGAATGGGGAGGAAAGAAGGTTGAGAATGACAGCAAGTCTGCAGACCTATGGTGCAGAGAGCCGAAATACTCCTTTATAAACACACATCTGCTAGCCCTAACCCTGCACATTCCATGTAGTCCGGTGTTTAGGTCAAGATGTGAGGCCAGATCGTTAGCTAGCTTTGTAGTAAATGCTGGGTCGCTGCCATCGAAGTTTGGGTAGTAGTACAGCATCCCCCCAGTGTATTTATTTAGCACACTGAGGGTTGGAAGTTCTATCCCAAGCCGAGGAAACAAGAACTGCGTAACCGATATCCCCTGCTTCGATAAGTGTGCCGACATCTCCTTGTAAAACACCGATTTGCATCTCAGCTCCCGCTGGCTAGGATCCACAGATCCAGACCCCATGTTTGGATGTGTTGCCAGGAATGAGATTATGCATCCGCCGGTAGCCCCCAGGATGCTTTGAACAACCCTTAGCGCATCTCCGTAGTTGTTTTTTGTAGATTTGTTCTCTATGAAAAACCTCTCCACCCTAGCAACATCAAGATGGTGGTCAAGGGGCAGCAGGAAGTCGTCCTCCAAAAAGAAGGGGATGTACGTTGCATCGGAGATGATCGAAAAGTCCCCGTTTTTCTTGAGAAGGTATATGCTTGAGTCGAAGAACGCGAACATCATCCTCGACCTTGGGTCAAAGGACTTTGGGTCCAGCCCTCCAAGAATGCTCCTGATGACTGCATCAACTGCCCTACACTTCATACTCTCAAATGTCACCTCTATAAGAAAGCATATAAATGGAGGCGATGGAGTTTTGAGTGAGTAGTTCGGTGGAGCCTCCAGCTCATACACAGTGCTTCTTAGCTCTGTCCTACTGTAATAGCAGCTGTTATATGCTGCATTTGCTCGAGGATCAAACGCACCACTGTCATGGGCCGCGGTTCTGCTAGTAACCTGGAATGCAGTGGCCAGATCATTGATTGCAAGGCAAACATTGCACCTCCACTTCAGACCCGGGGGGATAATCTCAACAAAAGGATTCAGGTAAGACTTGCAGCATTCGCATCGAACTATGTCCTCAGAGCACAGCGGAATGCCCTCCTCTTCATAGTTCTCCAAGACCACATTGATGACAAGGGGAATTCCACACATCCTTATTATATCCTGCTTTTCAGGGATGGCCAACACGGTCGATCTGTAATAGCTGCTTTCATCGACAATGGAATTGGAGACAGATCCTTCCTCATCCTGGCAATCGGCTTCAAAGCCGCTTCCTCTATGTTCCATTGGGGTGAAAACTAAAACACAAACTTAAAAATTTTCGAAAACACATCGCATCCATTAATCAGTAGAACTCTTCCGAGTGCTCGACCTTTGAGTCCAGATACATTTGATATGCTTGCGAGGACGTGGTCGCTTCCCTAACGTCTTTATCGTCCCTCTCTCTTATGAATCTGGGGAACCTTAGCGATATTCCCTTCTCGCCTTTACTCCATGCAGCACTGTATATCGGCGATAGGGATATCCCTGCTGCCCTGACCTCCCACACATATTTAGCCTCGACCCAAACGTCTGGCTTAACAGACTCTTTGTATGAGTAGTTCTTGGGAGCACTACACAGGCTACTGCTCAGCTGTTCATGAAGTTTTGAGAGGATACTGTCGTCAAATCCAGTTCCTATCTTACACAGGGCCTCAAACTTCTCCTCCTCGTCATTATACACACCAAGCAGAAATCCCCCGTAGAATCCGGCCCTCCTTCCCTTTCCATAGTATGCCCCCATCACAACCAGGTCCAAGGAGTCGGACATGCTCTCCAGATAATCCTTTTTGATCTTTATCCATTTATTGCTTCTCTGCGACGGCAGGTATGTTGCATCAGACCCCAGAGTCTTTATCATCATACCCTCAAAGTTATTCTCTACAGACTTATTGAAGAATGTTTCTGCCTCCTCTGGTGTCTCGCAATCCTTAAACTCTGCAAAATGAAACTTCCCATCGATTTCTTTGAACGAGCTGTGGAGTACTCTTCGCCTTTCCTCCAAGGGTTCGTCAATCCAGGACCTTCCATCAAAATATATTAGATCAAACACAAACACGCATACATGGACCTCTATCTTGTTGCTTTCGACCCTCTTCCTTTTTCTTGTAGTCAGCACTTGGAACGGAAGGATCCTCCTCTCTTTTTGGTTATATGCCACAATCTCGCCATCGACAATGAAGTCTCTGTCCGATACGTCGTAGAGACCCATTAGGTCAGGATACTTCTCCGTCGTCTTCTCGGAGTTTCTACTAAACGTCTCCACGCTGCTATCAAACCTGTGGATCTGGACCCTTTCTCCATCGTATTTGTACTCGCAAGTAAAGCTCTTATTCTCAACCCTTTTGAAGGCTGACGTTAGGTCCTTGGAAGGATTCGACAACATCGGCTTCAGAGGGATTCCTGGCGTAACCTGGAACTTGGTTGAAAGCCCTTCCACCCCATGCTCAAGTAGACAGTCTGCTAATCTTCCTATATCCGGCTGTCTGTTGAAGGCAGCCTTGATCTCATCAATCTTGTCGTCAGAAAAGACGTTTGCAAGGCTGATCAGCACTGTTTTAAGCGCAAGCCCTATCTTAAGCCTTCCCTCGATCAGCCTTATCAGGTACTTCGACTCCAGAGGCGAGCATTTGACCATCATCCCAAGAATGATCCTCTTCTTTGAGGAGGAGGATCGAGGTCCTTCCTCGTTTGCTACCCTTCTCATTCCAAGAAACACATCCATCACTTCCAACTGCGTCTTTGGTATAAGCAGCTGCGACACTCTGCACCTCATGGCTATGGTTCCCAGATCCCCTTCTTTTGAATACTCATTTCTGACACCTTTACTGGACTTTCCTGTGACCTCTGCAACAATCCCCACCAGTGCATTCTCTCCGACGCCCAACTCCTTGTTGAAGTATTCCGGGTATACCGTTGCAATGGACAAATACAGGGCTGGAGCCATGGAAGGTGGGTGAGTTTCACGTATGTTTCTCAGATAATCCGTGAAAATGGACTGGATCTCCAGGCGCTTGGACGTCATGCTTATTTTCTCCAATACGGTACAGAAGTCGGCAAACAAAATTTTGCTCATTGAAGGGCTTAGTGGAGAGTGTGCAATATCTTATCAGTAGCCCTGTACAGACTTGATAAATAGATCCTGAATATTCTAGCCCACTAAGGAGGATGGATGGAAAGAGCGAGTTCAAGGAGGAGCTCATCAACTACATTTTGCTGAAGAAGTATGGCAAGGGGGCGCAGGATCCGCCAGTGTATTCCAATGCATTGAAGAAAGCACCCCAGGAGATGTTTCCTCCGGGTCTTGTGGATGCTCTTGATTCGTATTCCATAAACCTGAGCCGCTCTGAGGGAGTGGAGTTTCTAGTGTTGCTAAACTCCCTTGTGAATGATATCCGCTCTGAGGAGGTCAAGGACATTATATTTGGGATGATTAACACAAACCAGATGTTGACCAAGCTCATGAAGGACAAAAAGGAAGTGGAGAGATTCCCGGATACCTGCAAGATGTATTCGGAACAGTTCAAAGCAAACAAGCCTCTACTGAAGGAGTTCAATGCAGGATCCAGGAAGGAGCAGGGGAACCTTGAGATTGGAGAACCCTCCGAGAATGTTGTGACTAGATTCCCCCCTGAACCGAATGGGCGCCTCCACATAGGGCATGCAAGAGCAGCATTACTGAACTGGTACTTTGCAAGCAAAGGAAACGGACGGCTTTTGGTCAGGTTCGATGACACAAACCCAGAAAAGGAAGAAGAGAGGTTCGAAAGGGGAATTCTCTCGGACCTCAGCCTTCTGGGGATTAATGAGTACACCCTTTCGCACACCAGTGACTATTTCGATAAGATTATTGACCTGGGGGTTTTTTTGATTGGGGAGGGAAAGGCGTATGCAGATAATACTCCACAGGAGGTGATGAGAGACGAGAGAGGAAGGGGCGTTGAGTCTAGGTGCAGAAGCATGGATGTAGAAGAAAGCAAAAGGATATTTAAGGAAATGGCCAGGGGAAATGCCTCGGGATATTGCCTAAGAGCAAAGATCGACATGTCGAGCTCCAACAAGGCCATGAGAGACCCTGTTATCTTTAGGGTGAATGAATCGCCTCACCACAGAACAGGAGATAAGTACAAGGTCTATCCTACATACGACTTTGCATGTCCCATTGTTGACAGCCTGGAGGGGATCACACTGTCGCTTAGGGCGAACGAGTACAGGGACAGAAACCAGCAGTACTACTGGTTCATTGACAACCTTCGGCTTAGAAACAGACCCAAAATCCACGACTTCTCAAGGCTTAACTTCGAGAACACGGTTCTTAGCAAAAGAAAGCTTAAGTATTATGTCGATAACGGATTTGTATCTGGATGGGACGACCCAAGGCTGGCGACGATTGCAGGAATAAAGAGGCTTGGGATGAATATGGAGGCGCTGAGGGAGTACATCCTGATGCAAGGGGTTTCCCAAAAGACCTGCACTATCTCCTGGGACAAGGTGTGGGCGATTAACAGGAAAAAAATCGATCCCGTTTCCGCAAGATATTTCTGTGTCCAGCAAAGAGATGCCGTTGAGGTATCGATTGACAACACGTCTGAATACACGATGGATGTTCCAAAGCACAAGAAGAACGGAGATCTTGGGACAAAGGAGGTTTTCTATTCAAGCCAGATATTGCTTTCTCAAGAGGACGGCAGAGTGCTGCAGGACAACGAGGAGTTTACACTGATGAACTGGGGAAATGCTATTGTGAAGAGCAAAACCGTTGAAAATGGAACTGTGACCAAAATGGAAGTGTCCTTGAATCCGGATGGAGACTTTAAGCTGACAAAGAACAAAATGTCCTGGGTTTCGAAGAGAGGGTCAGTGACTGTTGAGCTTGCTGAATACGGCAACCTGATGAATGATGAGGACACAGAAGACCTGGCATTGAGGTTTAACAGGAACTCTGTCAAGAAGGAATATTGGTACGCTGAGTCTGCTATTATAAATGTTAGAGAGGGAGAAGTAATCCAATTTGAGCGAAACGGGTTTTATTATTGCGACGGATTTCTGGTATTTAATTTACTACCCTTTACCAAGCAAAAGAGAACGGGCAATTAAATTTGTTCTATACTTCCTTGGAATATTACCAAGAGGCCTTGATACCCATTGTAAGGTGCAGAGAAGAGCAAACACAGAAGGCACACTTACTAGAGACGGATGGCTCTAGAGTCTAGGGATGGGTAGCTCTGCGGAATGCTCTTCAAAGGCCCCGTCTGCGTGGACCACCGTCGAAATGTATAGTTCCCAGCATACCGGTTATGAAGGCCAAAATAGTAGGATAGATAAAACAGCCTCTAAATTAAGGATAAATCGAGCTAATTAGAAGACAATTGCAAAAAGCTCGAGCCATTTTAGGATACATTGCAACACATGACATACAAAGGCAATTTAATCTATCAATACGTGAACATCTGTCAAGTTATTCATTTTAAAGAAACCCAGGACTGCTCTCTAAAAATGACTAGTGAGAGAACTAAAAATCTAAGAGAGCTGGAAGCAGCGCTTGGGCTGCTCAAACTAAGTGGATTCCAAATGAATAGATACTGTACTGGAAAGCAGATGAGAAAGACAAGGCTGCAGACATGTGTTCTGAATAGGATATTCGAGATATCGAGATTCCCCTCCTCAAAGACAATAGTTGATCTTGCACTGCTCATCAATGTCCATCCAAAGTCGATTCAGAAGTGGTTTCAGAACACGAGACAAGCAATAAGAAAGAAGGGGTCCACGAAGGGAGCCCTGTTGCTGGCGGAGTCTGAGGAACACAGTGCTGTGGATATACCACTTCCTATTTTGGCAGACATTGTCGAGATTGAGAGACGGACTGTATCGAAATTTGGGTTGGAGCGAGTATTCCTCCAGGACTCGAATTAATTCGGCATCCCGATGGATTTTCTGCAAGATCATTAAGCGCCTATGGATGAAACATGTAAACAAGTCTCTACGATGGGCACAGTAACCTTTTCCAAGAGAGTCGATATGCTGAGCAGCCAGATCAAGGAGTTTGAAGCGGATGCTTCGAAGGAAAAGGAGGCTGAGCTGGCTGCCATGTTCCGAATCTGCGATCGACTGATTGAGTGTGGACAGCAACCTTCAAGATTGCTAAGACGGTATAGCGAGCTGAAAAACAAGTACAGATGCATTGTAAATCCCTACAGAGAGCTGGACGACGAAATATCCGCATGCAAAATGCATATGGAGGCGTCAAGTCGAAAAAACTCGATTGACGAGGTGGCTAGGAGTGTTCAGGAAGTTGTTGCAATCTCAAACTACATAAACTATGCAATAAACGATGCCAGATTCTCTATCGACAACGTTATGGAGCATCTCGAAGAGGGTGAGCAGTATGGCATGATGGCTAATGAGGAGCTTCAGATTATTAGAAGGAGAAAGCTTTGGAGGGCCAAGATCATTAGGTCAGTGCTGCTCCTAGTAACTGTCATAGCTGCAACACTCATACTCGTTAAACTTGTCTTCTGAAAATAAAGGCCATTTGCAGAGCCTGTGTTCAACAGATCCTTTTAATTTATGGTTTCGAAAAGTCCGTGCCTAGGATCTCTTGCTCAACGGGACATACTTTTTAAAGGTAGACAAGTCGCCGAGAGACTCAACCCTTCTGGCAAGTGCTGGGTTTCCAAATCCGAAGAACTCCTCAGTGCTTTTATATTCGGCCACACCTCCAACGCTATTTACAAAGTCCTCCCACATGTTTGGTCCAAACCACTTCCTCCCGTCGTCGGCGGTTATCACTGGGCCTTTCTGGGGGTCCACGCTGCAAATGTATAGAATCCTGTCCTTTGCCTTCTTTTTATATGTGTCATGCCTTTTATACTTCTTCCTGCATGTATACCCCACAGGATAGATCGCCGTCTCCGTATGGAGCATGTCCAAGTTCTCTGTGGGGAGTTTTCCCATGTCCACCAGAGACAGCCTATATATCCCTGTTCCAAACATCGTTCCATGGTCAGGCTGCTTTGATTTCTCCCTTCCGCTCATTCCCCTGCTCATATCTATTGCTTCTCTAAGCGTGCGCTGGTCAGAGAGTTTTGTGTCTATAGCATCTTCCAGCATCCGTCTTTGTCTATACAGCTCCACGCGCTTATTGTATGCATTCATAAATCTCCTTGCCAGCTCATCTTCTTCTTCCATTACACTTTCCAGGGCTTTCCTCATGGGAAGAACCCCATTCGGCGCAGAGAAAGGCATAAAACAAAGTGGTTAAAGAATTTATTCTTCCAGGCCTTTTGACCCTTCATATTTTCAGCCCATCAAACTCTAATTTGTATCCCTGCGAGATGATCTTTGCAATGTTTTTCTTGATGTTATTCACGTCTTCTACAGTGCCAAATGTCACAACGATCCTTCCTTCATCTCCAGTCTTCATAGACTCTACTTTTCCAAACTCGGAGACAACGCCGATTGCCTGTAACATGCTGTTTTTCCCATATTCAATAGTTACAGCCTTCTTGGCATCCTGATTCGTCTCATAGACAACTTCTTCGTCCAGAAACGTCAGAATTTCGTTCTTGATGTATAGCACAGAATTGACCTTTATCACAATAAACTGATGAGCTATTCTTGTCTGCGACAGATCGCTGTAAACAAACTGCCCAATGACATTGATGACCGACTTCAGGTCGTCCATCCTCTGCCAGGATATATGTGATATAAGTACTTTCGATACCGGATTGGTTATCTTCAATTTGATATACTTTCCAAAGTCCTCAGTGCATGTCTCCGGTTTGTCCGTCTCCTTGCTTATTGTGAGCTGGGAATCTTTCATGTAGTATTGGTGGATAACCGATGGCCTGTTGCAGAGCATGTTGTAGTAGTTCTTTACGAAGACCAGCTCGTTCGACTTGGGAATACTTGTCATCGGGGAGCAAAAATTTGCATCTTTTTGGAAGGCCATCGCATGAAGCCGTTCCGGTGTCCGGAGAAGGTGGCGCTACCCGAGGGTGTGGAAAGCAAGTCTGAGCTGAGAAACCTGCTAAGCGCTGCTCGGACGGAGGAAATAGGTAGGCGCCTCCAATCAGCAATTGCATGCGGTAACCACCGGCTGGCCCTGTGGCTGAAAAATAGGAAGCAGCAGATTCTAGGGCGCCAGGTCCTTGGAAATGTCTCCATATCTGGAAGCGTATATACAAACAAGATTTACATCCCGGTTCAAGAGTTCCCTGAAAGCAATTTCGTGGGACTGATAATAGGCCCAAGAGGCTCCACCCAAAAACAACTTGAAAGAATCACAAGAGCTAGGATATACATAAGGGGGTCGTACAAGGACAAGCATGTAGAGCCTCTGCATTGTTATATATCTGCAGAAACACAGGAGAGTTTGAAAAATGCAAGTGCGGTGATAGAAAATCTGATAGAGGACTCTGTGCTTTTTGGTGACTGCAGGCTGAGGATGTCCCAGCTCCAGGCAATAAGGGAATGTAGAAGGAATCCCAATGGCCCTCTCACCGACTGGGAAAGGTTCTACTACTGGTGGTATTTCCATAACAGAATCCAGAGGAAAGCAGAATGAAACGGATTTATTTGGGCAGACTTAAAAGGGCCATCCCTTAAGACTAAAGGAATTCCCACTAATCGCTTATTCTTTCATAGCAGGACCCCTGTACAGAAGCAATCATTTTGCCCTCAAGCACAAGCTCTTCCAGGGCCTCCAGCACCATCTTTTCCTCTGCACCAGTGTTTTTAACCACATCAGAAACCTCGGCCTTGCCTTTGACCATAAGGAGAATTGCATCCTTTAGGTTTTCCAACATCCTGTTTTTAAATGTACTTCTACCCGTAATTATCATGTCCATATCAACCTTTCCGGTGGATGGATCGATCGCATACATAAGGAGGCTTTCCCTTATTATTCGAACTGCTTCCCTGACATCCTTGGCCTCAACAGCATTCGAAAACCTCATTCTGGCATGTGCTTCACTTAGCCGAATTAAGCTCTCCAACTGCCTTGTTGTTGCTGTTATGGTCTTGCCATTATCCATCTGTCTAAGATCCACATATGATTGCGTCAGCATCTTCATACTCTCGGGAGTTAGTCTCGGCACTATTCTTCTTGCCTCTCTCACATATGCCTTGAGAAGGTCTGCGTCAATGTATTCCTTCCTCTGCGTCTCCTCGGAGTATAGGGACACTATGTGGTCTCCTATCGTTCTGTCATAGAACTCGTCGCACCTATCGATCATCAGGCAGACAACATCAAATCTGCTCAGCAGAGTTGGAGGGAGATTAATGTTCTCTACTATACTCTTCCGGGGATTGTACTTGCTTTCAATCGGGTTGCAACTTGCAAGAATCGAACACCTTGCATTCAGCGTGGTTATGATTCCGGCCTTCGCAACAGAGACAGTCTGCTGCTCCATCACCTCGTGAAGCACGCTCCTTGTACTGTCACTCATCTTGTCGAACTCGTCAATGCAGCATATCCCATTGTCAGACAGCACAAGAGCACCGGATTCTAGAATAAACTGTCCTGTATCCGGGTCTTTAGCTACGCTTGCAGTCAGTCCAACTGCACTGGACCCTCTTCCGCTGGTGTACATCCCCCTCTCAGACGTCCTGTGTATGAAGCTCAGTAGCTGCGATTTTGATATTCCAGGGTCTCCTGCCAGGAGTATGTTTATGTCTCCTCTGAGTCTCGAGCTTCCCAGCTCCTTGCGGACTCCTCCAAAGAGTTGAAGAACCAAGGCCTTTTTTGTGTCCTCCATCCCGCATACAGAAGGTGCCACAGAATTTGCCAGTATTTCATATACATCAGGCCTTTTCCTCAGCTCGTCAATCTTGTCAATCGGATCGCTACTCTCGATCTTTCTGTTTATTACCTGGTAGCTGAGGAGGTCAAGATAAATCCTAAACGTGCTCTTAATCTTCCTCATAACAGGATTGAGCCGCACAGGCGTTGCCTTCAAAACCCCCGTCAGCTTAACCCTGTCTCCGGGAACAAGGCCGTCAACGAACTCGTTCCTGCACACTATTGTCATCGCCATCGGTGTTGTTCCATTGGGAATCCCCTCGGGCAGCTCCTGAATCCTCACCACCTGCTTGTCCTCAAACTCGCTTGCATTGTGGACCAACTGTTGTGTATACTTCCCTCCGCACTCACACTTGTTGGGCTCATCGATCACGTTCCTCACACTCTCCACAAGGCATTCATGCCCACACCTAGAGCATCGGAAGAAGGCCCTTACAATTTCTGGAATCACAGAAGAGGATCTGATCACCATCCCGCTTATTTGCACAATTTTGTCGATGTCGTTTGGATCTATGTTTCTTATCGATAGGGGCCTTCCTATTCCAAACGGCCTGATTCTGATCAGCCCGCCAAAGCTTGGGAAGTTTTCCATGTATATTTCTTGCAAGGAGCCCTGGAAGATCGGAAGCACCTCCTGCGGATACATTGCAAGCTGGCTCTTGAGATCGGCGTCAAGGTCGTCACAATGGAGATCGAATACAAACTCCTGGGTAAGATCCATTTGTTCAAGGATGGTGTGGTAATCCCTGTTTCTCCTGACAAATTCCTTGAACCGTTCTGCCGTTTCCTGGATATTTATCGTGGTCCCCCATATCACCTTGACTCTTTCTGTTTCCACTATCGGCGTAAATGTCGAGCTGAGATCCCCCTGAGAAGGCGTGAGATTCAGCTGGATGTCCTGGCTGGCATCGTAGAACGAAAATGCAGACGATTGTGCATCAGAATCCATCTGGGGTGTCCCTCTCCATAGTTAACACCTCTGTAAAATATTTACCCTGCATGGACAATTTGAGGGCCAAGTACAACAAAAACCCACTGAGGGGAGACATATACAACCTGAGCGAGCTGAAGATCATCCTCGACGACGTCATTCGCGACTTCATGGAAACTGCTGAGGGCTCAGGATCGTCAAAGGCATCTACAGACATCAAAATAACAGTTGGGTTGGTGTCGACAGCTATTGCTTCGATAGTCGCATACTTTTCCATAACATCAGAGTTTGAAGAGCACAAGCAAACCATTACGGTACTGACTCTACTTTACTTCATTATCAACATTCTTGCAGAGGTCTACTTTCGATACGCCGGCTTCTCAATGATATTCAAGAACAGAGTCGTCTCCACGAGTATCAGCGCTCCAGATCCGACGTATGTGATAATGGTCTACAACAAAAACAAGCTTATTCCGTACAAGTACACAAAGTCTGTGTTCGACCTGTTTGATTCTAATGGGAGGCTCATCCACAAGGAGTTTCTTGAAGACCTTCGGGATCTTTTTGAGAAGTAAATAAGCTTGAGGCTACTTAGTATGTTGTTTATTGTAAGCTGCCTGGCCTGCTGTCAGAGCCACCTCCCTGGGGCTTGCAGGTTCAGATGAATGGAAGCCATCCAATATACATCATGCATAGGTTTTCGTCGTTCGTTGCCTCTTCGTTCAATACGTCACACTTACTGCAGGCATCTAAATCGTCCATCTTGTGCCATAGGTCCTCGATGATCTTCTTTGGGGTGGTTGCAGACTTTCTTCTCCACTCAAACAGAGGATCATAGACAAAGGATAGGAGGTTTGAGACCAGGATGTTCTTATTCTTGAGAAACAGGTCGAGCGTTGTGCAGAGGGAGGTGTTGTATGAGCCCTCCAGCCCAAGCACCCCAAATGCATCCACGATATTCTGTGTGAGTCTGTACGGGACTCTTTCTGGAACCTGAAGCTCTTTTCCCTTTCCAAAGATGCAGTTCAGATCGACATGAACGGTGTCGCCGGTATTTGAATCAAAAAGGATATTCTCTGCATGTCTATCGCCTAGCCCCATGAACCACCCCACAATGTTCATTATCGCATATGTCTGGGTGTAGTTGTTTCTAGCAACTAACCAACTGAATGGATGGGGAAAGCTGTCGTGAAACCAGAGGTGGAACTTTGGATGAAACTTCGAGGCGACCCTGTGCCACTCCCGCATTCCTATCTTCTTGTTGTGCACAAACCTGCATGCCGTTTCCGATATCGATATTCCGTCTCTTGCATAATAGGTGTCGCATATGGCCTTGAGCGAGCTCAGCCCACCAATCCATTCTATAATGCCGCTCTCATGACTGAATGGTATCACAGCATAGGTCCTGATGTATTTTCTGCTGCTCTGCTTCTTGAGTATGCTGTTGATTATGAGGTTCAGATCCATAAACCGGCTGTCCTTCCTCAGGTCGTCCTGGTTCTTGCAAAGCCAGTAGTAGTTCTTTCCATCGCTTCCTACAAAGCATATTCTCTTGGGGCGCTGGAGAGAGTTGAAAACCTTCACCTCGTTGCGAACCCCGCTGATCAGCACCTTGGTGTTTGGAACAGTGACGCCTGCAGGAAACATCTTAGCAAATGCAGGAAAATCCTCTTCCATAGTCAGCTCGTTCTTCTTTGATCTCGATATGCACGTCAGCTCCTCGGATATCCTTTTGACATTGGACAGAGCCACCTTGTTGTCGAGTGTAAGCCCAGAAACAATGCCCTCCATGCGCTTTCTTGTACTTGGAACCTGGGAGTTCATCATGATCAGGGACCTCCAAAATGTTTTGCTTGGGTAGTTCTCCATGAGCTCGAAGACTATCCTGGACACCACATTCGCCACGTCTTGGTTGGGATGGCTCAGTCTCGAAAGAATTTGGTTGTAATACGGAGGAAGCAGAGAGATACTGGACTCAAGGAACTTCTTGAGCAGGACTGCACCTGCATTGATGTCTCCTGGGGGCATCATCTCAGAAAACAGATGGAATATCCTCGGAACCGCCTCGTCGGAGCACTGGTTATCATGTATGACGCTGTTTATGTACATCTCCATTGCCTTGACAGGCTCCGTGCTCTCGAACTTCTTAGCCCCAAGAAGGAACAACTTTCCAGAGTCCTTCAAAATGGATAGTGCAGAGGTATATGCTGTCTTTGTATCCAGAAGCTCAGAGTATCTTATCAAGGCCTTTTTGTAGAGCATCGATGTCTTTGGAAATATCTCTAAAACCTTTTTGAGAGACGTCTTTGCATCCCCTATCTTCCCCTGCAGAACATTCAGCTCTGCCAACTCATATAGTACGCACCATTCTCTTTTGAGTAGCATCCCCCCAATCTCTTGGATGCACCTCCCCACGTCATCGTCTCCCCTATAGTTTCTTATAATTGCAAGCTTCAGATCCCTCTCGAACTCTTCCAGCGAAGAATAACCGCTCGTGCTTCCAGACTTGCTTCTGTCCATATATCCTATCCTTTCGGAGCGCCTTTCCGCCCGAACCATATCCACAGATGCAAAGTCGTCGAAGTACTCCCTACTGTGCAGCCCCTGGCTTGAATTCCCAATCGTATCCTGTTTCTCTGCAGTGAGCAAAGACTCAAACATTTCATCACACGACATGTCATCTCTTGCATCCATCATCGATCTGATGCTCGCCACAAGACTTTCATGACACTCCAAAAGCATCCTGTTGTCTCCAGCCAGTTCTCTTCTTCCTGCTATCAAGTCAAGCGTCTTCAGTAGGTTCTTGCTCTTGGACACAAGCTCGCAGTCCTTTATAAAGTGCTTGAAAACCTCGTTTCTGCTTTCCAGCCTCTTCCATTCAGAAAAGTCTCCTTCTATCTTCTTGCAGTCATTCATGAACTTTGTAACCTCATCGTCCTGGCACTCATCTATAATCTCCTCCATCAAAATCTTCACGTCCAGCTCTCGGGGTGCCTGGCCTTTATGATCTTCTCCGCTCTCCTCCTTCACTCCATCGTGCCCAGGCTTTGGCTCTAAGCATCTCCTTGCCGCTGCAAAGTTCTTATCCACACAGAACCTGAAAAACAGGTTTATTAGGCTGGGACGTGCAAACACAGAGTTTATCCCCAGCACTTTGTCGTAGTCCTTGATGGAATAGTAACAGTACTGCAGAAGATCAAAAAGCTCGCTTTTTCTCTCCTTCCTTATCATCTTCTCCAGAGTCTGGATTGCATTATGGTGGTCTTTGAGAAAAAACGATATCCTGAGAATCTGTTGGTCCTCTATGTGCTTCCCCGAGGTAAAGCCATGAAGCTTCAGCACAAACCTTGCAATCCTCTTGTCCACCCCTTCCTGCAGGTTGTTGGCTATTTCTCGAACCATGCCCAAGACCTTGTGGTCTCCCGCCTCCAAAAGCAGCCTGCACAGGCACAAACAGTGAAACTCCAGAAACAGAGTGTCAAGCAGGTTTCCATACTTGAGAAGGCTAAAGTACTCTTGCATCTCACTTTTTGCAATTTCGTTGAGGGAGTATCGATAGAGCCTCCCAAGAAACCTTTTAAAGGTATAGGTTTTTTCATATACCCCTTCCACCGGATGCACAGGAACATACTCATAGAAGTACTGTGTGCTTCTAAACTGCTCAACAACCTCTTCCATCCTGTCACTCAGAGGCCCCTTAATAAACCTTAGTGTCTCCTGTATTATGAAAAAGTGAAGATCCTGCTTTCCGGGATCCATCTCAAACAGATATTTCTCAACCATCACTCTGGCAATCGCCTCCGGGGTGCACTCCTCAATCAAAACACTGCAAACAGATGGAAGCGGGTTTGCATCCAAAAACTCTTGGGATATACATCCAATAAGGAATGCAGCATCGTTTCCAAGCTCCTTAAGCTTTCCATAGACATTTCCGATCTTCATCCTAAACTCGCGACTCTTAAAAAATCGCCTAAGGACATTTTCCACAAAGCTCTCCTCATCAAATCCCTTGCCCTTCCCCGGATCTCCAAATACTCTTGCAAGAAGTTCGACCGCCTTCTTGGCCGCCATTTCCTGTGAAAAATGCCCTCTGGTATCCAAAAGACCAATGACTATGTCAAGATAGTCGTCCTCACTCTTCACATTGCTCCACCGAGCTATCTTCTCGGCGTCCAGGTAAGGAAATATCCTTGACATGTTTCGGACAAGACAGTCGTTCTTAAAAAACGATGAGTAGTATTCGATGAATATCATCTTGCAGTCCGTTCCGCATGATTCCTCGTGACTTCTCATGAAAAACTCGACAAACGGAAACAGGTAGTTGAACAGCATCCTTACATTGCCCGAAATAGCCTCTATAATGCACTTCAGAATCTTAAATACGCATACCCGAAACTCAAAAGGTCTTTCGACATATACTTTCTTCAACGCAAACAGGAACTTTGGCAGATGGGCCCTTATGTATTCCTGGACATTTCCAAAGAACCTTGACAACACGTCGTATTTAAAGTATCCGTTGCACAGCAGAGGAATCATCACGTCGACACCCATTCGATACAGCTCGTCCTTCCCATACCCAATCTCGTCTATTCTGCTTTCCTCTCCACGGAGGAAAAGCGATATAATCAGAAAGTGGTTATTGGCCTGGGTGAATGCAAGGTCTGGAGTGTAGTAAGGAAACGACAATGAGTACATGATGGGATATATGTAGAACATGTTGTTTCTGACAAATGCCTTGCGCTCCTCATCAAAGAACTCGGATAGTGGAGCAAATAGGTCTCCAAGATCGTCAGCCCTCTTTCTTCCGGGGTTCTCCACCGCCCCACTCCCGCCTTCATTCTTTGTATTTTCTTCCGTGCTAGATGCAGACTCTATGCTTCCCTTCAGGTAATACTCGAATATCATCGCTCTTACTCCCATAAACTTGGCCTTGTTTCTCGTCGACACATTCCTTATCACGTTCTTTAAAAACAGATTTCCAGAGTACTTTAGAAAACCTTCAAACAGAATGACGAAATAAGAAAAGACTACTCTTGGCGTGTGTCTTATAAACGGAAACATTCTGAGGGACACCTGGATGTTCCCGATGCTCAGTATGCTGGCTGCATATCTCAGGAATCTCAGAACTATATCCTCCATCTCACCCTGCTCCTCTATCGGAAAGTACCTCAAGCACTTGTAGCATTCAAGGCATCCAGGTCGCTTGAACAGGGATCTGAGGATCGTTGTGAGCATCCGGGGTGTTCTTATCTTCTCCCAGTGGCTTACTCCAAAGCACATCTCCTCGATATTCCCTGACACACTATCTAGGTACTCCTCACGGTCGATTTCCTCAAAACCACAGCCCAGAACTCTTCTGCCACAGACCCTACAAAGCCCTCCCTCGGAATTCAAGCTGCACAGAAATGCCTTTGTAAACTGCTTTGGGTCGTATCCTCTAACCTGTGAAGGACACACAAGAAACACATCCTCAGGCCCAAGCCTGGATGCATCTATTCTGAAATCCGGCATCACTATTGCAAGGAACACAGACACGTCCATGGGAAGGGTCTTTATGTAGTTGGCAAGATGCTCGTTCTCTCTATTCTCAATGCACACTGCCTTGAGAAGGTCCTTGAACAGATTAGTTTCTACAGGTCCCAGGCTTCCTGCATCTAGCTCAAGGTCAAACTGGTAGTCCTTGTATGCATGTTTGTACAGACAGTAGTTATAGAAGTTCTTGCTAAGAAACTCGGTGTGCTCAAATCCGGGGACAACTCTTCTCGATCCAACTCTATCGTAGATAGACTTCAGCTTTGTGTAGCTCTGGATCCCCAGCGGCCGCTTAAACAGGAGAAGGTGGAAGCTCGACTTAGTGAGCTTTTCATGAAATACAACGTTGCTCTCCAAGTTCTGAAGAAATAGCTCCAGGAGGTCCACAAGCATAGTCTCGTCATCGTCTTGAACCGCAAGAGATATGACAGCATTTATTATCTCTGTGGATACGAGGGAGGACATGCTTTCTCTGAACACGTCAGAGTATCGCTCCGACTCCAGTCGTTGGAGATAAAGATTCTTCAAGTAGTCTCGATTCATATCCAAGGGCTTTGGGCCTTCTTGGCCGCAATAAAATCCTTTGGAGGAGACATTACCCTGCATGAACTGGGAAGATGAGCTGAGGACCTTAGGCATCTTCCGCGTTGCAAAGAAAAGAAACTCTCCGCTCAGGAAGAAGCTTTCGATAATAAAGAGGTTGAAGAATATAGGTCCAGAGGAGGTGGAGTCTATCAAAAGTGATCTTGCCTCGGAGGACATGAGCAAATTCACCTCGGAGATGGTCTCGTCCTTGCTTTTAGGACGGGTGCAGTCCGGAGATGATATCAAAAACGTTGTGCGCGTCACATCCGCGCTTGTAGTGTGCAATGACTTTGTAAAGCAGCTGATGTCTGAGCTTGGAAAGGCCATACGGCGCGGGATACATGACATAGAGAAGTATTGGCTTCCCGCCTACTTTTTCGACATGCAGATTCTAATTCAGAGGACGGCGGGAAGAGACGAGGGGAAGGGAGGCTTGATCCGGGATCTATGCAACAAGATAGATGAGAGGCCCAGAATTCTTTTTCTTGCATACTTGGCGGAGAACCACAAGGATGAGGCGAGCCGGGTCGAGATCGGCAATCAGTCCAGAAAGATAGGCTCTCTAGCCATTGACGATAGCAGTGACAGACTTGCAGTAGCAGGCAGGTCCCTTGGAATAGAAGTGCGTGACAGAGGAGGTGGCTTCAACAAGATCATCGGTGTGGAGGATGAGGAGTTTCGCTACTACACTGGACGCACTGGGTCGCTGGAGTGCTATGACGGAGGCCTGGACGTGAGGGAAATCAGGAGTTATATCATTAGACATTCTGGAGACGCAGAAAAGCTGGATGCGCTGTCGAAGTCCATAAGAAATGCGAATGGCCAGAGAGAGATCGTTTCTATTCTTATGCAGCTGAAGCTCAATCCCAACCTTATAACAAGCATAGCAAGGATACTAAAGAACATGGGAGCTGTTGCAAAGAAAGTTGTTACAGCCCTTTTCAAGGAGATATACCAGGCGAGAAATACCAGCCACAACGATGTGTTGTCGAACTGTCTACTTATATCCGAGATGTGCAAGTTTCGGGAGGTTTCCCCGGACGAGATCTTTGCACTTCTGGACCACTTCTTCAAAACCAAGAACATCGAGGCATACTGTGTTTGCCTGAACGGGGTAGGGCGGTATTTTCTTTCCAACGAAGCAACCAGCCACAGGATCCGGGGGTCCATAGAAAGGATTAGGAACTGCAGATCTTCTCGGATGGATTCCATCTATATAAGCAACTGCCTCTCGAGCCTCTTCTCACCCTCCCAGGTAGCACTTTGTGCTGACTATAGAGGATTCTTCAGATACTTCTTTAGGAAGGGGACCTTCGACAGAAATTCCTTTCTGTGGAGCTGTCTTATCAGAAGCAAGGCCACGCTTATATCGATGTTCCTGCATCCCTGGGTTTTCGAGGACACTGACTTTGTGGCTTCTCTTGTGCACCTTGCCGGAGTAAGTGAGCATATGATGAAAATGATAGTTCCTACCATTGAGATTATGCACAGACACTCGAAGTACAGATGTGTTGCTCTTGTCAGGTTGTATTCAAGCCTGTTGCAGTTTGAGAGCAGGGATTCCTGGACCCATATTATCGACAGTGCATTCCAGCTTGAAGCAGACAATGTTTTCAAGTGCAAGGTGGTCATGATGCTTCTCCAGAAAATGCCTGTAGACGTCCAAAGACAATATGTCCCCGCAATTAGAGCCTACATAAGCGAGGAAGAATCCCTCGATCTCAGAATTCTTTTCTCCAACTTCTGCGAAAGCATTGGAGTAGAGGCTTCAAATGTGGGCTATGACGACAGCTTCGACGAGGAACTTGATTTTATACGGTCCTATGCATAGCCAGCTGTGCTGTGAGGAAACAAATAAAAAAACAGATAGAACTTTTCTGAAAAAACAAGAAGAGAATAGTCGGCCTTTATTTTTTGTGTTTTTTGTTTGGCCTGACTGTCCTTCTGTGTCCTGTAAACGGGGTGCTCTGCTTCTTCTTCTTCTGCGTGATCATCACGTCGTTCTTCTTCGTTATCTGCAAGATTGGCTGGTGGCCTCTTCTCTTCCTTTCCTTTAGGAGCGCCTTGAGTTTTTTTGGGATCTCCACATCCCTGCGGATGAGTTTTGATACGACGGATTTGATGTCTTCCGCATGTCTTCTCCTGAACTCATCTGTGTACAACTCTAGGACTCCAAGACATCCTTCGAGATTTACTAGATGGGTACCGGAAAAGATGTTCAAGAGCCTGAGTACATGGGGAACTGCCTCCCTCCCCAACCTCCCGGCGGAAAGACATCCATCGTATGCCGACTGGATGAATTCTTGCGATAGTCTCTCCCTGTGGTTTTCCATCAGCGATACAACGGCTTCCAATATCCCGCACCTGAGAACCATGCTTTCGGATGCCATTCCGGCAATCATTAGCCTGCAATAGAGGTCAAACTCCTCGGCACAAAAGCCAGAGACAAGCTCCTCCAAGCTCTCCAGACAAACCCTCCGGGTCTTTGCATTTCCTGCCTTCAGTCCCACAACAAGGACAGGAAGCATCCTGTTAAGATACTCCTTCTTTCTGCCAGGAAAGCATCTGCATCCGATGGTGTATACGGAGTAGATCAGAGCTGCTCTCCATTTTTGTGAGCAGTCCTTTGTCTTCTCATCCATCTCATGGGAGAACAAGGCATCACAGATGCACAGATCAATCTTCTGGTGCTGCTTCATGTGCCACAGGAGTTGGTATGCTCTCTTTTGAATCTTGCCGTCCTCGGAAAGCGATAGCTCCATGAGCTTGCTGTAGATCTCAAAGTCGCAGTCCATCCTCGGGACAAAATACCTTGCAATCTTCAGTGCATCTGAAATCCCTGACAGGTTCCAGCTTCCAATGGCAATAGACTCAACCTGGGGATAAAGAAGAATGTATTGGAACACCCGATTGGAGAGTCCAAGGTCGTTTGTCTCTAGCAGCTTGAAGAGAGTTTGGTCCAGCTCGTCGGAGCATCTGGTGATGGCCATTGAGAGGACGTCCAGGGCAATCGCAGACTCCTGGATCGAGCCCAGGATCCTCTGAGACTCACCATTCGGAATGGGGTTTCTAAGAACCAGCTGGCTCTTGATGTTACTTTCATGTGAGTGTATCAGCTTTCTCAATCCTGTGCATATGGAGTTGAAGACGTTGGGGTTGCTCATGTTGGCCTTCATGATTTGAAGAAGCATTTCAATCGAATTGTTGTGATCCGATCCGTAGTTACAGAATGCGGGGAGACAGTTCAGGAGGATTGTTTTGTCAATTGATGCAGCACCTTTTCTTTCTTCTATGTCACGGTACAGCCTTATGAAGAGCGATATGTCTCCATTAGAAGAACACCGAATAACGGGCGCCCATACTCTAACTTCCTTTGATATGCCGTCCAGCAGCAGAAACAGATCCTCCATCCCCATAATTCCAACCACCGTGCCGAGGGCAAATCGATATCTGTCGTCTCCCTCCACAAACTTTCTTGCCATATGTCTTATCAGGTCTATGAATTCAGGGATGAGAATATGCCTCACAGATCTGATAAACTCATATATCTGCTCATTCTTCAGATTCAGCTCACACAGCTCTCTCACAATCTCCTTCTTGAGGCTGGCACTCAATTGCATCAGGCGCATCCCACTTCCTATGAATGCCCCCAAGTCCTTTTCGGCAAGCAGTGAAAATGTTTTCAGAAGCTTTCCTCCTCTGGGAAGAGGAATCTCAAAGAACACCAGAAGCTTCTCCATTATGTACTCGAAGGTCTTTTCAGAGGGGGCTTCGGCCTTCATCTCCATTGAGGTGTAGTTGTAGAGCAGGTCGCAGCATTCGGAATATAGTGCTCTGACATCGCTGCACCCAGTGTCCTTGAACAGTTCTGGATTCGCAAATTCATCAAGCTTCGACACTGCATCGGCCTTATCCACAATGGCATCAAAGAAACAGTTGATGTGCCTTATCAGCTCGGTACCCTGGAGCCTAGATATATGGCTAAGAAGTTCCTCTCTGAACTCGTCCATCTTGAGATACTGCTTTGCAAGCTCTATGGACCTTGTCTTGAGCCCTTTCATCCCAAAGCAATCCTCAACAAGGATCCGGAAGTGGGCCATGCTGTATCTCTTACTCTTTATAAAGTGCTTGATTATCTGGAGCCCCTGGAGATGGATCTTCTTGTCCTTAAAGTCCAAAAGGATTCTCCTAATAAGCTCCGCGCTGCTGTTTTCAGCAATGTAGTCTTTGTGGGCAATGATTATCTCGAGAAGCTCCTGCATCCGCGAGTAGTCCCTTCTCCTGCTCATCTCCAAAAATGTGCCGACCGCTGCACTAGCAATGTTCTCTGGCGTGTCTTCAACCCTCTCTGAGGCAACGGCATGTCTTATCGCATTCAGAACTTTCTGGGCATCCGGACATAATTTCGCCTCCATTGCTGGGCAATTTTTTGGGCGATATTAACGGCTCCAAACCAAACGGCTAGTTGAAGGGAATTATTTAATAGATCACTGGACCTCCTCAACGGGCTCTTCGCACCTCACCTCCTCGGAGCAGAGGAAGTCGAAGACGTTGGCGCAGAATCCCTTGGGGTCAGACAGTACAAACCCATTGTGAATAAGAACCGTCTCGAAAAACACCTCCAAGATCCTATTCATCTTCTCGATCTCGTTACTGTCGAAGAGCGCCTTGAGATTCTTGACAAGCTGGTGGTTTGGATTCATCTCAAAGATCTTCTTGCTGACCGCTGTCATGGCTGCAAACGGGTTTGCCTCGGTAACAGGCTGGGATTTCATTATGTTCTCCATGGTTCCAGACAGAGAGTACTTGGTGGTGGAGATGACCGCAGGAACGCTCACAAGCCTTGGGTTCACAGTAACCTTCTCAACCTTGCTGGAAAGAATGTCCTTCACCTTCTTGCAGAACTCCTCAAACGACTTGACAACCTCTTCGTTGCTTGCCTCGTCCTCGGGAAGCTCAACGCCCTCGCTTGTTATCCTCTGGATAGTATGCCCCTTGTACTTCTTGAGCCCTCGGAGCATGACCTCGTCCATCACCTCATGCATGTATATCACCTCGTACTTCTGGAATGCATCCAGGGCCGGATTCGACTTGACCTGCTCCTTGCTGAGCCCAGTTATCACATAGATCTGCTTCTGGTTTGGCGCCATCCTCTCCACGTACGTGTCCAGTGATATGGCCTCTTCCCCACTCTTCGTGGTGAAGTACCTCAGGCACTTGGCGTATCCGTCCTGCTGCCCCTCGCTTGCCTCTCCAATCGCCATCTTCAGACAATTTCCAAACTCCTTATAGAATGTCTTGTACTTCTCGGCATCAAGAGCAAGCTTCCCTATCATTTCAAAGATCTTCTGTGGGAGAGTCTTCTTAACAAGCTTCATCACATTTGTCCCCTGGATCATCTCCCTGCTGATGTTCATGGGAATGTCATCAGAGGCAACCACCCCGCTGACAAACGACATCCACTCCGGAATAGCATCTCCAAAGTCATCAGTCACAAACACATTCTTGCAGTACAGCTTGATGTTGTTGTTCTTCTTGTTCTTATTGAACATGTCGAATCTTGCCCTCTTCGGAATAAACATCAGAAGCTCAATCGACAGAAGCCCCTCAATATGCCAGAAGTCAACCGCGAGGAAATCGTCCCAGTCTCCGGAAACCGTCTTGTAGAAGCTCTTCAGCTCTTCCTCAGGAACCTCCTTTATGTTTCTCTTCCACAACGGCTTCTCAACATTGATCTGCTCCCGCTCGGTAACCTTCTTCAGTCTCTTCTCCCGTACCTCCTCAACCCTCGGCTCGGCCGTCTCCTCCTCGACCTTTTCATCTTCCTTCTCTTCATCCTTCTTTTCCTCCGGCTCCTCAATCTCCTTCTCTACATACGTGTAAATAGGATAGAACACAAACAGAGAGTATTTCTTCACTATCTCACTGATCCTCTTTGGATCGAGGAACTCCTCCTCTCCTTCCTTGATGTACAGCACCAGTGACGTCCCATGTGCAAACGGCTCTCCATCATACTCCTCTATTGTGTACACGTCCCTTCCAGTGGACGTCCACACAAGCGCCTCGTCAGAGGGGTGCTTGGTTATCAGGTCAACCCTCTCGGCCACAAGGTACGAGGAGTAGAACCCGAGACCAAACTGCCCAATCAGGTTGGAGGCATCAGCAGAGTTCCCTTTCTCTTTCATCTCCTCTCTGAACTTCTTGGTTCCACTACTTGCAATAGTTCCAATGAAGTTCATCAGGTCGGGCTTCGTCATCCCAATCCCGTTATCCTTGATCGTCAGCGTCCTGTTATCCTTGTTCGGAATAATCTCAATCCCCAGGGATGTGACGGGATCAAGCACACATCCCTTCTCTCGGAGCTGGAAATAGAGCGCCTTGAGCTTGTCGCAGGCGTCACTTGAGTTCGACACCAGCTCCCTGAGAAACAGCTCCTTGGACGAGTACACGCTCTTGATCATCGTGTCCATCATCTGGTTCACATCAACCTCAAATCCGTGTGTCTCAGAATGCTTGTCCTTGATCTTGCCTTCTACCAATGGCTCCTGGTTCGATGACATTAATCGCTAGGGAATCTTCGGTTAAATATTTTCGTCTTCCCAGAAACAACAGGAAAAATCTAGAAAAACAGTCCCGCCTCCAAGAGGATTCCAAGCTAAGCTGCATAGTAAACCACGTCTATTTAATCAAGGACAGAAACCTCACGAGCTCGGAAACACAACCATCGTATGAGTCATAGGTCTTGATGTTCTCCGCAACCCACTTCGACAACTGGCTCTGCACCCTCTTCTCAGAGTACCTGCTGTCAAGGAGCATCACTATCCCCCAGTCGTCCTTGTGCCTAATTGCCCTCCCAAGTGCTTGGTTCACCGCACGGAACGCCTGTGCCTCGTACCAGAGTCGCCCGTTGAAGCTCTTGTACTTGTCGTTAAACTCCTTCTTAAGCTCCACCTGTGGATCGTGCAGGCTTGGATACGGAATCCCAACTGCAATAACCGCCCTTGCAAAGGAATCCTTGAAGTCTATTCCTTCACTTGCCTTTCCCCTGTAGACACACATAAATACAGCGCTCTGCTTCGTCGCTATCCTGTTCTTATATCTTCTCATCACCTTCTCAAATTCATTTCCTGCCCCGCTTTTCGGCTCAACCAGCAACCCAGAGCTCACCCCGCCCATTCTCTTCTGCAGATTCTCCAGAAAGCTGTAGCTTGGAACAAACACTAGTGTTCCTCCGTGGTCCTTGATTTTGCACGACACATCCACTATCACCCGGCAAAGCTGGTCCAGATACTGAGGAGTGTCGGAAACCCCGTATGTCCCAATCAGCTCCTTCAGCAGATGCCCCTTCCGAACACACGAAACAAACACCTGCTTCTGTGTAATCAGGTGAGGTGCGACAATTGTGTGTGCAAACTCATGCCCCAGCTCAGACGAAAACGACGAAAACGGCGTCAGCGTCCCAGATAGAAGCACAACGGATCGGACCTTCCCGACAAACGACCTGAATGTATATCCACCGTCAAGAAGCCAGAAGTTGTAGGAAAACCTGCATGACCTGGAGTTCTTCACATTCTCGTCATTCATCTTGTGGAACACAAACGAATATGCGTCGCAATCGCTGAAGTGGATTGCAGACAGAACAGAATCAAGGCCTTCCAGCACGTGGAATGTGCTTACATTCAGCAGATCCTTTGCATCCTCGCTCTTTTGGATCGCATAAATCGAGTTCTTGATCTTCAGAACAAACTCTTTGCCTATCCCCATTCTCTCAAGCTCCTCCTTTATCTCCCGGCCCTTTCTTATCCGAAGCTTCCCTCCGGCCGTGACTCTGTCAAACTCGTCCGTGCTCTCTGCCCCCTCCCGGAGCTTCCTGAAGAAGTCCATCAGATTGACAAAGTCCATCCTGATCTCTCCAAGCGCCCCGCTCCTCTTCACAGCTCCAAGTATCTCGTTCTGGATTATCTCCATTATCCGGGAGCTGAGCTCAATCGACCCAGACGACCTGCATACGTCCTCTATGTTGTGTGCCTCGTCAACAATCACCACGCTATTTTCGAGACTGATCCCCGTGCTCTCTCTTATTCTGGAGTCAATGAGGTAGTTGTAGGGCGCAAATATAACTTCTGCATCTTCGTTCAGAATCCGGGAGGCATAGTAGGGGCATCCAACACATCTCCGGCCCTCGCCCTTCAGCTCCTCGATGTCAAAGATCTTGTCTCCCACCTTCTTCGCAAGCCTGTCCTTTCCAGTAAAGTAGGCACAGCTCCCGCTCTTCACCAACTCGCTGCATCCCGTGTTCTTGTCTGCAACATCGCTAAGCTTCGGGGATATGCAGTACTGGGCTCTGCTTGCCAGTATCGAAATCCTCGGTCTGTATTGCGTCTTCCGAAGCTGGTCAACTAGCTGGTCAAGCTGCTTGTGAGTGCGCGAGCATATAATTATCTTCAGCTTCTCCTCCCTCGCTTCTTCTCCCTTGGGCCCTCCCCCTTCTCTCCGCTTGGCCCCGATACCCCTAATACTTCTCTTCAAGTGCTCGTTGTATCCAAGCACCGCACATATTATCGACAGGCTCTTGCCCGTCCCCGTCGGGCTTTCAACCAGCCCGCTCGTTCTCGTCATCAGGCAGGATATAAGCTTTGTCATCGTGACTATCTGCGCAGGATACGGCTCAAAAGGCATTTCAATAGGAACCCCGCTTATCTTGATCCGAGCCATTCACCAGGGCACGGCTTTTCAGAAGATTTCCGTTTCTCCTTCCAAAACCTAGGCAAAAGATCTGCGCCCAATCAGAAAACAACAGATAGAACTAAAGACTCGTTTTAATGGCTAGCAATGTCCTTGTCATAAACCCTGTAACATCTCCCACACTTGAATCCAGACTGGATCTTTCCGCAGAAGACTTCTGTCCCACATACTTCACATGAGACGCCATTCATCTTGACCTTGTCATCCGTGACAGTAAAGTTGTCCAGCCACGACAGCCCTCTCTTCTTCCGAGGCTCCTTGACCTTCTTCGGCGTCGAGAAGTCCTTCTTCTTCTTCTTTGCACCTCCTCCGCGAAGCCGAAGCACCAGATGGAGAGTAGACTCCTTCTGTATATTGTAGTCAGACAGGGTTCTCCCATCCTCAAGCTGCTTTCCTGCAAAAATCAGCCTCTGCTGGTCTGGCGGAATCCCCTCCTTGTCCTGGATCTTGGCCTTGACATTGTCAATAGTATCTCCAGGCTCAACCTCCAGCGTTATGGTCTTTCCCGTCAGCGTCTTCACAAAGATCTGCATGTCTAACTTCGTGGGTTAAAAAAATTTGCTTATAATCCAGGCAAAACAAGCCTCAACACTCTAATGGAATCGTCCCGCCATCCCCAGCTCTCATGTAAACACACGCAGCTCACTCCCGTTTGCTGCATATAGCCAGGGAAGCTGCGGGTGGAACAGGATGTTTCTGTATCTCCCGGGAATTCTCTTGACAGGGACAACTAGGTCAGTGTCTACATTGTTGTAGAAGATAACCATTTCCGTGGGATATGCAACACACATAAGGTTGAGTCTCCCATGCTGAACCACCTCTGTCCCTACGTCCTCCTGAAGCATTGTTCTCTGCACAACGTTTCTTGAGCAATCATACACTATTATCTTGTTCAGGTTATTGAGCAGTACAATCTTGTCGTCCGAGATGCTAAAGAAGTCGAGGATGAACGAAAACTCCTTGGCCTCTTTCACCACCCTTCTGGAGGAAAAGTCATAGATAATTAGAGAGTTTGCTGTGGAGATGACCATCGTGTGTGAAGACCCCTGGAACTTTGCTCTCAGAGGCGTTGTTCCTTTAAGTCTCAAGGCCTCCAAGACACTTCTTTTCTTAAGATCGTAAACCACAATCCTCTTCCCGCAGACCACGCTGATGTATCTTCCATCGCGATGAGCTTCCATGTCGTTCATCTTTTTGTCGGCCTTTATCACAGTACACACGCAGCTCCTAGATCCCTGATCCAGATCCTCTCTGCTCCACATCGGGAATTCCCGCCGGAAGAAAGGCTCCTGGGCTGGATACTCTTCTCCAAAGACATCATCCACAACACACACGGCATTGCTGGCTAGCAACACGCATATCGACCCACCCCTTGTAAACATGATCTTCCGAATCTCCGAATCAAAAAGAACATGCCTAAGCTTCACAAAACCTCGGAGCTCATAAACCCCCATCTTCCTTCCTTCACCCACCCCGGCAATCCTGAAGTCCTGGCTAATGCCGACTCGGATGGACTCTTCAAACTTAAAGAGTAGCCCAATCTCCTCTGGAAACGGCCTCAATGTTTCTGCCTTGGGTAGCTCTCTGATCAGATCTTTCAGCCTGTAGTCCTTTCCGTCTCGGGGCTCGTAGAGCCTTAGATACATCCTTCTCATACTTCTTTCGAGATCCTCCCTCCCGTATCTCAGCAGCTCCACAGGGCCAGAGTATTCCTCCTCCACCTTCACAAGCATGTCCTGCTCATAGCTGTTCAGATCGTCGAGGCCTTCTCCTTCCCATACATCACCAATTTCGTTCTTGTTTTCCTCCTTGGCAGTCTCTTTCCTGGCACTCCATCTCTTCCTCCGGGATCTTTCGGCAGTCCTTGGCGGAGCCACCCTCTTTCTTATCTCTATTCCTTCATTCATCGTCTTTCTGCTAAAGCTGAGATTCAACGGCCTGTATAGATCGACATCAGGGTCCATGCAGGCATTCCTCCTGTAGCTTCTTATGAGCTTCACGTCCTCCTTTGTGATCACAAACTCCTTCCCTTGGGATTTGACCTTGCGCCGGTTCTTCACAGGCCTTCTCTCAAGAAACTTCTCAATCCTCTCCATCCTTCAAAGGGTACTTTCTCGGGATTCACATCATCCAATGACAGGCAGATCTCACAGCAAGAAACGCAAGCCCCAGATGATTGTGCATAATGTCGAGGAGGGGCAGTACACCGAGGACAAGGCTGCACTGGAGGAGCTACTGAAGCTGAGGTCATTGCCAGAGTCTATAGAAAAGCACATGGCGATTGTCCAGATGGTTGCCGACGACTACTTCTCCTGGAACAAACTCAAGGAGCACCTTCTGTCGAATCCCTCGGATTTCGGGACCCAGCTCAGGATCTGTGAAAACGCCCTGAGAGGCAATCCCAAGTCTTACCAGCCCTGGCATCACAGGAAGTTCATGATGGAAAGATTCCAAAAGCAGAGGGAGAAGCACCTTGGCAGAGAGGACTTTCTTACAAAGCTTTTGCTCGATTCTGATCCCCGGAACTTCCACTGCTGGAACTACAGGATGCTTTTTCTCAGAACCAGGACCGGAAGAGACCTGTTCAACTACTCGTATTTGCACCATTGCTCAGGATCTGAAGACCCGCTCTCTATCATCTATACCGATCCTTTGGACCCAACGTGCTGGGAGTATTTCTACATATGGAGGGAAAGGAGAAGAATGAGGCGTGGCATGTACATTCGGAGATACAGCAAGCATCTGGAGATTAGGTTTGAAGAACCTTTCTGGGGGAAGCTTGTTTTTGAAGGAGGAGGGGTTGAAAGGATGGTGTCCTCTGAATTTGCCACCAAAATCGTCATGATCGGGGAGTCCGTAGAAGCTCTTGGGAAGTACAGGGTGGCGCTAAATGGGAAGGAAGTGGACCTGGGCCCAGAAAAGGAAGACTTCGGATTTCTGCACGAGGTCCTTGAGGCAGAGTCCAGGTGCCACGGTGCACTGCTGGCTCTTCTAGACTATGTGGATGAGGAGACAGAAAGAGCCAGCATTATAGAAAGAATTGCCACCCTGGATCCCGCTCGGAGAAGTTACTATAGCACCTTGCATGGAAGGTTTTACTGTGTGTACATCCCCGGGTCTGGAGAATAGAGTTCCAAAAATAAAGGAAGATAATTTACTTGGTCAGCTTCATCATTGCATCAACAACATCGTATTCAGACTCGACAAGCGCCTTGATTATGTCGTTCCTCGAGGCCTTGACCTGTGAGCTAATGAGTTTTATGTCTTCCTCAGACAGCCTCTCATCGCTGGGATCGACGGTTATTTCCTCTGCTTCCTTCACACCATCCTCCTGCGGATCGCTGTGGATCTCATCGTATAGGCCAGGGCCTTCCTGGTCCTTAGAGCTTCTGATGCTGTCCTCATACATCCTCTTGAGCTGATGAAGGTTAACCGGGCTTCCTAGATCTCCAAATATAAGAATGGAGTCTGTCCCTTTTATCCTATAGGCCACAGGGCTTTCGACGGAGTACCTTGTGTCTTTGACGACTATGGCTATCCTTTCCACCGCCTCGACTTCCTCAAGACCTACTTTTGCGCCAAGGGTTTTGTGGATGTGGGACTCATCTGTTGTAAGTGCTCTGGCCATCTGTAGTGGGCGTGCGGAATTGGCAATTTATTTTGTGTGCTAACAAGGGAATGTGGCGGCATGGAAGGCGCGAGGTGAGGGGTTGTGGTCTAGTGGTATGATACCTGCTTTGCACGCAGTTGGCCCGGGTTCGATTCCTGGCAACTCCATTTTGCCAACAGGCGCCGCGTCCTAGCTTTCTGCACAGCAATCTTGTCATCCGCATTCCTTCAAATAAGGTTAAGGTTTCCCAACCGTGCTTCTGCTCTTATTGAGCGCAGCCCAGCACCTCCATGTCCAGCGTTGAGTCTTTCTATGGCAGAGTTGAGAACGAGTCAGACTGCCTTGTCTTGATCGACTTGGCAAGGCGGGGCCTCATTCCAAGAGTCCAGCGCAGGCTCACGTCGAGGGAGCGGAAGCAGATCCGCCATGGAAGTGTTTTCATATACTGCGAAGAGGAGAGCAGAATCAGGAGATGGACTGACGGCATGTCCTGGACCCCATCGAGAGTCCAGGGCGTCTTTCTGATGTACAGGCAGCTTCTGAGCAGCAATCCAATGATGAAAAGGACATACTCAGCAACATGCGGAGATAGGAGCTTCCACATAGTGGGATATCTCCAGGCGCATCCTCTGCACGATGAGCCTCCGTCTGCATCTGTCCTTTATAGAGGAGTCGACTTCCCAACAGACATCAGGATAAAAAAGAAGTTCAGCTTCCAAGATGAAGACCGTTGTAAGAGCACACCCAGGCCGGTCGAGCCTGTGGAGGCCAATGAGGATCTTCCGTTCGACGTTTACTGGTATTAGTAGGTGGTCTTCACCCCTGGACACCATGATAAGGATAGGTCCTCCGTAGCTTTGATAGGAAGTAAATTCTCCCTTTTGGAATCTATTAGAGCCTACACTCCCCACGACAACCAAGGTGTATACCGCCATCTTCCACCAACTCTGATGCCATCTGGGCTAGAAAAGCGCAGACGAACACCACAGCAGAGCCTCCATTTAGATCTCAGTAACCCAGCTTCGTGCATCTTGCCCGCACTGGAACAAGAAAAGAAATACCAACACTTTATTGCTAACAACATCCTACAAGCCATCAGTTCTTTGGGTCTTCTTGTTCCCTCCCTATGCTCCTCTCGGCCGTGTACATCCTCCGAACCACCAGCGCCCCTATGCAGATAGAAACAGAATACTTGTTCAGTAGAAAACAAATGATAGGCTTGAAAAGAAGTCTAATGTATGTGTATAGGAGAAGCAGATACATATCGTCCGTGGGCTTGATCTTTAGGACATACTTGAAGGCAAGCATCAGGCTTTTCTTCACACCATAGCCGTGCTCATACATGTAGCTGACATTGTAGCATCCTTCCGGGTCTCCCATGAGAGCCGCAGATATGTAGAATGCAAATGCATCACTGTGCGACCTTCCAACACCCACCCCGTAGAAGTAGGCATCGCCTATCCTGTTGACAACATCCTGGTCTCCCTTTCTGAGAAGCTTCATGTACAGACTGAAGAGTATCTCCTCCTGCCTCTCCAGAACCGAGTGCCTCTGGAGAACATACACGGCATTTCTTATGGAGGAAACAGACCCAAGCTCTGCACACATGAGCAGCGCCATTGCACACTGTCTGTATCTCCCAGACACAAAGTTCGCCTCTGCCCTTTTCCTTAGGTCGTACACAATGTCCGAATAGTCCATAATCGGATGAAACCTGATGCAGGCATTGATATATTCTCTGTTCATGTAGTAGTTCAGCCCGTCTCTGCAGATGGCAGGAAGATATCCGTACATAAGAGCAGACTCCATGTGGGAGCTCGACCTGTGCATGTATTCGGGCCTCCTGACCATAAGAAGATACATCAGATACTCCGCCTCGCCAGACTGCCCAAGCCTATTTGCCAGAGCCAGGGCCGACTTTGCATTCTTGTAGTCTCTGTATTCGTCTGACATCAGTATCTTCCCAACCCCACAGGCCCCCATCGTGTCTTGCATCTCCTTTCCTCTGGAGAAAAAGTACATGGCCTGGTCGAGAGACCTCTTCACCCCAATCCCGTGATAGTATATCTCCCCTAAGTACCCAAATGCCCTTGCATACCCGCTCTTCACAAGGAACTCTATCACATCAATGTAGTCTCCAATGTATATCTTGCGGTTGTCCAGCAGCGACAGAAAAAGCCTCGCTGATACATCGTCTCCAGAATAGACCATCGTGACAATGTTGCTTACCCCCCTCTTCGACAGGAAGTTCTTCTCGAGCTTTCTAAAGGGCTCCCCAGCAAGGAACGCATGGGAATTCCGCAGGTACTTTCTGGACACCCTTGCTGCCACACTCCAGAGCAGGTCTGCAGCAAGCTTTGCTCTTTCGTTCGTGCTGCCTGACTCCATCGACATCACCCCGAGGACGATATTCCTAGCATCCTTGTGGTTGCCAGAGCCGGCTATGTCAAGAAGAGCCTCCTTCTCCTTTCCCATAAGCACCTTCTTGACAAAATAGCCGTAGAAGTAATCCAGTGGCCCTTCTCTCGTCTCGCAAAGATGGATGGCACGCTCCACATCTCCCTTCTCCAGCAAAGCCCTTTCCAGAGACGTGCACACGGCAAGCACGAGATGCAAAACAAACATTAGCCCTCAGAGCCAAAACTTTTTTATTATCCTTCGTTGTGCCTTGCCACCTTGCAGCCATCTCCGTCCGGGCTCGCTCCCAAATCTCCGGCAAAGGCTTATGAAATATTTTTGTGCTCACCCCTGTGCTTCTCTTCACTGGTGGTGTAATTCTTTGCACTATTCGTTCCCGAGAAGCAGAGCAACATCTGGCCCATACCATTGCCAGTTCACATTTTGTTCTAACACGTGCCCTTTCCGAAGATTGCGCATATGCAGTCTCCCTTCAGCAGGTATCTTCCGGTCTCGCCATCAACCACAACATTCATGTACTCATCAAACCCAACGATCCTCCCCTTGTGCTTGGCTCCCATGTCCTTTTCCCATATTTCCACGTCAATCGACCTGGACAGGAAGTCGTATATCTTCTCAAGAGGAAGCACACTTCTGAGTTCTCCACCCATCTTCTCCAGCCGACTTTTCACTTTTAAGGCCCAGCGAAGATGCCGCGGATTAAATTTTCTGTACGTCGCGTAGAAAAACACCTCCAGTAAACCATAAATTGAAAAACACCCCATGCCCCTGCGTCGAGGATACTATTCAGAATCATTTGTTTAGTCGACCAAAAAACGCCAACTAGCAGCAATTGCAATTCCACGAGGCTAGGATGACGAGTGACGACAGCAGGCCCTTACGGAAGCCGAGATATCTATCTCATTGATGACAGATGCTCCTCTGGAGTGTGGGCCTGCTGTGTTCCGACTAGTCTTTTTATTATAATGTTTTTATTTGTGTATCCTCCCTCTTGCTATGCAGCGAACGACTCGTTGAAGGTTGGGAACTTGTACTTCTCTGTCAGCGACTTCTCCCCGCTCACTATTCCGTTGAGGATCTTCTTTAGCTCATTCTCCGTTACCTCGTACTTCTCCAGTATGCACCTGTTGACATACTCTGCCAGCCTTCTCCTTCTTTCAACCACTGCCTCCTTTTTGGAGTTGAACACGACAAACTCAAGAAGATCTTCGAAGTGCTGTCCCAGAGACGGGTTTTCTTCAACAATGGAGGACAACTCCGAGCGTACAAACTCAAGAACCTCTTCAAGAAGAACAAACACCTTCTGCCCGTCCATGTTTTCACTGTCGCCTCTTGTCGCCTGTGCCTGTTCGCAAGCCTTCTGCTCCATGAGGAAGTAGTACAGCTCAATGTTGCTGTCTATTATCTCCGAGTTCAGATCGTTTATCTTGGATATTGCCATGTCGATATTTCCCTCCTCGATTGCTCCTCTTATCTGGGACCTGTGGTCCAGAAACGAGGACGTAGCAAACGGGATCTCAACATCCTTAGCAAACTCGGCTGCAACATCTCCCAGGCCCTCGTGCATCAGGTAATCAAGAACCAGGCCATTGAGATCGGGGACCTTCACACTGACCACGGAAAGCCACTCCTCCATCTTGTTTTCGTAAGACTTCGACTTTGTCTTGTCAAGGCTCATCGCTAGGGATCGATTGTTTACAGAGTTATCTCCGATCTGCCAAGTGGCATGGGCGGAATTCATCATCTATTCATGCATATCCCGCTGCACACATGCTCGCTACGAACTCCTCGGAACGATCTGAAGCTAAAGAATCCTTTTGGCCCGGTCTTCTCCGAACTTGCAACAACCCAGATCAAATACTCGAGATGCATGTCTCCCAGGTCGCTGAGGCTGAGTCCTTCTGTAAGCCTGCAAATATCCTCGACAGACATGAAGGACACACAGTTCTCGACCAGATACCCAATAAATCTATCCCGTCCATATATCCCAATCCTTTCGGCGGCCTTGGATACATCGATGGCCTTTGAATGGAATAGCCTTCCAAGCAGATGGAATATCGACATTGCCTCATTCCCTGAAGAGTACTTGTAAAGCCTAATGGCATGAAGGTTTCCGTCAACCTGCAAAGCTTCTGCATCGCTCAGGCCGTAGAACTTCTGGATCTTTCTGTTCGAGACCTTCCCGAAGTTCACGGTGACAACATTTGGAAGCATCTTTCCGATGGAGAGCAGCGTCCTGGTTTCAATAACCAAGTTCCTCATCCTCTCCAGTCTTTTCCTATGCTTGGACAAATGCTCGTAGCCATCCAGATCGGTGAGGCATATTGTGTTCCGCGTCGGAAGCATGTTTCTATACATCCCAATATCCTCGATGTATTCTACAGACAGGCCCAGAGAATGAGCTGTTTTCTCTATGCTGTAGGTCTTTGACGATCCCGGAGGCCCACAGACCACCACCATTGCATCCCTAACCTTTTCGAGTGCAGACCTCAGCTCCTTCTGCTTGGACGGTGCAATGAAATCCATTGTCGTGGGCTTCCGGATTCCTGCATATCAATCGCTCATGCCAGCCATCCGAAACAAGTTTTTGATCGGGCTACAAATTCAGGAGACAGCCTGTAAATAATGAGGCTTCTGATGGTCTCCGTTGTCTTTGCTTCGAAGGCGTTCTCCAAGGCAGAGGACTCTTCCGCAAGGTCGACAGACAACATCTTCAAGAAGTTCCTGGAGGTTGCAGTGAAGGACGAGCATAGCAGGCTTGCAGTCTCCAAGGACAAGAAGCACGGCGTGCCCCATATCCAGGACATAGAGCATCCTAACCAGAGGAAGAAAACCGTGATAGTTGTGGAGGAGGACTCCGATAAGAAAAGCGTGATCCTGAATCCAAAGGTGGGACAGAAGATAACCGGCATCGACGGTGAAGCCGACAAGAAGAAGAGGCTGCCTCCAAAGCACAAGGACCCTAGGGCAACCGAAGACACCCCAAAGCCAGAAATCCAATCTGAGCTTACATTTGAAACGCCCATCTCTGCATCATTCCTTCTCAAGCCTCTGGAACCGAAGAAGGAAGTTTCTTTCACCCAGGTCGAGATCAAGGAGGTAAAGGAAGAGCTTAAGGCTCTGGAGCGGATCTCGAAGGATCTGGAGTCTCTAAAAGGCCGGTTCCAATCAACCTTCAGGAGGATTCTGAGCCCAGAAAAGGAAGAAAAGGGCCCAAAGCCCCCCACAGACCTCCTGAACTATAACTTCATAGAGGTCACAGAGACAGGGCAGCAGGAGAAAAAGTGACCGATGCATCCATTTAATCGGCAATAAAAGACTTGTCTTTGGACCTCTTCTGGCAGTAGCAGATCGATCAAACATCGAAGATGCAGTACAAATGAAATATGCCATCTTCCTCAAAGACTCTCAGACCGCACAGGGTGACTGCCTTGATTTCACAGAGGCTTTGACATCTGGATCCACTGGTCACGGCATAGTCACAGACAAGAAGGCCATTCCTCAGAAGTACAGCGGCCTCTGTAACAACCAGGCCCTCGCCGTACATCAGGTCCATGAAGTGTGTCAGAAGGCCCACCATGTTCATTTCGTCTGATGTCTCTGACAGCTCAACCCTCCCGAGTCTTCGGTCCGTCGCCGATATCCTCACTGAGCAGCTCATCATTCCTTTGATGGCCACCTCATACAGCTCTGGAAGGCTGGAGGCTGTGCAATGCATCTGGATGTCTGCGGGATGGTCGAGAAACTCTATGGACTCCAGGCTTTTTCCTGCGGTGGCTCTCATGGCCGTGTGGCTGGTGCCCTGCATCTGGTATTGAGGGTCTGTGTGGCCAACCCTGAATGTCGAAAAGAAATGAGGATCAAGTGAACTACAATGTCTTTGCACTGATATATACATCATTTGTCAACAAAGTCATCAGAGACAGGGCAGACAGAAGCAAGGAAAGGCTGTTTGCGATTGGATTGAGGATCGGAGAAAGGATGGCAGACGACTTTTTCCTTGTGTCCAAGCCCAGGAAGCCCATGAGCCTGGTAGATGTTTCGAGAGACATATCGGAATCCTTCTTCCCACACTACTTCTCGCTCCGTCCCACATGCAACGGATGCATCATTGGGCTGGGGAAGTTTCTGGTACTTCAGTACACAAAGAAGGAGGAGGAATGCCTGGAGATGATCTGTGGAATCCTGCAGAGTGTCTACAGCCATGTGTCCAGGGACAGTATCAAGTTTGAAGCCATGGAGCACAATGGAGAGCATTGCATAGTGGTGCGGAAGAAGACGGATTTGGCGGGGCCTTCTGTGGTGGGACTCAGAGAAGAGGCTTCGGAAGAAAGCTAGGATGGCAGCGAATGTTCCTTCCAAATATGGCAGGCGGCAGAAATACTGTGTGTACAAACAACCCATGATTTTTGTGCTGTACCTTGGGCTGATAGTCGGAGAGATCTTCTCTGTGCGGCGGAAAAGAAACATTGAGATTGAGTTTGATGTGATTGAGAACAAGATATGCAAGGGATATCTCAAACCGATCAACTGCAAGAACTCCAGCTTTAAGGCATTGCTCGAGTCTGAGGGGGGGAGTGTTTATCTGTCGAGTGAGAGCCTCCCTGTGGACACCGAGACGCACTTCTCGTTCAACATAAGTGAGCCAAAGGTGCTGTCGATGGTTCTGACGCCTGTTGTGATTGATGGGAGCCAGCCCTACACGTTTGGAGAGATAGAGCTTGACTTTACTGCGCAGTTTGACACATTCAAAAAGGATGTTGCCAAGAAGGTTAGCGTGGAGCCGGCGATGGCAGCGATGACGAAGCTGGACAATCTGCTGCACGAGCTTAACAACGAGTCTGAGTATCTCGCGCACAGGATGGGGAGTGTTGACTACGAGCATCGGAGGATGTTTTCTTTTGTGACGGTGTTTTCTGTAATAACTCTTGTTATCTACTTTGCGGTGAATTCATACGAACTGTATTCTCTCAAGAGGTTTTTCCAGAGGAAGAAGATGATATGAGATTAAATGTTTGTTTCTTATAGCTAGTTTGGTGGATGGTTTTCCAGGGCGGGTGGTTTTTAAGATGTGGAAATAAACAATCCAGAGATGGAAGGTGATGTCTATTCGCTGGACAAGGCTGTGAAGAGCAAGAAGAAAAGGGGGATTCCACAGGATGTGGTTGAAGAGGCTGAAAGGATTGAGGAGCAGAACTACGAAAGGGCCAAGGGGGTCCGGATGCAGCTTGACGAGTCTGCTCTGAAGCAGAAGGCAACGACTGAAGAGCTTATGAGGCAGGGAGAGACGCTGGAGAATGCAAAGAAGGCGGCGATTGGGATAAACACAAATGCCAGAAGAGGGTCTGAGCTTACCGAAGATATTGATCGGGAGGGAAGGGTATTTAGCTGCGAGCTTCCGTGTGTCAGGACGATAAAGAGATGGTTCCGGGGAAATAGAGGAAATATTGATGACATTGTGGACAGGAACCAGGATAGCGGGAGCGAGTCGGAACGCATGCCGGAGCGAGTGGAGTTTGAGGAGGACGGAGAAGAGTACATCAAGGGCCAGAACAAAACCGACCGCGAGATGGTAGGGGTGCTGAATGCGGTAAGGCAGATAAGGGCCGAGGCAGATAAGCAGAACAAGGAGTCTGCCAGGCACAAGAGTATTGTGAATGACATATCGATGATCAACGAGAGGTCTGAGAAGGTGATCAAGGACACCGACAAGGAGCTGAAGAAGGTGGAATGATTTCCAGCGCCACTCTGAGTGCCTGGAGAGGTGGAGCACGTGAGCTCTTGGGTTGATTTTGAAGTGGTGTGGAGCCCTGGATGGAAAACATTGTAATTATAGGAAGTGGGCCTGCAGCATACAATGCAGCGCTGTATGCAATGGACAAAGAGCCTCTGCTTTTTGAGGGAGGATACATAGGAAACAACGGGCCTGGAGGACAACTGACGACGACAACATCTGTTGACAACTATCCGGGGTTTCCGGACGGGGTTGAAGGCCCGGTGCTTACCGACCTGATGAAGGACCATGCTGTTTCGCGGGGGCTTCGTGTGGTCAAGGAGACTGTCTCCGACCTGAGGAAGGAGGGCGAGTGTTTTGTGGTTGTTAGCGAGAAGGGAGAGCGCAGGGCAAGAGCCGTCATTGTTGCCACTGGGGCGTCGGCAAGGCGTCTTTTTGTTCCTGGAACGGGAGACGGGGAGTTCTGGCAGAGAGGAGTGAGCTCGTGTGCTGTGTGCGACGGGTTTGCCTATACCAACAAGATCACCTGTGTTATTGGGGGAGGAGATGCAGCCATGGAGGAGGCGCTGTATTTATCGGGGATTGCCAAGAAGGTTTACATTATTCACCGGAGGAATGAGTTTCGTGCGAGAAACGACATGGTTGAAAAGGCGCGGGAGACTGTGAATATCGAGATGGTGACGCCCTATGTGCTTGAAAGTGCACTAGGGACGAGCAAGGTTGAAAGGATCACCATCCGCAACGTCGAGACGGGAGAGATGAAGACGATTCCAATGGACGGAGTGTTCTTCGGGATAGGGCACGATCCAAACACTTCGTTCCTGAAGAACACAAAGGTGGAGATGGACCTTAACGGGTACATCGTGGTGAGGGACGAAGTGTACACAAACATTCCAGGGCTCTTTGCAGCTGGAGACGTTTGCGACAAGAAGTATCGGCAGGCTGTGACGGCGGCGGCCTCTGGGGCTATCAGCGGGATGAAGGCGGTGGAGTTTTTGTGCAAGGAATAAATGTTTTCTTTGGTGATGGACACTTACGACGTGATTATATTGAGAGGGATTTTGACCCCGAGATGGATGCAGAAGAAAAGATGGGGGTTGAGCTAAGCAGCCCGTCTGCCATTATGGAGCATGCAAGGAGGCTGTACATGTCTAAGGACTACAGGAGTCTGGAGAGTCTGTTTGGAAGGTGTCTAAAGAAGTCATACAACTTGGATCTCTGGATGCTGTATATCGAGTATGTCCGGAAGGTCAGCCAGAAGAAGTTCAAGCTGTATGAGGTCTATGAGTTTACGCTGGGGCAGTTTGAGAACTACTGGGACTCGTACGGATTGTACAAGGAGTATATTGAGGAGCTTGGGAAGATTGAGGACGAGCAGACAAGGATCGAGAAGATAAGAAATGGATACATGAGAGCGCTTCAGACGCCCATGGGGTCGCTGAGCGAGCTGTGGAAGGACTTTGAGAACTTTGAGCTGGAGCTGAACAAGATCACTGGGAAGAAGATAGTTGGTGACACTCTCCCGATATTCCAGAGCTCGTTCCAGAGGTACCAGCAGATCCAACCGCTGATTAGGGGTTGGAGCGTCAAGAATGCAGCAAGGCTGATAGACCTGGAGATGGAGAACGGGATGAAGCTTGGGGGGAGACCTCATGAGTCCAGGATGCACTTTATACACAACTACATTCTGGACTCGTTTTACTATGCAGAGGAGGTCTATTTTTTCTACAGCGAGTATCTGATTGGGATAGGGCAGAAGGAAAAGGCCAAGAAGGTGGTTGAACGGGGGATTGAGATGAGCGATGGGATGTTCCTGTCTCTCTATTACGGGCTTGTGATGGATGAGGAGGCAGTCTATGGAGACCTGAAGAGGAAGTACTCCATGGGGGAGGCGGAGAGCGCCGAGAAGGTGTTTTCCAAGGAGCTTGACCTGCTGAGGATCAACCACCTGAACTATGTTCTAAAAAAGAGAGGACTTGAGCTGTTTAGGAAGCTATTTATTGAGCTTGGGAATGAGGGAGTAGGCCCCCATGTCTTTATATACTGTGCATTTATTGAGTACTACGCAACAGGAAGCCGGGCAACACCCTACAACATCTTCTCCTCAGGACTTCTGAAGCATCCCGACTCCACCCTGCTGAAAGAGGAGTTTTTCTTGTTTCTGCTCAGGATAGGGGATGAGGAGAATGCAAGGGCTCTGTTCAAGAGACTCGAGAAGACAAGCAGGATGTGGGACTCGATGATAGAGTATGAGTTTATGGTGGGAAGCATGGAACTGTTCAGAGAGCTTGTTGACCAGAAGATGGATGCAATCAAGGCCGATGCCATCCTCCCTCCTCTCCCGCCAAGAGAGCATAATGTGCAGATGGAGGGGATACTGGGGAGATACCACTGCTTTCTCGATTCGTTCAACTTCCTTGACCTGAAGATTAGGGACAACTCAAGACTTTTGGACGAGTTTATGGAGAATCTTCCTAAGATAAGCCAGCAGAACAACGTGCTTTCCAACCTGAGGGTAGAGAAGGTGATCAGCCTTCTCAAAAGCGTGCAGTAAACAGACAGGGAGCTTTGGCGCCTAGAGTTTATTTGGATTAAAAGACATTATGGAGTGCTACTATCCAAACGTCTTTTTGTTGAAGAGCTCCAGGGTGACTGCAGCCAGAAATGCAGGAATCGACTTTCCAGTGATTAGGTAGTTTTGAATCTCCGAGGCCCACGTCGCTGCAAACTCGTTATTGACAAGCTCCATGCTTCCGGACTTGTACCGGAAGATAAAGACGTCCTCGCTGTCAAAGGCATAGAGAGAGTGGAAGATGATCTCTCCATCCCGAAACTCCATCTTGTATCCGGTGAGTCCTGTGACATATTCGCGTATTGTCCTAAGATACTGTCGCAGCTCGAGGTCCCTTGTCTCGTCGGCCTGCCTGCTCCTTGTCTTTCCTGTGTTGATGGGCACGTTTGGACTTATGTTTTCGGCGCCGTCGTGCTCAGCATCGGTGCCCTCGACCATATCTCTCAACCTCTTGTTCTCCTGCTCCAGCAACTCTATCTTCTTCAAGTACTGGGCTATTCCTGAGGCCTCTCTGGCCATGGACAGCTCCTGCTCCCTCTCGCTCAAGGCAGATTGGAGATCCACTACCTGATGTCTTAGCGACGTGTTTTCCTTCAAAGTCTCTGTGAATTTCCTGTAAAGCTCCTCCATTCTAAGGGTTTTCTGGACAGTAACAAATTCAACGTCTATAGCCGCTCATCTGCACTGCATGGGGAAGGACCACATCAAGGAGCTTTCTGCAAAGCACCTCATTTGTGACTACGAAAGAATAAGGAAGGAGTATCTTGGATTCAAGGCCAGGAACATAGACACGCTGGAGTATGTTAATGATTCGATGCTGGCAGCGTATGAGTATGCATTCTTCTCCAACCTTACAAAGACCAAGCTCTCCAGAAAGGATCTTCCCAAGGAGATAAGCCCAAAAATCTTCAAGGCGGCTCTTGAGGAAGTAAAGAAGAGGTATGTCCCTGGAAAAGGTGCAGAGGACAAGGGCCTTGTGTGCAATCTGTACTCGATTGTGAATCCACCTTCCTTCTAGCAAGATTTGAAAACAAAATTTTTGATCCCTCGTTATGACAGGAGTGATGATGAATGAGGAGGTGCTGAGCCGCACAACGATCCCTGCAACATTTGTTTCGTTCAAGCGAGGGCAGAGAAGACTCCATCCAAGACATGTCCTGCTGAAGATCAGGAACGTAACAAGCAAAGACGAAGCAAGCAGCTACGTGGGAAATGGGGTTGTCTGCTACAAGAAGAATAACGAAGGAGAAAGATATCCTGTCCACGGTGTGATAACTAGGATACATGGGAACTCTGGGGCTGTTCGTGCTAGATTTACAAGAAACCTGGATCCGAAGCTACTTGGGACCCATGTGTTTGTCAAGCTTTACAAGGTCGAAGCCGACGAGATATAAACCACTTTTATTCCAGAGCCGTCTTTCTGCCTCTGCATTAGGCGCCGAAGTAGCTCCTAATCTTGTCTTTTGTCTCCTGGGTTTTCACGACCTCATATGATATGGCTCTGTGCTTTCCCACCACCCTGATGAAGCCCTCATCAGCCATCTTCCTTGTCTGCTTTGAAGACTGCCACTCTGTGATCCCCAGCCTGTGGCAGAGCCATACCTTGTTCTTGAGTCCTTCGGTGTAGACTATGCTGAGAATCCTTCTGAAGAGGGCGTCTGCACTGTCGGCCTTTGTAATGTGCCTTGTGCAATAGAAGCAGGAAAACTCTCTCCTGGGTATTCTTCTGTCCTTGTTGCTGAAAAAGCCGCAGCAGACGGTGTGGAGCCAATTCCCGCATGTGTCGCAGTGCAGCATGTCGGGGTCCTCCGAGCCCAGGCGGCAGTAGCACCTAATGCTCTCTCCATATCCTGGGTGCATCGAAGTTCATGCGCGGAGAAGAATTTCTTTGCAGAGATGCATGGAATGTGTTTCAAGACCGTGGTAAGAGATGCTGGAGGACGATTGGGTGGAAAGGACTTATAAGCTTGTGGGATGCTTTCCTCATGACATTCAAGATGGTCTTCATAACAACCGTGTTCCTAGGATCCCTTGCCGCATTCATCATGGGGCTGCGTAGAAACAACTTGCTGAAGCTCGACCTGGACGCCATCAAGGAGGCAACTGGAATTACAAAGAGTGAGATTATGGTGCTTGGAAGGAGGGCCCTGGAGATATTCGAATAGAATCTGCAGCCCAGGGCCGCAAGCAACGGGATGGCCTGGAGTCCCAGGAGCCGGAATAAAGAGAACCAAAAAAATTTGCCCTGAAATGGGTAAGTGGGCTTTGAAGAAGACTAATTTTAGGAATAAACCACAGAGGAGACCACAAGCGCAGAAAGACAGGGGCCAAGGCAGTCATCAGCCGTAAGAAGCGGAACAACAGGGCCGGGTCTCAGCCAAGTTCAACGAAGATAGGAGAGAGAAAGGTCACGCCTGTCAGGGTGCGGGGCGGAAACAGGAAATATAAGGCCTTGAGGCTGGACATGGGGCACTTCAAGTTTATTACCACAGGGAAGTTCAGGATGGCAAAGCTTCTGCAGGTTGTGTACCATCCTAGCTCCAATGAGCTTGTCCGCACCAACACACTAACGAAAAGCTCGGTCGTCAAGATTTCGGCAGAGCCATTTAAGAATGACATCAAGGATGTAGCAAGGGATGTCGATCCCAGCCTACATGAGAGTTTTGAGAAGGGACATTTATATGCAATCATCACCTCCAGACCTGGACAGGTTGGAATGGCACAAGGGCACGTTTTGCAGGGGGACGAGCTGAAGTTTTATGCCGATAAATTTAACAAGAAGTCCAAGGAAGTTCGGAAATAAATGGATTGGATATTCTTTCTGTAAAATTTAAGGGCACGTCTTGCACTTTGGAATCTCTTTTTCTAGGCCGTGATGCGAGAGGCAAAAGGGCGGTATTGGGATTCGAACCCAAGGCCTCTTGCACCCTAAGCAAGCGTCATACCGCTAGACCATACCACCTCACAAGGCCCGCTCCATATGCTCCCTCATACGAAACCCATCACAGATTCAGCAGGCCTAAAGACATTTATTTACTAAGAGGATTGTATCTTTTGTTCTTGCTTACCTCAACAGGCTTGTTGACATCGATCACCTTCTCAGAACTGCCCTCTTCTCTAACCACATCATCCTTGGGTCGAAGTGGGTCGAATACATCGAACCTGGTGTACTCGACATGCGGAGATGGAAATAGTCTACGTGAAGATCCTAGAGAAATGACATTGCCCTTGAACACAGTCAGTGGCTGCGTTGGAACTTCGCAGGCCCTCACAGACAGTCCTTTGTACAGATAATACATCTTTCCTCTGATTCTATAGAAAATCCTTCCGCTCTCGTCAAAGCAAGCAAAGTCCACTGGTGATGGAAGCAAAAACCTTTCCGTTGACCTGAACAGATTAATCAGAATCAGCTCCCTTGAAAACACTGCAATGGTGTCAGATCGGGAGCATACTGCATGAACGTCTGGGATCAAACAGCTGAATATCTCGGATCCATCAAGCCCAAAGATATGAAGCTCCTCAGATAGAACAACCACCATCTTTTCGGAAACAGCAATAGCTCGTGCTTCGACTTCTCTTTCCCATCGAGAAGACAGTCCGATATAGAATATCTTTCTTCCATCTCCAACCACAACATTCTCCTTGCAGAAATCCCCCATGGTGCATCCGCTGATACCAGGCACCTCAATCTTTCTTCGGGAAACGTCATGATAGTTGACCTCTATTCTGTCACATCCCTCGCTCCTAATGCAGGTCATGTATCCCTCGGAGTTATAGCACAAAAGACTTCCTGCCTCCATCTCCAGCACCGCCCTGCTCGTCCCTGCAGTGCACCCGATCCCTGGCTCCTCTGAATGCTCATCAGACTCAATCATCCTTCTCTTCTCCTCATCGTCCCTCCGTCCATCAAGTCCTTCATCCCTGTTTTCTCGATAGACCCCGAAATACTTCCTTTTCTGGGACTTCCTTGGGGTCCCGTAGTTGTCGTGTCTCTCCACAACATTCTCGTCTGTCTCCTCGCCAACCCTTATCTTCTTCTCGACAAGTCCATCTTCTCTAAACACAATGTCTTCCATTCCCCTGCATACGTTCTCAACAATGTCGTCGATAGAATGGAACCTTCTTCCATCAAACCACACCAGTCTGTTTCTCTCATCGTCATACACAAATCTTCCTGGCACATCCATTTCCTTCAACGTCTTCTTAGTGTTGAACTCAATAACATACACAGTGTCTCTGCATTGGGCAAACAGAGTTCCTCCGTTCATGCTGAAGACGTAGTCGCTTATCGGCTTCTCAACGGTTAGGCAGGTGGCAAACGCACTCCGCGTTCTGCAGTACAGCATATTCCTCTCACTTGCAAATATGTAGTTCTTGTACCTGAGCTTGGGTCCTTTGATGTCGTAGGTTTTCTTAGAGGGATAGATCGTTATCTTGTTTCTCATGTCTGCTACAAACAGTTCTGCCCCGTCACTGCAGATTTGGGTCACAGGTCCGGGATGCCTCATGCTCCTCATGAGCCTGAATCCAGCCCCATCGGCCGCATCCAAGAACATCTCGTTGGACAGATCCGCCTCTAACGAGCCCGGAACATCGGAACCACATCCATTTCCGCCCGTCATCCCGTAGACATGGATAGTTCCGTCCTCGCATCCGCAGTACACAAATCCATCCAAATGGAAAACAGCCGTTATGGGCACCTTCATCCTGCACACCTCTTCTTCCCTCAGACCAAGCAGGCACAGTGCCACAAGCACACATCCATCTCCAATAAAGGCATATTCGTCACAGCACGCTACAACAGATCCAGCACCACACTCCCTCCGATGGAACACAGAGAGCGTCAGAATGTCCACCACAAGCAGCTCGTTCTTCTCTATGACCATCACAAAATCCCTGTTCCTGCAGATTCCCATTTGAAGGCATCTGCCCTGCAAATATTTCTTCCATGCCTCCAGACAAAACCCCATCCACGGAATGCACTCCAGTCTGCTCAACCTCAGAGATTTGGTATTCGGCGGTGACCTTGCAGGAATCCCAGATGCGGTGGACCAGTGTCTATACGACATCCTGGACCAATACGACCACTTCCAGATGATAGTGTTTACAAGGCTGCTGGAGATGCTGCTGGATACAGACATGTCTTCCAAGGCATCAAGAACACTGAAAATCATAGATCTGATCAAGTTTCCCGTCAAGAAGGCCATGGGATGATGCAGCCTCCCGGCGCGCGGAAGAAAATAAACTCTGCTTACCATTTATTCAGTAGAACTGCAAGCCTTGCAACCTGATCCTCAGGCATTGAGGCCTTCAGGCAAATCCTCAGCGAGGGGTATGGGTTGTGGTTGAACCCAACAATGACATTGTCGCCAAGAAGCTCATTTCTTATTCCCAGAATCTCCTTCAGTAGTATCTCTTTGGGCATCGACCTCCTCATCTCCCTCCTCTTCGCAGCAATTATTATGGGCGACAGGACGGAAGACACAATCTCGTATGTCTTGGATTTGAAGTTCGCATGAAACACACTCACCTTGGCTCGAAGCTCTTCGTGGTCAAACTCTCTCCTGATGTTCAGTATAGCTGCCTTGACCATGGCTCCAGGTATGGATGCCGAAAAGCAGTAGGAAGACCCAGACAGCTTTTGGTAGTCAGCAGTGGAGTGGGTCCCTGTTGCAAATGCCCCACTACTGCAGAGCCCCCCTGACAAAGATCCAATCACAATGTCAATCTCCTTGATCCCTATACCCTCCATTCCACACACGCCCCTTTTGTCTAGCAGGGGAATGGAGTACGATTCGTCGAGGATAATTCTGAACTTGTACTTGTTCCTGAGCTCCAGTATCCTTCTGATCTCTATAATCCTTCCTGTGTTCCTGAACAACCCCTCCACAACCACAAAGTTCCTTACATTTGGGTTTCCAAAGTACTCCAGCTTTATTTCCAGGTCGGAGATACTTCCAAACTCGATGGTCTTTGACCTTGAGAGCTCAATTCCCCTCAGAATAGCCTCATTGGAGTCTTCATGGTAGAACACAATATCCTGCTGCTTGCAGAAGCATGTGATGATGCTGTTGATTGCAGTGAAACTGTTGGGATACACAATCGACGCCTCTGCGCCGAGCTCCTTGGTGATCGTCTCCTCAAGGTCCAGATGGAGGTCGAGGGTCCCGTAGAATCCCCGGGGTCCACAAGTTCCGACCCCGTACTTTCTTATGACGTCGATGACCTCCTTCTTGTTTTCTGTTGACAGCCCAAACACATCAAAGTTGGCCAGGTCTGTCGCACCCTCTTTGTATACCCCGGGCAGCATTACATCGCTAGGAACATCCTTCACCAGGTCGTCGGGATCGAACTCCTCAACAAGCCTGTCTATCACATTCCTTGGAAAGACAATGATGTCCTTGCTCGAACGGTATCTGAACTTGACTACAAGGTAGATGACGAGTGTCTCAATGATGATCTTGAGGATGTCTCTCCAGTACCAGGCAACCAAATTGCTTAGAACATAGACCAGCTCCATCAATGGCTCAGATTTCTTGGTTTGTTTTTCCTAAAAGCATGATATATCAAAGAAGTTTATTTATTCTTCTTTGCAAAGCTTGTCCTGGAGGAGCAGTACAGCCCAATCCCAAGAACCAGCCCTCCAAGCATGCAGTATCTCAGAAGAGTGCGGGGCTTTGGAGGGTAAAGCGGAAGGCTGTTGCTCTGGTACAAGTTGTATGCATCCATTGCTGCAGAGGTGAAGTTGGCCTCTGTGAGCTTGACCTTCTTGTGGCGGAATAGATTTACCCAGGGCTCAAACACAATCAGTGCAGGAGTAGAGAGCTTTGGGAGTAGCGTCGGGATGAACAGGGGGTATTCATCAATCTCCATGGTGGCAAAGATCATATCTGTGTATGGAGTCCCAAGGTGTCTATCTGCACTAAACTCATTCATCCTGTCCACGAACTCCTCTCCTCTTGTTAGGAGTATCATTGCAGGCTTGAGGCCATGGAATATGGAGTAGAAGTTGTGGTTGTCAATCTTTGTCAAGTACTTGTAGTGCGTATGGAATATCCAGTCTGTTATCTTTGCTTCATCTCCAAAGGTATCCGAGTACCTGTAGAAGATGCCGTTCTTGTACACAGAAAGAATCACGGCATCCTCGTGGCTTGGGCTAGTGGATGGGTCCGACCCGGCTCCGAGCTCCTTAGGGAATATCGATGCCCTTTCAAACAAGGCCTGGTCGTCGGATCTGTATATGCTGGCCCTGAACTTGTACATGTGCGCCATCCTCTGGAAGTATGCACTGGCCAGGGCAAGGTTCTTGTGGAACACAACATAGATGGGCTCTCCCGGCTCGAGCTTCGATGCCACCTCGTCGAACTTGCTGAGAGTCAGGTTCCGGAACGATGGCTCAATAAGTTTGTCGCAGAATTCAATCAGGCTGGCCATGCTGGGTGTCTTCTCCTTCTCGATGAAGGGAACAACCAGTCCGTTGAAGATCCCGGATATCGAGGGGTATGACCTGATGTCATATCTGTTGACAAGCTCTGAAGACTCGGCACTGTCGATCTCTCCAAGACTTAGCTTTCCGTCGTAGATCTTTGCAAGCTCCTTGAACATCTCTCTATACTTATCATCCTCCCGAGAGTAGAACAGAACAACGTGCGGCCCATCAAACCCACTCAGGAAGTCGCTCTTCGTTAAACTCTTGACTGCAGCATCCTTCTGCATGACATGCCCATCAAACACGCCTTTCTCAACTCTGGTGTGGCTCACAATAAACTCAACCATTGCATCGTAGTCCTGTGCACCCTCCAATCTCCCCAGCACCTCGCCGTCTTTCGACAGCTCAAGTGTTGGATAGCTCTTGACGTTTGTGCAGGTGCACTCATCGCAGTCAACACTCCTGATCCTTAGATTTGCTCCGTGCCGGTCTATCTTGTTGCTAATTTCCTCAATCAGCGGCCCCATCTTCTGGCATGCAGGACACCACTGCGTAAAGTACTTACTGAGCACATATCCTTCGTTGATCGGCTTGCACTGCTCCACTATCTCTCCAAGACAGCTCAGGAGATACACAAACAGAATCATGTATTTATCGGAGCCAGAACCTTTATACAAAAAAGTATAAACATCTCGAAACATCGTTTCATAACAACATAGAGAACCTAGATCCACAACTCCTTTATTCAGGATAAACCCCGTGGTTAATTATCAAAATAAAAATTCTCAACAACATTACAACTCTTCGAGTTCCCCAGGCTGCCTCCAAGGGTGCTTGCGATGACATCCGATATTTCGGTGTCGTCCTCAGAGCTTACATACTCGTCCCTCTTCTGCCTATACGCCTCAATCGCCTTCTTCAGCACAGTCGTCTTGTCGAGTGCCTTGATTGCATTCCAGAACGACGTGTTCTCGACATTCAGGAAGGCTATCTTCACAGCAAGCTCATTGTCTGCGTTGTGGCTCTCCCACTTACTCTTTCCAAACGATGTGTCGTCAAAGTCGTCCATAAACACAGAAAACCGCGACTTGAATTCGTCGTCAATCTTCTCGTAGTTTATGTTTTCGATGTTGACTTGAATCTTGCACTTCTTCAAGACCCCTCTGTTGGTCCATTGGATCGTGATGGTTGAGGGTGCCCCAGAGACATGCCTCCTCTTCTCAATGTCGCTGGGGAATCTATCCTCCTTCACAATCCTCTTGTTTCTGCTCTGCTTGTTGATTGTTCTATACGAGTCGACGGCCCTTTGGATAAGCCCCTTCTTCCCGTACAGGAGCACGGGATTCAGCGAAACAAACTGCCATGCCAGTCGGTTGCACTCCGTCTCAAACCCCCATCTGTTTCCCGTGTACATCTCGTATGGAAGATTCGCCCGGGGATACACGCAGTTGTCCGCCTTGAACTTCTCATTCAGTTTACTGATGTCGACACTCTCCAGATCAAATCTTACGCAGAACTCGTTGTCCTCGAGATCCGCCTTTGGCATAGCATCCCGTGCCGACTCGCTCACCTTCGTCACATATTTGAAGCACAGCCTCTCCTCCCCATCCACAAACCGCACATACGGTGGCGATGCGGGGAGATTCACTATCTTCCTATTCGACGGCCTCTTGTTCTCGTCATTCTTCTTCTTCTTCCTCTTCTCCTTTTTCTTCCTCCCGTACCGGAGCCTCATCTCCTCCTCGCCTTTGTATTGCACCTGCCCGTCAGACTGGTAAAGATCGTCCTCAACAAAGTTCCGCAGCTTGAGAGAGTTCGCCTCGTTCTCCTCATACTCCCTCTCGCCCCCAAGATCATCGCTGTCCTCCCGGAATTGATAAATCAGCTCTTGCCCACCGACAATCCCATCGTACTCGGCCCTCTCACTCACCATTCACCCCCTCCCTCCTTCTTCTTTTTATATTTTATCAGTAGGGACAAAAGGATAAAAGGAGAGGCTGCCCTCTGCACCCGCCCAGATACTACCCATGTAGCCTTCAATGCACTTGCTCCACACCAGCAGTGATCACACATCTTGATGCCCTGGAGACCTTTCCTGCCCTTCGCCATGCCCTCCCCTTATTCCAATATAGGAAAATTGCACCCAACCATCGACAATTCATTTCCCCCCAGATCTCGACCTCAAGAGCCTGTTTCCCACCTCAAGCCTCTCCACCTTGCTTCCGAGCTTCCTGGCCTTGGCCAGCAGCCTGAGATATTTCTCGTCGTAGGCCTCAATGTGCCTCTCCAGCTCCTTCAGCCTGGCCTCGTCACGCCCTTTGTAAAACTCTATCCTCTTCATGTAGTACTCCTCCATCTCAACCATCTTCTCATTTAGCCTGTCCTTTGCAGCCATCAAAGACCTGACCTTGTAGTCAATCACTTCCTCTGTTCTTTCGGAGCCCAAGAGCTCCACTATTATCTCCTCAAGAGCCAAGATCTCCTGGCAGAAATGGTTACTCATGCCTAAGGGTTAGGCATCACCAATATGATGGGACAGTTCGGTGCATAGAGGTTTCCATACTACCCATGGCCGTCTCAGGTCGTATCCAGGCCCCTGTAATAAAAAATATCCAGAGCTCGGGGCAGATGTTCGATATAGCCAGCCCTGCTACCATCATCGATAAACTTAAGTCGTGCAGATCAGTGAGGATCTTCATGCCAGACATGCCTGCAAGCTTCTGTGCTGCCAAGATAATCACCTCAATACTCCACAAGGAACTCGTCAGATTCGAGGTGGACTTCCAGCCAGGAGGCGCCAGGTGCTATCCAGATCTAGATTTTCACGTATTCATCGACCTAGACCCTGGAGAGTGCAGGAATGCTCTCTCGATTCGGGACCAGGGGAACTCGTCGATTCAGGGGAATCTGTTTACTTGCACATGCCAGTCTACCAAGATCAACTCATGCACGCTGTCATATTCCCTGGCAAAAGCCATGAACTACATCACCAGCGATATCCTGTGGCCCATGATCATGTGCTTCGACTTCTACAGGATATTCACAAAGAACACTATCCCGGTCGACGATCTCGAGGGCGAAGGAGACTTCCTGGGCAGTGCATGTAACGGCTGCAGGGAGCTCTATGCAGACGTTATCCTTGAGATCCAGAAGGCAGGTCCCCTGACAGATGTCGATGGGATATACCACATCTCAAGACCCTGCATCTCCTTCCTAAACTTTGCATCTTTGTTTTCTGCTCTCCAGAACGACATCCCGTTCATCATCGACAAGAAGATCTACTGCAAGAAAGACAAGAAGGCCGAGGGCCAAAGAATCCACGAGTATCTTGCAAGGAAAGGAATTTCAAGAGAATCCTCGTGCGAGCTGTACACAAACCTTGGATACAGCACAAAGACGCTAATAGAGTCGCACTTCCGGAGATCCAAATCCTTTGTAAAGAAGATAGGCCATGGCATCGAGGTGTCGTCCATAGAGAACTTCTTCCTGGTCTGCTACCATTTGCTAAGAAACTCCCGAGTAGATGCTTTTCTTTGTCTGTCGAGTAGAGAGGCCCCCAGCATAAGAGAAAGCATCGGAGTCCACCATAACCTTGTCTGGATATACAGAGATTGCCTTGCAAATCTTCGGAGGTTCGGAGACGTTCTGCTTTTCAGAATCAGTGTATCTGAGGCTTTGAAGGACATGGACATAGGTGTTCTGCTTCACCTGTATGAACACTATTTTGATATGTATATAGGCAGGAAGCATAGCCACTCCCTCAGGCATGTCATCGTTCTGGAGGGATACCTTGAAAACAGATTTGTTGTAGCCACTGACGATCCCCTTGTTGCCTCTGAGCTGGGCCATGCAAAGGAAAGGCTTGGAGGATATGCAGTGACAGACAGAAGCGGGCTGCAGCTGATCCTTACCAAACTGAAGGCAAGACCACAGGAAACACCCTCTGCATCATCTCCACTTAATTAAAATCCCCAGATTCTGCTGTATAGAAATTTTGGATGTGCTAAGGGTAAAATGAGAATTGAGAAGTGCTGGTTCTGCTCATCAAACATCTACCAAGGACATGGGACTATCTATGTCAGGAACGATGCAAAGGTCTTCCGATTTTGCAGGCCGAAGTGCAGGAAGCTCTTTGCAAGGCGTGTGAATCCAAGGAAGGTGAAGTGGACAAAGATATCGAGAAAGATGGCCAACAAGGAGCTCTGCAACGATGCCATTCTGACGTTTGAGCACCGGCTCAACGAACCTCGCATGTATGACCGTGCCGAGGCCGAAAGGACGCTCTCCAGCATCCCAAGGATACTCGAGATAAGGAAGAGAAGAGAAGACTTCTTCATCAAGGACAGAATTCTCACCGGACAGGAAATGAACAAGGAGAGCGATCTGAAGTATATTGAAAGGCATGCTAACCTACTCGAAGAAGAGGTGGCTGGCGAAAAGCAGGTAGCTAAGGCCAAGAAGAGAGAGGCCCAAACCAACTGAGGGGGGTTGCAGGGCAAGTTCAAGACAGAGAGAGCCCCCAGGGAAAGGATGCATTTCAGAAGAGCCAAGATAAATAAAATACGACTTTTATTCAAGCCATAATGCCTCTCTCAGTGACAAAAATTCCATCGAGGAACACTCTACTGTCACGGTTCTTTGCCTTGCACTCGTTCGTTATCGTCCCTGCACTCTGGGAAACATCCGACAGCGATGGCCCTTCAATCACTATTGTGTCCTTCCTCTCATCAAGTCGGACCCTTGCTGCACCCCGCATCCTGAACCTTTTGACATTCTTCTCTCCAAGGAAATTCTTCACAAGGAGAATCTTCCCGTCCTCCTTAATCTCCATGTTTATGGAGAAGTGGTTGTATACAGCCTTCATGGTGTATGCAAACCCGACAGTAACAGCCTTGATGGCATTCCTCAGCAGAGACTCTACAGTTATTGCAAGAGCCATGGCCTTCCTCTTCCCGTTCCAAAGTCTGATCCGGATATTCCCTTCGTGGATGTCAAATGTCAGGGGATGGCGAGTGCAGTCTTCTACTATGCTTCCCTTTGGGCCTTGGAATGTAAAGATCTTCCCCTCCTGGGTCGCAGTGCAGTCTTCGGGAACCTTTACTATTCTTGTGACTAGGATTCTCATAAGGGGTAAGTCCTTCTGGTATTTAACAATTTTTTTGCTCTCATACCCATATATGAGGTCCATTAATACCTTAATTAGGGTGATGCTGCTGTCAGAAGCATTAATTTATGCGAGCACGGAAGGTAGTAAAGAAGAGAATAGTCCCTCAATAACGTCTCAACAACAGGATACTTCTGGTGGAGAGGAAGAAAATGAAGAGAGGAGAGGATCGGGAGGAGGAGAAGAAGCCCCAGTAACAGCTCAACCACAGGGTGCTTCTGGTGGAGAAGAAGAAGCAGATGGTGGCAGGGTTGTAGTGGAATATTGTAGTACCCGTACCCAAAATGAAAGTGGAGAAACGGTAGAAACACGTTGTGGATGTGCTGGTGACTGTGATAACTGCTGTCCGGAAGGGATGATCTCGTGTCTACATTCGTTAGGTTTACTATAATAAACTCGCATCGTTCATCTATCTACTTTTTTTCAATTTTGCTATATGCCTTGTCAGTAAACCAAGTTATGCTTGGATACCCAGCCCTCCATGGAGCTGAACATAAACAACAGACACACAAAGATCTGGCTTGCGAAAGTTCCTCTGTTTCTAGCAGAGAGAATACTGGGGCAGAGCAGGGAGGCTGAGATAGGAGAGCTTGAGATAACAAAGGCCACGTCGACAGAGCCTGCAGTGTTGAGCTTAAGGCTGTCCAAGGAGTTCTGCGTGGGTGGGTTTCCGTCCTCCTTCGATGTGAAGATAAAGCCCAGAGACAACAACATGTATGTTATCAGGACGCACGAGAACAATGCGGATGTTGAGGGGATGATCAACAACGAGTGTTACATAACGCCGGAGGTCAATGAAGAGTACTTGAGGTACAAGAGGGACGTGGGGTTTAAGAGTGATTCGAAGAAGAGTGATGTCCAGGTCATCGACTATCTTAAAGAGGGAAAAAGGGGGGAGAAATTTGGAAGTCTGCGGGAGCTTGAGTATCTTGCGCGGAAGAGAAAGAAGATGCTGATGGACAAGAAGAGAGAGAGGCTGGGAAAGAACGAGGTGATAGACATGGTCTTCAAGGCGTTTGAGAAGTATCCGTCGTGGACTGTGAAGGATCTGGCGGACTTCTGCGGGCAGCCTGTTGCCTTTATCCAGGAGATTGTTTCTGACATCTGCGTGCTGAACAAGAAGGATCTCAAGAACACATATGAGCTCCGGCCTGAGTACAAGCAGTGAATGTCTCCTTGCGAAGTGATTTGTGAAGGAAAATTTTTCACCCCAAGAATGGTAGGTGGGAGCTTTAATTTTAGGGCTGTGTCAGGAATAAGATAGTCAAGAGGGCTGCTCGGACGATTGCAGAGAAGTATTTCCAGAGGCTTGACAGCACCTTTGATCACAACCTGCTTGTTGTGCAGGATGTTGCGGTTGTGCAGTCGAAGAAGCTGAAGAACGAGATTGCGGGATATCTCACGTCGCTTTACAAGAAGATTCTGAAGGGGACATACAACAAGGTCTACATCAAGAGCCACGAGGAGGAGAGGGAGAGAAAGGAAAACGTAATTCCGAAGGAGTCGATGCTTGATGTCGACTGTGTTGAGGTTGATGATGTGACGATGGAGATGATAAAGAGGTATGGATATGAGGGGAACTTCAAGGTTTATGGAATGTGAGGCAGGCAACTGGAAGAATAAATTGTTCTACCTTTAGATGTGTTTGTTTGTTGTGTGGAGGCTTTCTGGGAGGAGAAATAGCGATGGGCTGTAACCCCGAATGCTTGAGTACCTTGTTTCCGAGAAGGACATCAAGATGTTGAAGAGAATGAGCATTCGGCAGAAGCTCATCCAGTTTGTAAATGCAGCGTATTCCGTGATGGGGACCTACATGATATGGAAGATGTTTTCTGTTCTTCTGAACAACGATAGCCCGATAGTTGTTGTGCTGAGTGAAAGCATGTCCCCGGGGTTTGAGAGGGGAGACATACTGTGGCTTGCCAACAAAGACTTCAGTGTTGGAGACATGACTGTCTTCAAGTTTGGCAGGGAGATCCCGTGTGTACACAGATGCATCAAGCAGTTTGGTGGGAGATATCTTACAAAGGGAGATAACAACCTTAATGATGATGTCTCTCTCTATCCGAGAGGAAGGAACTATCTGACCAGAGACGAGATCAAGTCGATCGTTGTTGGATATGTTCCCTACTTCGGGCTGATAAATCTCTGGATCAACACCATTCCCGGGATGAAGTTTGTAATACTAGCTGGGGTGGGTCTGTCTGTCCTGTTCACCCGAGAAGAGTAGGCGACAGAGACGAATACCGAATAAAGAAGTTGCTTTATTTCATTGTTTTTCGTCTGCTTCCTTCTGGGGCAGGCCTCCCCAAGTGCTCAGGTGAGTCTCGTAGTTATCGAGGAAGATTGCATCTGCCGTTCTGAGCATCTCCTTGAAAGAGCCTTCATCCTCTGGCCTCACATCGCACAGGCAGACACATGACGTGGTCTTCAGGTTGACAAGCTTCCCAAGAAGCGTCGAGTTTTCAACAATTGCATATGACACCCCCATCTTCCTGCACAGCGTGGGAAGAAATATCACAACCTCGATGGGGTCGACAGATGCAGAGATAAGGACAAGTTTGGCCTTTTTCGTCTCGATGAGATTCGTGACGTGCTTAAGCCCAAACTTGACGAGAATTGGCTTGGGCCCCTTCTTCGGATCCTCAGACTGCAGCCTAATCCTCTTCTCCTGTTTGTTCTCTGGTCTGTATTTCATGAAGAGTTCAACGAACTTCTTGGTGTCATGCTCTGACAGAACCGTCCTAAACTGGTAGATTGCCGGGGGGATTCGGATTGAGTTGGCCAGCTTGGATACCTTCTTCTTTATCAGAAGGTCTCTTTCGATCTTCTGCTCCTTTGTCAGCCTAGGTTCCTCAACCGGAATCTTTTTCACCTTTCCCAGTACCATTTGAGGGTAAAATTTTTCGCCTCTTAACTGTGCCCTGCAGCAGTCTGGAGGAGATGTGCACTGCCGTGGTTCTGAGGCAGAGAATGCAATGTGAGCTCAGGATGTGCAGGGGCCTAGGGCTGTATGGGTACTCTTCCAAGCCCTGATATTCAGGACATTCCAGGTAGCTGATTGTATCAGAGCATCCAGGATGATTGGTGCATCAAAATATAAAAATGCTTTGTTTGAATACCCCAAACAAATGCAGATATTCGTGAAGACTCTAACAGGAAAGACGATTACATTAGAAGTCGAGCCTTCGGACAGTATCGAGAATGTAAAGGCAAAGATACAGGACAAAGAGGGGATACCACCAGACCAGCAGAGGCTGATTTTTGCAGGTAAGCAGCTTGAGGACGGGAGGACTCTGTCTGACTATAACATCCAGAAGGAGTCGACGCTTCATCTTGTGCTTAGGCTGAGAGGAGGATATTAAAATGTTTAGTTTTTCATGTCTTTTGCTTTTCCAGGCCTATGTATGGGGTACTGGAGATTCCAGTGCTCTGGGTGTGTAGTGTTACTACTCCAGGAATTGAAATGGATAAAAAGAAAGCATCCCGAGGGGTGCCAAAATGGAGATGTCAGAGAAGAGCTACAAGTATGGAGTGACCGGGCCTCTTTCGACGAGGGAAAGTACGGAGGAGGAGATCAGGCTATCTGGAGAAATGGACAAGTACCTACAGGAGCGTGGGTTCTTTGAGGACGATAAGGAGGGGCAGACGAGAGAAAGGGTTCTTGGGAAGCTGAACTTCATGGTCCGGGAGTTTGTGGCTCGGATGGCAAGGAACAAGGGGAGCGGAGACGGCGAGAGGCCGTGTGGAGGAAAGATATTTACCTTTGGAAGCTACAGACTGGGGGTGCATAGTAAGGGAGCGGACATCGACGCCCTGTGCATTGTGCCCAGGCATGTTTCCAGAAGCGATTTCTTCACCCATTTCTACGAAGAGCTGAAAGGAGATCCGAATATAGAGGAGGTTACAAAGATAGAGGATGCATTTGTACCAATAATTAAACTCAAGTTTCAGGGGATTCCGATTGACTTAGTCTTTGCTAGGCTTAGCATACCCGTTGTGAAGGATGGAATCAACTTGCTCAATGACACGCTTCTGAAGAGCATGGACGAGAAATGCATTTTGTCGTTGAATGGATCCAGGGTTACAGATGAGATGTTGAACCTTGTTCCAAGCGTAAAGACCTTCCACTCTGCACTGAGATGCATCAAGTACTGGGCAAAGAGAAGATGTGTATATGGAAATCCCTATGGATACTTTGGCGGGGTGGCGTTTTCGCTGTGTGTTGCTCGGGTCTGCCAGCTATATCCAAATGCATCGTCATTTACCATTGTCTGCAAGTTCTTTGAGCTATTCTCATCCTGGAAGTGGCCGACGCCTGTGATTCTGCGGCCAGTGGTTGATCTGAACTACAATCTGAAGGTCTGGGATCCCAAGGTGTATCCCTCGGACAAGTACCACAGGATGCCGGTGATAACACCTGCATATCCCTCGATGTGTGCAACGCACAACGTATCGAACAGCACCCAGCATGTCATCACCATGGAGTTTACGCGGGCACACAAGATCCTATCGGACCCCGAGAGGAATGACTTTAGAAGGATATTCGAGCTGTCAGACTTCTTCAGCAGGTACAGGCTGTTTGTTGAGGTGCTGGCTATGTCAAGCTGCGAGGAGGACTTCCCGAAGTGGGAGGGGTACCTGGAGTCGAAGATCAGGATCCTTGCGTCAAAGTTCGAGGCGGTTGACGACGTACTGTACGCCATCCCGTTTCCGAAGGCGTTCAGGGTTGCAGAGGAGAGCATTGAGAAGATCGGGCCTAGGATGGAGGGAATGAAGAAGTGCACGGCGTTTTTCATTGCGATTGACGTGATTCCTGTGAAGGGGAAGAAGGTGATTGTAGAGCAGCAGGTCAAGGAGTTCATAGAGTTTGTTAGGGAATACGAAGGCAGGGCGAGCGGGATGAGGATTGAGGTCAACAGCCTGAAGAGAAAAGATGTGCAGGGCTTCCTAAGGGTTTTCTATGGGAAGGAAAGCCCGTCCAACGAGGATAGCAGCAAAAGGAGAAGGGTCGAGTGATTGAATGCCGCCTTCCCTCCGAGACCTGGTTTCCCTCCAAAAGGAAAATATATAAACAAAGGAGAATGCCCTGAGGAATGGTAGTAATACAAGGAAAGGGAGGAAAAGCGGATCCACGCGTTATAGGTAAGGACGAAGAGCACCAGAAGAGCATTGTGAAGCTGAGTCAGATTAAGAAGATCATGAAGGACAGGACCAGGATGAGGATATCGAAGGATGCTCTTGTTGCTGTTTCAGCATGTGTAATGTACCTAATCAGCGAGATCACCGATGGTGCCAAGAATGTTGCAAGCACCGATGGAAAGAAGAAGGTCATGCCCAAGCACATAAACAATGCAATCTGCAATGACACCGAGCTGCACTTTGTGGGCCATGACTGGCTAATAAAGAACGGGGGAATGAAGTCATACATTGCCCCTGGAGACTTTGCTGTGTCCAGCAAGAAGGGGTCCTCAAGGGACTGATGGGTCTTCTTTGGTATTAAACTTTCGAGTTTCTCTATGGTGTTTGTATTTTGCCGCTGATGCCCATTTAAGGCGAGTGGCCTTTCCCCATAGCAGGATGAAGATCTCAAGGACAGGCATCAACCATGGCACAAAGAGGCCAAAGCCTATTTTTTCCATAGATGTGTCTGGAGCATGTGTTGCTACGGCATCTCTTGACGGGGAGATAAGGCTGTGGAACGAGAAGCATGAGCATGTTGGGACCGTCAAGAAGCACAGAGGCGCTGTGTTGTGTGTTAGATTCAGCGCCGATGGGAGTTTGTTTGCCTCGGGAGGGGACGACGGGGCGGTTTTTGTGCATGAAAGGAACGGAGATGTTGTTGCATCTGCGTCTGAGCACGAAAGTGATGTTAGCAACGTGGTATGGACGGACAGGTTTCTTGTGAGTGTTGGGTACGACGGATATGTTGTACTCTACGACCTGAAGTCATTTGGAGCAGCTAGGAAGATGAAGTCTCATGAGGGGCAGATTAAGGGGGTTTCAGTAGACAAGAGCTTTAGATACATGTGTACGCAAGGAGATGACGGGATCGTCCTATACGAGGACTTTGAGATTGTCAAGAGGATGAATGCTTCGGAAGGTGTGATTCTCGAGTCTTTTTTTTCCAGAATGAGCTGGACACCGGATGGAGAATTCTTTGCATCTGGGCTGTCATTCAACAAGAAGTACAACACCATTGAGATTTTCAGCAAGGATCTTCGGAACGAGTGCTCGCTTATAGGGCATGCGGCACCGTGCGAAGTTGTGGCATTCAACCCGAAGGTGTACAAAGGAAATAGAAAGTACTACATTGCTGCGGTGGCATCACAGGACCTGAGCCTGTCTCTATGGTGCTCTTTGTCTCCAAGGCCGTTTCTGCTGGTTAAGAATCTGACAGAGCTGCCTGTGTTGGATATGCGTTGGAGTGAGGATGGGATGAAGCTGCTTGTATGCTCATACGGAGGGGAGGTTGTCCAGATCGGCGTGGAGGAGGGAGACTTTGGAAGAGCCTGGGAGGAAGAGGAGGAGGTCGAGGGAGATATCTTCTTCTCTGTAGAAAACAGAGATATGCTTGAGAGGAGAAGGGGAAGGCCGCTGGAGAGAAACGAGGATGGCGAAGGCAGGAGTGCCAAGAAGGTTGTAAGGCCTGTTGTGATATCGTTGGACACGGCTGAGTCAGAGGAGAAAATAAGAGGAATTGAGGTCAGCACTGGGCACTCATATCTTGCAATATTCAACTACACCAACAAAAAGCTGATTGAAAAGACTGGAAGCAGCCAAATGTCTCGGTGCTTTGGAGACTTCAGCATTGAGCTCGGTAAGGATCGGGGGTTTGTCTCTGTCAAGAGAGGCTCCAGAGAGTTTTACAAGATACACGGGAGCATAGACATGATGTGTGTGAACAGGAGATATCTGTGTCTGTACACAGGAAAGATACAGCTGTACCATTTCAAGACAGGAGTCCTTGCGATGCCGTTTATCTGTGCCGGTGATGTTGTGATGATGGATATCCTTGGGAAGAAGCTGGCATATCTCCAGGCAGATGGATCGTACACCGTGGTTTCCATTGACAAGTGCAAGATAGGCACCCAAGGAATGCTCCCCAGGACTAACGACCTGCTGTCTCTGAGGCTGGACAGAAAATACTTCCTGGTGGCTGGGTTTCCAGACGAAGAGTACTTCCTTGTGAAGAAATCCGGGATCTGGTTCCTGAAGACCCCCGCATACAACAGCATCTGGACAACGGATACCGACCTGGCGCTTGAACACGATGAAACACTTGCGCACCTTGAAAACGAGTTTCTCATATCATGCCTGGCCAATGACAGGAAAAGACTGCTGAAGACCCTAGGAAGAATCACCAGAGCTGCCTGCAGAATGAAGAAAATGGCAGACTTTGTAGAGCTCAAGCTGAAGAATATTGTCAGGATGCTGCTGGATGTTGGAGAAAGGCCTCAAGCAATCAGGATGCTGGAAAGGATGAACACTAACTATGCATTGCAGCAGTTTGTGTTTATGATGCTCAAGGAGATAGGAACAATATGAATCCCAGTACCCGTTTAATCAAGACCTTCCTAGGAAGAGTCTGTACTTTAGCAGCATTTCAATTAAATAAATCCCTATTCTCACCATCTGCCTAGCTAGCGAAGAGAGCAAGAGCAAAAAGTAAAGATTGACAAGAGCCGCCTCCCACCACTCCAAGACGCAGATTCCCGTCTCCACAGAGTATCTGTAGTACGCACTATGTGCCCAGTCAAGAGCCTTGCGGTGGATGCAGCGGTGACCATTGGCCTTCCCTCTTCCTCCGTCTTCTGCCATCAAAGCTCAGAAATACCCATCTATTTGTAGAAGAGAGGAGCCAATCAGGTGCTCGGAGCCAAAATATCCAAAACGCTTTGTCATCTCCAGCACCCAACGGCTCCAGGACTTGTATCTAAAATGCTTCGCTTCCCAGCAGAAGGTTATAGATCACCGCATGCCATCTCGGCACTTAGAAGGCTCATATTGTCAAACGGATCGAACGGAAGAACCATCTCGCCGCTGATGAGCTGGAGCGCGAACCTCCGAACAACATCATGATAGTGCACGGTAAGAACTCGGAGGCTGTGGATGTTATCGAATCCATCAATCCCATCCTTCCTGGCCTCGGAGCATATAATTAGTATCGATATTATGTATTCAGGCGTGTATAGAAGCGATGTGTCCAGAAGAAACCTGTAGAACTCCCTATCCTTGTGCATTGACGCGGCCTCGTGGACCATGTTGAGGAATTCAGGCAGATACTTCGAATTTCTCATCTTGTGCGATTTAACTGCATTTCTGAAGAGCAGAAGCACTCCGCCGTCTCTGCAGCCGAACAACACCTTGCACCCATAAAACGTCATCTTCTCGGTGTGCACTGCTTTTCTTATGATATCTGTCCTACATATCTTTTCGCTCCCCATGTTTTTTCCCAGTCCAATAACCAAGTCCTCCAACAGAATGTTTCTATGCTCCTCAGGGATGTTCTCGTTAAAGTCTCTGAGAATGCTGTTGAACACTCCAAAGGCCTTTTCCCTGTTCTCGCACTCAAGCCTTGCCAGAAACCTCAGGGCAACGTGTCTGGATCGGAACAAATCGTTCTTGAAGTAGAAGTCCTCAACCCCGTCAAGAACCACCTCCTCATTCCCGGGGACCAGCAGGTGCAGCTTGTCAATCACATAGTCAGACATATCCCTCTTGTCCCCGAGCTTGTTGATAAACAGATGGATCAGATCCACAAACAAAACCCTCGCCTCTAGCAGCTTGTACACCAGGCGCACAACCTTCTTCTTGATGTATTGGTTCCGAAGATTTGCGGCAAAGGACTTCACAATCCTCTGCTTGATGTAGGGATTTTGAACCTCTTTCTTGGATATGAGAAGGTCCTTGATGTTCTTAAGCACGTAGTAGTGGACGTCGTTCCTCTGGTTCTCGCAGAATGCAAGCAGGTTTTTGTAGTTTTCTGCAGAAGGGTTTCTGCCGACCAGCAGCGTGAGGACGTCGACCCTGTCTTTCACAGTCCCATGCATTAGAAGATCCTTTTCGATCTTCGTGGCATCTGGGAACTCTCTTCCTTGGATCGGACATGGCCTCCTCTTCAGAACGATCTTCTTCTTTTCTAACTTCTTCCTCGATGCACCGCCTCCCTTCCCTGAAGGCCTTTTGCCCTTGCTTGCCCTCTTCTCTCTATTTCCGCTCTTGGACTTCCCCATCGTAAGGGCAATGAGCCCTAGAGAATATCGCGTCCATTCACTTCAGTCCAGCCCAAGGGAATACCCACGCGAATGGGAAGCCCGTCTAGATATTTCGACATCTTTGGGATGAAGCCTTCGTTTGCCATAGACCAGGACATCCTCAAGGAAAAGTACTTCGAAATAAGTAAAAAGCTTCATCCAGACAGGCCTGGCCTGTCTTTTGCAGGAGACACATCGATAGAGGAAGTAAACAAGGCGTACGATACATTGAAGAACGATCTGGCAAGGGCGAGGTACCTGAGCAATGCAAAGAAGCTTTCTGTAGACAAGAAGTTCCTGGAGGACGTCCTGGAGTATGAGGAGGCCATCTCGAATATAAGCAGCGACGAAGACGAAAGAAGAGTCAAGGAGGATCTGCAGAGAAGAATTGCCCAGTGCAAGCAGCATCTCGGCGAAGAGCATCTAGCGAAGTGGGGGTACTACGAAAGACTGATGAAGATGCTTAACAAGAGGAAGGAGCAGGAAAATAGAGCCAATGTTCATTAAACGACTACTACCGCGGCATCAACCAAATATCTCAATCTTTCTTCCAAGAAGATTATACAGAACTAGCTCGTCAGAACATCCGGAAACAGACTTTTCCTCTAGTAGAGATAGTGCTAGGTGAAGCTCAGCAGACTGGGCATCACTCCCTTTGCTTGACCCTGCAAGCTGGTGAATTAGCTGCAGTGCAGAGTATCCCTCCCTCAAGAACTCCCTCACATACTCCACAACCCTTGGCCTGTCCACCTCCCAAAACATGTCAACAGTTTTCTGCGGAACAGCACCAACGGCCTCCTCGATGCAGAAGCTGCCCAAAGGAGCAACACCTTGTAGCACATTGATCGCCCTCCTTAGGTCGTTTCCGCAAAGCTTGAGAATCCTGTGATACAGCTCCTTGTCGTACCCCAATCCCTCCTTGCTCCCTATATTCTCAAGAATCTTGCTCTCCGTCGGCGTAAACTTCACACTCACCAGCCTGCTCCTCAGAGGGCCGATTATCTTCGACGGGTAGTTTGTAATAAATATGAACCGAGTGTTCACAGAATCCTCAATAACTCTCCTTAGACAGTGCTGTGCATCGGACGTGAGATTCTCGCATTCGTCGAGTATTACCGTCTTGTCCTTTCCCAGCGTGGATGCATACACCTTGATCTTCTCCCTGATCACGGATATACCCCTTTCGTCAGACGCATTGAGCTCTAACTTTTGGGATGCCAGAAGGTGAGCAAACGTTGTCTTTCCGGTCCCTGGCGGCCCGTACAGGAGCAGGTTTGGATGCCCTCTTCCACTGGAGTTCCTTAGAATGTTCTTCAGATGCTCCGGTCCTTCAAACGCGTCAGTGGACTTGGGCCTGTACTTCTCTGTCCACAGCATACCGTCGAAAATACAAGGCTCCGGAGGCCGCCAATATAAAGTGCAGATCAGTATTTTATTATCCCATTGTCCAAAGGGTCATCCCCATAGCCCAACCTCCTCATCGTCCGACATCTCCTTGTCAGCAGTCACTTTCAGCCTTTCAAATCTAGCATTGAAGTCCTCGTCACTAGCACCCGTTAGAAAGGGAGGGACAGCATTCTTAGACTCCCTTAGAACCTCCACCAGTGCTTTCTTGAGGTCTGCAGTCATGCCTCCGTCGTAGAACGAAATCGACTTCCCAGACTTCCCCTCGCGCCCAGTACGTCCAATCCGATGGATATACTCCTTTATGTCCTTCGGGATGTCGTAGTTTATCACCAGCTTCACATCCTTGATGTCTATTCCACGTGCTGCCACAGAAGTCGCAACCATCACAGGGAATCTTCCGTTGCGAAACCCCTTCAGTGCTTCGTCTCTGTCCGCCTGCTCCTTGTCCCCGTGCAGACTAACACACAGAATCCCGCTCTTCTTCAGAACTTTCTCGACCTCTCCACACTCGCTCTTTCTCTCAACAAACACAAGAACCTTGTCGGGCTGCACCTCCATCCTCCACGATCCCTTGAGATTAATGTCCGGGCCTTTCAGGATGTTCAGGAGCATCTTCTTCTTGTTTCGCACCTCCACAATCTCCTGTCTGATGTTCTTAAGAGTCTCAGAGGATATCTCGATCGAGACCTTGTCTTCGGGAAGAAAGTAGTTTATCATCCGCGTCAGCTTTGGCGAGTATGTAGCGCTGAAGAGGCATGTCTGTGTGTTTTTGGGGACAAACCCATGGATCTCCCGTATGGGTATCTCAAACCCCATATCCAGCAGCTTGTCCGCCTCGTCGAGGACAAACATTCTTATCTCAGAAAGATCCACCTTTTTTCTGTGCAATAGATCTATCAGCCTTCCAGGCGTTGCAACCACAATGTCGACTCCAGAGTAGCTGGGCAGATCCTGCTTCTTGCCATAGATCGACACAACCCTGATCCTGCTCCCGGCCACAAGTTTTGAGGCCTCAACGCGGATCTGCTCACACAGCTCTCTCGTCGGGGAGATAATGCATGCCTGCGGCTTTTTCATCTGCCGATGCCTTTCTATAATGGGGATCAGGAAGCACATCGTCTTTCCCATCCCTGTCGGCGCTCTGCAGATGAGGTTCCGCCCGTCAACCAGCGACGGTATGCAGTACTTCTGGATGATTGTTGGGGCCGAATATTCTTTCCCAAGTGCCTTTATCAACAAAGGAGAACAGAGGTCCTTGAAGGAGCTCAACGTCTTCACCTTCTCGCTCGTCACGACTTTGATGTCTCCATCTGCTGCCGCCACAGAATCGGGGTCCTTAACCTTCTGCCCTGCCAAGGGCTTCCTGTCTCCCTGAGACTTGTCGTTCGAGCTCGAGCTCTTGGGCGGCCCATTTCTGTCCTTCGAATTTTTGGATCCAGAGCTTCTCTGTCCCCCAGAATCATTGTTGGCCCACAGTAGTCTTTTCGATGGCCTTCCTCTGTCCACCCCAATTGATCTATTTCTGCCGCTTTCACCTGCTGCGGATAGTTCCGAATTCATGGGATAAAAAAATCCCTGGTTTATATGGATGCTGCAACAATCCCGTTGATGTTCGACAATCCTGTCTGGAAGCTCAAACACTTTCCATTGCCGAAGCAATGCTTAAAATCAAGACACATCAAAATGTTGACAAAGTTGGCCCCTGAGAAATGTTGAGGAACAGAAGACTATACAGCGTGATTCCTTACGAGATCCACAGCTACTCGACATATGCCTCTGTATATGTCCCAAACAATATCAAAAGAAATGACCCCATGGACCCCAACTCAAGATGGTCGACATCAACCAATGACCATCTGCAGTACATCGTCCTGAAGGTTCCTACGAGTCTTGTTGTTACCATTACGTTTGGGAAGTACAATAAGATGCATGTGTCCAATGTCAAGAAGATGAGGATAAGCGTTTCCAGGGACGGTGTTGAGTACAGAGAAGTTTTGTGCGGAGGGTTGAAAAACGATTCCGAGATGGAAACTTTCAACCTCCTTGTGAAGGACGAGATATACTTTATTGCCCAGTATGTGAAGATCGAGCCTCTTGCTGCATGGGGAGTCAACTTCAGCTACTCTCTGTGGTTTGTCGAGCTTAGGGGGCTTGTGGACGTCGAGGAGTTTGTCCGCTACAACGAAATGGTTGTCTTTGGAAGGTCGATGAGAAACTGCTTGAGATTTCTCCGCGACTGCGGATTCAGAGACATCTACGAGATCCTCGAGAAAAGAAGCTCAGACAAAATTGAGGATGAGGTTGTGAGGCACATACGGGAGCTGCTAGAGAGTCACAAATACGAAGAGGTGGAGGAGGTGTTGGATAAGCTAGATCCGCGTGTCTTTCAGGGGTTTATAGACAGCTCTCCATACACGCTTGTATGGACGGAGATACCAAGGGCGGAGATATGGCCCTGCGAGAGAGGAGGACATCAAATGGTTGAGATGGATGGATGCCTGTATCTTTATGGAGGATGGAATGGAATAGAAGAGCTCGAGGATTTCTGGAAGTACGGCGATGGGGAATGGAGCGAGATCAATATAGGTACCAGGACGCCGGGGAAAAGAAGTTGCCACAGGATGGTGTCTCACGAGTCGAAGCTGTACTTGATGGGGAAGTACGTTCCTCTGTCTTCCCGCAAGGTCTTTTCTGGGAGGTCTGACATCTGGGTGTTTGATGGAAATTGGAATGTGATGAATATGAACGACGAGGGGGGGCCTGGGAATGTGTACGACCACCAGATGGTTGTCATTGGAGACAAGTTATGTGTGTTTGGAGGAAGGTCTACAGAAAAGGAGGACACATATGGTGGGCTTTACATGTTTTCCCTTGGTGGGGCATTTCCAAATTATGGGAAAGAGGCCTTTTCGGTCCACCATGGAGTGGAGGTTGAGAAGGGCGCATCAAGACTAAGTGAGGAGTGTGAAGCCTGTGAAAACAACCCACTTGGAAGAAGTGGGCAGTCTTCAGGCTCCACTGTTGAGCTTGACCTGTTGTTTGGAGGCCAGATTTTGCATGAAGGTGGTGCAGAGGAGTCTAATTCGAGGTATGAGCCCTCGACATCATCGGCAAGCTTGTTTGCGAGCAGGTGGTTGATGGTGAGGTCGGACACGATGCAGCCTCCCTCTACCCCTTCTTTGAAGTCAAGGCTGGGGCACACGATGCTGTTTGTTCCTCCGGATTACATTGAGGGCAGTTCCTACAACAACTGCCTTGTGATTATAGGTGGGCAGAGGAATAAGAATTGCATCAGAGAGATTGTATTCTACAGCCTGGATACAGACACTGTCTTCCAGAGTGTACCGTTTCCAATAGACTCAGATGGAAAAGTCATCCAGCGGGGCGTTCTCCACTCGACAGAGATTGTTGTTCTGTTCTGCTATGGAAGGGAAAAGGAGGGGCGGTTTGAGAACATCGATGTATACACCTACTCGCTCATTAGAGAGAAATGGGCAAAGGTGATTGTAAAGCCGAGAGTCGAGGGAGGAGTGGAGATCAAGCCTGCTCCCAGGTCTGCTCACCAGTTTGTTGAGATGGACGGGCGATTCTATCTATTTGGAGGGAATGTTTCTGAGAGGACGGACCGGCGTGTAAACGACATGTGGATGTTCAAGCTTGAAAAGAAGACAACCCAGGAGATCTGCCATCTGTCGAAACTCCTGGTTAGAAAGCACAAGTATCTTTATCTTCTCGGAGTTGACGAGGAGAAGGCGGTTGAGTATCTTAGAACCTCGATCCTGAGCATGGTTGTTGATGACGACACAAGAGAGCTCTTCGAGGAATTGTGCCATGAGGTGTATAGAAGAAGGATCTTTGTTGACCCTGTCGAGGACATCTGTAGACTGCTGACAACAACAAAGGAACATTAAAGAATTTTGTTTTATTCATCTTACACAAAGGCCTAGGGTTTTATTGAAGGACCTTGAATATTGATGTTTATTTGAGCCCTAAACATGGGAAAGGAGACTTTGAACTCGTACCTGTCGCCTATCACCGACGAGCAGCATGAAAGGTCTAGGGATCCAAGGGGACTGTCGATGGGGTCTATGGACGAGAAGCTTCGCCGGATTAATGAGGAGTTTAAGGCAAGGGCCTGTGTTGGAAATGGGTTTGTGTTCAACAGAAGTGTCAAGCTGGAATCTCCTGCAAGCTATTTTGGTAAAGACAAGAACTCCAACGAAAATGCATTGGCCGATGACGGCCCAAGGAGCCAAAAGGATGGCAGAGACGTAAATGGCCTGAGGGCAAGGGACGGGTTTATTGGCGGCATGATACCATGGAAGCCAAATTCGTCTGGCACTATAGACAGAGGTATATTTCACAGAGAAGTGCCCAGGAGTTCAATGGTTGGAATGGACCTCTACAAAAAGCCGTCGATAGACCCCGTCCCATATGCCACAAAGAGGGGATCTGGGCTTGGGGCCATCGATGCAGGCCTTAAGACCGGATATGTGAAGTCCATGGCAAGTAGCTCCATTTTCAATCGAGGCTCGCCACCAAGCATCAGTAGCTCTGGAAAGGCAAAGGACGGCAGGATCTTGCTGCATCCACCTCCTGGGAGGGATGGGCAGGCAGGAGACAGCTTCTCTGCCTCGAAGTCTGTATTTAGCAACCCCTTATCAGATGCCAAGACACCCAGCTTATCGAACAAGACCTCATGCCAGGCACCCAACCCCGATTTATACGGTAGGGCAAGCAGGTCTCCAGCCTTTGCACCCATTGACGTGATGTATGTAAAGCCGATGTCTGGGTCAAGCAATGGGGTGAAAGGCGTCGAAGATACTCCCCATCGAACATTGCCCAACTGGCATGATAGCTGCTGTAGCCCCTCTGCCTCCAACCTTTATGCCCCGGGGCACAGACTCACAATCTATCCCCACATCAGAATTTCGAATTCTGTACTGTGCTACGAAGGCTCTGTTGAAACAACCAAGTACTACATCACGGTCGAATCGGATGTTAGCTGGACGGTGTGCAAGACTATAGGAGACATCAAAGCGCTTATTCCCGGCATCCGGTGTGCAACACTAGCAAACGCAATGTCTCCGCAGGATAGAAGAGCAAGAGACAGAACAATCCAGGTCACACTGAACTCAGGGGTCCCCGATAAACAGCTGCAGCCGTTCATTCTTTCAGACATCTCCAGTGCCTGCACATTTAGATCTTCGTATCTCCTGATGAACAACGAGGGATGGAGGGGATATCTCTTCAAGTTTGTCGGAAAGGCCCTTATATGCTACGAGAAGAGCAAGGTCTTCAAGATCTTTCTTCTCAGTAGCTGCAACGTCCTACCAGTGGGCCAGGTCGGCTTCTGCCTCGAGAAATCCGGAGAGGGGATAGAGCTGTATACTACCTGTGAGAAGGAGAGAGACGCATGGGTCTCAGACATAAGAGAGTACATTAGTAAGCTCTAGCAATAAAGAAAGCAATTTCAGCCACTGTTTTCTTGCAGCAACAGGGAATGCCAAAGTAGGTGGAAAACGTTTCAATAATAAAGTCTCTAAGGATTAGTGTTCTGGCCCAAGCCATCGGGATCATTCTATTCAACAGGCCTGTATTTCCACACGCGAAGGACCCCGTTGTTGTCAACCGTGGTGAAGCAGTCCTTGCATGTGGATATCCCAATTACATTCGACTCGTGGGTCTGCACCCTCATGCTTCTTTTCTCTTCCAGGTCCCAGATCATAATGCCGTCAGGCTGCCCGACCAGCAGATGGCGTCCAACAAACCCCAGCGAGAAGACAGTGCCTTTCTGCTCAATGGTGTCTTGGAGCCTGCACGAGGGCTTCTCGGCCTTTATTCTGTAAAGATCAACATTCCGCCCATATCCCCCGGCAGATATCGTCATGTGCTCGTCAGATACCGCCATTGCCAGAATCCGGTCTTCGTTGGTGTTCGTCAGGTATGTCATCTCAGCCTTCACATCGAGAACAAGGATCTTGTTTCTATTTACAACTGCGTATATAAAGCCTCCATCAGGGCTTACGACCATGGGCCCTCCAAACTCCTCTCCAGAGTTCAGGGTAATCACCTGGCCGTTCTCGTCATATATACTTATGGTCTTGTCCCACCCAATCGTGAACACCAGGTTCTTGACTATTTTGAGGGCAATTGGGTCTGAAGACTTCAGTATTCCTTCCTGTGCCTTACTGTCCATGCTCCATATCCTCACGGCCCCCTTTCCATCTGCTGCATACAGGTGAAGAGAGTCGGGTGTGAAGTCCATGGGGCATATTCTGTACTCTTGAGTCTCTCCCTCAAACATCCCCTCTTCGTATCTCTCCATTCTCTCCGACGATGAATTCAGGAACCAGATCGTCCTCTCTATTACAGCAAACACCCTGTAGCCGCACCCAAACGCCACAAACTTGCCACAGCTGCTTACAACTGCATTTGTTATCCTCCCAGGCATCACTATCTTATCCCTGACACTCAGCATACACAGCATGTCTCCGTCAGTATACCAGTCACTCCCTCTTTTCAGGCATTTCGGGGTCCTTACAAAGGAGGAACCAGAATCTACAGCCATGCGCTTCTGCCGGCCCAGGATACTTGTGTAGTACTGGATCTTTCGGGCATACTGGCTGTTCGCCTCCACAAGCCGGATGTTTTCCTGGCGAAGAGACCTGTTCTCGGCCGCAATCGTGTTGTACTGCTGCTTTATGGCATCCAAATATGCCTCAATGCCTGGCTGAAACATGCGGTAATAGGGGTCCGCCTCCTTGCAAAATAATCCATCCTAGGATAATGCAGCAAAAAGAATGTCCGGTAAAGTCATATCTGGTTTATTACTGCGAAGAGCGGTCTGCCACAGGAAAGAGAAGCCTCGTCTAGAGCTCAAAGGTTACGGCTACACTGAACGGAATGTTTTCGTATCCAATATTATGCTTGTTTCTTTCAATCACCTCATGGGCCTCGCCTCCTCCAAGCATCTCCATCCCATACCTTAATACTCGGAGGATTCGCCTGGCATTCCTCTTCGATACAAAGTTCTCCTTAAAATACTGAAGACTTCTCGAGTGTATTCCTTTGTACACTTCAGCCTCCATCAATCCTTTTTTCCTTAGAGTGGTGGCAAGCACAAACTCTTCCTCCACATTCTTTCCCCTAATCCACTCCAGGTAGTCCCCGGAAACAACGGTGCTATTAAGAAGCACATAGGCATGATGGGGACTAACGCCGTCCAGATATCCAACAATATAATCCACCTGCTCCTTGCTGCAGTATCCGGTCTTGAAGAGAGATATAGTGAGACATACCATACTCAGCAGGAGCTCCCTAGTCTTCCAAAGGTTTTCCTGCCTTATTATTTCTACAACAGATGAGAAGTCTCCGGACGAGTGCAGGATAACAATCGCAAGGAGAAACAGCGATGAAGAATATATCTCAAAGATCTCTTCGCTGAGTACAGTCTGCACCAGATTCAGGATCCATGTGTTGTCCCCGGTCTTCAGAAAGACAAGACCTTGCACATCAAGTAGATATGCGTAGGCCTGGGGCGAGTTGATGTTTCTGACATTCTTCCATACAAATTCGTCAAGAAATCTCACAGTCTCTGGGCCCACAAGCGAGGGATCAATCCTGATCATCCTCTGGATAAGCTGCGAAGAAAACTCGTCTTCAATCCCATCTCCAAGAAATGCCATCAGCCCATTCATGATTCTGACGCAGCTTTCAGGCCCCCCAATCTTCTCGCACACCATTGGATTCCCTTCTGCATACTTTGCCGAGTAAGACTCAAGAGACCTTAGAGACTCACATCCATCAATACATCTAGTCAGGTACGCCATTGCAAGGAATGACCCGGGGTTCCTTCTATCGATATATCCGGGATCAATGGAGGCATAGTTGTCGATAGATAGCAGATACCGAAGAGAAACCACTCCTAGATACCCTATGGACCCACTGCTTTTGACCGTGCTGATACACCTTTCAACAGCCTCTCTCACTTCTATCCGAAAGGCCATGCATAGAAATATCAGCCTCTCCTCATCCATAGGTGTTGCAGCCTCAGAGTCGATAACTGTGCTCTCCCAGCCGTCTCCAAAGACTTTCCTTAGATGCCCAATCATTTCAATGATTATCCCCCTGTTCACATCATAGCCCTTCAGAAGGTTCCTTGAGTACAGAAGTACATCCTCGTTCATCTCCTCTACCTCGCCCTCCGATATGTATGCCCCCAGCTTTACTGCATTCGAAAGTGCTGCCGAAAACTTCGAGAGAACAGGATAGCTCTTTCTCTTCACAATGTTGAGCAGAACCGTGTATTTCAGATAGTCGAATCTCGTTATCGTTGTTAGAACCACCCCAAGAATCCTTGTCATGTCCACACACTCGGGATACTTTGTCACAAAGAGGTTAAAGATCTCGCATACATCCTTCTGAAGCACCTGCTTACGCAGCAGCTTGCAAAAGGACTCGAGGAACTTGTCTGCATTGTTTTCAAAGAAGGGGTGGATATCCTGGAAGACCAGGGAGTGGAACATTCCAAGGATGTTTTCGTCCTCAGACAGAGACTCAAAGTATGCCTTCCTGAATATATCCTGGCACAGCCCTATATTTCTGATTATCTCCCCATACAGGGCATCGCTTCTCGGACAGACCCTGTACTTGTTGAACATGTGATTCAGGACCCTCACACTCCTCTCGCTCGGACTTGCACATAGATCCTGGACCAGAGTGTCCCATGCAGCTCCGTGGAGATACAGCGTCTCGAAGAAGAAGCAGAGAATCCCAAAGTTCTGCTCCGAAGATGTAAATATCAGCGAAAACAGGATGTCTCGGGCCCCGTGGATCATCTTGATGCGCTCGGAGTTCTCAATCCACTCCTTGCACCTTGTCTTCATGTAGGTGAATGCAATTCCATTTCCATTTCTCAAAAGGCTCACAAACTCGTGCTGTCCGCCGGATTGGTTCAGACGCTCCTCGACACAGCCCACGGAAGGCCCCTGGGGATTCTGCAGGATATCGTTCAGCAGATGCTCCATTTTGTGGGGTGGGTATTTCGCTGGTATGTAAATCGGAAGCGTTCTGCAACTGATGGAAAGAAAGCTGCCACAGAATTGTAGCACCGGAAGGCGGCCACTCCTTTGGCTGCCTCATACACAACGGAATTAAATTATGCACACTGGGGCCCTAGCATGTATTTTCTGGTGAAGAAGCCTGCATGGCTTGTGTTCGACCCCAGCGAGTATGGAGACGAAGAAGTCAGGACATTCCAGGTGAGGCGCCGGGGGTCTCATACAAACACGAAGCTTGTGAGGTTTGAGGACGGGTCCTGGTACCTAAAGAATGGAAGCCAGATGTTTCCTTTGAAAGCCGTGTCCCTGAAAAGAAGAACAGGGGTGGGAGCTGAGGAGGGAGATGTTGTGCACATCAGAGAGGTCCTGGACAAAAAATGGTTTATCAAGATGAGCGAGCCCGCGGAGGAATGATTGGGCGTGGTGTTTTATATGGTGTTGCAGAAGTTGGCAGGGCTCCTACGGGACTCTTGGTGCGGACTGTTTTGAGCAAAAAAAATTTGATCCCCAACATGTCGTCGAAGAAAGTAAGTTGGAGCCTCTAATTTAAGATAAATCCAATGAGAGAGATAAGCATTAAGAAGCTGTCCATCCACATCTGTGCGCGGGAGAGTGGGGCAAAGCTCGATAGGGCTGCAAAGGTTCTTGAGCAGCTGACTGGGCAGAAGCCCGTAACCTCGAAGGCAAGAATGACGATCAGAAACTTTGGGATCAGGCGAAACGAGAAGATTGCAGTGCACGTGAATGTGTCTGGAAAGAAGGCCTATGAGCTTCTCAACACAGCGTTAAGGGTTAAGGAGTACGAGCTCAAGGAGAGCTGTTTTAGCAACAACGGATGCTTTGGATTTGGAATTGAAGAGCACATTGATCTTGGGCTGAAGTACGATCCGAACATTGGAATCTTTGGAATGGACTTCTTTGTGATTCTTGCAAGGCCTGGGGACAGAGTGTCCAAGAGAAAGAGATGCAAGTCAAGGGTCGGAAACAAGCAGAGGGTCTATGCGGAGGATGCCAAAAAGTGGTTTGTCGAGAACTTCGAAGGAGTTCTAGTTGAATAAAGTTGGACTTGGATGGATCATACATTTACCTGCTTCCCTTGCGATTCTTCAGGAATCTAGAACTATTTTATTTAAGAGATTTGGCTGATTATTGGACATGGAGTTACAGGACGATGTCGATCCCGTCGTCGATGTAGGACTCTTCTATTGTAAATACTCGCCCATCGGACTTTCTGACGGTAGTATTTCCTCCGCTGTGGTCCAGGATCTGAACCACCTCTCCCTTGTTCAGGCACACGTCTCCATTCTCGACATGCTCCACCCTAAGAAACCCTATTTTGAAGAACTCCTCGTTACGCTCGAGCTGTATTGTTCTTCTTCCAGAGGAGTTGAGCATGGGAAGAGCGCTGAAGCTGCTCACCAGGGTGATGTTCACCAGCATAGTCTTCCAGTATCCAGAAAGATAGTAGAATGGCACCAGGCACAGAACCTCACAAAGGACGAGGCCTGTCAGCACCCTGTTTCTGGGATCGTATGTCTTTCTTAGGAACCTTCTTCTGTACTCCAGCCTTTTCATCTGGAAATATAACAGCACGGCCATGTCAAACGAAACTGCAAGCAGCAGAGCGGCACTCAGGGACAGGCGGAACGAGCCTTCGTGAAAGAAGGCAGCCGTTATGCAGATGGACGTCGTCAATGCTTTTATGGCAAACGAGCGGAACTTATCCATGCAGGGGCTCAAAACAAAAGTGATTTGTATCCTGATAGGCACTTAGGCCCCTTAAAACACACCCGGGCACTGCATGAGTGGGGATGTCAAGAAGAACAGCATCTCCCAAGACGGACTATCCTGTGGGGTGTCTGTATGTGGAGGGTTGGAGATGTTATGGTTAGTTGTGACTTTCCTGCGGTGGGGCAAGAGGATAATTAGCACTTCTGGTATCAGATGATTTTCTTCAGACCCTTTATGGAGGTTGATTTGAGAGTTCGGAGAGTTGAAATTGAAAGCAGAGTGACCTCCGTAAGCATCAAGTGCTTCTTTTCGACGGAGCTGGCCCACCTGGATGACTTCACTGTAACTGTACCTGTGTACGGCCTTGGTGGGAGGAAGTACGAGTATACTGGATCTGTCTTCTCTCAGGCCCGCGATCTGGTGGCAATGATTGGAAGAAAGGTGGCGATTGGGGTGCTTAGTGAGAGGGGAACCGAGGTTCTTGGGAGCAGCGAGAGGCCCATCCTTTTTTGTCTGTACAGAGATGAGGATGCCATAAAGGTGTGCGGCCTGAGAAGACTGATAGCGGTTGAGTTGAGGAACCCTATAGGCTCAGCCTTCGCAAGGACAGTACTTCGCGATTGTTCCAGGTTTGCGATGCTTAGGAAGCTAAGGCTTGCGGGCTGCAACATCAGAAGGATTCCCGACTTTTCTGTGATGAAGCTGACGGATCTGGACTTGAGCCACAACAACATATCTGGAGTGGTGTACCTTCGCGGGAAATTTGCTTCTGTCAACCTCTCGCACAACGAAATATCCCACGTTGTCAGGATAAAAGCATCAAGCCTAAATGTTGCACACAACAGGATAGTGAGGTTTTTCCAGGAGTCTAAATATCAGCATCTGGACCTTAGCCACAACCCGCTGGAACACTACCATGCGGAAGCAAAGACTCTGAATGTATCCCGGACGGCAATAAAGTCACTGGAGTCGCGGACCACACGAAGGCTGTTTGTGGACGGAACAAAGGAGATCAGACTTGGCGTGTTTGAAAGTTTGGTATTCCTGAGCATGAACGACTGTGGAGTGTATTGCCTGTCGCTTACTGCAAGAAAGCTGAGGGTTCTGAAGGCCAGGAACAACTTTATAGAGGAGATTCCTCTCTTACCATCCCTTGAGTATCTGGATGTCTCTGGAAATCTTGTTCACAAGATATCTTCTAAGGGAGTCAGGTTTCTCAATGCCTCTAAGAATCAGATCATGACTTTTGACCTTAGCTCATGGAATAGGCTGGTGCATTTGGACCTTTCATACAACCCGCTGGTGAGTCTTGAGAATTCTGATGCACGTGGCCTGAGATTCCTGGGTCTTCGGGGCACGGACATCAAAAGCCTCGGAAAGAATAGAACGGAATGCTTTTACGATGTGCATCAGTGCAAGGAGAAGAAGAAGGTAGCTGAAAAGTTCGTGGTTGATCCCCGAGGAATCGACGGAAGGATGTTTCTCATATCTGTGCACGACCCTGGGACTGACATTTCTGGGATGCTTGAGACGATTCAAACGAAGATGAGAAAGGCCTCCAATCCTCATGTGTACCTCCAGAGGTTCTGCTTTCTCCTTAGAAAAATGCTTCTTTTTAAAGGCGTCAAAGCTGAATATGCGCTGTGCATGGTAACTCCCAAGCATGTGATTTTCAACGGAAGAGGCATTGGAGCTGTGTTCTCAAACTTTGCAGAGGTTAGGGCATTTGATGACCCAGATACTATTGAGGTATACGATAACGTTGGGAACTGGCACCTTATCCCGATGCCCTGCGGCTTTTACGGCAGCACAGCAAGATTCGATATACTTGATACAGTCAGAAACGACCTAGACGTTATCCTGGATTTCATAGGACATAGATGTCCTCTATCTGTAATGATGGCTATCTCCAGCACACCAAAACCGCAGAATGGTCTGTGCAGGGGCGTGGAGCTAATATCTAAGGTCGGCCTTCCTATCAGAACAACATATGAAGAGGCGATCAGGAGCCTTCCTGAGAGGAGAAACGACGTGGAGGGAGGCGAAAACTACAACTTTGTTCTGAAGGACGCCACAAGGCAGTCCTATGGAACTCTTCTCCTCAACCCAAACCCCATTTTTGCATTCTGCAGACTTATTCCAAGAGATGCGAGCCATCGATATGTTATCGGAAATGTCGGAAATATAATGAAGATGATGAGTGTCCTGTTCTCTGGAACCAGGATAGAGTTTTTTTCTAAGCTGTGGATTGTTGCGTTCCATGACCGGGTAGAGGCCTGCCTGTGGGGACTGAAGATTCAGGAGATGCTCAAGCATGTGGGGATTGATGTTGGGGTAGGGATAACGTGTGGATCTTTCTACACAAGGATAGTGGGAAGCCATGTTAGGTTTTATGGGCCGGCGCTTAACAAGGCATCGCGGATTGCAAACCTTGGTGTTGGGGTGTTCTGCTGTCACTGTGTATGGACTAAGCACTCGAGGATTATGTACATAAACCAAGGACAAAGGAACCTGAGAGGATTCAAGGAGCCCCACCTAATATACACTCCTCGGCTATCTGAGGAGATGTAGCCCTGTACCGGATTTCTGCTAAGGCGCCTGTGTACAACCATTCTGCTCTATGATCCTGTACTATAAAAAAACAACAAAAGTACCCTTAAACATGGGCATTGAAGTTATAAGCATACTTGTAGGGGGAGGAAACAACTACATGCATCTATTCTACGACGATGATGCTGCATTCTGTGTGGATGCAAGCAACCCAAGGATACTTCTGAAGGCCCTAGGGATCAACTTCAAGAAGAGTATCTATGACGAAAAGGAGATTTTCTCTATGGGGGAGGACCGGAAGAAGAGAAGAGAGCTTGTTTACCTGTTCACCACGCACAAGCACCTGGACCACTCTGCGGGGATTCGATGTATATCAGAGGAAAGCCCAAACACCAAGACGATATCCGGGTTTTCGGGAGACATATGCAAGTCCGGGGACAAGTTCCGCTTCAAAGATGTGGAGATAGAGTGTTTCCACACGCCCTGCCATACAGTGGACAGCTTCTGCTTCTATGTTGGCGAGAAATACCTTGCTACGGGAGACACCTTACTCTTCCTCGGATGCGGAAAGTTCTTCGGAGGAACTCCTGGACAAATGATCAAAAACATTGAAGAGATAAAGAAAAGGGTAAACCATGATGCTGTGCTACTATATGGGCATGACTATAGCGAGCAGAACATCCGCTTTACTGAGGAGTTTTACCATGTGCCCGAGGAGATAAAGAAGAAGAAGTTCCTGAAGTTGGCGGAGGAAATCAAGTACAACCCATTCTTTAACCTGAAGAAGGTTTCCATAGAGGGCTCGGAAGAAGAGGTAATGGGGAAACTCCGGGAGAGGAAGAACAAGTTTAGTAAGGAATGACATGGATTTTTGGGGAGTCTAGAGCAGAGGAGGGTCTCCTACTTAAGACCCTGCCTCGAAACTCTTTCTATCCTAGCCTTCCCATTCTCCATTATGACCCTGATGGCCTTTTGCGGGAAGTAGTACGAACCGTTGCTGTAAAAGAACGGACTGTTGGCGAATAAATCGTTCAGTTTGCACTTTTTCTGGATGAACACCATCTTCTTTCGAAAGCCATGCTTATCGCTAAACTTCAGCTTCCCATTCAGGTACACTTCACTGTCATGCACCTGGATGTCACGGGCATTCGCAGCAAGATAGTAGTAGTCGGAAGCAGTCTCAATGTAGAGATACTCCCCAGGACTGGGCTTGTGAATTATCGCTCCTGTATGAATCGACGAGACCTCGCTGGAATCTAGCTCCAGTTTGAGATTGTAGTGGACATCTGCCTGGAGCACTGCGCCATTGATGGAAACGATTTTCTGGTTGTCGAATACCGGCTGAGGATAAAGGCTGATTTCCAGCGGATCGCAGAATACTATTGCAGGTCCAGCGATCTCTGCCAGCTCATCGATTGTGTCCACCACATGGAGCCTTCCATACGACTTGATTGGAAAGGGGTCCTTGACCGATGAGAACGGCTTGCTTAGCCATTCATTCTCTATACTAATGGTCGTATGAAAGCGGCTGAACTCCGAAGATGCAATATATATGGGAACCGCGCCCCTTGCTTGCACCACAAACAGTGTGTGGAGAAGAACCTCAATAAGCATTGTCGTCATCTCGAGGGGAATAACTGCAACATCCAAGCCCAGCTCTCTAATGTAGGCAGAGAACTCGTCTATGGTATGGGAAGAGGTGCATTCGTCTGTATTGATGATCAGATAGTCTGAAGAGATGCTTCCTGGGCCCAGAGAAACCCTAGGCTTGCTAGCCAGAGAGGAGAGGTAGTAGAGGGTTTTTTTGTCTCCAAACTCAATCAGATAGTTCGACCACCCAATAAATGTTCCTGCCGGCTGTGGAACGACAGTGACGTCATCGAAGGACCATCTTTCATTGAACCTGACAAGCCTAACATTCTTCTTGAATCTCTCGACGTCTGCATCTTCTATGGGGGTGCCGGAATCCTCCTCGTCCTCGTAGTAGACCGAAAGTTTGAGGAGGCTCTCGTATTTTATCAAGATTTGTTCAAACACTGGTTCTGTAATGTAGACAGGGATGTCTCTTTCGAGAAAGAGCACCCCCAACGAGTCGGATCTGGTGACCAGGATGTGATCTATGTCATCTGCGAACTTTGGAAGAGCAAGCTTCAGAGGCTTTGGCCTTTTAGTGAATGAGGGAAGCGAAAAGGATACTCCATAGATACTCGATGGATAGTCCAAGAGGAACGTCTGTTCGTTTGTTTGAAGGACATAGCAAGACTTGGCCCTCGAGACGATCTGCTTTACTAAAGCCATTCCAGGGCTTGCCTAAATGTGCGAATTTGAAGATGCTCTGGCCACCCTTGATGACTTCTGACAGGGCGGACGAGTCTGGAAGGATGGTTGAGGCAATCGAAAAGGAATTGGTGGAGGAGATCAAGCACAAATACGGCGAGATAGAAAAGGCCATAGAAAAGGTTATTGAGAATGTGGAGAGACTACACGGCGATCTACTTGGCGAGATAAGGGCGGTATATAGAGGAGTGGAGGAGAGCAATCTTATGTAGATGTAGAGATATACAGAGCTTTGTATGGTGGAATGAATAAAGGTTGTGTTGGCTTCATTGTTGAGTAAATCATTTAGTCCCTGGATGTTAAGGGTCTTGTTTGGGTATGAAAAGCACCTGCAGATGGTTGACGATGTATACAAAGATGGCAGCGCAGGTGATGAGAAGCTGTCGAAATTTATAACATATCTGAAGTCGAGGACATCCATCATCCCAAGCACCCTCGACTATTTGAGAGTAAGGGCCCGAGAGGAGGTGCATAATATACACAGGCTCAAGATCGGATCGAAGCTTCTGAGGCAAATCATCGATCAGCTAAGAGGTGTGTCGATCTGCTACGAGTCTCGGATAATAAGGATATTTGTTGGGGTGATTAAGGAGATCCTGCGACTGAAGAGAAATGGAGACTTCGAGTATTCTGATCACCAGGAATTTCTGGATGTGTTTAAGCACTTCTTTGGGACTGTTCCAATCCGGGCATACGAAAGCGAAAGGTACATCCGCAAGATTCTTTTTATTGCGACGGAGGCGACAAAGGTTACTGTGAGTTCCGACGGGGCCAAGACTGGTTTTGATGATGAGGATGGCAGGGTAGTCGATGATGGAGGAGAGGCGTATGGAAGAGCAGGGATTTCCGACGACGAAACAAGCAGTCTGACTGATCTTGAGAAGTACAAGAACGAGGAGAGAGGCGAGATATCCAATGCTAGATTTGAGTACTTCTTCCTGGAGGTCATGCACACGCTTATGGAGGTCGAGGACATTCTAAGGATCGACCACGACGAGAAGTATAAGTGGCTGGTAGGCTCTCTCATGAAGCGCGAGGAGGTGAATAGCGCCAAAAGAATCGAGATATTCAGGCTGGTGGCTGGGAAGGCAAACATCATCAGTGGAAACAGCCTTATCTACTACGTGCTGAAGTATGGAAGCTGCATGAGGAAATCCTGCGCAAGGATTCTGACGGAGCATCTCGAGCCCGATCTCTATCCACAGATAATTCTCCAAGTCAACATGAACATCCTGGAAAGAGGGAAGAAGCTGTATAGGGACAGAAGAGGAGCTGGAGATAGCAGAGCGGTTGAAGAATGCGAGTTTCTTGCCCAGGAGGGCGTGGAGGTTCTGAGTTCGTACGAGGTACTTCATCTGAATCAGAAGGAAATAGTGCTGAGCTTCTTCAGCATCTTTGAGATGTTTTTCTCTGGAGAGGACGACAAGTTTCTCTTCATCGTCTCATATGCAAGAGAGTACTTTGAGAAGTGCAGGCCGATATCCGATGTGTTCTACAGATTCCTCAAGAAGATCTTTCAGGAGCAGGAGCCCGGTGGATACACAGAGAGCTTTAGGGCAGCAATGTTTGGAGAGATCCAGAGGTACTTTGTCGTTCACTCTGACTGCATTCCCAATGCAAGATTCATGACTCTCCTCCTGAACTCGGCGGTGGGAGAGTTTGTACCGTTTTGTTGCAAGATACTGTATCTGGCAAAGGACTACTTCATGGCCCGAACGCTGAATCCTTTTATGAGGGAGAGGGCCATGGGGAGGCTTCGAGCGCTCTTCTACCAGACGAGGAACAGGGACATACTGTATCTTCTGGTGGATGTTGTTGGGCATGATGCCTCCAGAGACGACCAGTACAAGACATTATGCCTCTTCAGTGAGAAGAAGATTCTGAGCGGGCAGCTAGTCCGAGAGATGTACAAAGGTCGGTATTCGAGTGTTTCTGAGATCCTGTCTTCGGAGTTCGGTTGTGAATCGCTGAAGCCCTATGATCTAGATGAGGACAGGAGGATATGCGAGACTGTAGATCCCGGCGGGAAGGCCCGGAACTGCGAATACCTTATGAGTGGGACCAGAAGATGCACTCGGATAGCACTGATTGACTATGAAAGGCACTTTCGATGATCATTGCTCGGACAGATGCAGATAGTTAATGTAATAAATGGGATTGTTCTGACTTTTCGGGACTTGGCGTGCAGACTTTTATTTGGGTTCCAACTTTGAGGGGATGGAGAGGTACAAGCTTCGCCAAGTGATTGGAGAGGGAGCATCGAGCACGGTGTATAGTGGGGTATCTGCTCGAGGAGAGGAAGTGGCTGTGAAGGTGGTGCCTCGGAAGGGAAGGTCAACTGGAATGGTATACAGAGAGATTGAGATGTTAAGTACAATCAAGCACGAAAACATTGTTGGGATTGTTGGCCGGTTTGAGTCTAAGAAGCATGTGTACATGGTTGAGGAGCTGTGCGACTTCAATCTTGTTTCATTCCTCAACGAGTACGAGGTTGATGAGGATGTGGCCTTGAAGATATTGAGGATGATATTGTGCGGGCTGCGGCATATACACTCTCTGGGAATCATACACAGAGACCTGAAGCTGGGGAACATACTTCTGAAGGGGAATACGGTGAAGATTTGTGACTTTGGACTCTCGTGCTATGTGGAGGAGAATAACAGCGAGTTCTGCGGGACAATGGACTATCTTGCGCCTGAAGTGGTTGATGGAAAGAAGTACTCCTTTGGGGTTGACATGTGGTCTGCGGGGGTTGTCTTCTATGTGCTCCTTACGAAGAAGAAGTTTTGCGAGTCTTTAGATTCGTTGGAGTGTTCTGAAGAGCTCCGGGATCTTCTTGAGAAACTACTTGAGAGAGACGAGAGTAAAAGGGCCGATGCGAGTGAGGCCCTGATGCACAGAAGCTTCAGCAGGTTTATTCCAAGATGTGAAGACTTCAGAGGTCTTCCAGGTTTCGAGAGGGGTACGAAGTATGGAGTGCTTCGGAAGGCCGGAGATAGTGTTGAGCTTGGGAGTATCCGGATAGATGCTAGGAGAGGGAAAAGACATGGCGGGGGGAGGAAACATGGAGATCTAGGATGCCTATGCGGAGAAGAGTTTACGTACTCTGTGTATGTTGACTCCGAAGAAATTGAGCCTGCATTTATTACAAACGGGCAGCTGAAGACCCTGGGGTTGCTTACAGCACATGTGAAGGCGATGAGGGAGAAAACGCCGAAGATAATAATAGACGACGACGGGAATAAGTTCTATTATATGTTTTCAGGTGGATTTGTGTATGTTGGAAAAGAGCTTACCTTGAGAGCGAGGGGCGGGAAGTATGAGATGAGTAGGAGATCTGGAGAAAAGACGTATCTTGAGGCTGTTCCTGATTTCCTGTATGAAGCCATCGGTGGATTAGAGGCCAGATGCAAGGCGATTGACAAGGAAGTATGCTGGTTTTCAAGGGAATCGCCTGTGCTGATTGACTGTTCTTCACACCAGCAATTTTCTATGTCGTGCATATCCCAAGTGAGTGAGATGAGCATCAGGAACAGGGTGGAGTACGATTATATTGAGAGTACTGGGTGGTGCATCAGAGACGGACTCAACTTTTTATTTCTGATGAACGATGGAGAAATGTTTGAGGTTCTGTGTCCAGATCTGGCCGTTAGGTACAGGGGAAGACTGCTTTTTATTGATGACAGGCTTCCGATGAAGCTCAAGCGCAGTTTGAAAGGTATTTCTCCCTTTCTTCGGAGTCTCTGTGATGGGTGTTACATGAGTTGAGTCGGATGTGTGAACAGTGATGGGATATCTTGGTTTGCTTAAGTAAACAAAGACGATGATAGAGGAGATATTTCTAATTGGAGATGGAGATAGAGTTCTATATGGGGATCCAAGCAAGTACTGGAGGGGGGCCCTGTATCCAGCAGACAGTGCTGGAGGATACCGACTGCTGCAGATGGCGGTGAATGATGTCAGGATAGGTGTTCTGTATAGTCTTATGAGCGACCTTTCTGTACTGGGGTATATGGAGAGGCTGAAGAAGAAGCTTGAAAGGAAGATGGGAGAGGTCAGCAAGAAGAGTGTTCTAGAGAACTATTTTGGATTGCTCAGGGTTGTGAACAGGCAGGAAAGCACTGTGGCACTTGAGAGCAAGAAGAGCATTATTCCATCCATAGTCAGCAACAATGTGTATCTTGATGTGTGCGAGGCCCTTAGTGCTATCATCGATGGAGAAAGGGTTGTTCTGAACAGAACCGACGGGAGATGCCATCTAAATGCATCGTTTGGGGAGGAGAAAATGGTAAGGTTCAGCATCAGCAAGATGAGGACATCTGGAGTTGTCTACAAGAACGATTTGCAGGTTTCAGAGGGACTTTCTGAAGCAAGGGTGGACGTAAAGGTCCATGGATGCAGGACGGAGACAGTCCGGTACTGGATCTCCAGCCTAGAGGAGCCCCTTGTGATGATTTGCAGGGCTGGTGGAGGGTATGTGGTGAGCTGCCCAAGTCCAACGAGATTTGACTGGCTTGAGATATGCTTCCCGATTCCAAAGATGGCATCCAAGGTTGTAAAGAGCCACCGTCTGGGAAGAAGTGCTTACGACCCGGAGGACAATCTGCTGAGATGGACCTTTACGAAGGAGGTTGTAAAGAGAGAGAGGATCGACTATCGGGTGGAGGAGTTTGAAAAGTCGGAGGACTTGAGGCCCATAGTTGTCAACTTCCACATCAAGGAATGGGGGGATCCAAAGATAAGGATAGAGAAGGCCGAGTGCATTGGAAGCCCGGGGGTGTGTTTCTGGGTCAGATACAGCATGTCAAGTGGAAGATACGAGATTCGGAGATAGAACAGACATGCACTAGCAATGCCTTGTGGCGAAGATCAAAATGTTAGGCTTGTGCGAGAATCGAACTCGCGTCAGTTGATTACGAATCAACCGTTTTGCCACTAAACTAACAAGCCTTGGGCATGAGCAAACAACCTGGGATAGTCTTTGGCGGGGCTGCAGGCGAAGAAATAAAGATTTTGAGACACATCATGTGTTAACGGAAAATAAATGGGGTATAAGGAGCAGGGCCCGAATGGACCAGATAGAGACACAAATTCTGTTTGTCCGGAATCTTCCAAAGGACGTCAGCAAGGACAAGGTTGTGGAGCTGTTTGGGGAGTATGGAACTATAGTACAGATAAGAATAGGAGTTGAAAAGAACACGGCAGGAAGTGCTTTTGTGGTGTACAGCAGGGTGGAGGGTGCTCGAAAGGCGATGCGGCGCATGAACGGGTACTATCTCGACGGAATGTACTTGAATGTAGGGTACTGGCAGCCGTTTGACAAGTTCCGGCTTATGATGAGCCGAAGATGAAGCTGTGGTGCTGTGAGTATATGATTGGAGGCCTCTTTCGATGAACTTGGAGGCGGTGTGGCCGAGTGGTCAAAGGCAATCGATTCGAAATCGATGGACTCTGTCCCCACAGGTTCGAATCCTGTCGCCGTCGGGGTTGCTTTTTGATATGAATGGCGCAAATTTTTGATCCCCAATGGCCACGGAAAGACTGAATCAGGTTAGGACATCGGTATTCCAAGCGTCCCAGTCTCTTCTGCAGACTCTTTCGACGTCTCTTGGACCCAGGGGGCTAGACAAGATGGTTGTGAAGGATAAAAAGACTGTTGTGACCAATGACGGAGCCACCATTCTGAAGTACTTGAATCACCATCCGATCCACGGAATCCTGTCGAGCATGTCCGCAACGCAAGATGAGGAATGTGGAGACGGAACGACCAGCGTTGTTATTCTTGCGGGATGCTTGTTGGAAAGCATCAGCAGCTTGCTGGAAAGGAATGTGCATCCTTCGGTTATTTGCGACAACCTTGAGATTGCAAAGAAGATTGGTCTCAGATACATTGATAGAGTGAAGATGGAGTGCAGCGAGAAGGACCTTATCAGCAATGTTACCACGGCGCTGTGCTCTAAGATAGCGTCTTCGACCGGAGAGATGGCTGTGGAGGCAATCAGGGGGATGGAGTATGTCAACGGGGACAAGAAGAATATCCGGGTTGTCAAGAAAATTGGGGGAAATCTTGACGACGTAAAGGCATACAAAAGCATTTTATTGGAATGCGATCTCAAGGACATTCCAAAGAAGGCCAAGGTGGGAGTTATCCAGTTCTGTCTAAGTGCTCCAAAAACCAATATGGACAGCAAGATTCTTATTAACGATCCTGCTCTTATGGAAAAGATCATCCAGGATGAGAGAAAGTACATTTTAGAGATGTGTAAGAAGATAAAGAAAAGCGGATGTACTCTTCTGGTGGTTCAGAAGAGCATCTTGCGAGAGTCTCTGAGTGATCTGGCCAGCCACTTTCTAAAGCAGTTGAACATTCTTGTAGTAAACTCTGTTGATAGAAAGGACGTGGATTACATTTGCAGTGCTATGAATATACAGCCTGTTTCTGAGGTAGATCTGCTAAGCCCTGCATCACTAGTGGATGTCGAAACTGGAGAGGTGGAGGGAATGCTGGAGATCAAAGGATATGGATGCACCATATTGCTGAGGGGCTGTGACGACATGGTGGTTGAGGAGGCAGAAAGGTCTTTAAACGATGCACTGTGTGTTGTGAAGTGTCTTAAGGAGCTTCCCTTCCTGGTTCCTGGAGGAGGATCCATCGAGATGGGGATTGCTCTGATGCTTTCTGAGTCCACCGAGGGAAACATTTATGTGCTGAGGGAGATAGCAAAGGCATTCGAAGGAGTTCCCTACTTCCTTGCAAGGAATGCCGGACTTTATCCCGTGGAGATAGTTTCCGAGTTAAGAAGTGAGCTGAAACAGAATTGCTGTGCAGGAATCAGTGTCAGGAGCGGGCATGCAGGTGACATGGTCAGAGATGACTCTGTGGTCCAGCCTGCAAAAGTAAGCATCAGCGTTGTCACTCTGGCACTGGAAACAGTCTCTATGATTCTGAAGATCGACGACATCCTTCCAGCAAGGAGATAACCTTGGTGATTAAAAATACTTTATTACGAGACTCTTGGCCATACTGACATGGGAGGGCTTCGTTCTTCACGCCTGGTCCTGCCTATGAGTGGAGTGAAGCTGCTCAGCTATCCTGTCAACATGCTCAGGATCGACTCTGTCTCCTCCATCGATTTTAAGGATCTTTTCGACTAACTCCCGAAGAGATTCCAGACACATTTCCCCAGTAAGAAACCTGTGGTTAAGGAGATTATCTATGGTCGGCCGCTTCTTCGGGTCTCTGGCTAAACATTCCTTCATAACCATGACTGCAGCCTTGTTCTTGCTTGTGTACTTAAACTCGGAGTACTCCTGGAGCCTCTGTATCTTCTGGATCAGATTGGGGTACTCGTGCAAGGGAGGATTCGAGTGGACCATCTCATACAAAATGCATCCCAGAGACCAGATGTCAGAGCTACGGGCAACTTTGGACTTGTTCTGAGTGACAGCCTCTGGCGACATGTAGTTTACAGTCCCGCATTGCTCCTCGGACAAAATGCTGGTTGTGTCATTTCTTATGACCTTGGATATTCCGAAGTCTATGAGCTTGACGCGTCCCTTGACAAACAGAAAGTTTGCTGGTTTAAGATCGCAGTGAATAATCCTTTCAATGTGAACCCTCTTTACTATCAGAAGCATTTGCTCCCATACATCCTTGATGAAGTTCATGCTTAAGCCTCCTTTCCTTATGATCTTCGACAGGTCCGTCTCTCCATATTCCAGTAGGATGTGTAGGTAGTCTTCACCCACCTCGTGGTCTATAATCTCGACTATCTCCGATGTCCCTTTGAACTTATACAGTAGGTTTATTTCGTTAATGTAGGAGCTGAGCATCTTTTCATCTCCAATCAGCTCGACTCTTTTCAAGGCATACACGTTGCTCCCAAAAAGAACCTTGTACACCTTACTACTTCCTCCCTTCCCTATCTGCTTGAGAATCTCGATCTCTCTTCCTTTGATTATTATCCTCTCTCTGGATCGCACTGCCCCGGACCTTGGGGATGAGTTGCTTCCCTCGGGGCTTGTCCTCCCCAAGGCTGCATTTATTTCCATCGTTATTCCCTGAGAGTAGTCTTCCTTCTCAAACCTAATGGGTATCGTTCCAAAAGTGGCCCCACAATTTTTGGACTTCGCCGCGAAACTAGGCGACAGAGACGCTCCATCTTCCCGAGCTCTGTTCTTGTTGTCGTTCTCCTTGCATTCATCGGGTGCGAGATGGGCCCTGCCGCTCCTGGACAAGAGGTTCTTTCCATCGTCTCTATGCCCAGGCCCTGACTCCTCGTGCTCTTTTTTCAAAACCTTGTTTTTCGATTGTTCTCCGATCCTGGCCTCAAAAGGACTGAGGACCTGAGCACCTGGCTTAAAGCTCGTCTCGGGGCCTCTGCAAAATACAGACAGGTCCTCTCCATTTCGGGCATAGGACATCACACACTCTAAATACTCCAGCACTCTCTTCTTTTCGGTGAACTCCTTGACCTTGACAAAATCAATGCTGTGCTGCAAGATCTTACAGAGACTCCCGTTTCCAGCCTCAATCTCAAATCGGACATAGGCCTCCCAGTAGTTGTAGAACTTGCAGAACCTCATCTTTATCATCTTGAATGTCTCTCTGGCCTCCGTCACATCCTTTGTCCCGTCCATGAGTAGCCGGATGTAGTCCAGCCATATTCTTAGCGAATACTCGTCGTCACCCACACTCTTTGATGTTGCCTTGTAATACAGAGATATCTCCTTGGTCTTTGATATGCCCGCTTGCTTCTGCTCCTCGAGATACTCATAAAGACTCTTGCTGTTGAAAATCCCCTCCATCTAGGCCTTTAAGGGTGAACTTGGCGCTGGCTTGATCCGTCAGCAATATTTCATCACCTCCCTTTAGGAAAACAATGGAAGTCGCCCAATTTCTAAGGCAAGTTCTGAAGAAGAGTGCTTTGTCTCTGGAAGACATTGCTTTTCTTTTGAGCAAGGTAGGTGTTGTGTTCAGGGACTCGGGCTGCAAGATACTGTTCTATAAGAATGTGGAGAAGGCGCTGGTGTGCCATTACAAAGAAGCCCACGGGGTCGACATAGAGCCCAGGATCTACAGCATCAATGAGATTCATGGGCTGATCCTGTTTCTGTACATAAAGAAGTATGGACAGCCAGAGGTTGATTCGGAGCTCGAGAGGTTTTTCGAGGACCTGTTTTTCAGTGACTCTGGAGAGATGGATGCATGCCGGCTAAAGGAGGAGAACGAGAGGCTGGTAAGAGAAAACTCGGAGCTGAGAGAAAGGATAAATGAAATAGACGACTCGCGGATAGATAGAGGATTCGAGGAGGAGGGGTTCAGGAGCGTGGATGAAGAGGTTTTGTCGAAGATGGAAAGGGACTTGACGGCCTTGAGAGAACAGGTCGACTTTGAGCACTCGTTGATCCTGGAGGCATGGTACAAGCTGGGGGAGGAGCACATCAAGAATCGGCATTAAATTGGGACGCATCTCTCTGCCCCGGATGGAGGACAAGGAAGAGCTGAGGAAGCTGCTGCGAAGCATGATGAGGAAAAGCACAGATCCAAGGACAAAGATGCAGGACGAGTACCTGACTGATGAGGATAAGGCAATACAGAGGAGTGAAAGACCTCCCGCAAAGAAAAGGGCATGTAAAGATTGTACATGCGGGCTGAAAGAAGAGCAGGAAGTCAGGACAAGATCTGCCTGTGGAAACTGCTACAAGGGCGATGCATTCAGGTGTAGCGGATGCCCTTCTCTTGGATTGCCTCCATATGAACCTGGGGATGTTGTTTCCTTTTCCATGGACCTAAGCAATGAGTTCCAAGGGGAGGATGCATAGAAAAGTCTTACAAAACGAAAATAAATGTCGAAGACTCTGGTGCTACAAAGAAGATTTTCTATTTCAAGACTATGCTTTATTTCTTCTTCTTCACAAACAAGATGGCAGGTGCATCAATGCCGCACTCCTCTCGTTGCTTGATTGTACACCTACTACCAAATGTCAACACAGAGGGCGACTCGATGACAATCTCCTTGTCTTCCTTGGGCTTCTGTTTGAATCTTCTTGCCTTCTTGATGTCTGGAAGGCATATAAGAAGATTGTTGTAACGGCTGGATGTCGGGATTTCAATCTCCTCCTCCTCAAGATCCTCGTTGAAGCAGAAGACCGTTGTCGGAAGGGCGCAGAGGGACACCATGCTTATGAGGGGATGCCAGTACCAGTAGTGCAGGAACAGAACTGCACCTGCAATCCTGTCTGCAGACGTGATTCCAGACATATTTCTTACAGAAAAGACGATATTCCTTCCTCCACCTTCGCTCAGTCCCCTTCCAAGCACAGCCCCCAGCTCTACAGCCCCGCTCTCCTTCTTGTCCACTATCAGCCTGTTCAGCTTCTCGATGATGCGCTTGTAGTTCGGAACAAGCTCAGGGTTGCACTGCATCGTAATGAACCCAACTCCAATACAGGCAGACTGCCTGACAAGACTGTTGGTGTCGTACATCAATGCCTCCAGGATATTGGTGCAGACCTTATCTCCTGTTCCGGAGAGAAACAGCCCGAGAACCACTGCAACAGCTGCCCTCACAAAGAAGTTGTGGTTCTCAGAGAGAGGCTCCAGGGTCCCCACAAGGAGATCTCTATCGTCGCAGCATACAAGCCCAATAGCTATCACTGCTGCTCTCTTAACATCGTCATCTCCGTCGTTGATGTACGGAAGAAGCGTCGAGATTACGCCGAGTCTACCTGTGCCAACAAACGCAGATCCAAGAGAAAGAACACCGTTGGCCCTCATTATAGAGTCCTTGTCATAGAGAAGTTCGTTGATGTAGTTCTTGAAATCCCCATTCGAGGCATTGCACTCGTCATAGAACATTTCCTCGCTGAACATCAGAACCAGCGAAAACGAGATCCCAACAGCCCTCTTCACGCGTTCGAACTCGGTTTCTCCGGCAATCGTCCGCAGGTCCTCCAGAAGTTCAACACTCCATGAGTTGAGGCCCAGCATCCCCATTCCGTATACAGAGGCTTCTACCAGCAGTGTCCGATCGACCTTTGAGAGCTCCTTGAGCTTGTTTAAAATCTCTCTGTTGGCAGATCCCATGTTGATAAGCCCCAGCCCCAGGCACACACCATATGCCAGCTCGGGGGTGAGGGTATCCTCCGTGTCCAGAAAGTAGAGGAGGTACTCGGTGTCTTCCTCGCTGAATGTCCCTGCCTTTATGAGGCCCAGAGCCATTAAAGCTCCTCCTTCCTTTTGGCTGACTTCACTGGGCAGATAGTTCTTGAGAATCTCGTAAGGATTGGAGTTGAATAGGTGGATCATGCCAATACTCGCCACCTCGCTGAACTTTGCCCACTCACTTGACTGCCCAAAAATGTCTGCGTTATTTCTGTAAAGCGTGTCGTTGGAGGTTCCCAGGTTCATCAGAGAGTTGGCCAGCCCTAGGTAGTGAGTCCTGGTTCTTGCTATGGACTCAAGAAACTTAAAGCTGGTAAGATTCTTTTCAAGAAGAAACGCGCCCAGGATCTTCTTCTTGAACTCCCCACTGAGTATTGACATGACTCTCTGGTCTGCCACCTCGATCTCGGGGCTGTAATTGTCCTCAGTGTAGAATGCAACGTCATAGCACAGAAGAATATCCTCTTTCACAAGTCTTTCAATTAGGGCCTTGACTTTCTCCACATCCTCAAGATAGAAGTAGGCATCTATAACATAAAAAATAAACGGCTTTTTTCCCGGCCCGATCTCTGCAAGCATTCCATATATCTCTTTCAGGCACCCCTCCTCCTCTCCAAGTGATATAAGAAGGTCAAGCAGCCTCCTGCAGTCATTCCCGTCGCTTATGTACTTTACAAGCGCCTCCTTGAGCAGCCCATATGCCTTAATGGAAAATAAATATCCTATGAGGGAATCATCCACATCCTCTGCACCTATAACCTTGAGAACAAAATCCCTGATTCTGTCGTCGCCTCCTATATCAGCAGAGTCCATCATGTGATAGACGATGGAGGTGTAGTAGAAAGACCCATCGTCGACAAGGAGATCCCCAGCACGAAGTGCGTACTCGATGGCCTGCTGATAGTCCTCGAGGACAAAGTAGATCTTACTCAAGCACAGGCTCGTTTTCGGGTCAGAGGACTTGATGTATCGGAGATCGTCTTTTATATGCGGAGCAACCACGTCCACATGCGCATTTATCACATCGATCGCCTCGGACTCCCTTCCATCCCTCAGAAGAGCTCTTATGTTCGGCAAAATCCTTATTGTTTGCATTGATGGGCTTTCCAGGGCAAAAATATTTTATTCTCGGAACTCGTCTTCTCGTCTACTAGGAGCTAGAACAGGGTGCGCAGAAGAACCTCTGCCAAATCCGCTTAGACACCAGCTACCATTGCTATCAGACAAAACTTCCATCTTTCAAATCACCTTTCTGGTGAGTATCTCCCTCTGAAGCTTAAGGATCTTCGAATACTTCTCATATCTCTTGAATGCAATCCCGTCAATGGCCCCGTCAACCATTGCAATCAGCCTTCTCACTTTATTTCCATCTATCTTGATCCCAGAAACAACACCCTCCATCTTCTCCCCAAGCCTCTGGAGGCGTGTCATCAGCTCATTCTTCTTCTTGTCAAGGACCTCCACCCTCTTCAATATCAAGTCGTTCTCGGCATTCAACCCTGCCATCTTCTCATCAAAGCTTTCGTTAAGAGTCACAAGCTCAAAATAAATCCTTCTGTACACATCGAGAATCTTACTCTCAAACTCGTTAACCATCTTCTGTATCATGAGAAGGCTCTTCTCAGAAACCTCTCTTCCATTCTCTGCAAGTTTGATCTCCGGAACCTTGATCTCGTTTTCCACCATCCTGAACATCTCCTTCACCCTCGTGTCCGCATCTCCCTCCTTCAGCAACTTCACGCCAGTCCTTTCGTCCTCTACCGCATTCTTGACAAATAAAACCCTGTCACGCGAAATCCCAATGTTCCCAAACATCTTGTGAACCCGAACACCTGCAATCATCCGTGGCATTTCGTCAACAACTAGAAGGTTCTTCTCCAAGCAGTAGACACTTTCAAATGCATGGAGCTCGAAATCACGTGTCCTGTATGTATAGTTTAGCACCAGCACATCCTTTCCGATGTCATATACCTCAAATCCGCCGTCATAGCACACATACATCCTGTTTTTCCTGGCTAAAATTCTGTTGATGTTTCCGTCAAAATAGGTAGGCTCCGGAATCATCCGAACAGGTTTGTGCAGAAGAGCCATCCTTGACGCAACAAAAGAATGTGTGTGGTAGATCCGGCCAGACCTCGACAGGAACCATGAGGATCCATCCTCAATCGTAAAATCAATTATTTCGTCTTCTCTTGCAACATCTCCCTTGCAGCGCACCACAACTCTCTCAACATCGTTGTTGAAAACCTCGATCTTTTTACTCTTGTACAGAAAACACACGGCATGGGTCTCCTTTACCGTTGCTGTTCCACTCACACACACCCTGATCGGAGGCTCGAGCAGCTGATGGGTCCCGCTCAAAACTAGCTCTTCTCCAAACAACCTATACCTATGTAGAACATTCCCGCACAAGATAAGCATCATCCCTTTGAAGTGGCAGATATAGTCAACCCTATCCTCAAACGTCTTGTGCAGAACCTCAGAGTCGTATGTGTGGACGCCTTTGCTCACCAGCTGCATTCCCCGAATAAAAAATATCCTGTCATCAACCATTGTACTTATACTCAGGTCGTCCACACTCTTCTTTTCTATATAGCTCACTTGCATTAGGCCAGGGATACACTGAAACTCAGATTTCAACACAGCAGCAAAAAACTTCGCATTAGCTCTTTAATTCAGAAACCATCACACTTCTCAGAAGTGGTTAACGTCGTAGACATACGTCCCCCTCTCATACTCATATCCAACAAACTTCTTCACAGTATCATTCTTCAAGCCATACACAAATCTTTCCTGGATCCCCTTCAGCGGAAACTGCTTCTGCTCGCCTCTGATATAGTCTCCCAGGCTCCTACTGTATGGAAACACCCCCTCTACATACACACGAGCTCTTCTGTTCAGTCCTACTCCAACAGGGTCATTGACTACAACAGATTCTTTTGAGAAGTAAATCTTCGATTGAATATTCGCCATGGTAACCTCAGATGCACTCACAGTGTCAAGATATTCTATCCTTCCCTTGTCCTCAAAGCCTATGATCAGATTATGAACCTCCCTCATGTGCTTGATGTTCTCTATCGGAGGAATCGTGTATATCTTCTCCTTTGCAGGAGGCTTTGGAGGTCGAAAGCTCAGAGATATCTTCCGGGGCTTCGACTCCTCCTTGAATATCGGCCTCGGAAGTACCTTGCTCAGTGGAAGATGCTCTTTCTCGGTCTTCTCAAACTTAATGTCCTTCAGGAGAAATGGGTCAGACGGGTCTATTTTGGTCTGCTGCGGATTCATCTGCCCACAGGCTCCGAGAGAAGCCATTGTGCTTCCAAACGGCTGTTGCATCGGCATCTCAAATGGCTGTGCATTCGTGAACGAAAGATTGTTGGAGGCCGGCGCTTGCGGAGCCATCCCAACAGACCCAAATGCTGCCTGCGGCTGCTGTACATTCTGAACAAATGGATTTCCGCTTGGCAACCCAGAGGGGCCTTGGATCGATGAGCCGAACGGCTGGGATGCTATGTTAGAAGAAACTGCCGAAGGCGCAAATGGCTGCTGTGGCGTGGTGCTTCCAAAGCTAGAATTAGCAGGCTCTTGCTGGGTCTTCGAACTCCCAGCTGAAATAAAAGGTTGGAATGAAGTCCCAGATGTAGCAGCCGTTCCAAAGACGCTATTACCCTGCGGCTTGTTGACTGCAGAAGACGGCATCGCTGCTCCAAGGGGTAGCCCGAATCCAGAGATGCTCTTAGGCTCCGTCATGCTTCCACTTGTCATGGGCTTTCTTCCAAGCATGTAGTCTTCGGACCTCAGCTCCTCGACAGACTTCTGCGTGTAGTTTTCGTTCCCGTTGATGTGCATCAAGGTTACCTCCCCTCCATTATCTTCTCTTATCTTTCTTTGTATGTAGGGATGATCCTTGGTCCCAGTGCTACTTCCCGCAAGTCCAGGAAATGTTTTGTTTAGAGTGCTGTTCCTGTCGTTGGAAAAGGTGCTTTGGGTCCCGCCAAAGGGACTGTAGGAGGTAGATCCCTGCCCCCATATGCTGGGCTGAGATGCCGTGGACCCTCCCATGGTGAACGGCTGCAACCCATTTTGGGCTCCAGATGCGAACACACTGCTCTGCGGCTGTGCTCCAAAATTCATGGTCCCCCCAGTCCCTCCAAACTGTGTCTGGCCCGTCCCTAAGGCGTTAGAGGTACCCCCAAATATATTGCTTCCGGTGCTCGGAGTTCCTCCAGACCCGAATCTTGCCAACGAGGTCGACGGCTGCTGCTGGCCAGAAAAAGGCTGTCCAAATCCTCCAGAGCTAGATGCTGCCCCACTGCCAAATGAAGATGTTCCCCCAAAAGGTGTTACACCGCTAAACGTATTGCTTTTCATTCCTCCAGACCCTTGAAGAAAAGGATTCTGTGCGCTGCCAAACCCAGCCTGCGACTGCCCAAAAATCGAAGGCTGCTGCGCTCCAGAAAATTGCCCTTGCTTGTTATCCTTCTGCGGAGTCTGCGCAAAGAACGACGAGTTAAAGAACTTGTTCATGTTGTTCTGGTCCATTTTCAGGGCTCCCATTTCCAGATAACTTATCGGAACCTCAAAAATTTCTGCCTACCACCTCCCAACAGCAGCAACTTAAGGATGTTGGCAAATTTAACATTTATTTGAAAATAGCTACACCGAGAATCTTCATCCTCTCTTTCTTCTTCTTCTTCCTGCATCCATGTTGATGTCTGCGTCACATGCAACGATGTTAACCTCCCCAGCATTGAAGTATTCGTTATTCAAGGACATTACAAACCCCGTCGTCTGAAATCTCCACACCCCGTCAACATGGTTGTAAAAGTCCACCTTCCCCTTGAAGCTCATTGAGTTGGTTACAGACTTGTTGAAAACAATAGGGACACTCAGATCAAACGTCTCGAGAATGTGTTTTCCTTGGTTCGGGCTTAGCACATTGGCATTCACCTTCTCGTCTACTATCTTTTCAAGGACCTTTCCAACCATCAGCTGCCTGTAGAATTCATACATCAATGGGTACAGTAATTTTTTTATTTATTCCATCAGGAGTTCTGCATGCCATTCTCCCCATCCTCAATACTCCTCAAGAGATTCTCGTCATCCTCCTTGACAATATCGCTTGGCCCAAACCTCTTAACAACACATCCCTTACGATCAACGAGGAATTTTGTAAAGTTCCACTTAATGAAATTTCCGAGCCTCCCCTTTCCGTTTTTGGTATTGACAAGATGCCTGAACACGGGATGAGCTCCTTTCCCAAAAACATCGACTTTGTCAAAAACCACAAACCTGTCCGAATACTTCTTAGACACCTCTCCGCGTATTTCCTCAATGGGCCTTGACTCCTGGCCCAGATACTGATTGCAGGGAAACAAAAGAATCCTTAGCCCTTTCCTGTAGAACTTATCAAGAAGACCCGCAAAGCTCTTGTAGTTGCTTTCAGCAAACTTGCATGACGACGCAACATTAGCAATCATAATAACGCACCCTCTGAACGATCCAAGGCTGACTTCGCTTCCGTCCCATCCACGAGCACTCAGACCGTAAAAGGCCTCTGATTCCATCCCTCGCTCCATATGGGATCACAATTCAGAAAATATATCGTCTTTCAATGCGCCTAGGTACATCTGGCCTTCAGATACTCCACATAAGACCTGGGCGTTATGATCTTATCAGAGCCCACCACAATCTCCACCCCAAGGCTCTCACCAACTTCATATGCAACCCTGATCTCTTCAAAAGTCACTCCACCAGCTATATAGACGCAGTATAGCTTCTGACAAGAAATATCCTTCTTCACCGACAGAAGATGGCTCTTTCTTAAAGACTTTAAGGGCGTTCTGCTGCTTGTCAATCTATTTATTTGGAAATGCCCCTTTTGCTTCCCAATAAAGCTTCTCAGAACATTGCTCAGCACAGGCTCATATCGACTAACCTCGTACTTGTAGTCTCCTGTCCCCCGGAGAGGTACAAAGTTCTCATGGTTGTCAAAGGTAATTCTAATCTCCTCGTCTCTAAACCCCATGCCCCTAAGAAGGTCCATCTCAGTCTCCTGTAGCTGATACCCATTTGCTTTAAGCAGTAGCAGAATCCTAACCTTGTCAGACCTCTCAATTCTGCTGCTCCTGAAATACTCAAACACATCATCAATCTTCATCTTCCATTTGTTTCCAGACTTGTCGTACCCTGTTGCAAGCAGCTGCTCAATTTCGTTAAACCTAGAGAGATAATCAAACCTGTCGTAGCACTTCTGCGCCAGTCCAAGAATCTTGCCCAGGCTCTCCTTGGTTTTTGCTGCCGCTGGGGCTTCAAGCACCATCTTCATCAAGTCCTTGTTGTCAACCTTCGTGTCCAGCCTCTGCGCCACCTTCGACAGCATCTGCGCCTGATTTCTCAAAATCGAATTCACCTCTCCAAGATGCACATTCTTGACACTCTCCCACACCCTGTCCCCCATATACTCCTTCTCAAACACTTCCATATTCTCGATCTCAAGATCCTCAAGCAGTGTCCTGAACGTGAAAAAGTGGAGAAGCGGCGTAAAGAGGTCAATGCTCCTATCCAGTATAATAAGCTCTCCTTTCCTTTCCTCATCCCCCATCATCTTCTCAGCCATTTCTCCAAGGCTCCGGCACGTGGACCCTGTGTAGCTCACATTAAACATTGTGTTCAAGGTCTTGGCCACGGAATACAGCTGCTTCGGCATCGCCCTAAAAACCTTCTGCTCAAAAGGAATAAAGTCTACATCTACCCTCAGAACCTTGATCAGGGGCTGCAGACCTTCACACTCTTCCAGTACACAGGCTGTATATGTAGGATACAACCTGCCTTCAAAGTCTTTGTTTATCATCTTCACGACATCATCCTCTCCCTTCACAAAGTATATCACAGGAAAGTCCACAGGCTCTCTCTTCTCCTCAATCCTCTGCGAAATCACTATGTTGTGGTTGATAAACTCAGACTTCACGAAGAAATTCTTCAGAATGCTCGCTGCATAGCTGTCGTACACAAGAACACTCCACTCGGCATCCGGGTGGACCTTGAAGACATCCTCAATTATCTTCTTTTTTAACAAACTCAAAATGTCCATTTTAAGGACTATCCATCCAAACATCTTTAATTTTCACTTCCACAGCTTTGCTCCTTCATCCAGAGAGTGGCCAGCTTCTCATCATTTATCAGTTCTCCTATCTAGCTCCACAAGCTCGCTCTTTGGCGATTTCTCATATAAAAACGACAGTCTCTTGAACGACATCATGTCAACAACTATAGACAGGCACAAAAGAATGGCAATAAACACGCCGATGTATCTAAATGCAGAGGACGTTCTACTTTTCGTCTCCATTCCAAGTCCATCAGAAACCCTTAAGAAACCGAAGTAAAACACTCAAGTTACAGAATGCCGCCAGGATTCTTCTCGCATCGCCTCTTCTCTTTCTTCTTCTTCAGATCCTTTCTACTATTGCATCCAGCCATCCTGGCATTCGCCATCCGAAGGACCTCGTCGCTCCTCTCTTCGCGAGGCTCTTCAAGCTCACCGTACTTGAAGACATCAATCTTTCCAAAGGTAAGCTCGTTGTATCTTTCATAACACTGCTGCCCGCTCCTTCCCATCGCCTGCCCGATCAGGCTCCATTGCGGATGGAACGTCTTCGCTGTCAAAATAAGCCTTTCATCCTCCTCAGCACTCCACCCCGAGATGTTCAGTAGGGGATTGGCATGTTCCTCCCACCTCATCCTACATTGCGATGGAGTTTTCGAAGGCAGCAGAGAGGACACCTTGGACCACTTATTTGTTCCATACTTCATCACCCCAGCCTTGAGGACCTCGTCCTCCGTCCTTGTCCAGCTTACATCCACTTTCTCTAGTCTCATTTACAAGGAGACACAAACTCCCAATAAAAATCAATTTATTTGTCTGCAGCTAAGGCAGTTCCACAGAGAAGCGCACATCGCCCCTATGAAAGACATGCTTTCCTTCTGCTGCGCCCTCAGAGCGTACTCAGAAATCTTCTCAAATATCTCGTCGATTCCAACATTGTTCTTTGCAGAACACTCAAAGTATCCCATCGCCCCAATGCTCTGAGAAAGCTCCAGCCCCTCAGAAGTGGTTATCGGAGAGTCTCCGTTCCTAGCAAGTTCCTCGAGTCTCGCACTGTCCTCCCTCAGATCGGTTTTCGCCCCAACAAGGAAGTATTTGGCCTGGGGCGCCTTCTCCCTTACTTGCCCTACAAGGCTGTTTTTAACCTCGGCATAGGAGGATCTGTCGTCAACAGCATACACGATCATAATATAGTCCGCCGAAGGCAATGCAAGGTGTCGGAACCTGGCATACTCGTCCTGCCCTGCTGTGTCCCAGAGCCTCAGCTCAATTACATGGTCCTTGTGCTTATATGTGTTGCTGACAGAGTTGAATACGGTGGGGCTGATCTCCGTCCCAAACGTCCTTTTTACATGCCTGGTAAGGATGCTTGTTTTTCCACACGTTGCAGAGCCGATGATGGTCAGCTGCTTGGATACGTCTGCTGTGGCTGTCTCCGCCATCTTGGGGTTTGTTTTCTTATTTACATAACATCCAACGTGGACGCCTGAACAGAGTATAATGCAGTGAGGGCATTGTACGCACAATAGCGGCAAAAAGTGGCGGGGAGGCCTTCCTTGTTCTTCATTCTGCTATTCTTTCCCTTCCAGGAAGAAATGGAAATCCTATTGCCTGCAAAGAAAAGCACTTTTGGATACCTGATAGCCGTAGCGGTCTACACGGCCAGGAGGAACAAGCAGAGAATTCTGCCTAGAGTTCGGGAAATAGGATAGCAGTCCTTACAAATGCCTGTTTGTCACCGCAGAGGCCTTGATAAACTCGATTCCAGGAGCTGGGCGATCACTGCAAATGCCAGAGGAGACAGGCTTTATTCCTGTGTGGCAGAAATGATGTCCAGGGATGGTCCGTCTAAAGCACTTCAGAGAGCCCACCAGATGGATCATAGAAAGGGACCATCTCCACACAATGCAGTTGGCATGTACCTTCTAGTGAAGCTCTTCCAGATAAGAGGGTGCATCAGGAAGCCTGCCTTGTCTAGCTCTTATACAGATCTGAATATAGTGCATGTAATGTCCCTTGAGATTGGACGACCATCCTCGTGACCTGCAACCGGATACCGATTCCACGGATCTGTGTTCCATTAAACATCTTCCGGCTGCATCTTTTCTTGGACCGGAATGTCTTTTTAGTTCTTCTTTTTGAATCATCGCAGAGCCCCAAAGATGCCAATAAGAGGTCTGGAGGAGGTAAGAAAGCACCCTGGACAAAACTTTTTCCTAAAGGTTCCACAGAAGGCATTCAAGAAGATGAGGATATGCATTGACGGAAATTGGTTTCTACGGAAGTATGTCGACGTGTCGAGTATCTGCAGAGGGCTTGTGTTTGGGATGGAGGAGGTCATTACAGAGCCTTTACTCAAGCTTCTGGAATTTAAGGACGAGAACGATGTCGACATGATATGGGTTTGGGACGGAATAGGCATCAATAAGCTGCAAGGAACCTCTCATGGAGGCTTGGGTACGTTGCTAACCGAGGGATTCAAGGAGTACAAGCAAGAAAACTACAGAAAGGCAGGGAAGCTCTGGAGAAATTTTATAATGCAAAAGAGTGAGATGGATGTAGCCAATAAAATACTTGAGGAGAAGGGGGTTGCAGTCATCACAGCCCCTTACTCAGCAACGGCCCAGTGTGCATATCTTATGAGTGCAGAGACATGTTCATATGCATTTGGTAAGTCCGACATCCTCCTGTTTGATGGGGTTGACAAGATTATACTCGACATGTCTGACGGCTCCGGAAAACCATATCTGGACGTGTTCCACAAGAGCAGGTTTCTTGAGTTTTTTAACCTCAGCTCGAGATTGTTCAGCGCGCTTGGGCTGCTGCTTGGATGCGATTTCTGTCCAACGATACCCAGGTGTGCCACCGACTTCAGCTTCAACGCAGTTTTTGGGTTGATGAAGGGATCTGAGGACCTTCTGAAGATGATCAGGAGTACATGCGACGAGGGAAGCAGCAAGAAATACACGGAACAGTTTCTCCAGGGCCTTATGCTGGTGACATACCTTCCTGTCATGAAGGTTTCTGGGAGTGTGCATCCCTACTCCGAGGAGAATGTGCCGCGGAATCTAGAAAAGATCCTTGGGCCGAAGCTTGCGCCCGGGTTTTACGAGTCTCTCTTTATGAACAAGGTTTCTGGAGACGTCCTACAGATTATGGGGAAGACGCCCGGGACGGACAGAGACTCCCAGCTAATTAAGATGGTTGAGGCAGCACTATCTAGAGTTCGAGGCGGGGCTCGGAAGGAGAAGGGATCCAAAGATACAAAGGACGAACCTGGTTCAGCAGAGGCGTTTGTAAACATTATATATCCTGGCATGGTCTTGACGAAAGATATTGATCCATCGGTTGGAGTTCTGCTGTTAATGTCGATTGAGCTTCGGGAGCTGGAGACGCCTTTTCCTATGAAGATGCTGTGTCTTCACAGGCAGACGGGTACCAAAGAGAGGCTGAAGATCAGTGACAAGACCTTGAAGTACTATGTCGGGATTACCAGGCTGTTCAACTACATCAAGGAGGTAAAGGAAATATATGAGGTGACGATGAACAAGAGCCTGGACGGACTGTTCTGTGAAGCCCCGACTCTTTTCAGCGCATCTTTCCACGATACATTCGGGTTTTCTGAGAGTAGCGGGGAAAGCAACCGCAGGTTCCTGAAGAGTGCAAGGGATTTTCTGAGAGCAAACGAAAAGCTCTCTCCTATCATTCCTTACATAGTCGAAGAAATCGAGGTCACACTTAAGAAATAAACTTAATATCTATAGTTTGGGCAGCGGCCGGCACTCAAAGCTTGCTTCTTAAAGATTCAGGAATATCTGGATCCCTGATTTCATGGATATAAAAGACCTAATAGTGAGAATACTTGAGGGCAGGGATATAGGAGTGACTGGGGAGATACAATCCATGGAAGGAGACGTCGGAGATCCTCATGAAATTCCAACAAACGATCTGCTGAAGTATACTGCTCCATATATCAAAGGAACCGTGAGTGATAAGGATGGGAATAGAGCCGAGGCTCTCGACCTCTTCAAGGAGTATTGCGAAGACTGTGAGTATTTAGGACTTGTTGGAAGAGAAACTGTAGAGTTATGCAAGGGAAATGGAAGAGATAACAAGATGAGGCTGTGGAGGAAGGCTAAGGAATTTAAATATGACTTTATAGACTGGGATGATAGGGAATGGGTAATGAAGCTGCTTGAGTACTTTTATGTTTTGTCGATGAGGAACATTGAGCATCTGAGTAGAGAGATCATGCTGCTTCGGGATACAGATGATAGGAAGCCCAGCGGAAGGGATGGAATTGAGTGCATAAGAGTCGACTCTCGTGGAAGAATTGAAAATATGCTGGTTAAAAGAAACAATCCTACCATGACTCTTGACGAATTTGCAGACAAGATAATGTCAAGCATGGAGAAGACTGGGGCTCCCTCGGCTGAAGAGGATGAATCTTCAAGCACTTCAAGCGATAAGCACTCGAGGTCGGAGCTTCTGAAAAGAGACGAGGAAAGAGATGAAAGGGAGATAAATCGCGGAAACACAACAGGAGTAGGGTAGGATAGCTCAAATAGGCTTGTCACAAGAGGCCTCTAGACGAAGCTAACGCCATATTTTCTCTTCCGACCATCCGCGGATATATGGCTTGTAAATATAAACCTGCTTCCATTCTTAACTATCCTTTCTACCTGCTCGGGATTAAACAGGTCTTTCAGATAGTCGTTTTGTAAGACTCCATCCAGGGAAATGCCTCCCACAACCAACTCTTCGTCGGAGAGGTTGGGCACATCTGGGACTACTCTGTAGGGGAACAGGTAATGGATTAGCTCGGGATATTCTTTGATCGGTGGGGTCGACACAAGAATGCCTCTTCTTTCCAGATAGCCGATAACGCTTTTTACGTATGTGCTGCAGAAGGAGGATACTCTCATTCCAGGCAGGATTGAATTCATGAAGTCGGTAAAGTGAGTTTTCAGGTCTTCTAGAAATTCGTTCCGATACTTGAACATTGACTTCATGACGAATAAACCTTGAGGATGGTTTATGAGGAGCTCATCAGGACGCCCCTTTCGTAGCTTAATTTCCATGTCCTCTACATCCGTTTCCATGTACCCCACCCTATCAAGAATTCCGAGGCACTCCTGGGAAATCATTAACATTTGGTTGATTCCATCTCTGCTGAAGCCAAACCCAAAACTCCCTGTGTATATGAAGGAATGCAGGCCGCGTTCCAGAAACATTCTGAGGACAAGAATATCATTGGCGTCTATGAAGAAGTATCGAACGTTTGGATCAAGACGAGGAATCTCCGAAAAAGAAATGTGTCTGTAGGCTCCTTGGCGTCCAATTAAATGGAGACCTGAAGGAGAATCCACACCGACCGGAAGATACCTGAATAGCCTACTGCCTTGCTGGGCAACAATGCAGTTCCCCTCTGCTATTCCAACAAGCAGCTTTATGTACACTTCTTGGTCAATTAGAGACTTCCTGTCTTCTATGGTGCTCCGCACACTTCTCAGAAAGGACTTTTTCTCTACAGCGACGGAGAGAACCATAAGTATGGTATTTATTGCATACAGACAGAGCAAAAGACTCCTACTTCCTTGAAACATCATTTCCGAGGGCAGTGCGGCGCCCGGAAATCAAGAGCTGGGCAAAACAGTCTAATGACAAAGCAGATTACTCATCCGGGAAGAACACCCCAATGGAGGGCCGGCATAGGTCATCAGGATGTACAGACTTTGACAGAGAAGAGCTCTACGAGTCCGAGGAGGACAAGAAGATGCTTCTTGAGATGCCAGAAACAAAGAGAGAGGAAATACTGTACAAAAGACACATAGAGCTTCAAAGATTCAAGGAGAAGAAGGAGTTGGAGGAAAGGATGCAAGGACTGCAGAAGAAAACACCTTCTGAGGCTAAGGAGGACATTTCAAGGACGGACGATTTCGCTGAATTTTCACAGTGCATAGTGAGTAGAGACATGATTGCAAGAAACGTGTTCAAGCCATTTTTCGATGAATTCATTGGGCACTTCACGAGGGCAAGAATCAATGGGCTGTATCTTGTTGTCAAGATAGTCGGTGTGGGAAAAGGTAGTACATACAGCCTCTGGATGGGCAGAAAAGAGGTCAAAACAAACAGGTATCTGGATGTTTCTACAGGAACCAGAACATACAAAGGCTTTAGGATCGAGAATATCAGCAACTCGCCTCTGCTGAGAGAAGAGTATGAGGATGTGTGGAGGTCTTTCAAGGTAGGCTCGATAGCTAAGGTCAAGGAGGACTACGACAAGCTTGTCAAGACTATGGGCAGGAGGCTGAGTGACGAGGAGATAAGTAAGATGGTTGCCTGCAAGGATGAAGTGCATCCGAAGAGAAGAAATGTTATCCATTTCAAGATAGAGCTGATCCAGAAGAGAGATAGGGCGATAGAACTTAAGGATAAAAAGGCGGCAATGGAATATCAAAGGATGATCGAGGAGATAGAGGATAATGAAGGAGCTAGGGTGCACAATGTAAATGGCGGGAGGCCTCTGTGAGTTTGAATAAAAGAGTTTCTCAAGGTACCTGGCAAGTTCTGCGAGTTTGAATTTTCTGGAAAGTTTGAAAAATTTACTTTGAAAAAAGACAAATCCCCTAAACATGTGCCCGGCAAGACAGAAGAAGCAAGCTGAAAAGTCGAAGAAGGAGGTCGAGAGCTCGGAGGATACTACCGAGACCACGGATTCTTCCGATTATTCTGAAGAGGACACCGATGGAATTAGCGATTCCGGGACTGACACAGACGAGACATCTGATGGGGACTCTGGCTACTCCAGTACAGACGACGAAGTGTCTGGGTCGGATGATTCCGAGGACCTGGACGAAGACAGCGACGTTGACGATGAGTCCGATTAGGAATAAAGTATTATTAAAGATGGCTACTTTATTTTTATTCTAGAGTTGAGCAAGATTGTCAAAGACCTCCTCCCAGGTCCTTGCCTGCATGGGACTTCTGCTTCATCAGGATCTTCCACCTCCTCTCGAGGATAAATAAACATGTGAAAATTAGGTATGACCAGTTGAGGAAGTTTGGGTTTCCTACGCCACGGACCCTGAACAGATATTGGACATAGCTTTCCAGAATAAAGACAAGTAGGTAGAAGTGGGCTAGTGGGGAGTCCGCTATGTACAAGAGATAGCTCTTGTAGTTGGATGGCTTGAATAGCAGGAGTATTTCGATCTTCTGCCCTCTGGGGACAATGCTGAAGAGGTAGAGCATCAATGCATAAAATACATCGTAGAAGTATCTGGCGTACTGTGGAAAGATGTTCAAGTGGAAAAACCAGGTGATGCTTAACGAGGGCCTGTGTGCATTTTCATAGTCCTTCTCGTATGCCGGATACAAATAAGACAGGACGTATGCATTGGAAGCAGAGAGAAGGGGAGCATAGAAGACACTCAGATGGACCAGCAGGACGCTTGCAATGTCCTCGTAGCCTTTCTTCATCAGCACAAGGAGAAGGTTTTCTATTGATATCGCATCTGCAGGGAGGAAGGAGGAGTATATGAAGTACCTTTCTGAGCCTATTAGCCTCGATACTATAAGATCGCATGCTCCTGAAACACAAGTGAAGTATTTCATTGGGATTACCTGATACACAGTCGGGATGGCGGGAGGCCTCAGAAACTCCTGCTGGTAGTTTGCTTCCGGGCTGTGGTAATTGTAGCAGAGAGATGGGACATCGTAGGATCTGAGCATGAGGATTAATGCATACATCAAGATCTTTGTGGTTACAGGCATCTTCGTGGGGTGGGCCTTGAAATAGATAATATTTAGGCGTGACTATGAAAACAGAAATTTTAATACCAGACTAATCACATCTTCCCTTAATTGATCTCTTAGTGACTTTGTTTTTGCCAATGACATAACAATCCGCTCCCCATCCAGACAGGGCATCTCTATCAATGGCGTTGAGGAATGCCTGGACACACGTTACAAACAGGTTTTCCTCATCCATGTCTGGCCTGTAGAGAGCCTCACAGATTCCCATGAGATTCTTGTCGGCAGTCCCCACGGCAACGAAATCTCCGGGGGATGCTATGGACCCTATGCAGTCCATTCCGGAGATGTATGGCTTGCCGTCGCTTGTCAGTCCTGCAACAATCGGAGCAGTGATGTACGGCGTTTCTCTTTTCGAATACAAAAGGAACGAAATCATGCTGCTGAGCTCCTCTGGCTCCATTTCTCTCTGATGCTCCAGCCTGAATAGGTTGTAGTTCTTTCTTATTTTTCTGAGGAGGACCTGGGTGTCCGGGACAAATGCAGGCAATCCCACATATAGTCTTGGTCCTATCCTATGGATTCTTGTGAAGTCCTTGGACACAGTTATCGAGCTCATCCCAAGGCGCTTGTCGCACATGATGGCTACGCCCTTGCTACTCGCCATTGCCAGGATCGATCCTCCATAGAACGTCTCTGTGTCTGACATGCTGGGGTCACCTTTTGTATCTGTTTTGAGGCTTTGGTATATTTTTCCAGAATGAAGCCCTTGAAATGCATATTATATACAAAGAAAGACCACTGCATAAACGGCTATATGTGATTCCGCTGTATGTCCTTCCTGCCATGCTGCTGACAAGCGGCTATCCACAGGCGATGTTTGTGTTTACGTTGCTGGTGTCGGGGACGATGTTCCTGTCGACATTCTGGTCTAACAAAGTTCGTATTTTGTTTTCAATGGACCTTAATTCCAAGGGAAGCTATATACTGTACCGTGGTTCGCTGTGCAAGCTCAAGGACGGAGTATTTGAGTATGAGAAGTCTGGATATCTGGTTACCGGTGAGAAGATTGTTAGACTCAGGGCGAACACAGAGAAGCCGTTTGGATACTTTATGAAGTGGGAGGAAAAGAGAGATGAGTTTGTTGAGGCAGAGCTGTTGAAGCACTTCAAGAAGAACAGATTTGACATTGTGCCCCCGTCGTTTTCTGAGTTATTTCTGCAGCACGCTGTGTCTCCATTGTTTGTGTTCCAGGTGTTTTCTGGGCTGCTTTGGTGTCTTGACGAGTATGTTTACCAGGCGATGTTTAGTCTTGTGATGCTGGTTGTTCTTGAATCTGGGCTTGTTTTCCAAAGGATGATGACTGCAAGACATTTCAGGAGGATGAGCCACTCCAACGTTGATGTGGAGATTCTGTATGATAGCAGGATGAATGCAAAGAAAGGTGAAGGCGTGATGGGGTCGTCCGAAAACCTGTTTCCTGGGGATGTTGTCAAGATTAGCTCCAGCATACATGTCCCCTGCGATCTTCTGTTGGTCAAGGGATCTTGCGCTGTGAACGAGGCAATGCTTTCCGGTGAATCTGTTCCGCTCACAAAAGAGGATATTTCTGAAAGAGATGCAGAAGACATATTCGACGGAGGCAGAGATAGGAGACATATTTTGTATGCCGGGACTGAGATAGTGATGATGAAGGATTCTCCGCTAGTGTGTTTCGTGCTCCATACGGGATTTGAGACTGAGAAGGGAGGCCTTGTCAGGAAGATGATGTGCGCCGAGGAAGTGACTGTGAACGATAGAGAGGCATTTATTTTTATACTTGCACTTCTGGTGTTTGCGATTGTTGCGTCGTTTTATGCATATAGGGAGGGAAAGAAGATGGGAAAGTCGAATTATAAGCTGCTTCTGGAGGTGATTTTGATCTTGACTAATGTGGTTCCCACCGAGCTTCCGATGGAGCTGAGCATGGCGGTGAATAGCTGTGTAAGGGCCCTTGCCCGGAAAGGAGTTTACTGCCTCGAGCCGTTCAGAATTCCATATGCAGGGAAAGTGAATGTATGCTGCTTTGACAAAACCGGGACGCTGACGGAGACGGTTATGGAGGTCGCAGCAGTTAAGCATGAGACGGAAAACTCTGTAAGTGTGCTCGCCAGCTGCCATTCCTTGCTGTCGCTTAATGGAAAGGTGACGGGGGATCCCTTGGAAACAAGTATCTATGAACACCTGAGGAATACAGAACCATTGAATAGCAAATGTCTTGAGCACACGATCCACAAGGCATATTCCTTTTGTTCCGAGCTAAGAAGGATGACGGTGGTGGTAGAAGCCAAAGGTAAGAGGTTTGTTGGGATGAAGGGGGCTCCCGAGGTTGTCAAGCTGTATCTGGACTCTGTGCCTGAGTTTTATGACGACTATAAGAAGTATGCAGCTGACGGGTATCGTGTGCTGGCCTTAGGGTTCAAGCCGATTGAGAAACAAGATAAGTATGATAGAACAGACGTTGAGTCGAAGCTGTCATTTGCAGGATTCATTTTGTTTGATTGTAAGCTGAAGAAAAACGTGAGAAAGACTATCGAGTCTCTCCATGGATCAGGACATAAGGTGATAATGATAACCGGAGACAATGTACTTACGGCAAGGAATGTCTCCAAGAAGATTGGGATATCGGATAAGGCGGTGGAGGGATCAGAGATAGACAAGGTGCTGGAAAGTGACGAGTTCTTTTCTGTATCGATTTTTGCTAGGGCGGATCCTGCCCACAAGGAAAAGATCATCGAAAAATATAACAAGGCAGGAAGGTACACATTGATGTGCGGGGACGGAACAAATGATGTTGGAGCACTAAAAAGCGCCCACGTGGGAATAGCTCTTATGGAGGCACCAGTAGCCGTGAAGAAGAAGGGGGAGCCAAAAACCAGAGAAGAGAGGATGATGGAAAGCATATCGAAGGATCTGGGAGAGGATAAAATCAATCTTGGAGATGCGAGTGTTGCAGCGCCGTTTACAGCAAAGACTGGGTCACTTGACTCCGTTCTCGACATCATAAGGCAGGGGAGAAGCGCTTTGGTGACAACGATCCAAATGTACAAGATCCTGGCGCTGAACTCTCTTGTTAGCGCGTTTTCTTTGAGTGTTCTTGATTGCATGGGGGTTAGGTATGGAGACGTCCAGCTGACTGCCTCCGGGCTTCTTATTGGGTTTGCATTTATGTTCCTGACCCAGAGCCGGCCTCTTGAGGAAATAAGCAAGAAAAGGCCTCTGACGAACATAATCAATCCATACATCGTTTCTTCTGTTGTTTTGCAGGTTGTTGTTCACATAGCCTCTTTTTTTATTATGATAGGGAGGATAAGGAATGTAGAAACGCCGGTGTATAGTGAGAAGTTCTCTCCCTCTCTGATGAACTCGGCCCTGTTCTTCCTGTCTACGACACAGCAGATATCTACGTTTCTTGTGAATTACATAGGAAGGCCGTTCAGAGAAAGTCTACTGGAGAACAAGAAGCTTCTTGGGTGCCTCCTTATCCTGCTGTTTGTCATACACCAACTTGTGATGGGAAGCAACGATGAGCTCCGTGTTAAGATGGAGGTTGTTGATATGGGGAGTGCAAAGATGTTCGTTTACGCCGTGCTGGTGATGGACATAGTTCTATGCTATCTGGTGGAGAAGGTATGCTTCCATGTGTTCATGCTCTAATAAAGCCTAGCTTTTCTGCGACCTTTTCCAGGACTTGAGTGACCGAGCTAGCCCATATTCATTTTACGTTCAATAGGGGTGGAATGGTGGAGGATGAAGCAAGAGGAGTACTGTTTATTCTCAATGAATCTCTCGTGGCTAATGGGAGCTTGTCACCGGATCACAGAAAATGCCTTGAGAAGATGATCTCGCTTATCGATGAGGATCCGGTGCTTCTGGGTCTTCTTGACGAGTGGAGGTTTCTTGAAAGACAGTTTCCCTGCCTCCTAAGGGATTCGGCGGATAAACACGAGGCGGTTGCACTGGCAACGAGAGTTCTGCAATACCGGAGTTCACTTCCTGCACTGTTCATGACAAGAAAGGGTGGGTTCCTTCTGTCGGAGACTCTGTATGACTCGATGGATGATTCCCAAGGCATTATTGCCTTTTGTGAAGAGGCCTCTAAGAAGAACTCTCTGTTCCCAGGAGTCCTGTACGATTGCGGGTTCTTCATTCTCCTGAACTCTCTCGTTTCCGAAGAGACAGCAAGATTCTACTCTTCGATATTTGCCTACAAGATACACGAGGGGGAGGGGAGACATGCGGAAGGCAGAGGAGAAGAGATGATGCATGAGATAAGAAGGAGGTATTTTGACCCCGAAATAGCTTTTACAGACAGAGGGCATCTTTCCTTTAGAAAGCCTCCATCCCTCCATAGAGTGGGGCACCAGGTCCTCAAGGACATATTTGACGATATTTATAACACAGCATTTTTCAGTCTACTAGACCTAGGACTGGACAAAAACCTCCACCTCATGAACTACTGTGAATGGGACTATTTTTTTTTATGCGGCTCTCCGGAGCTCAGGGAGTTGGTAGCCAGTGGCAATTATCTGGCCATTAGGCTATATAGGAGGATGCTGGAGAGCTTTGGGAAGTGTACAAGAGCTGGACTTCATTTGAGCAAGGTTGAGGATGAGGATCTAATGGCACACATAACCAAGCTACTGGAGTGCAAGGATGCCCACATGACTATGGAATGTGCACTAGTGCTCTACAACTACTATCAGCTTTTTGGCTGGAGCCTCGACAAAAGGCAGTTCAGTGAAAACAGGATAAGAGGAATATTTAGTCTGCTTGAGTACAGCTATACCAACTGCCAGTGCTTCCAGGAGTGTGTCTATGGCCGATCTGACGACTCTGCAGCGATGGGGATGGAAGACAGCCAGAGGGCAAAGTGCCTTGTGGATTGCAACACCATGAAAATACTAAGTCTTCTTTCAAACATATATTCCTGTGCCGACAAGCGATACTTCTACAAGCCTTCGTTTCTAGTTTTGATGAGGACATGGAGTGACGTATTCAGCAGACACAAATGCTGGGACTGTGTTCTCTTTACCACCTTCTTTACGGATGTGCTTGAGCTCTTTAGAGCGAATCCATACAACATTGCAAGGATCATCTTTCCGTTCAAGAGGTCAAGGAGAAGACCCAAAGGTATTGTTGATGAGGTTAGTGACAAAGAAAACAGCTCCTGTTTTCCGCGACTGGCTAATGGAATTGACCCACCAGAGATCGAGGATTTGGATGAATAAAGTGATAATTTAATAGTTAGGTCTATAGGCCCGGGTCATGTTAATCCAACAGCCCATTCGGCATCTCTCTGGGAGTGTGCTACCTCTCTCACTTCCTTAGCTCTTCTTCGGTGCGGGTTAGACCTCTTGTGTTCCATAAGAACCTTCTCAGTGATGAAATGCCTGTCACATTCGCAACAGTAAAAATGTCCACCTCCCGGTAGCTCAGGATCATACTCTATTTTCTTCTGGGATTCAATGTCCTCCTTCACCTGGTCGATATCTTTCGGGCCAAACAGCCGGGCTCTCTTTATTCTCAGTCTGTTTTTGTTGCTCCTCCTTTTTTTCTGCTTTGTGTCGCTCTTCGGCATTGAGGAGTAAATTTTTGCAGCAAGAAGGATTAGGAAGGGGCCTCCTTCTTTAATTCCTCAGCCATATCCCCTTGAATGAGTCTGTACGACGTACTCAAGATACCGAAGGATGCAACAAAGGAGAGTGTGGAAAAGTCCTACAGATCTCTTGTAAGGTTGCATTGCCAAAGTAGGGGCGAGATGAGTCCAGACAAGTTTGCCGAGATCAACAAGGCATACACAATACTGAAGGACAGATACAAGAGAGACTTTTATGATGTATTTGGAGAAGTGTCTGTGCAACTCCTCCTTCACAACAAAGACTCATACATCATAACAAGGATGTTTGACAGACTCAACATATGTTTCTATCTTGCCACATTTATGATATATCTGGGGGCTCTATTGGCACTGCCCTCTGTAGTTGCATATGGAAAGTGTAGCCATATGGCCATGGTTCTTCCGTTTGGAGTGTCTGCCGCGACCTTGGCAATTCCAATGGTCAGATCCCTGTCTTCGCTGTATTGGGTTTATGGTATCGGAACGGAGCTGAGGAGTATGATATTTAGGTCTATGGAAATCATCATAGCAACACTCCATGTATTCAACTATGCATCATACACCGATGGATTCATAAACGGCACGTCTTCCGGTGCCATGTTTGTGGGAATAGAGGGCTTATCGACAGTAAATGCCATATACTACCAGTATGGCCAGCAACAAAAGCTTTTTCTCCAAAGCAAAAAGGGCATAATAGTAGGGAAAATGATTAGGGCTATGATATTTGTTCTATTGATCATCCCAGCAATTCCCTCCTTTTTGAAGCCGTTCCTGTTCTTGGCACAGATTCTTTGGGGAATATGCAACAGAAAATATTCCATTGGGCTCAATGCATGCATATTACTTTTGCCCTTGTTGTACATAACCACATTCTCCCTTGTACTGGCCGGATTTTCTAATGTCTCAGTATACATTCCTCTGTGGATATTTACATCGATAGTTATGGTGGTTGTGGGGCTGGTGGCCTCGAACATTGTGAACAACATTCCCAAAAGCAAGTACGATGTAAGAGAAATAGAGGCACTTCCGTGTTACAGTGTGTAGGACTTTGTGTTGAATTCAGGCCTGATGTTTTTAATAAAGTTACTGCTTCATAACAGATCAGCTTCTGTTAAGTATAAATATAGAAATGATGGCATCCAATTGGACTTTTTCGCTGCACCCTATGCTTTTTCTATACTCGATATCGCTCATCTCCTTTAGTATTTTCATTTTGTTTCTCATTTTGCTTTCCCGGACCAGCTCTCCAAGATTTCCCAATAAAGCATCACAATCCATGCTGTACTCATATCTCAGACGCTCGAGCTCGACCCTAAGCTCCGGCATGCCCATACTCCCGAGATTCCTAAATAGCTCCTCATAAACAGATGAAGGAGCAATTCCGTTAAATCTCCGCACATTCGATTCGTCGACCTGGCCCAAGGATGCAGATATTCCCTGGATGTCGTTAACCGCCTTACGCATGTCCCCCATGGAAATCCGAGACACCGCCTTGATTCCCTCTGGGGTGTACTTGATGCTTTCTCTTTTGCATATCTCCTCTATCCTATTTTCTGTGTCTCCAATAGGGCCAAATCGGAACTTGGTGCATCTAGAAAGAATGGGAGAAATTATCTTTCTTAGGTGATTAGCTATTAGACAGAACCTTGTGTTTGCACTAAAGTCTTCGATTATCCTTCTGAGGGCATTCTGGGCATCCCTGCTCATCATGTCGGCCTCGTCCAGTATGACCAGCTTCATTGTCTTGGAGTATGTTGATGCAAATTCCTTTATGGTTTCTCTTACAGTTGCTATTCCTCTCTCGTCACTTGCATTCAGCTCGAGAACACTTGTTCTTGGGAGGTTGTTTGCGATGGCTCTTATCGACGTTGTTTTGCCTGTACCCGGAGGCCCGTAGAACAGCATGTTAGGGATCCTACCTGCACTTGAGATCGACTGAAGAGATGAAACAACTTCTCTGTTTCCAACTACCTCTAACAGCGACCCCGGGCGATACTTTTCTGTCAACTGCTGGTGCATGGGCTCCTCAAACAGAACCCATAAGAGCGGGCCTGGTTACACCTATCTATACAAGATGTGTTTTGATCTGCATCAAACAAGCTGTTTCCTGATGTTTGAGTGAAATGAAACACTCGAAACTATAAAATGGAGGTGCACCGAACTCAGGATATGATACATATCTATCTCTTCTTGGTGGGGATACTGGGCCATGACAATAACATCCTGGTAAGCGAGGTCAACAGCAACACAGACACCTTCAAGGTCAACAACATGATCCTGAATATCGAGAAATCGGGGGCATTTGAAAAGAAGATAGGCCGCAATCTAAATAGTCCAGGGTATGTGGTTCGGAGAGAAGGAAACGGGTTTGAAATAGAGTTCTCTACAAGCATGGTTAATTTGAAGCTGAGCAGGATAAGCCCGAACAAGATCAAGGTGACCTACAACTCTAAGGATAAGTCCGCAAGTGACACGTATCTAGAGATATCGATTAAGAACTGCGTGATTAGGAGTTTTAAGATATTTGATTTCTACATGCTGAAGAAGGCACAGCTTAGCTCAAAACTAGACATAAAAACATGAACCCTCGTCAATAAAGTTGTAAGTCAACATTTTACTCTTATTAAATATCCCATCGCCCCTCTGGCTAATGAGTTCCTCGACCTCTGGAGATATCCCCCAAGACCTTCTTCACTGCCTCTATTGTTGCAAACATGGCAGGGAGGGGCTCTTCGTTGCTACTTCTGTCATGTATTTGCTCTAAAGAGGCTATCTTCATCTTCAGGTGGTCTAGATGCGTCTCGTTCGCTAGCCCCATATTCTCAGCAAGCCCGAGGATGTCCTCACTCGAACCAGCCACGTCTCCTAGATATTCATAGGCATCTATTTGCTTTCCTTCCTCGGCATCATCTTTAATCTTGGACAGAATGTCAACAAGGCCATAAACCCGAGACTCGAGATGCTTTTCTCTCACTCTTTCCAGGTTGATGTCCTCTGTTGCAAGAAGAGAATATATTTGCGATATCTCGTTTCTTATGAGCCTCTTCTTCACCTCATGCTCCAGATCCATGACTTCCAGCCTTTGAATGTTGCTTCTGTGGTACCTGTATTCTGGAAGGCTGCTATACTTTGATCTGTCCCATTTGTTCAGGAGCATATCCGCATTAAACATTAGATCGAACTCATCTCCGTCCTGTGTGTCAGAGTACTCCTTGATCTCTTTCATCATGTACTCTGGAAGCTTGGTATCCTCTCCATTCCGGTCAAAGACGTTACGGGTATATTCAATAAACAGCATGACTTTCTCTAAGGTGCTGTGAGAGGAGTATATGGTTTGGACCATTTTCTCCTCGTTTATCATGTCCTCCTTAAGCGAAGATATAAGCTTGTCAAGGTTATCGATCAGTCCGTGAACATTTTCTGGAGAACATCCATCCTCGGGAGACCTCTGGCTCATCACTAGCAAAAGATCCAAAATGAGGCTCTTGAATCCATCTTCATGGATTCTGCAGAGCTTCCTTTGCATGGGTGTTTCTGGTGTAGAGGATGGCATAGCACTTCTTCTTCTCATCTCGTTGACGATGTCAGAGACTAGCTCGTCAAAGTTCTTTTCCGGGAGAGACATCATTTTTTGGATGGCATCAGCCTGCCTTACATTCGGAGAGGAACTCTTCTTCTCAGCTGCAACATAGCTCTCCAGTTCACATCGGACTATTTCTTTGTTCTTTCTGTTCCCCATGTTCAATTGTTTTGTTTTCCGGGTGTGTTTTATCTCGTTTTGTGTTTCTGTTTGAATGATATATGGGAGGATCATGGTAACATTAAGGCCCGGCTTCTTTGACGGGCAGTAGGGAATCTGACTCAGATATAGTTGTATTATGGAGGCATCTGGCAGGGGTAATTGTCAAATATATCAAAGATTAATCGGAAATATATTAATTTTTCAATAATAAAGTACCTTATGAAAATTCCACTATAAAATAATCACTTTGAAAACAAAACAATGACATGTATAAACAAAGAAGACAGGGGTAAGAGGTGCGCAGGGAAAGATGGATGGGACAAAGGTTCCGGCAGTGTCGGGGAAAAGAAGGGCTACCAGAAAGACGACATGAATGTGGAGATGGAAGACATAAAGGGATGCGAGAGAAAGGTCTTTGGAGAAAAGGAGCCGAGATATAGTAGCAGGGAATATTCCATCCCTTCCCCACAAGACTTTGACAGGGCGGCTGATTACAACAAGAGTGTGCATGCATGCTTGGGTATAGATAGACTTAACGATAGAAATAGAGATGGATATCAAAGACTAGCTCCGGGATACGACTCTATGGAGATGCCGAAGATAGCAAGAGAACTCAAAAGAAAAGCAAAGCAAAGAATATGTTCCAACTGTTCTACCACAAGCACGCCGTCGTGGAGAAGGGGCGATCAGGGGAAATCTCTTCTGTGTAATGCCTGTGGGCTTTATCAGAAACTTCACGGGAGAACAAGGCCATATACGGTCACTGCAGGAGGGAGGACAAAGGCATTGAAGGGAGGACACGAAAGAATCATCTGCGTATCGTGCAATCTTCCTTTTTTTACGTTGGAGTCAAAGGGCACGTCCAGCCATCTCTGCAATGGCTGCCTAGCCTATGCAAGAAGCAGGGGAACCCAGATTGGTAGTGATGGAGGGGAGGATTGTAGGAACAGATTTAATGGAAAAGTATCCTCAAGTTTGTATACCGGGCTTTATGGAAGAGAGATTTCGGAGCAATACAGCACGCCATATCACTATGTGCCGAATGCTCCCATGGACAGTAGATTTGGGGAATACTCCTCGTCTTCCATGGTCTATCCTCAGTCATACGGATACTACTACCTAGGCGAAAAGTACCACGATATGCCTAGATTTGGATACGAATGCCATTTTCCTAACGAGGATCCAGATGCTCAGTTCAAAGATGCCTATCCCGTGGAAATGGTTGGCGGAAGCGACAGCGGAGTGGATTCTTGCGATGCCGATGTAAATACTCCAAGTGATACATGAGAGAGTAATTAAAAATGGAAAATTAAGCACAGGTGGTTTGGTTCTATTCTAGACATGCCTGTGCAGTCCCTTCTTCATGGACTTAAGAGCTATTCTGATTTTTTTGCCACCGACACTTTTTCCATCCATGTGCCGGATTGCCTTTAGGGCAGACAGCTCTTTGTCATAGTTAACAAATGCCTTTCCTCCGCTTAGTATGCCCAAGGATCGTATCTCCCCAAACTTCACAAATAGATCTGCAAGATCCGTTCTGGTTGTTCTTGGGGACAGGTTGTATATGAAAACGCTTCTTTCTGGGCTGAGGACGCTGTCCTTTCGCTCCCTCTTAGTAAAAGGCTTAATAGAGAGCCTGCATTTTTCTTTTCCAAAGCTTATCTTTTGGTCGAGCTCAAGAAAGCTCTCGGCATCCTGTTGGGACGAAAAATCAATAAAAATCGTTTGCATGTCGTCTCCATGTGTAATGTTTTCTACGGACCCATAATATTGAAAGAACTTTAGAACTTCTTCTTTCGATGAGTCCGAGGGGATTCCAGAAACAGCAACCCTCTTCTTTCTGTCGAAGGCCATCTCGATGTGCAATGGCTCATTGTGTCCATACACCCTCCTCCCGCCCAGGGAATCCATCGCAGCCTTTGCATCCAGAGGCTCTTGGAATTCGATAATTGAAAACAATCTGGGCTCTCTCAGGATCTTAATCGACTTGATCTCCCCAAAAGGATTAAAAATTAGGCTCATGCTCTCTTCGGAGTAGCTTTCTGGAAAATTACTTACAAACAATTTGCTTATCATCTATGGGGGATACCCACGGCAACATGAATTTCTGAACAGTCTCCGACCCTGCAATGAAAATCAGCACCATATACCATAAACCCGAGGAAGTCTGCAAGGAGAGAAAGAAGGATGTTCAGTATTCAAGCTTTGCTAAAGACGAGGTTTACCATCCGTTCATGAGAGAGAGGGAGTTTGTGAGGGCGCTTAACGCAGTTAAGATTGAAAGAATGCTGAGCAAGCCATTTGTCGCGGCACTATCCTACCATAAAGAGGGGATACATGTGCTTGCCAGGCATCCCCACCAGTCTCTGTTTGCATCTGGGAGCTTTGATGGGCAGGTGATGCTATGGGACATGGAGCAGAGAAACCTTCTCAAAAGGTTTGAGTGTAACAACCCAATAAAAGGACTTGGAGTAGATAGGGAGGCGAATGTGTATGCGGGGCAGGGAAAGTCGGTCAGAAGACTGGGAGATGCCAAGGTATACCACTGCAATTCAGAGGTGCTGGATCTAGACATGATGGAAACGCTGAATGTAGGAACCTCGAAAGGGATAGAGATATTTGACCTTGAGAGAGACTTTCCTAAGCAGCAGATGAGCACGAAGTATCCCCTGTGCATCAGCTCTAGTCCTGTGCTAACAAGCATAATAGGAGTTGGGGAGCAGGGAGGGCTTTCTCTGTTTGATGCCAGGGTTGGAAAGATAGTCCATTCTGTGTCCATAGGAAGTAAAACCAACGGCATATCATTCAGCCCGAACGGGGACGTGTTTGTGTCAGGAGACGAGGATTCCTGCATCTATCTTCATGATATAAGATACCTGCACGAGCCCAGTGGAGTATACAGGGGCCATGGAAATGCCGTTCTCTCCGTAGCATTCAATTCCCTTGGAACGGAAATAGCCTCTGGAAGCTTCGACAAGACGATTAGGATCTTTGGTGTTAACGAAAGAAAAAGCAGGGACACTTATTACAACAGACGGATGCAAAATGTGTTTGGAGTGAAATACTCGCACGACTCCCAGTTCATTGTATCAGGAAGTGATGACGGATCAGTAAGGTTGTGGAAAGGATATGCCTCGAGGAAGCTGGGCCCGCTGAGTAGAAAGGAGAAGGATGCCCTTGAGTACTCCAAGGCGCTGAAGGAGAAGTACGAGGACGTTGGAGAAATAAGAAGAATAGCCAAACACAGGTTCCTACCCAAGCCTCTAAAAAACACGCTTAAGAGAATCCATGAGTCCCACGAGGCTGCCGAAAGAAGACGGAAGGCAAGAGAGGTCGAGGAGGAATTTATAGGATAGCTGGAGACGGTATTTATGGCGAGAATAAAAATGGCCTTGTTCGTGATTTGCTCTTGTCAGCCAGGGACTATTTAAGACTGGAACTTTTCTTCTTTTCATATAAGGACCTATACTTCTCGATTATCCCCTTGTTGATTTCCTTCGTTATCAATTCGCTTTCGCTCTTTGCTCTTTTTAGTATTCTTTTGTACTTTGTAGGTTTCTTGTGCAGCTTAACATTCTTCAGCGGCCGCTGGACCATTTTTGGGACTGGATTTTCTCAGGGATTTTCTCGAGGATGTGGCGGAAAATATAGTTTCTTAATATCAAATACATCAATCAACTTCGATATTTCGTTTAGCCAGGGGGATACTGAGTCATGGGCAACCAGCTCCTGGAATTCTTCCTTGCTGACATATCTTGTCTCTGAAACTTCATCAGGATTTGGGCTTGGCGGAGTATCAGATACCCCGAGAACAATGTAGTCGATCTCCCACTCGTGAAAGTCACTGGAAGAGTAAGGTTCATCAAGATTCTTAGGATCCGGGAACCTAGAAACATCCTGTGGAGTTGGATTCCCGGGTAGAATCCTTCCATATTTTTCGTTCGGTGCTGCTTTGTATACAATGCGAGAGACAAATCTTAGGTCGTCTATGCATACGTCTTTTATTCCCAGCTCATAATCAACGCGCTTGATTGCATGCATCTTCACATCCAGTAGCGGATCTGTAAAGGAAAGATCACAGGCAAAGGGATGAGAGCAGACACTGTTTGTCCATCTGCTTGGAAAGAGAAGCTTTCTAGATGCTCTTCTTTGAATCAGGAGCTCGCCCCTTGAATTGAATAAAAACACGCTGAATGCGCGGTGGAGCGCTAGGTGCTCTCTGAAGTGGGTTTTCAGAGCTTTTCCGATGCCAATCACCTCGTCCATGTCATTTACAAGTAGCACATCTCTATTGAAATTGTCCATGGGGGTTGGGTCTGTCAAATTCGATCTAATGTTGACCCCATCCAACAATGGGGAATAAGCCAGGATTGTTACCTAAGTGGCTGTTTGTTTACACAATACTCAAGGCCATGTATGTTCTGGTTGCGTACAAGGACCATCTTGCAGCTACTAGCCGCGGGTGGGAGCTTGGGTCGGCCTATGTTTATCTGACGCTGCTGCTTGGAATAACAAGACTACTGTCATCCAGAAAGATAACCATAGTGGGGTTCTACTCCTCGATAGCAATATCATTTCTAGCCGAGGGGCTGTTTTTTGTGTATGGAGGGTTCCGTGGGATATACTCGATACACAGGATGCTTGTGGAGGCATTTTTTGTTCTGTTTACCCTTGGCTGGATGATATTCCTGTATCCATACTATCTCCTCGAGGACAAAGAGCTTCCGAAAAAACCGAGGGACGAGTCTGTGAAGCACCAATAGTTTCCTTGATCCCCTTTCTGAGTCTGTTTTAAGTTGAAACCCAAGGGTTGTGTATGAAGTCTACCTGGAGAGATTAAAGGAACTATTTTAGAGACGTTATGGATGAAGGAAATGGTAGGACGGCATATGTGGACTTCTCGAAAAAGGTATCTGGATTTGACACCGACATAAAGATCCTGGAGACGAATACACACATATTTATATATGTGAGCCAATGCGAAGAGACAATCCATCTGTACGATGAGGCGCTGAAGAAAGAAGTAACGAAGCACAAGATTCGACCCAAAAAGAAGCTGGTAGTGTTCTGCAACATGAAGATTCATGAAGGCTTTAATGATATCAAAAAGGTGATACTGGATATATTACGGAAATAGCCTCCCTGGCTAGGAAGTTCATCATACCACAAGGTATAGAGATCCAATGGGCACAGAGAAAAGTCCTTAACTAAATTTTATTGTTATGAAATCTCTGAGTGTCATTCATAGATTGTGCCTATTTCTTACAGTCTCTGAGAGGTTACCAATTATATTATTGTAGTTTCCATCGTAAAGAGCATTTTCCTTCTTTAGATGCTCTACCTCCTTGGTGGCCTTCTCGAGCTCACACTTTAGCGCCTTTATTCTTTTCAAGGCCTCCATCTTGGTCTCCTCAACATAGTTTATGTAACCAACTTTGGTATCGACAAGGTACGACTCGAAGATCTCCTTGATATACTCCTCAGAGGTGACATCTCTGAGGCTTGTTCTGCCCTCAAGTACGTCCCGATCCAGCTGGTTGAGTTTGTTCTCAACATCGTGTGTCTCCAGCTTCTTCTTGAAGGCCTCAGATAATCTTGACCTGAGATTCTGGAAAATATCCTCTACTGTTTTCGAGATTGTTTCGGGATCCCGCTCTGGTTCCCGGCATATCTCACCAGCCTTAGGGCTACTTACAAAGAAAGAGTCCTCGGCCGAGATGTTTGGATCAACGAGGATTTCCTTTATCTTCTCTTGCTCCTTGAGAATCTCCTGTATGGCTCTTTTATAGGCCTGTCTCATCTTAGCCAGTCTCGGGCCATCTTCCTCCATTTAATGGGCTAAATAAAGTAAGGACATGTAAGCGGCACTTAGCATGGAAGGAAGACGGAGAACATGCTCTCGTATCCAAGAAAGTCCCGAGGTCAGGGACAGGGTAGATTAGACGGTGGGTGACCAGAACATAAATCGATGGAAAAGAAAGCCCTGGAATATGGGAATAGTTCACAAGCTCATAACTTCAGTCTCCGGCTTGTACAATAACATCAATCCAATAACATTGAGTGGAGTTAACGATGTTATCGTCGTTGAAGACAAGGATGGAAATCTGAGGTGTACTGAATTTCAACTTCGGTTTGGAAGGCTTTACTTCTACGGTATCAATAACCAGACAGTTCACCTGTTTGTCAATGGAAAGATGTGCGACATCACAATGTCTATAACAAGCCAAGGAGAGCTATTTTTTGAAAAGGACACGGAGGACGACCTTGGAATCGATTACGATGTAATACTCGAGTACAACAACAAACTCTCCGCGATGTTCGACTCTGACGACGAGCTGATCCTGAACAAGAGGCTTGAGCAGCTTTCGTTGGGAAGCGGCTCTGACCTCAGCACACTGAATTTCGACATTGTAATGAAATGTAAGGAAAAGAATCTAGACATCGGGTTCAGAAAGTATCTAAGAAACAAGAGAACAGAGAATCTCAGGAAGAGAATGTATGGCCAGGTTCTGCGGCAGAGAGGGCACAAAGACTCATACCACGACTTTGAAAAGAAGTTTGTCAAGTTTGGAAGCCTGATCAACTCCACCGAGCACTTCGACTTTTTGATAGGAAGATATCGCTCTGTCCTCCATCTTATCACTGGATTGCATCTGCACCCGCCATTTAATAACAAGGTGTGCGACGGAAATAACAAGGGGTGCACAGGAGCAAGTATATCGTTTTCTCTCTGCTACAACAAAAAGATACAGGAGTCCCTTGACCATACGTTCAACTCCTTTCTGGTCCAGGAAATAAGAAACACAGAAGGCCTTGTTGTGAGGGTCCAGGGATGCAAGAGCTGTAACTTCCGCTTCTATCTGCCATACGACATATTCTGCAGAATCTTCTTCGAAGTGCAGGGATCTCGAATCAATAAGGCGAAGAAGATCATGAAGATTCTTGAGAACGAGCACAATAGGCTCCTAGGATGGAACATATTTGGAACAAAGAAGATCATCAAGAGGGATGTGTCTTTCTCGCTGAAGCTGAACTCTGAGGAGCTAAGAATGCTCAACCTGAAGGAGGGGAAGAACCAGGTGGTTTTCAAGATTAGCGGGTTGAACAAGCAGCTCGAGGGGAGCATCTATCTGTGGAGAAGCAATGCAAAGATAATTGTTTCAGACATTGATGGCACAATAACCAAAAGCGACGTATGGGGCCATCTCTACGGAATGATGGGAAAAGACTGGACCCACCATGGTGTGGCTTCGCTATACACAAAAATAGTCAGGAATGGATACAAAATAGTTTACCTGACAGCAAGGCCCTTGGGACAGTCGTTCTCGACAAAGTCGTATCTCAAAAACGTGTGCCAGGACGGGTATAAGCTTCCAGATGGCCCTGTGATCCTGTCACCGGATGGAGTGTTTGCAGCATTATACAGGGAACTGATAATAAGAAGGCCGGAGGACTTCAAGATAGCATATCTAAAAACAATTCAGGAGCTCTTTGGCGACACAAACCCATTTGTTGCAGGATTTGGAAACAAAATCACTGACGTGATAACCTACAAGGCACTGGAAGTTCCGCTGTCAAGGATTTTCACGATCAACCACAAAGGCGAGCTATATGTCGAGCTGGTAAAGACACTATCCGGAACATACAGGACAATGAACGACTTCGTAGATAGCATGTTTCCATACCTGTCTCCCAAGACAATACCATTCATAGATCATTCATTCAGCGACTTTTCCTGGTGGAGCATCCAGAATGCATCCCATGTATAGTTGTTCAATTAAAACATAAGAACTTCGAATAGAAACACATCTTAGAACTTCTAAGAATTTAATACCAAACTCCAATTTCTCCAGATATGTTCCACCCAAGAAAAGTCACGTGTATAATGAGAATACCCAGGCTCCACAACATCAATCTTCGGCATTATGTTTCTTCTTATGTTTCTTCTTATGCTTCTTCTTCTTCTCCTCCTTCTTCTCTTCCTTCCCCTTCTTATGCTTCTTCTTATGCTTTTTTCCTTTATTACCCTTACCTGTGTTGCTTTCTCCTTCATCCGGGTCATCCGGGTCATCCGGGTTGTCGGAATCAGAGCCAGAGTCTCGTTTCTTCTTTTTGGCATAAGACACTGGAAGTAAAAGACTTTCCTTGGACGAATTTCCAGGAGCTAGGCTCGAAGCGCTAAACCCACTACCATTGACATTATGTAACTCAACTTTTCCTTTTTCACGGCGAAATCGAAGGGTCCTTGCGTCGGAAAAGGCACCTAGACAAAGTACCACGAAGCATCTTTTCATTTGATTACCTCGAAATTGCTCGCTTTATCTTTATTTCTGTTTCAGGGTTTTGATTTCATCAAAACATGCATCGATATCCCCACACTAACGATGGTATTCAATAGATATGTATCTGGCAAAGACCGGAATTGAAATCGATGATTTATTTGTTTCAGAGCATGTAGATGAGAGTAGCCATCGCTTCCATTATCCAAACGGGAAAATATTTCGAAGTGTCTTCACAGCCTTCCCTTGTGGTGTATCTTTTATTTTTTCAAGGGTTTCCCTTGCAATATCCTCAGGACCGCTTCCTCCTTTACTACTAGAAGAATCTTCTTCTTCCTCATTGCTACTATTTTCATCTTCTTCCCCATCTTCACTATCATTCTCGTTACTCTTTTCTTTCTCACTATCTTCACTGCTCTCCGGCTTTGAGTCTCCCTCTGATTCCTCACTATCTTCACTGCTCTCCGACCTTGAGCCTTCCTCCTTTCTTTTTTTTCTTCTGGAAAAAAGAAAAGACCCACTCTCCCTGTCCAAAAGACTGCTACTCTTGCTGCTCACCAAATTGCTTAACCTCGAGACTGCATTCTCTACATCCTTTCTTTGCAAGAGGTCGCTTTTTTGATGGAGAGGGCTCTTACCATACATTTCAGGAATTATAGCGGGAAGTAGACAGGACAGGTATATTCTCATTTATTTACCTGTTTACAAACTCATTTATTTTCGCTGTTTCAGATATGGGGAACTGACATATCTCTTTGTTTCAAACATACTGTTGTAACTTATACAGACTATCTAATGTTTTATTAAGGCAATAATGTATACCATGGACTCATTCTTTTACTTAGAGCTTCTAGCCATCATCTTTCCTACGCTTTCTACCAAGATCTAGTAAGGCGCTTACTGGTTTCTTCTCTTTTTTCTTTTTATTTCTTTTTTTACTTTTCTTCCGATTACTAAATCTGAACAGTTTTCGCTTCTTCTTCTTTGGGGATGATGACTCATTGCTATTAGAATCCCCAGTACCGTCATCACTACCTTTATCGGTGATAATATCCACATCCTCTCCAGTATTATTATGATCGGTTGACTCTACTATTTTCTTTATATCTCCCGTATGCTTACGCACTCCAGCTCTAATCTTTCTTAGTTTTCTAAGCATTCTTTTTTTCTTTTTCTCTTCCTCCTCAAAGTCTTCTAGTTCTTTTTGTGCTTTATCGGCATGGCTCTTAGCGTTTATGGCTGCTCTCTGCTTTTTTTCTTCTCGTTCTTTATTTTCTTTTTCTTCGGCGTCCTCCATTTCATCAACATCTTCCTCAAGCTTTCTAACATCAGTTTTTACTTCTCGCATGATACTTTCGAGGATAGGACCTTTGCCTTTGTTTGGATCTGATGGATTTTCACTATTTTCATGGTTGTTATCTGTACTAAAAGGCCATATTGCACTACCTTTTTGTATCTTTGCACGGACATTGATTATAAACCATGCAAGTGCCAACAGCTGAGTCTTCATTTGTTTAGTTCCAGCGCGCCACCTCCTCTATTTATCGTACATTCTCTGTTTCAGGGGTTGTAAGAGATGTTTCAAAATAGGAAACTGTATGTCTCGAGAGTTTTGCGCGACGTTACCGGTGTCAAATCATATTCTATTTTTAATAAAGTAACGAAGTCATGAAACAAAGGCCCCAGTCACATGCTAGCCTCCTCTATACGGGATCCTTCCATATGACAGGCCTCTGTTTGTTCTTGATGTACCTTTTGATGGAATTGCTCTACTTGAAAATAAGATTTTCGAAGGGCCACTTCTTGTTTCTCTTTCGTCATCATAGGAAGTTCTGGTCTGTGCTAACGAATCGTCAGGCCTCTTTCTTAGATTACGAGATTCGTGCGAAATAATCCTCTGCAGCTCCTCTCTAATTTTTTCTGTCATCAGCGTTTCTTCATCTTCCCTTAGCTTCTGACCATCGTGGGAGCTAGTATTTTTGTCTGGGTATTCCGCTGTACCATTATTTTTGCTCTTCTCGTGTTCTCTACCCCTTTCCTCCTTTTCAGATTCTGTCAGGTCTGAGAAATCGTTTGAGCTTGTCTTTTTTGACAGCGTTTTCCTTGCCTTTCTGGAAGATACTTCTTTCAACTTAGATGCCCTTGGCAGTCTTTTCTTGGGGGCTTCATGTTCTGAAGAGCTCTCCCCTTCAGAGGACGACTCGGAGTGTTCCTTCCTTACCTTGCTTTCTTCCAGGCACTGCTGTTCAGAGCTGGCGTCCTCGGGCTTCTTTTCTGACTTGGAGAGAACCCACTTCAGGGGGCTTGATATCTCAACTCCATCGCCCTGCTTTCCGGTATCCTGCTGCCCAGACATTATCCTCAGATTGAACATTTTCTCTTCGTCCCAGTTCAGCATCCTGATGAACTTCTCGAATTTCTCCTTTGTTTCTTTTGTGCATTGTTTCAGGCTCTCTATAAACTCCGGCGTGCTAGCATCCTTTGCAAACCTATCGAAAATCTCCGGACTTCTTTCCTTGACGGGATTTGGAACCTCTGCCCTAAAGAGGTTTCTCATCCAATCGAGAACTGCATATATTATCTTTGTCAGCAGCTCGTCATCAATGATGTCATTGGAAACCATGTTGCTAATAAACCTGCTCATGCATGGCGAGTTGGGCACAAACTTTTCTCGCTCCTCCTCAGGGCTGGCCGAGGCAATGAGAATGACGTTGGCCGGGATTCCGCTCAGTGCTTCGACTCTCGCGTCAAGGCTCTCCTCTCCACCCATTATTGATATGTCTTGGTATCCGGGCTTGACCAGATAATCGTCATATGCCAGGAAGTCCAGAAGGCTAATTCTTATTCCTCGGCGCTGGAGATGTTCGTTGAATTTATCCAGCAGCCTCTCGACTACATAATGGTACATTTCCTTGACCTCCTTCAGTCCGGTTTTCTCGTAAAGAATAACCAGGTTGATCATGTGTGCAAAGACTACGGGAGACAGAAGAAGAATCTTCATTGTTTATCTGACTAGTGTCTAGTTTTAGGCTTGATTTCCTGTGGTTTCAGAGTAAGCACCTAATGGAAAATGCGCCAAAGCAGAAGTTCTTTACAAATTTCGGAACTCGAAGAAGGTTGAAGCTCCTACCATTAATATAACGGGAAAAGACACCCATTCAATTTTCTGCATCCAGGTTTAAGATAGTCGTGAAACGCTGGTGCCTCAAGTGAGTTTCAGATTTGAAAATAAATAGCTTTCTTTCTAAAGGAAGACATGTTTGGCAGTAAATACTTGCTGATCCTTCTGGCGGGGCTGGTAATTTGCTCACAGGCAATAGGCATCAGAAGAATTCCAGTAGAAGTATATGTCTCTGAGGCCGGGAGAAAGAAATTTCTTGATAAAGGTAGAAGTATCGAGGACATTGTGGGGAGTGTTGCAGAAGAGCTGGAGTTGAAGATGAATGAACATGTATATGCAGACAGGGCAAGCACGGATAAGCGCAAGTTCCACTTTGATTGGAATGTTAGTGGAATGACGTCTTCGGAAATCGACCTGGACAAGTGTGGAAAAGACACAAACCGGTTCCAATATGACTTGGTCCAAGCGGCTAGAGACAAGGCTGGTGTATCGGTAATTCTTCTCTATACCTGCGAGTCTGAAGGATATAGCGAGGACTTTATTCTGGCAGGGCAGAAGACACCCCTTGTCATCCAAAGGAAGTATCCGGAGTGCTCAAACGATGTAGCAACATTCACCGAGACGGAGCCAATGAAGATTGAATCCATTATTGCCAATGCCCTGTTTATTACAGCGGGGTCTCCCTTGAATGATATGGTAGAATTTGAAGAGGTGGACAACGGGAGAGACGGGTTCAAAAGAGATATACGCCTAAAGACGACAGATTTCTCGCTTTTTTCCGGTGGAGTCTGCCACTAACATATTAAATCAATTTCTAGTCTTGAGACCCCAGGGTATTTTTTTGCTCAAAAATCTTCCCTCAACAAAGTCTAATGGCCGAGGTTGAGAGGAAGGAAGAGCAAGCGAAGATAGAGTCTGGCTCCAACGAGCAAAAAGAAAGAGGGCTGGATGGCGTGAATAAGGGAGATGCCGTGGGGGATGGTAAAGAAGGAGGTGAAGCAAAGAAAGTGCAGCAAAGTCCTTTCCTGACCAATGCTGTGCCCCGAAAAGATGAGGGCAAGGGAGGGGAGGAAAGAGACAATATCGATGCGGCGGAGGTAGTTGAGAAGCAGAGGAAGCATCTCGAAGAAAACCAGAGCGACGAGATTTTATTTAAGGCAAGGTGCAAGCTTTATTATTTCTCGGAGGAGACCAAGGCTCTTGAGGAACGTGCTGAGGGAACCATGATTATTGAGATGCATTCAAAAAGCAACCTTGCGAAGATAACAATGTTTAGGGACCAAATCGGTAGGCTTGGGTGCAACCATTTTATCAACCCAAGATTCAAGGCGCAGCCTCACGGAAAGGTTAGTAATGGATGGATGTGGATGTCTACAGAGGACACAGTTGAAACGGATGCATTGAGAAAGAAGATCCAGCTATTTGTTGTCAAATTTTATTCTGAAGAGGATTTCAAGAGGTTTGGGGAGGAGTACGATCTGGGAAGGGCTCATAATGAAAAGGCTCTGAAGACAAAGACAAATAAAAAGTGACTTCTAGCTCTGTCTCAAACACCAGCTATTGCGTTTTCGAGACCTTAAGGTTCTTTAGATTTCATTTGTACTTTCTGAAACTGTGCAGAATAAGTTGGATGGTGGCTTTGAAGCCAAGCCATGGATCTTGTCAGATACCTTGGAAATGCGCTGGAGAACACAAGGAAGGCATTCGAAGTTTCTCGACTTAAGAAGGAGGTAGAGGATAACTGTAAGGGCTATAGAGATCTTGTTTTTTCCCAACGGCACATTGACTCTCAGATGGAGAACAAGGAAAAGAGGGCTCTAGTGGAGTTGGAGATATGTAAGGCGCTTCGAAGATTCCATGAGTATATATTGAGGGAGAGTCTGAAATATACAGAAGCTATTCATTTAAGGATGAAAGGTCCCAAGGATACTGGAGATCTCCTGAGTGGCGATACCATTGGAAATATAGAAGAGAGGCACTATAAAAAACAAATTTCTATACTACTTTCTTGCCTTTGTAATAATGTATACATGGCGGACAGGTTGGTAGAGTTTGAAGAAGCCCGTAGGTACAGCGACGATGTTGAGAATGCGAGGAACGAAACTGTGGGGTCGATTAATAGACTCGGGATGGAGATCCTGAGAGGAATTGAAGGGGTGATCAAGCACCACAGCAAGGACAGGAGGGAAAGATTGGATATGATGTTGATGCATGAAAACCTGAGGATTCAGAGTTTACTAAGACGGTTGGGGCAGAGGCTGAATGAGCACGAAGAAGCCATAGGAAAGGAGATTATCAGCAAGGTATTACTTGTGTTGAGTCAGGGCTCTATTGAAAATGACGTGAGGCTTGTGAAGCTTATTGACAAGACTATCGAAAGAGCTGAAAAGTACGAGTCGCCTGAGATAGCGCAGATGAGTATTCAGTTTGTTATAGCCAAGAAATATGTGGAGGATATAATTAGTCTGAAAGAGCAACCTTTCCTGCGGAAATGCTTAGAAAGAAGAAGTCTGAAGAAAGACATAGGGCCGGAGGAGTAGAGACTCCGAAGCCGGCCACCGAGCTTTCTGGTGATCTTATGGAGAAACTTGAAAATTTTATGGCCCTTATGATATTAAATGGGGATAACAGAAAGATATTTATCAGAAACGACATGCTTTATAAGATAAGAGAGAATATTGTTGAGGAGTACCGGAGGGAGGATCTTGTAATGGTAAGGAGCAAGATGTTTTTTAGGGCCAAGACTGCAAAGGAATTTGACGGGAAATACTATTTTTTGACAAAGAAGAGCATACTGGTCTACGAAGATCTATTTGGAGACCCGGTTCAGGAAATCGAAGTTCCCAACGATGGGGTTTTCGATTTCCACATGCACGATGGCCGGCTCTTTTATCTTGCAAGAAGAATGAACCGATTCTTGGGGATTGATGAGGGACACGAGATAGTATTTGATTTCCAGGGAGGGGCTTATTTTTGGGATGGGGTGGATTTCTACATATGCAGTAATAAAAACCTGATTAGGTTTGATGTTATAAAGAAGAGAGGCGAGGATGTCCTTTGCGGTGTGAATGTCAAATGCATTGTTGCGAGGAACGGAACAATTGCATATGCAGACAATGGGAATATTCTCCATTTTTTGAAAAGAAAGGCAAGCCTGTCATACCACCATCACTCCAAGCCAGTTGCAGGGATTATAATAACCTCTCTTGAGAGTCTTTTAGTTGTGTGTAGAGACAAGAAGCTTGTTAGGATAGAAACAAAAAGAAACGAAAGAGTACTTCTGGCATCATTTGATGGAGATCCCGTGGATTTTATGCAAGACGGATCTGACATCTATGTTCTAACTCCGTTCTGCCTCCTAGCATACGACTCCAAGGCTGGATGTATCAAAAAACAAATCTTTTCCCTTCCAAGTTTTGAATACTGTAAGCCTCTCTGTGGGTTTGAATGCACCTCGGAGGAGACGCCTGGAAGGGAGGTTTTTGAGCGCAACGTGAAGAAGACTAAGGTTGTGGTACCCTATGCATTCAAGAACGAGTGCTCCTCCGACTTCTCAAGGAGCTCCATAGTTGCAGTAATGAGAAGCTATGTCTTTATATACGATCTGGAAAAGGAGGAGGTGCAAAAGATAGCCTATCTTGGGGGGTCTGACTGCTTCTACTCGTCCGGATTTATTGTCAGGTTGTCATCTGGGGGAAAAGGCAGAAGAACAGCAGCGAAGATTTATCGGATTGAGAGCGATGGGCTGCTATTTATTAGGAAGTATGACTCGGTCGGGATTTCTTCTACCCCGGAAGATGTTGTGTTTGATAAGGGAAGGCTTTTTCTATACTCTGATGGCAGTCTTATTGAAGTAACAGGGCCCGGGATTACAAAACGTCTCGGGAGCGAGAGTGTTCGGCAGATTGAGGAAACTGATGTAGGGGCTTTCCTGCTTGACACGCGTGGAATATTCAAGATCGGGTCTGGAGAATGGATTCTAGAAGACGAGGACATTACGTCTCTCAAGGTTTTTGAGAAGACACTATTTGTATCTCTATTTGGAAGCGGGATATTTGGCTTTGAAATGAAGGACGGAGCAGCCGAAGAAAAGTTGATTGACGATGCAAACGTCACAGAGGTTTTTGTGGATGGCGAAACCATTGTGACATCTAGTCTTTGGGAAGGAGTTTCCGTTCTGAGGAGATATAAGAAAAATGGTAACATCTGGAAAAAAGACGGTGAGGCTCTTGCAGATAAAGGAATAGGCAGAATTTTACACAAAAACACGTATCTCTCGATAACAAACAAACTGCACAGGGTGGAGTTTGGGCGAAGGGAGTGTCTTCTCTAAACTCCATGGAGATTATCCCAATAAATACATCTATTACCAATTATGTAACCTCATTTTTGGCCTTTTGAGTGTGACGTCAAGTTTTTGTATATATTGAGCGAATGCAAATTGTTTTGATGGATCTTTCAACAATCCAGGAAGTAAGGATATCGAACATTCTCAGGACGACATGCAAGCTTATGGAAAGACTCTTTCTTATGTATAGGTGTGGGAAAATAGGCAAAGAAGATTACATTCAGAAGCTGGAAAAGCTAAAGGAGGTGGTGGGGTCGAGCATCGATGAAATGGAAAGAAATGCAAGAACGATATCGTCTAGGAAAGGGCCTGTAAACGTTCTCGATGTATTTGTTATGGAGCATTTTGAACATATTGGATGTTTTGGTGCTGCAGAATTGCTGGGCAAGAAGCTCTCCATCGAAAACTACTCTGACAGTGACTTCTACAAGCGTGTCTATGGCATCAGGAACCAGATCAAAGCAGGGTCGTTTGAAGATGCTCTGTTGTTTTGCAAAGAGCATAAGGTAGAGCTTAAGAGTATGAAATCCGAAGAGGGGGTTTCGCTCGAAAATGACCTGAAGATCGAAAAGTTCATAGAAATGTGCCATGCACAAGAGTTTGATAAGGCCTTGGAGTTTATCAATAAAGAGTTCAAGAGGGTTCCGGAGCAGATAAAATCATATCTCCCCGTTCTCGTCTCGAACTCTAGCTTCAGAAAGTATCCTTCTTCAGGGCACTCGAAGACGGCAGAGCAGTTCTTAAGTTGTGCACTGAAGCTGTTCAGGAGGGGGATTAAGTCAAGACTGACACAAAGAATCGAGTATGGAATGATGGCATACAAGACGTATAGATGCATCAATGCAGAAAGTAGCAACTGCCCTGCATGCTGTAGGGCATTCAAGTTAAGAGAAGACGTTCCATTCAACAAACATGAGATAAGTATCCTGCTCTGTAGAGGAAGTGGGGAGGAGATGGACGACTCCAACCAACCGCACATCTTTGAGGATGGATTTATCTACGGGACTAAGTACATTGAATCATCAGAGTATGTTTGTATTGGCTCAAGGGGCGGAGACAACTCTTTAAGGTATCCAAGGTTGTGTTTCATTCTGTAATGGCGGAGTTGTATGTTTGTTTACACGCCTGCTTCCTAATATGGAAACCATCTCGGTTTCGATGCTTCAATACGTAAAAATTGGAAAGAATTTTGTATAAATTTTTTCTTTATGAACAAGGGTATGCTAGTTAGAGGTTTGTTATCGGCCGTGGCGACGATTTTCTGTGGTGCACCTAAAGATACCGACTTGAGAGAGTCTGTGGCCGTTGGTATTGATCTCGGGACTACCTATAGCTGCATATCTGTATATAGTCCATCCTCGAAAGATACAAGGTTTGTTCTCTCTCCCGGGGGAGAAGAGACCTATCCATCGGTTGTATATTTCAAGAAGCTTCCTGAGGGAGATGGAAAGAAGTCCAAGTATGAAGCAGTGGCTGGATGGCCTGGGCTACAAATGTATAATGCTGAGGGGAATGCCAACACTTACTTCTATGCCTTCAAGAGAGGGATGGGAATTGAGGATCTTGCAAACATTGACAAGAAGGTTGAAGAGATCAAGAGGAATGCATCTGTGCCTATATTTGTAGAAAGCGTTGGGGGAAAGAAGAGGGTGGCCTACAAGATCCAAGAGGCCATGCAGGATGGCTACGAGTCTGTGACGCCGGAAGAGCTTTCAAGCCATGTTCTGCGAATGCTGAAGGACCAGATTGTAAAAGATTATAAAATCCAAGGGCTAACCATTACTGTCCCAGCTTACTTTGATGTGAACCAAGTTGCAGCGACAATCAAGGCGGCTGAAATGGCAGGGTTTCCGACACCCATAATTTGGAAGGAGCCGTCAGCAGCGGCATTTGCTCATACCTATGATCTTATCAGGAAAGGCATAACGACCAAGGAAGAGGTTGACGACATGAACATCTGTGTATTTGATCTTGGAGGAGGTACATTTGATGTTTCGATTGTCGAGTCGTCTGGAGGATTCATGATGGTGCCGAGCTATGGAGGAAATAATTTTCTTGGGGGAGAAAATGTCAATGACAATCTCACGAAGTACTTTGCTGACTACATCAAGAGCAGTACCGGGTTTGACGTGATGGAGAATCAGAATGTTAAGCTCAGGCTGAGGAACGTTGTTGAAGACATGAAGAGGGATCTCTGTGACGAAGTTCGCAAGTCTCCGGGTAGGAAAGCAAATCCTTCTATAAGCAAGAGTTTTATTTATGATGGAGAAAAGTCGATTGTGCTGGAACTAACGAATGAGAAGTTCAACGAACTCAATGCCGATTTCTACTCCAGAATAAGAAAGACTATGGATTCATTGCTTTCTGGAGATGGAAAGGACAACAAGGGATATGACAAGAGCCTTATCAACAGGGTATTACTCGTTGGGGGATCCACAAGGATTCCCAAGGTAATTGACATAGTCGAGGAAATTTTTGGTGCAAACAAAATCTATTCGGAAGGCGTCAATGCGGATACGATAGTTGCTAGGGGAGCAGCTCTGTATACAGCCAACTCGCTCAATCTACTTAATGAATCTGAGCAGATTGTGACTGCTGACAGCGTTCCTCTTTCGCTGGGGATCTGCACAGAAGAGGATCACTTTGAGGCGATAATCTCAAAAGGAGCCCTTCTTCCAGCAACAGGAACAAAGGAGTTCACTACTGCACAGGACAACCAGACAAAGGTTAGGATTCGCGTTGCGCAGGGTGGTTTGGAAAGCTTCAAAGACAACATCTACATTGGAGACATTGAATTGGATCTCCCGGGAAATCAACCCCGTGGTGTACCAAGAATTGCCGTCACATTGGAAATCGATACCCATGGGAAGATTTATGTAAAGGCGGTGGATTTGCAAAACAACAAAGAGGCGTCTTCATACTTCAGCTCGGTTGTTGCCAATATGACTTCAGAAGAGATTGAGAGATTTGAAGAGAGGGTGCATGGCGAGGAAAACCAAGAGCTTGTGAAGAAGCGTGAGGTGGTCAGAAAACTCGAGCAAGCCATATCTCAGGCAGAGAGTCCAAAGTTCGCTGAAGTAATTCCCGAGAATATTAAGAAAGATGCTTTGGAATATGTCCAGAAGACAAGGTTGTGGCTAGAGAAGCATAAGGAAATAGCGCCTCGAATCCATATTGAGGAAAAGCTTCAGGAGTTCGACAACGGAATGAAAGAGTTTCTTAGTTCGGCGAAGTCTGGAGAAGAGAAGGAAATAGGGAGAGAAGAACTCTGAGCTTCCCATTAAACCATTTCTTTCTAAGTCTGCCTGCAAATTTTATTCAGTGGCTCCTAAAAGCACATATTTCCGGAATGGTGATATTGCTTTTTTTTCATCTGAGTGGAGCTTTTTATGATACAACTAACTTATAAGGAGGCATTAAGATGAGTCTGCCGGTCTCTCGGGCCATTTCTTCTTGAATTGCCGGATATATTACGGCGTTGGAAGTAAGGCTAGAACTCAGTTACGCATATGCATAATAAAGTTGATGTTGACTAGTTATTTATTTGAAATCTCTTATGATATTGAAAGTACTTCTCCTGTTGCTGAAAGACGGAAATAGCGAGCAAGGGTGCTTATGGAAACATATGCGCTCAATGAATGGGTAATTACAGCAAGAGTGAATACGAGAGCAAAGATGATTACTCTCCAGGATGCAGCAGGCGAGGAACTTTCCCTGGAAGGGAGGTATATTTCTTTCAGTGATTTTACTAAGATAAGGACAAAAGAAGCAAGTATAAAGTAAGGACGATACTCAGCTTTTTCTAAGAAAAGCAGCAACAGCAGAAATGTTAGGTAAGACAATAGTATCATTAGGTCGACGAGGATGTTGATGCCAGTGGCTGTGAATGAAGTTGTGATGAAATCGCAGGAAGTGGATAGTAGATAAGTAGGCGGTATAAAGAAAGAGGGGAGGATAATGGAGTAGAAGAACAGATCTTCAGAATTCCATTTATCGGTAACAAATGTAATACTCGAAAAGATATTAATGATAACAAATGCTAGAAGAAGAACAATAAGGGTAGAGTGGAGTATGTTACGTAGTGTGCTTTCTGTCTTGCAATACCCTTTCCATGTGGTATGAAAGAAAATAAGATACTGTAGTATCAGGTATGAAAAGGAAGGGAGCAATACAATGAACCTAAAAAAGAGGTCCTCTTTGAAGTCATGCTCACTAAAAGTATAGCATGCAAAGAATGTAAAGATGAGGGATACAAATGAGCTAAAGTTTCTAATTACTATTCTATGCTGTTGATTAATTGTATGCGCATCTATTCCCTGTGTGACAGCCATGATGGGTAGGGGGTATGAGACTTATGTATAGACAGATTTAATTAAGTTTGTATTAGGGTTATTGGCACAAGTGATATAGGAGTTAGTGGTGGATAGGAAAGATACCAGAAATGTTCAGGTGGTCTACTTTTCTTGCTGGACAGCGCTTGTTGTGTGCTGTTACCGGTAAAAGCACTTCATATCATACGCTGCAGGATTATGGAATCCCCTACTTTTGAATAATCCTGTGGGTTCTGTATTGAAGAAGTAAGGAGACAAAACTCTATTATGCTTCAGAGAAAATCACTTATGTAAGACAGCAACAGCTTCTCCAAAGATATCATAATGTCATGGGAAAAGGAGATGTGAAACACTAAGTAGGAAGAAAGATATGCCCCATGAGATGGATTTCTGCAACACTGATGCTAATTCCTATAGTTAATGTGATGCATTGTTCCTTAGAACTAGAAGAATGCGTCATTTTCAAGCCGAGAGAAGGAGACGAAGCAATAGTGCTCCCGTTTATCTTCAGAGGGAATAATATTATCGTATTGCCAACAACGAAGTATAGTGACTTGATGAAAAATACCGAAAATGTGAAAGGTTTTACACTTTTTTTAAATCATATTTCACATGTAATATGGAGTTTCACGGTGGGTGATATAGTATACACGGACGATAATCGATTTGAAAGGCTATTTGATGAAAAAATGGGGAGCTACTTTGAGGATCTACATAAAGACATATTAAGTCTATATGTGCAAGGGAACGGAACCTTTAGTGGGTTGTTGAAAATAGTGTACGAGAGAATATTTCAGTGCAAGAGGAGGAGAAATAGACATATGTCAAGGTATGGAAGCGATATTATAAAAATGACTGAAGACATGACGAAGCTTGTACCTAGTGAAGTGGATGAAAGAAAAAGAAGGAAGCTGGCAGCCTTTTTGGTCGCGAATAAAAAATATGGAGAATCTCTTTCTAACATAGCAAGATGGAGACGGATAGTTGAGGTAGAGAAGATAGTATGCGATGCATGCGAAAAGATCTGCTCCGACTTAAAGGAGGAGGAGCTAATGAGATTGCTTGCTGAAGGAAGTATGAGAAAAGCTTTGAGGAAGGGGCTTGGCAGAGATAAAATCAATTATAGATTATACTTAGAATGTATCTTTACTGATATTAGATTGTTGTCCGATGCACATAAAAAATACGGAGGGGATGTCATAAAAGAGCTGGTCAAGCAGATATTGCTGGGGAAGAAGGGAGAGGAGATAGACAGAGAGTATATCGACAAGGTTGCAAGAGTAGTCCAGGAAAGACAGAAAAGGGAGATAGAAAAGAGTATGAAAGAACTGCTGAGGGACGAGGAGAAGGCAAAGAGCAAGAAGAGGGGGAAGAGGAAGAGTGTGGGAGTCTCCGGGGCCAAGGAAGAAGAGAAGAAGGAGAGCGAGACAGAGGAGGTGGAGGCAGGTGAGGAAGCGGAGATGCCGTCCGTGGAGGTTGGAGGAGCACGCAGGAAGACAGGTAAGAAAAGTGAGGGTGACCAGAAGCGCCTCAAGATCCACAGTAGAGTTCTCCGGTGGAGAAAGAGCCCAGAGAAGATCAAGAAGGAGTGGGACAGGGGAAGCGAGGAGAGGTGGAGGGGAAGGTCTCTTGAAGAGATCAAGGAGCAGAAGGTGTTCCATGACATAGTGGGTGTGCTGGAACTTCTCAAGAGCCCAGATGCAGACAGGTTCTTCATGGATACAGGAAAGTACACCAAGGGCGGGAGTGAGAGGCAGAGGATGGTGGCGATTGGGGTTCTTGAGAGGGGAGAGAAGAAGATGACAGGAGTGGTGGAGGTTGGGATGTTCAAGGACTCTCCTAGTGGATGCCCAGTTGTGTACCACCTGATGTTCCGGGTTACAGGGATAGAGGAGATGGGGAATGTTGTAAACCCAGAGTTTCCCGAGGTGAGCGACGTTGAGAAGATAGATGAAGATAAGGAATACCAGGATGCGGGCAAGTTTGTGTACCCAAAAGGAGTAAAGTTTGAAACAGTGAAGGAGACTGATGCATTCCAGATAGTGTGGAAGAATCCCTCTGACACCTCTGAGGTTCTCCAGAGTCTTACTGTACAATGCAGACCCCCGGTGATCTGAGTGGGGTTTTGTATGGTGTAAGGCTGGCAGGATGTTATAAGTGGAGTAGAAAATTGTTTATTCATCAGCTTTTGGCAGTCGGAGACTGTTTAGCTCGCCGGGTAGGTTTAAATGATCATTCAAGACTTTTATAGATACATGTACTATAAGCGTGAAGACAAGTATAGCAAGGATAAGGATGGAGACAAAAACAGCTATTCTCCACGGTGCAGTAAGCAAAGAATTCTTTCCAGATGGGCAGTGCTTCTCTGTGAGTATCCGTATCAGGATGAAGACGAAAAGTATGATTGCGGAATAAAGATAGTACTTGGATTCTTTATACACAAGCACCCTATTTACTATATCGAATACTGATACCAGGGTGTTGATAAGGATGTTGGTACCAGTGCCCGTGAATCCGGTTTGCCCTGGGATAAGACCGCAGAAGACGGAAAGGAACTCGGATTCTTTATACACAAGTACCACGTTAACTATATCACATATTAATATCAGAATGTCGATAAAGATGTCGGTACCGGTATCTCTGAATCCAATTTGTCCTGAGATAAAAGAGCAGGAGGTGGAGAAGAGATAGACAGGTGGGATAAGGAGGGAAGGGAGAACAATAGAATAGAAGAATGAGGCTGCATAGTCCCATTTATCAAGGGTGAATACAGTGATTGAAAAAATGGAGATGACGACAAATGTAAGAAGTAGAAGGTTGAGGATGTAATGGAGTGCTTTATGTGTGGTATCTTCTGGTTTGGTGCTTTCCTTCCAGTTGGTGTGGAGTAGTGCAGAATACTGTATTACTGAGTATGAAAGGGGAAGGAGTACAGTGATGAGTCTGAGGAAAGGATTCTCTTCGAAACGATCCTCTTCAAAGATGAAGTGGATGAGCATTGGTAATGCAATTGAAATTAATGGAGCAAGGCAATTGAAGCTTGTCCTCCAGTGGAGCTGGTTCTTGATATGGTGTTGTTCGTTAATTTCATGTGGCTCTGAAATATGTGCGATGTTCATATGGGTAAAGGGGAAATAAGGAATAGATATATTTATATAACTGGCTGGATGTTCAGTGAGAGGATATGGAGGTGTTGATAGGACTTTCGCTGTGATATGGAATGAATTGACGAGGCTGTGTAAAGACTCAGGGGTAAGACTATTGAGATAACTGGAAAGCGGTAGATATCATTGTCTAAATGGTGTGAGCTGATGGGATTAACTTTACCAATAGCTGAAGGATTCCAAGAGAGAGCAAAAATGAGCGGTGTCATGAATCTATAGTAAAGACCCTTTTGCAACAATGGGAATGTGGTTGGTATGGATATTTGCTCTGGATAATATATTGTGTGCCTCGAAGGAAGAAGAGAAGAAATGTGAACTACCTCGCAGGTTAGGCGAAATGAACATAAAAGAGATAACAGAAAAGGTGGAGATTGATGGTCTGGATACAAAGATAATAATTCCATTTATTTTCCATGATGCAAAACCTGTGGTATCGCCAATTACAAGATATCGGGACATAAGTCAGGAAGAAAGAAGATATGTTGAAGAGATTATTAAAGGCCTTCCAAAATTGGTGTGGGACTCGATGGTGTGGATATATGTCCCAGGGTATACTTGGTGGATTAAGAGTTTGATGGATAACGTCTTCAATGCAACTTCTTTCGAGGGTTTTAATCCTGTTGATTTGTACAAGAAGGCCAAGGGAAAATCTGAAATAAGATTTGCGGACTTAGTGATGAGCATATTCAGGTTTAACGGCAGGATAGTGAATAGGTTCGGGCAAAGACTTGTTCGTGAAGTGGAGGTTAAGATAAAGGAGATGTCGAATGAAATGCCTTCTTCAGAAAAGAAGGAGAAGGAGGAAAGGTTGAATCAAATCCTAGAGTATGGTAAAAAATTGTGCACTAGGGAAAAACAGGAGGAGATGCTTAAGGCACAGAAAATAGTGTGTGATGCATGCGTATATCTTTGGGAAAAGGGATCAGAAGATAGGGTAGCTATTACTATAATGGTATATCTAAGAAACTTGGAAGTGCAAATGATAAGATCAAGTATGAAGAAGGTGAAGGTAGGAGAACCATTAACGTTCTATATGAACCACGAGGTATTGATAAGTGCATATAAGGAATATAAGATAGGTGTTGCAGGAGAATTAGTCAAGCAAGTACTCAAAAACGATAAGGATATTGATTCAGAGAGTGTTAATAGAGTAGTGTGTTCTATTAGGGAGAGAGAAGAGGATGAAAGAAAAAGAGCAGAAGCTGAGAGCGCTAGGAATAGAGAAGAATTGTTGAGAATGGAAGAGAGGGAGAAGGGTAAAGAGAAGGGCTCTAAAGGAAAAGGCAGGAAGAAGAGAGGTAAGAAGGGTGCAGGAGAGGCTAAGGAGGAGAGTAAGGAAGAGGACAGAGGGGGAGAAGAGGAGGAGAGTGTAGAGGCAGATGTTCCGGTAGAAGAGATGGCGGTTGGGGGTGCCCGGCCCAAGAAGAAGAGTCCGAAAGAAGAGAGTAAAGGCGAGGAACGTTGTTATAAGGTGCACAAGAGGGTTCTCCGGTGGATGAAAAGTGCTGAAAGGATTAAGTATGAGCTGGATAACGGAGAGGAAGAGAAGTGGAGAGGCAGGAGTATTGAGGAGATTGAGGAGCAGAAGGCACTACATGACATTATAGAAGTGCTGAAGCTCCTCAGAAGCAAGGAGTGTGACAAGTTCTTTGTCCGGACTGGCAAGTACATGAAGGGTGGGAGTGAGAGATGGAATATGGTGGGAGTTGGGATACTTGAGGAGGGAGGGAAGAAGAGAGTGGGAAATGTAGAGGTTGGCCTTTTTGAGGGCAAGGGAGGGGAGAATATAATCTACCATCTGATGTTCAAGCCCACAGACTTTGAAGAGGAAGGAGAAGGAGCAAGGCCATCGTTTGGAAGGTGTGATGGTGTGGATGCGATAGAGGAAGGGAGAATCTCCGACATGTCTGGGTTTCAGTATCCTCCGGGCGTCCGATCTGAAATAACGAGTAGTGGGAGTGAGTTCAGGATAGTGTGGAAGAATCAGAGGGATACCAGCTTGGTTCTCCGGAGTCTTACTGTTCTGCGGATTCCTGAGATCCGGTGATGGCCATGAGTATGTGGGATGGTATAAGTCATGGTATGAGTATATAAGTAAAGGGAGGATTATTGTCATTTAGATATTGCTTTGATGTTATGCTTGGATGGATTGTCATCAGCGAGGGATGTCTAGCACCCCTATGGATGAGAAATTGGGATTACATCCATCTGTTGATATAGTGTAGCTCCAGAGGAGTAGTGGAGGGCTCAGTCTTATCGCCCTGCCACAAGAAGGAATTCCAGGAGACGGGCTTGTTTCGTGTTAACAGAAGATTCTCTATACCGTGTGGTAGGGCTGGTGGAGTGAGTTATAAGATAGAATGCCTAGTCCTGGGCAGTAGGGTGTTGAAGAGGCGAGCTGGATCCTGCTATAGCGAGAAAAAGGAGACGGTAGCATTAGACATCAAGTAAGGAGGAGGGCCTATCGCATGAGGTGGAAGTATGCCGCATGGATATTAATTGCTGTAGTCGATGTAATGTGCTGCTCCTCGGAAGAAAAGAGTGCCAGTGTCTCCTTTGTAACGAGGCCAGGAAGTCAAGTGATAGCATTCCCGTTTATCTTCGTAGGACATAGTATTGTTGTATTGCCAACAACGAAGTACAGTAACTTGAAGAGAAATGCCAAGAGCATGGAAGACCTTACTTTTCTACTCTCTAATCTCTCACATGTTGTGTGGAGCCTCACGATCGATGCCACGGTATACAAAGATGGTGGCAGACTTGAGAAGCTGTTTGACAAAAGAATGAGAGGTTATCTGGACGGTGTGTCCTTAGATGTATTAAGAATGTACGTCAACGGAAGCAAAACCTTTAGCGAGTTGTTGCAAATAGTGTATGAAAGGACATTTGAATGTGATTCTAGGAGAAGTAGGCAGATGGCAAGATATGGAGAGAGTCTTATAAGGGAAATTGACAACATGATAGAAAGCATGCCTGCCGAGATGTCTGAAGAAGAAAAAGAGAAGATGCGAAGTGATTTGAATAATAATAGGAAGTATGTGGAGTCTTTTCATGATACAGAAAAATGGAGGCAGGTAGTTGAGGCAGAGAAGATGGTGTGCAATACATGCAAGGAGATCTGCCTTGGGTTGAAAGAGGAGGAGCTGATGGGATTGCTAGCTGAGGGGAGTGCGAAAAAGTATATAAAGGCAAGTGCTGGGGAAAGCAAGGTAAGTAGTACGGTGTATCCAGAATATATCGTTGTTGACATTAGCCTATTATTAGATGCACACAGAGAACATGGAGGAGATGTTACAAAGGAGTTAGTCAAGCAGATGCTGCTGGGGAAGAAGGAAGAGGAGATAGACAAGAGGTATATCGGTAAGGTCGCGAATGCAGTCAAGGAAAGGCGGAGAAGAGGAGAAAAAGAGATAGAAAAGAGAGTGAAAAAGCTGCTGAGGGACGAGGAGAAGGCAAAGAGCAAGAAGAGGGGGAAGAGGAAGAGTGTGGGAGTCTCCGAGGCCAAGGAAGAAGAGAAGAAGGAGAGCGAGACAGAGGAAGTTGAGGCAGGTGAGGAAGTGGAAATGCCGTCCGAGGAGGTTGGAGGAGCACGCAGGAAGACAGGTAAGAAAAGTGAGGGTGGCCGGAAGCGCTACAAGATCCACAGAAGGGTTCTTCGGTGGAGAAAGAGCCCAGAGAAGATCAAGGAGGAGTGGGACAAAGGAAGCGAGGAGAGGTGGAGGGGAAAGTCTCTTGAAGAGATCAGGGAGCAGAAGGTGTTCCATGACATAATGGGTGTGCTGGAACTTCTCAGGAGCCCAGATGCAGACAGGTTCTTCATGGATACAGGAGATTACACCAAGGGCGGGAGTGAGAGGCAGAGGATGGTGGCGATTGGGGTTCTTGAGAGCGGAGGAAAGAGGATGCTAGGAGTGGTGGAGGTTGGGACGTTCAAGGACTGTCCTAGTGGATGCCCAGTTGTGTACCACCTGATGTTCCGGGTTACGGGGATAGAGGGGATGGGAGATGTTATGAGACGGGGGGGGGGGCAATCTTGGTGAGGCGAGCGACGTTGAGAAGATAGATGAGGATAAGGAATACCAGGATGCGGGCAAGTTTGTGTATCCAAAAGGAGTAACGTTTGAAACGGTGAAGGAGACAGGATCATTCCAGATAGTGTGGGGGAATCCTTCAAACACCTCTGAGGTTCTCCGGCGTCTCACGATTCAGTGCAGACCATGTGTGATCTGAGTGGTGTGATGTGATGATGAATAAAGCAAATAGTGTTATGGTTGTGTTCTGTTCTCTACTGTGCTTTCAATGACTCTGCATCTCCGCACATCCTCACTCATCGTTGTAGTCCGGGTCTTCCCAATCCTGCAATGGACCATGCTTGGGTGCAATCCACTGCCACCAGTACTTCTGGGACTCTTCCTCCCTCCTCCCACAGTAGAAAATCAGGCCCGTTCGATGAAACAGAACACCCATCGATCGGAGAGGAACTCCGTGCAAGGACTCCTACCCAGCACACGGCCAGATGCTCAACAGAGGATATTCACATGGCTTTAATCGAGTAAGTAGTCAGGCCTCGGGGAGTCATGTGTCCAGTCCCGCTATGCGGCAGCAGTACCAGTCATATCGTCGGTGCCTCTCCTGTACGTCATGAAGTAGTCCCGGCTTGATACCCACGATGCAAAGGTGGTGACCGCCACACTCATCACAAACAGGCAGTTCATCACAACAGCCCCACTCCCACCTGTGGATGCCTTTTCTCCATCAGCTTCGTCCATGTACGACACAAGAAGCAGAAGAGCAATAAGCACAGTAAGCCCAATGCATACCATGCCACACCGCCCATATGTGTCGAGCAGGGGGTGCTTGGAAGGCTCGGCAAAGCATGCCACTGCCAATAGCACATTTCCGGCACAGAACACACACATCTGCTTCCAGCTCATCCCACACTGGATGAGACGCTGTCCACACATCGAGGCAATACTAACTCCAGCTACCGTCAGGCTGTACACACCACTCTCGATAGAGCCAGCATTCAGAAGCTCAACTGCCACAGGAGCCAGACATCCAAGCACACTCCATACATTCCTCAACACATCACTTGTCCCATCCTCATGCCAGTTCCACCCCCCCCCCCCACAGTACCCACATCTGGTGCATGATGGTCCCGGCCACAGCTAGTGAGTACAGTGCTGTGTTCCATCTTGTCTTCACCCTGCTGTTTTTATCCTCGGCAAGGTGAAGAAAACTATGGATGGCCAGAATGGCAATGAACATAAAGCATAGGAGTTCACATAGTTTCATCGGGGGAGAGGAGGGAAGGACCCTTTCGAGATCGGAGATCCTTTCCTTCAGGTCAGACAGGCCTTTCTCTGCTTCACTCAACATTCCCTTTAGTTCACTGAATGCATCAGAAAAAGACTTTCTATTCCTTTGAAGATCATCGACGACTTGGGCACATGATGTTCTGAGAGCCTTGAGCTTTTGAGAAAGGGAGTCAAAGGCCGTCCTGACATCTCGAAGAATCTCGTAGAGTTGCGCTCTATGAGGCTCTGGGACTTTGGTGATCATCTTTTCTAAACAGTCCAGCTCATTCTTTATTGTCTCGGAAAGAGAAGCCTCATCAATGTCATGCTGAAAGTATTGCTGGAGGACTTCGAGGCCTATTTCGTTTATGCACCGATGAAGGTTGTTCCAGTTCCGGTTGGCTTCAACACTGCAGCCTCCCTCCATCCCTAAGAAATCAAGAATGACAAACTTCAAAGGGATCTTTACTTCGACCTTCAGGCCTTCACGGACATGGGGCAAGACCCTCCCAAGCGCATCTTTAAACGCTTTGAGCAGCTCTGGATAGTTCTTGAGAAACCCATCGATCGCTCCAAAGTAATAGGAAAAGTTGGAGATGTCTGGTTCAGTAAGAATGATAATACTATGCGGCTGATTTAAAAGCTCCTCTAAGGCCTTCAACACACCCTTGGCTGCATCGACGGCAGCAGTTCCTTCGGGGTTCCCTTTCCCCTCTAAGTCCTTGAGGATATCATCGAGTAGGTTTGTGTAGAAGGCAATGGCAGGAACCATTCTTTTATATATTATAAGATCAATAATCCATCCTGCTTTGTTGTATAATGATTTTTCACCTGTAAAGGCTCTTTCACAATAGTTGAGGTCAACTTCATTGAGCGTTGTTTTGATACGATTGATTTGTTCCATCGGTGGGTGTGATATATCGCATTAGCAATCTTTACACATATGGCTTATAAATAAGGGTCATAAGAGTGGACCAATGGTGGCATGGCGGATCTCCATCCAGGGATCTGTTTAGCGACAGGCATTGCAGAGAGGGGGTGAAGTAGATTCTGATGGCCATAATTGATAAAGACAGCCATCGGCCATCAAAGACCTTGTAGGTTGGATGGAGGATGTGTTTATGGCACACTATTTATTGTGGCAGCATTAACACGGCAGTTCTTTCGATGTGGTCGGACCAGCAAGACAGGACATCTGGAGTATACTGTTATGGATACTAAATTATTATTGGGGGTGTCCATAGGGGAGAGAGGTTGAAATGAAGGTTGATTGAAGAGATCAGGGAGCAGAGGATAGTAGATGATACTGGGTCGCATAGCGGGTGTTGTTTTGCTCCTTAGGATCCCGGATGCAGGTTCTTGATGGATTAGGAAAGCACGTCGAGAGTGGATGTTTGAGACGTCGTTTGGCAGCAGTTAGAGTTCTTGAGAGCGGAGGAGAATGACAGGAGTGGTGGAGGTTGGGCATTCAAGGACGGGATGATGTCGAGTTGTGTACCACCTTCTGTTTCAACCTGTAGGTTTGGAGGAGTAAGAAATGTCATAAGTTCAAAGCTTGATCTCTCCAGGCTTAGTAAATGTCTGCATGTTGATGTATGCTGGCTACGGTTAAAGAGTAAAATGGTTTGTGTTGGTGTAAGGACATGCTCATGGATGGAGGTTTATTGATCAGCTTTTGATACAAAGACACTCTTTACCTTGTCAAGTAGGTAAAGTAATAATCGAGAGTGAGGATGGCTTCACAGCCCATGTCTGTGTAGGTGTAAATAACAAGAATGAATATGAGAACAAAAGCAACTACCCTCCATGTTGTAGTGGGCAGAGAGCTCTTTCCAGATGGATAGTATTTCTCCGTGAGTAATCTTACCAGGACAAGTAAGGGAAATGTTACTGCAGAGTAAAGACGGTACTTGGACTTTTCATGCATAAATATGAAATTTACTATGAAGCATAATAATATCAACACATCGATAAGGATATTGATGCCGGTGTCTGTGAATCCAGTCTGTCCCGGGACAAGAGAGCAAGAGATGGAGAGGAGATAGGTGGGTGGGATGAAGAAAGAGGGAAGGACGATAGAAAAGAAGAGTGGATCATCGTCTTTGCTCCAATTATCGTTGGTGAGTATAATGATTGAAAGAATGAAGATGGTGGCAAATGTGATGAAGAGAGCACTGAAGAAGTAGCGGAGTGCTTTGTGCAGAGTGTCCTCTGGCTTGTTGTTTCCCTTCCAGCTAGTGTGGAACAGGAGGAGATGTTGGGCTGCTAGGTATGAAAGGGGGAAGAGTGTGGTGATGAGCCTGAGACAGGGATTTTTTTCAAAATTGTCTTTGTCGAAGATGAAGTACAGAAGGGCTGAAAATGCAATTGATATGAGTACCACAAGATCGTTATTGAGAATTGCGCTCCGGTGGTGTTGGATCTCGGTGTGGTGTTGTTCGTTGGTTTCATGTGGTTGTGGGATACTGGTAATGCTCATATGGGTAACTGAGATAAATATGTTGATATTAGATATGAGATATGTAAAGTAATTAGGTGAACCTTCGTGGCTAGAGAGGATTTACAGAGAAAGCAAAAGGGGGAGGTTGTAGTCTAATGAGTGAAGGCCCTTGCCGAGTAATGAGGATATGGCTTGTATATGGATTTGATTGCTTGACGGGACACATGGTTCTCAGATAGAGGAGACTGAAGATGGGAAGGATGTAAGAGAAGGTCTTGAAAGGGCTTTTTCTTGTAAGTTTGATGAGTTGGGTGTAGAGTGGCTAAGGGAATCACTTGAGGGAGCTTCGGGGTTGGACACAGGAGTATTATTATTCCGTTTATCTTTCATGGTAATGAAACCGTTGGATCGCCAGATTCCGGATAGCAGGATATGGCAGCTGAGCTTTAGACTTGATGTGGGAGGGTTGGGACGGCGTCTTTCTGAGGCTTTGAACCTGTTACTGTGTACGAGAGGACCAGAGGGAGACTTAGGATTCGGTTGATGCACTTGATAGGTGAGAGATTCGGGGCAATGGTGGGACGGCGGACTTGGACGAGGGGACGTCAGGGTCTCTTTCTGACAAAGAAAACAAGAAAGAGGAGGAGATAGCTCGGAAGGTCGAGGAGGATGTTGGCTGTGCACGAGGAGCGCACAGGAGGAGGTGGCTAGGGGGCAGAGGGATGAGATAGAGAGGAGGTAGGGAGACCCTTTGAGATGGCTGGGTTTTTGTATCCAGGGGTGTGAAGTAGCGAGGGAGGAGAGCTGAGGATGGAGTGGGGGAATCGCAGGAACACTAGTTCGGAGTCTCGGTGTTGGGTTGGGATGGTTGCAGGGAAGTTGTCTCTGTTCCATGGAGTGGTCGAGCGGAGTTGGGATTATTTGGCGGCAATAGAGGATGTAAATCTGGATAGGGCTGGAAGCGATTGAAGAAGACAAGGGCAGTGCAAAGGAGCCCTGTTGTGTAGAGTAGGATGGCAGCTTCTGTTTGCTGTGTCTTCCCCTGTGGCAGTATCACAGGAAAAGGAGGTAACAACAAATTAAGTAAGGAGGAGGGTCGCCCTATGAGATGGAGATATGGCTCATGGATACTAGTTACCATGGCTAGTGCAATGCGTTACTCGTCAGAACTCGAAAGGATTTCCTATTTTGTATCACAGCCAGGTGGTAATGAAACAGTACTTCTTCCGTTTATCTTTAAGGGATATGATATTATCATGCTACCAACGACGGAGTACAGTGACATGAAGAAAAGTGGCAAATATGCGGAGGAATTTAGAATATTCTTCGGCAATCTTCCGAGTATGGTATGGGATTTTGTGATCGGGGATATGATGTACAAAGATGATGATCGATTTAGGAGGATGTTTGACAAAAGAATGGGTGGCTACTTAAGCTGGGTGTCTCTAGATATATTAAGGATATACATTAATCGGAGCAGGACATTTAGCGATGCGTTAAAAATGGTGTATGAAAGGGTACTGCAGTGCTCTGAGGGAGAAAATAGGCAGATGGAGAGGTATGGAGAATGTGTTATAAAGATGATTGACGAGATGATGGAAAATATGCCTGGTGACATGGACGAAGGAAAGAGAAAGGAGCTGAAGAGCTCTTTGGATGATAAGAAAGAACATGCAGAGTCTTTTTATGATACAACAAAGTGGAGACGGATAGTTGAGGCAGAGGAGATAGTGTGCAATGCATGCAAGGA